AAAACTTGCCGCATCCAGACACAGCACTGGATGCGCAAGTGGTGGTACAGATGTGCTGGTTGGCAGGGTGCCTTGCAACGTATGATGCTCCCAAGGTGTGTGCAAGTTGAGTGGCATACTCAGTAGCATATGATACGTGAGCATCTCCAGGCTTATGAGCTGTTAAGAACGCGTTGTCGTGAAGGACGGATGCGTTAGGGGATGGTAATCGAGCCTGGATTGGAGATGCTGATGGGAGAGCGCTAGTGGACACAGAGCCGGCACTAGGATCCGCGGTAGGTGTAAATGCAGATGTGCGTGCACTCAATGTATCGAAGACATTTTGCACTGCACATGGTGAGAGTCTGTCTTGCGGGACAGAGTCAAATGACGTACTATTAGCCACTACAGGCTCTGCTCCTTCATTGCCGATCCGTCCAGTATTGTACTGATGGTGTTCCTGTCCATGAGCCGATGCCCAAAGGACAGGAGAGAAGACTGGAGACGGAGGACTGATAGAACGAGAAGGAGAGGGTGTATTGGGTGTAGGGCTAATAGTAAATGATAGTTCCGAATCGGAACAATTGAACTTCAACCGACATTGCCCAGACTTCCTGTTTTGGAATCCGAACAGACCCGGGAATGAATTTTGGAAGGGACCGTCCATAGTCACGTGTGCCACCGAATTTGGTAATGTAGCAAATCGTTGTTTAGCACTGATTGCACCAAACTGAGGGCTAGGAGGGTGCCACTTCGTCTGCTGGGGACCATCCATTTTTATAGAGTCTGCAACATCCTGTTTTGCAAATGAATGATCTTTGCAATCGGCTTGGCAGGAGTTGATCTGTGGACCCAATAATGATCTCGTGTAGCCAATCTCGCTACCAATTTTGGAATTTGGGTCACGTCCAGCAGTGATTGAATAGCTCGAAGGTGCTTTGTCATAACCCTTTGACTAAGCGCCTTGAAATGATGCACAGATGGTTTGGTATGCATTTCTAGCTTGTTTGTCAAGGAAAAGATACCAGGTAACTTTCCTCCAAGCCAGGTAGCAGGTTCGAAAGACCATTCAGGGTCTGTACCATCTGGTGTGCATAGGATTTCATATTGGACCGCAAATCCTTGTGGGTCCTTGAATAAGAGCCATGTTCCGTCCTTCCTTTCGTCAATCGAGACGTAGTTTCCGCGTTGCCATGGTCGTCCGAGTAATAGACTGAAGGGAACATGGTCTCCAACGTAGAGATTAGCCTGAGTTTGCACCCCGCCGCAAGTCAAGGGTACATTCTGGACTAATCCACGTAATTGTCCTTCCCCGCCATTAGCATCATTCATGCTAGTTGCACGCCTAATATCGATAGGTCTATTGATCACCGTCTTCCAAATGTGACGGTTGACGATGTTAAGCTGACTTCCAGTGTCAATGATGGCATGGATAGGTTGTCCATCACATTGCATGGTAAGTCTGATCAATAGTCCACGTGTTTTGGTCCATACAGAATGAGCTTCAGTCGGAATTGGTTTGGGTTTGATTGCATTAGCAAGAAGTCCAGACAGTTCACGAGAAGTGCCTAGAATCTGACCCACTTCCAATTGGACTGGAGTCTTCAATACGGATTCCAATACTTTCTCTGGTTTGGTTCGAGTAGAAAGATCGGAGACACGTTGTCGTACAATTTTCTTGTCAGGGTTGGATTCGTCCTTGTTGACCGCCTGTTCTTTCTTCTTCTTTTCATTAACTGCTTCCTTAGGTCGGTCATTCATATTGGTGACATCTTCCATGATGACATCTTCATCATCTTCGTTAAATCGAGCGCGTTTCATGGTACGTGGGATTTCTTTGGCTACGTCGTGATGCTTGTTTTCAGATAATGGGGCAGGTTTAGAACGACCTTCTGCAGGTTTGTACTGCCTTGGGAATCGCGGGGCAGTCTGAATATTTTCTTTGACAAAGCCCTTTCCCTTCTGACCATTATCTCTTCGATCCTGTGGTTTGCTCATGGGAGGGGGAAAAACACCATCAAACCGCTCACGTCGAGCGTGTGTGTTTGTTTTGATGTTCCTCTCAGCAGGATAGACGTAGTAGTCTTCATTGTCATCGGTGGTAGCTGGTACCATATAGACTTCATCCTCAGAATCTGAATCATCCGACGTATAAAAGTCACTTGGATATTCATAGATTTGAGGGGTCTTCTTCTTCATCTTTGTCTTCTTTGTGACCTGTCTGACGTCTTTGTCAGGGTCTTCTTCTTCGGAGGGTACCCTAATGAAGTTTGCAGCTGGTGCTTTCCTATCCTCTCGATTAATTGCCTCAAGCATAGTCTCATCAGGCAATTTTCGGATAGTAGCTCCATTGGGTCTCTGAAGTTGTCCTCGCTGGTTCCTCTCGATCTTTCCTTGGGAAATCAACTGGTTTAACTTTACACAGTTGAACATGGAGTGTCCCTTTTCTCCACACCCATAACAGATCTTCTCGAGTGAACCAGGGGCTATATAGAATCGCGAACCTGGTTGAGGGAAATTTCGTCCTCCACCATTTCGTCGATTGTTGAAAGCTTGGTTTCCTGTGTTCCCAGTGGTCCTAGTCTGAGTAGTAGATGCTCCTCCATTCCTTCTAAAAGGTGGGGATACAATCTTCATGACAGTAGGATCCAACTTGGTTGCACGATAATACAACAATCCATACTGAGGATCATCGAGAGACATAGAATTGAGTTGCTTAATGAGCCCCTCAATCTCATCGATGGGTTCCAAAGATGTAGCTGAACTATCCTTGACCTTTGATGAAGGTTCTTTAGGCGTTTTGGAGCCAGAATGATTGCCTTTGTGTTTAGAGGCTTCCTTGACACGCGAGTGTTTCTTGTGGGATTTCTTTGTGGATCTGCGAGACTTTGGCTCAAGTTCTTCCTCCGAATCGCTTGACGTAGTGTCAGAGCTAGTAGAGTCAGAAGAGCTGGTCTCAGTGTCCGAAGGAGAGGTTTCAGTCTCGTCCTCGGAGATGAGCAGATCGGCATCAAAGCGGTCCCGGTGAAGTAACTTCTCTGCGGTCGAAGTAACCTTTTCAACAGCAAATGCCTTTGACAAATCCTTATCAGGATCCTTCGCCATAAGGCGGCTTTCAATCTTTGCCCGAAGGCCTTTGTAGATTCCTTCCCAAAAGTAAGAGGCAAACTCATCTTTTGTGATTTTCTTTGCGGATTCTAACCAACCCGCAATCGTAATGAACCCTCTTACATACTTTTTCCAAGCAGCAAGAGTCGGGATACGTTTCCCCCTTGTAGCCTTGACATAGGCTAATAGATCCTTCCTCTTGTATCTCTTTGAATCGAGGTCGGCATCATAGTATTTCAGGATGTCCGCCTTAAGAGCATCCCAGTTGGGAGTTCTAAAGGAAGGTAATCCTTCAATAAATTCCTCGACATTGCGAGATGTGTACTGTGTCACAGTCTCGCATTTTTCCTTGTCCGAGAGCACTTGGTTGTAATCACACAACTTTTCATAGTGCTTCAAGAACTTTTTCACCTTTGAGAAGTCTCCCTTGAACTTCTTAGGTGCGGCTTTACTACCCGGGATGGGCATAGTAAGGATGGATAGTGCCATGGTACTAGACGATGGTGCCATGGTAGATTTCGACGAAATATGCGCGAATAGGATTCAGGTGGATTCCTGAACACGATAGGGTATTTGCTCAAGGATGGAGCAAATACGATAGAACAATTTGTGCAAGAACCAAAGAAGCCTCCCTCGCGGTGGGCTCCAGTGATGTCTTACTACTTGAGGGTCTTATATGTTTTTGTGTAAATGTAGTGACACCACAACTACACTTTGATAAGACAAGAGTTGCCAACTCCTCAAGTACACGGTCAACGGATTTTCTAGTTTTCTCGGTTGATAACGTGTCGTTCGTGGGAGGCTCGACTATACAGTCTGTCGTTGGTTCTTGGAATGGGGTTTGGTTTTGGATGGGATGATAGACCTAGATGATAGGCCTGATACGATGAACTGTGTAGAATAGATGGACTAGACTACGTTGACGAATAGTTTGTCCGAATGGTCCTTGGACAAATATACGAGTGGATGCGCTACACAACACTTGGCTGAAGTGTGTGGATCCTTTGATGAACAAGGGACCTTTGGTATGGAGCAAAAGTCCTTGGTGGTGTGGAATTGGGAAGCTGACTAAGCTTTTCCCAGACAGATCCTTGCTGACGTAATCAGAGCAAGAATTTCTCCTGAAGAGTTCTTTGTCCAAACAGCTCTTGGACAAAAGATATGGGTTGTGTGGGATGCTGACTAAGCTTTTCCCAGACAAATCCTTGCTGACTTAATCAAAGCAAGGAAACAGCAGTTCTAGACCAACAAAGGACTAGAAAAGAAGGTTAGGGTGACTAAATGCCCCTAACAACAGTAAAGATAGCACAAGACTAAGATTATATCAAATCTTAGTGTAGTAAGGCTGTCAGTTTCAGCCTGCACTTCAGATGATAGATGTGAAGTGGGAAATCTCCAATATGGGGAGTGTCTCATTTCTCCTCAGAGAATTGAGCCTCCTTATATACATTTGGTGTGGGAAATATCCCAGGAACTGTATAGTACCAAGAAAATAGAAAGAGACACAAATCTGAGAAGAAATAAGGTAGTTGTAGCATAAAATGCAGAATTGAAGTGGAAAGAACACCAAAGGAGGAAAATGACTCATTCTGACTCATTTGACAGCAAATGACATCACTGTGGAGCAGTGTGGAGCATTTGTGGAGCAAAGTGGAGCTGAATGATATCATTGTGGAGCTATGACATCAAATGACATCATTGTGGAGTTATGACATCGAGTGACATCGTCCAAGATCAAATGACTCAATTCTGGAGTCACATGACTTCTCCTAGGGTTAATTACATGTTATGTAAGCTCAGATTGTGGCTGAAGCTCACATAACGTGCACAAATAAAAAGGAACAAGAGAAAACAGAAGCAAGAAAGTCAACAAAGATAAATGTAAACAGAAGTAAACGAAATGCGAGCTTTCTGCCACTTTTTACTTCTCTTGCCTCAACATAGAGTAATTAGTCTAAAGCGAAAGCTTTTTGGACTAGTATACCCTTATCCTATTGAATGTCAATGTATGATCTTCGTTTCATGCATGACACCGGTTAGTTTGACTGTTGCTCCTCGAGGCCCCAAGGCTCAAGTTATCTCATAGTATACCCACCATGAACCATAAGGTCCCGATACGAGTTGACGGTAGATTCAGACTCGGAGATGTTTTGGGATCTGGTTCATACGGTGTGTTGTTCACAAGCTGACTATGATTTTTAAAAATTAACATACTATGGACCCTACTTAGCTGTTGTGTACCACGCTCAGAACATCATCAAAGATGATGCTGTTGCCATCAAACTTGAATGTATCACAACCCAGCCATCTTCTGTACAGCGCGAATATGCCATTCTGAAACGACTTGAAGGTGGCGTTGGGATACCTCGCGCTCTCTGGTTCGGTCGAGAATCAACATATCACGCTTTGGTTCTCGGCCTCCTTGGGCCATCACTCCAAGATCTTTTCCTCGCACATAATCGAAAATTTAGCCTTCATACTGTTGTCAATCTAGGAATCCAACTGGTAAGTCGGTTCGTGCTGGGTTGTTGCAGATAGGCTAATCCATTTTCCAGCTCTCACGTCTTGAGTATATCCACTTGAACAATTATGTTCACTGCGATATCAAACCACAGAATGTCTTGGTGGGCCTTGGCCATTTGAAGCACACCACATTTATAATCGATTTCGGTATCGCGAAGGAATACTGGGACACCGCAACTAGAGTCCATATTCCCTTTCGTCACAATCAACGTCTCACTGGCACTCCTGCCTTCGCTTCAATCAACAACCACTTAGGAGTTGACCCGGGTCGTCGCGACGACCTTGAATCGCTTACATACATGTTGATCTATCTGTTACGCGGCTCCCTTCCATGGTTAACTAGTGACCACGAAAAACTCTCCAGCTCTTCCATACTCGAGCGCAAGGTCAACACCACCATTGAAGTCTTATGCGATGGAATTCCCGTTGAATTTGCAAGTGTTCTCATCTACACGTGCTCTCTTGCATTCTTGGAAGACCCTGACTATGGGCATCTTCGTTCATTGCTTTGTGGTCTTCAAGCCACCTTAGATGCGCCATCTACATGCTCGCTGGATTTCAGCATGCCCGATAATCACATCACACATCACCCTCCAATCTCCAATGGACCCTGGATGGCCGAGGTGGCCCCATATCTGCCGGATGCAACACCACTTCGCAGATTTACTCGTGTGTGAGTATTCTGTCTCGTTTTCCCATTCACAATCTGAAGCTAATTTTGATTTCGAAGTTTACACCAACGTAATGCCTCTCCCATGCACCCAACTGCACTGCGGAAAAAGCCATTAGTTGCTAGATCACGCTGTTGAATATATCTTTCTATCTCTACATAACTGTACAGTGTACAAGTCCACAATGTGTTTCTCGTAGGTTTCAAACCGTTCAATGCGGTCAAATATATGTTGACAAATGTGCGTCATGAACCCTAGGCCTGATTCCCAACTCCCGAGGGCCGACTCGACGCTGAGTCACGCAGCTTCTTATCTTTTTCTCACCCTACCATCTCCTTGCCCATCCTCCTTGCAACTTGCAAGTGCTGTTTTTCTGCAAATCAGTCGGTCTGCTACAGAAACAAACCTGTCCTGGATACCTGTACCTTACTCCTAAAGCCCGAGTCCCAACATCTACCAGTTTCGCCTTATTGGATCATATCGCTATCATGATTCATGAGTCATTACCAACCTCCTGGATAACGCATGGGGGATTTTCCACAAACACCCCACTCCCCTTCCACTGTATCGCAATTAAATGCTCAATCAATCAGTAATCGACTCCTGGATTGAAGGTAAGCATTAATTCCCTTGACCCATTGGTTGATATTTGAAACATGTGTTCAGTGAGCGTCAAACCACCCACCCTGACAACGATGGCAAACCCTCCGCAAACATGAGACGTCCCTTTCGCTGGATGTCCTTGCTATATCGCAATCTGGCTTCTGGACAGCCAGTTGAATCTGAGGATGTAGGTAAGCTTTACTGTGGCTCGATATTAACAACTGATTGCGAGATCTAGGGTACATCAGAACGCACATCTTATAGATCGGTATCCCTCTCATTGGGTAAGTAGTGGGCATCGTGGAAACCCCACACATGTATTGTGCTGCCTAGGACCACTCGAATGAACAAGATCTTACGGTACGTACCCTGCAGTTGTCCTCCTGGTGCCATATCACAATTAATAATGTTGTTCAGACCTTAGCTTGTGCGTACATGTTGGACTTGTCATTAGTTGACTCGGCACTGGTGTTTCCCTGCTATTTCCCCTGACGAAGATACATAAAGACCGTGTCTTTGAATCTTTACTGTCACTCAAACATGCCTCCTCGTCGACGAGGGCAGAAGTCTCAAGTTTCCACTGTGCCTACTCATGCTGCTCTAACTCCTACTGCCGCTGCTCCAATCGATGCTCCCCCCATCGTTACCCCCATCGCTGCCGATATTGCGCCCATCGCTGCCACTGTTGCGCCCATCGCTGCTGCTGTTGCTTTGAACGCAACTATGCTTCAACACCCCCAAAGGCAGCGGCAACTGCCTCTGAGGTTCCGCAATAATAGCCCAGTTCGTACTGGCACTAGTCGCACGCCAGATGATGGAGAACACATTGACATCGGCAATGTCTCCGGGGACGAAGAAGATAACTTGCCTGCCCCCAACGTTGGGGCTCCTCCAGTTCCCAGCCCTCTGCAGACAGTCACTAGTACTATCTACTCCACCCAAGTCGATCCCTTGGCTACGGGTGTCCGAGGAACGCAGCCTAGAAGCACTGCTGATATCAATCACTTCTTTAGGGAAGATCCAGCCACTAAACGCAAGATTTGTCGAATCTGCGAGTGAGTTTTGCGTCTGCAATTATTTCATTCTTTCTTACGGCCTTGTCCAGGGATTTGCAGAAGGTGGACAGTTCACACCAGGTTATCTCGTATAGGAGCACAACCGGCACTTCTGCCCGTCGTACTCATGCTTTCTATCACCACACTGATGTTTTCCTGGAAGAGGCGGAGCGCCTACGCTGGCCTATCTTCATACAACCACTCAATGAGCGACTTGCTGAAGGGTGGACTTTGGCAGCTATACGTGACAGGCTTAAGGACCCTGCGTATCACATTGAGTCGCTCGGTACCATCCCTAATCAGGGACACGGCAATTTTCCGCCTGGAACCACCTTTTCTCCGGAGGATTATATCCCAGATTTCAGCATTGATGAGATGCATCGTCAATTGGTGAAATTCATAGTGGCAGACGATCAGGCAAGTTGGTATTACTTTCTACATGCCCTTCCTAATTCATTTTCTGCAGGCAATAAACATTATTGAATGCGTCGAGTTCCGACGCCTGATACGTTTTTTGCGCAAGGATTTGACCGATTCAGACATTCCCCACCGCACAAAACTTCGTGAGCTCATAATAATCGCGTGGCAAGAGTATTTCCAGGTGTTGAAAGGTGATCTTGCCGTGAGTGTCTAGTTATCGAGAATCCCGCCATACATCTTATGTATTCTTACAGAAGGCGCAAGGAAAGGTATCCTTCACATCTGACCTCTGGTCTGATCAGAAGCTCCGCCCCTTTATGGCACTTACCGCTCACTGGATCGCCAAGGAAGAGCGGACATCAGTACTCGTCTTAAAGGCAGCATTAATTGCATTTCATCACGTTCCAGGAAGTCATACCGGCAAATCTCTTGGTTCAGTAATACTGCACCTCCTCGATCGTGCTGAAGTTGCAAAGGATGTGAGTGTTCAGCTGTACCGTATGATGTGCTCTGACTTCGTTTAGCCTGGACACTTCACGTTGGACAACGCGGCCAACAATCAAACATGCATGAAGGAGCTATCACATTTACTCGAAGAACGCAACATCGAATATGATCCAATCGAAAACAGAATCCCATGTTTTCCGCACGTGATCAACATATGTGTGAAACATATTGTTGACGACCACACGACAGCGGATTTCTCATCCGTGGAGAAGACCTGGAATGTTTGTGGTCAAATCGTCGACAAGAATGAGTATGTCGGCGCCATCACCGGTAAAGCTCTCGAACGGGCCAGAACTCTTGTGCGCACCATCCGTGCATCGAACCAACGACGTTCGAATTTTAGGGATACCATCGTGATAGGTAATGAAAACGATTGGTTCCAAGGAGACAAAGGCGAGCCTATAAAGCTCCCTGAAGTCGAACTCCTGCTCGATGAGCCAACCCGCTGGGATTCGGTTTATGTTATGCTAAATCGTCTACGCAATCTACGTCAGGTGAGGTTTCATCTCACTGAACATTTGTGGTGGGCTAACCATTGCCCAGGCGGTTGATATGTTCTTCGATTCTCCCAATCAACGCTCTATAAACGACAAAAAGTTGAGTCCAATAGAATGGCATTTTCTACAGGACTTCGAAGTTATTCTGGAGGTCAGTATCAATATCTTCGTAACTTATGTCGCATTTAACCTTGTCATTTCAGCCCCCCCATAGAGCTCAGCAATCCATGTCGAGCGAGAGCACTCCCGTGTTGGGTCGTACGGTTCCGGTGTTTGAAAGGTTACTTGAGGATTGGAAGCAGGTGGCCAATAGCGCCCCGCACTGTGCACCACTCATCAACATTGGTTTGACTTGGGCGGAGAAGTATGATGACAGGATGTCCTCCACAAATGCATATGCCGTTGCGATGTGTAAGTCCCTCGCATTTTTATTAAATTTGATGTCTTACGATCGGTTTATAGTCGTGGACCCCACATGCCGAATGTCATGGGCCACAGATCATTGGGATGAGAACCGGGTAAAGTCAGCAAAGGAATTCATTCTCAAGCTGGTGCGTCTATCTATCTAGCTTCAGCATGCGCTCATATGTCCTGTAGATGCATGTCAAGAGAGGACAGCGGACCTCCAATATGCCGGCTCCAATCCAACAACCCTCGAGACTACAATCACGCACGCTAGGCTCCCGTATCTACGGACTTCGTGAGGGGGATGCACTGCCGGTTTGTGACGATATCGTCCAGACAGTCGATCAGGAGTTTGGGGCTTATAGCACAGCTAATATCAGCCCCAAGGGAACAAACATACTCTCCTTCTGGCAGGTGAGTCTTGTCTCCGTCAAGTGATGTATTTTGTTGTTGATCACGAGGTTTTGACCAGGTGTCTGAGGGGATGTTCCCAACGGTTTACGCCATCGCTATGGACTACCTCCCAGTCCAATCATCTGCTGTTCCCTGCGAGCGAGTGTTCTCGTCGAGCAGCGAAACATACACGAAGAGGCGTAACTGCATCAGCCCGATCCTCATGGAGGCGTTACAGATGGTGAAGTTCTCCCTAAAAAAGGAGCGATTAAATTTCACCAAAGGCTGGGCGGCATCGCAATGGGCCATGGAGACTGCGGTGGTATCTGACAATAGTTCCGATGAACTTTTGGGACCCGTCTCAAGTGGACCTACAGATGACAGCCATGCATATGACGCCGTTCTCAAAGCCATCGCAGAGCATGAGTGCGATGGCATCGACGACGACGTTATTGTCTATGACACTTGATCGTTTATCTTTGTTTCTCACTTGTTGTTTACCATCACACACCTTACGATTCGTCTTGCATTGTGTTTGGATATTGAATTTCAGTTGTTTTCTGACAGTCTCCTCGTCTATCCTTGATATATGTTGAGCTCGAGGATCGCCCTTCTCCTCAGGTGAAGCCAAGTTGTTGGGGATTCCGTCTCGGGCACCACCCCGCCCGTACCAGAGAGTGTCTGTTGGCACTATATCCCCATTATTGGATACCCTGTGAGTGCCCCCTATGACTATCGCGAGGCTCTCGTTCATATCATGGTCTTGTCTTAGGCTCACTTTCTGACTGGCGTTCACAGAGTTTTGCCCCCCGACGATGTACTACACAACGATTCCACTCGTCTCTGAGAGACCTAACAACAGGCGCTGGGATGCCTCAAAATTGCGTGAACTCCGGAAGAGGCTAGATTCTGGTACGATGAGTTGCTGGTGACTTTTTGGATGGCGAGATTGTCGACTTGGCTTCGGACTGGCTGGGCAACATGGTAGGTATCCCCACACCGAGTCCGGTTGCTGTGGCTCGTAAGTCATCGGTGCCATCCCATATGCCATTCACACCGCAGGTGGCGAAATCAATCTGATGCTGAAGTTCTCAGCGAGAAAGGACGGGGACAGGTGCGCGTTTCCATCATGCGTGACGACATCACTTACCTGACTCACCAACGCGCACGGGCGACACGTTCAAGAGATAGAGACAGTAGGTGATTGTTTGGGCCATCCTTTTGCAGGTCAGTGATTAGATTCTGGATGCGGGTCCTGAAAGTAGCTCGATTGACGAGCTCACTGTCCCAGAATGAAAAGTGCTAGTTCATTTACGCTAGGATCAGTCACAAGCAGCCCAACAATGACCTTCTCAACCACCGCTTATACAAATCGCCATGGATCTGCTACCGTCACCATTTCATACTTTGGACAATGGGTCAGTGACACATCTCGAGGCAGTGTGATGCCTACGCACGCAATCCCAGCGCATCCCCCTACTCCCGCCTTCCGCGACCAAATATCTTCATCATCCAACGCCGCCACCTCAATCTCCACGGCATTCCCCTTCCAGCTCTTCGCCCCGATGTGCGGTGTTTCTTAGCCACGCCTTCCTCGTGCAGTTTTCGTGGGCGAGAAGCGCTGCACATTTGCTGATTTGCTTCAGTCTTAGAACACTAACAAGTAAACCACTCACCTCATCTTGGGGAGACATCAGTGCTAATTTGATTGTAGATCAGACTGATCAGTGTGTTGGGGAGTTGACGAGATGCCTTCCCTTTTCGGCTTCACGTACTTGATTTTTGATTAGTCTAAATTTATTTCTAATTTATTTTTAACTTCAATTTAAAAATATATTTGAATTTTAAACTGGCTTTAACCCCTTAAATTGACTGAACTACAGTTTATCGAGTCGAGTCGGACCGTAGATTATATAAACCGAAGTCACGTGCTAGCTCGGTTATTTACAGGTCCGGCTACGGGTAAAGCCGGCATTAAGCCGAACTTGCGGCAACACTAACGTCGTCAGCATTGGAACAATCTTGATGGAGTTTGCATGGAAGTATGCGAAATGCCTCAAATCTCGATGATCCAGATACCGTCAGGAGTTTCCACTTTGTTTTCATTTGCTTTGTTACCGCGTTAGCTGACTACGTATTGTTTTGAGTCATGAAATATGCCATGCATCCACTGCTATAGCTACCATCTATATGTACATATGTATTAGGTTCTGTCGTTTTGCGAATATTTACAGGATTGTAATTTGTACGTGGGTGTACCGCGAAATTGTTACAGTCCTTAGATTCTTTCTGACTTGAAGCTTTGAAGCTTGAAGCTTTGGCGGTGTGCCTGTGGGCGATGCTGTCTGAAGATTTGCGCATTGGAATTGGAATGTTTGTCATGAGTGCTGTAGTAAGTATAATCAGGTGTGACAGATGTTGTTTGGTTGATAACTAAGATGAATGCGGCAGTCTGCGTGCTACTGTCTATATGTACATACAAGTACCACGAGCAAGAACTACAAGTGCGGCACAAAATTACTCCACAACACTGTCTTGTATGCGTCAGGAGGAAGATCGCGTAAAGTGGTGAGCATAAGTATGAAAAGGATGAAACGTGCTATGATGTACAATACATTAAGATTAAGCAGGAAGATTACTTTAAACATCACCGAATCAATCCTTGCAGTGATCCATTTATACAGAACCGAGACCACTTGCGAGAGCAATACAGAGTCCGATAGTCATAGTGGTGGCACCATCAGGAAAACCATCCCACTCAAAGTTAGACAAAATTATGCAAAGTTCGATAAAAAGACAAGAATATTACAAACTACAGATAAGTTTGATAATTTCTCGCATTTTACAACAAAGTTACAATGTGCTATCTAACCGTCACAAAAGTATGCCTATCAATGTAAGAATTGACAAAAAAAGTGTCACATTGTTCGAGGACTTCGCTACTGGTCCATTGACAAGGTGCGACAGGTCCAAACTTTGGAATGAGATGAACACTTCGGTGGATGTTTGTAACAGGTATGACACCCGCAACTCTCTCACCCGATTGCACGAAGCGGCTGATTTTGAACATTCCATGGTTCAAATCGGGTGTAAGAGGAAATTGAGCGAACCACTCAACATAGGCGAGATGTTTGGCGGGCTGGATTGTGGTAGGGAACATCATCGGAACAGCATTTCGTGGGATCGAGAATATGACGCGTATCTGACCCACACGGTAACCTGTCGAAAATTTATTATTTGTGACTGCCCATCATCCTCGAGAATCAAAACTGACCTTTGATACCTGCAGAACGGCCAGTCCCATCATTAATCAGCACCATATCAAATCGTGCTGGGATGTCAGTGCCTGTTCGACTGGTGGCCACACGACGAGGCTTGACGTGCACGCTGTCCACTGTGACAAATTGATCACCATGTGCTTGTGCACCAACACATCGCCACTTAATTATGTGATAGACGGGAAGTGTGCGGAATGGAAGGTGGATAGTAGCAGCAAGATCCTCGAGGCGGTGACGAGTGGTAGCTTCTGGATTACGCAGCTGTGTAACATATCTCGCAAGTGCCTCACGAAAGTATGTGGCCCCATACTCTGTGACCAACTTCTGAATCGGGACAGCTTTTGCACTCGGATGCTTCGTTAATGTCTGAACACGGTTGAAAGACAGGCTTGGTGGACGTCGTTGGTGTTGAATGGGATTACCGCGGAGGTGCCACATGACATACTTCTCATGACGAGCGATTTTCTCTTTGCGTTCGAGCCACTGAGTCATTTGCACGAACTCATCTTTGTGGTTTGTCGCACGATATGCGTCTTTGGCCAAGTCAATATGAAGGCGCTCGGTATATTCTGTATTATAATTGTCAGTTGTTCCGAAAGTCTGAATCATCGACACATAGTGGCGGCCTGCATGAAGCTTGGGAAGATTGAAATTGTTTCGGATTTCGAGGTCAACGAAGATCTGCTTGTTGTTGTGAAAAAGATCCAGAGCTTCCACAAGGAGAGTCAATGTTTCGGAACTGTGGCAAGGATACAGTGCAATGTACAGGAAGTCAAGTAGACCTCTGACGGCTCGTATGAGACGGCCCGGTGCAAGATGGTTGGGAAGTCGGATGTCGATGATGATGCCAAGTAGAAAATGGCATATCTGACTATGCTCCGTACCACTGATTCGTGAAAGGCTAGTAATACCTTTCATAAATAGACGGATATGGTGATTTGGGGGGAGCCTTCGACATCTCGCATCGATCTCGACTGCTCCAAACGCATCAGCCAGCCAACCAAGGAGATGCTTGATAAGACCCTGATATAATTGGTGGAGCACATCTGGTGTAATGGCTCGGAAGATATTGGTATAGGGTAGGGGCTCCCAGAACGGATGAATGATAGGCTTAATTCCAGCTTCGTGGCATGCACGTACAAACTCGAGATCTCCATGATCAATTGCAGCCAATGCATCAAGGACGGTGAGCGAAAGTGATTCCGTGTAGCCTGTTAGTGTAGACTACCGATCCGTTTTGAGTGCGAGTATTATAGCTCGTCCCAAGGGGATTGCTACTGAGGGATGTCTTCGCAATAAATGCAAAGGAATCAATCCGACGGGCTTAAGATCTGAGCGGCCGGTGAGCGGTGGGGAATCCGATGTGAGAGGAAGATGTCCGGACGGGAACGATTCTGACGGGACGGGTGTCTAGCGGTGCGGATTTGGTCAAGGTGTCGAGGTAGCAAGGTATCGAGGTGGCAAGGTGTCTAGGTGTCGAGGTCTCGATGTAACGAGCTACCGGAAGTGATCCGAGGAACGGGAAGAGGTCCGTTGCGGTACGGAAGACTAAGGGGACTTGTTGATCACACCAACTTAGACAGTAAATCCAAGGGAGTAAAAGGAAGTGATATTGGTAGAGTACGATGCAACTATTTATCTTAACCCGTGAAAACTCGGGACCCACTTAAGCGACGGTAGTATAGGCGAGGCCGTAGCGCGATAATATGTAAGGGACGGCAAGCGGCCTCATGTATGGGAATGTACATGTAAACAGTCTGCTGTTTGATCAGAGTGATGAAAGGAGAGAAATAACGCACCAATGGGGATGGATGGACATGGATGGACAGGAACGAGGGGCAATTGAGGGAATCCGTCGCGGGTTGCATACCCGTTAGGTGTCCGGGAGGGCGGGAGTCGACGGAATAGGCCGGATGAACATGGACATGAATACCTGACCAGGTGAGCTCCGGATCGTGCATAACTGGTGATTGTGAGGCTGGCGCCAGAATGTTTGGTACATCTGCGGGGGACTCAAATACTGACCGTCCCCGGTCAGTCCTGTGTGCGGAATGGACTTAGCGGTTTTCTTGTCAGAAGGTCACATGACAGTGTGACCGGCTAGTCGGAGCGAAGAAGTGCGGAGTCTTTTGCGGAGTTCGGGTGGATGGTGTGGACGCGTCGACGCGTTGTTCGTCCCTATAAATTCTCCACATCTAATCCTTCCTTTCTTCCTTCCATTCTCCATCATCTTTCCTCATGGCACCTTTCAACTTTGCTTCTGCGTCCGTCGCTACTGTCGATCCCGAAGTTGACAAACTTCAGCGTGATTTCGCGGCCCTCAAGACGCGTTTGGGCGGCGTCGTCGCGTGCATTCCTGATGAGACGGGTGATGCGGTGGAGGATAGGATTCAGTGGTTGTGGCAGTGGAAGGTTTTATCGGTACGTTGCGGTGACTTCTCCTTTCATGACGCGTCGCTAACCTTTGAATAGAGTGATCTATCCGTCTGCTCCACGGCCAGGCTTGCCAAGGGTCTCCCCTTTGATTTTTCTGAGGCGGAGGTGGCCAGCGGTAATACTGCCAACGCGGCCTTCGATCGTTTCACCGCGGAACTGAAGGCCATCGAAGAGAAGAAGGCTCGCCAGGCTACTGAAGAAGCCGCACGCAAGACTGCTGAGGCTGAGGCCGCTAGGTCCGCGGACGTCGAGGAGGAAGAAGCACCCGTTCGTGCTCCGCGACAGGACGGGAAGAGGAAGCGTAGCGAGGCGGTAGTGGAGTCCGATGATGAGGATGTCGCGGACAAGGAGATTGTGGTACAGGTGCGTGCTTGTGTGTTTGTTTCCCCTGCATATTTTGCTGACTTCCTTGTTTAGAGAAAAACACCCGGCATAGCTCCCAAGCATGCGACCCGCTGCGTCAAGTGCGCTCAGACCGACCGCGACTGTTTTGGTTTCCCCAGGGTCGCTTGCAACGGGTGCAAGAAGTTGAAGGTCGGTTGTATCCATTCCAACCGCAAGAAGCGCCGTGTCCAGGCCGCCCCTACCCCTCCTGTCCCCTCCAGCTCTCGTTCCGGTACCATCCGTCGCCCGAAGTCTACCGTTTCACCTCCCATCGTACTTTCCGACTCTGATGGCGACGCCGAGTCCGTTATTTCCAAGGCACCCGCTTCTCCCAAGCACAAGGAGGCTGAGGAGAGTGATGATGAAGAGGAGGATGAAGTCGAAGAAGAAATTTGCGGTGCGGACAAGGAGTTCCCTAGCCTCGCCAACTCTGGACTTGGGGATGAGGAGGTTGCTATCCGGGGTGAGATCCGCCGTCTCCGCGCCAAGGCATACCAAGCCAATGCGCTGATGATGGAGGTCGCTAATGGACTTGATTTGATTGAATACCGCCTTAACCGTCGCCGTACTTAGATGCCCGGTTTATATCACTTGTACTTATAGCTTGTTTGAAGGCCAAAGTAGCCTTAGTGAATGAAGTGTCCGTGTCCGTGTCCGTGTCCGTGTCCGTGTCCATGTCCTGATCCCCATTGAGTGCCTGTGAGATAAGTAATAGTAAATGAGCATGCGCTTGCGATGCGGAAGAAGGTGAATGAAGACGGGTTACTTTGCGGATTCCCGTCCGTCTTGTCTTCTTCGTTGCGCTTCCCTCATCTATGCCTTCCCATGTTCCCGTGATGCGAGTCCGATAACAAAGGGGCGTGGTGCGTACGGCACGCGTGTGAAGTGAAATATAGGTATTTGGTCCGTTATACGCACTGAAAAGAAAGAGGTATTATGAGTCTTGGATATATAGGATCGATCGGGACGGATTATGATGTGGTTTCTTGTGCTGTGAGAGCGTGTCTGCTAAAATGGGTGCGGTTGAGATCGCCGGACGAAACCCGGGGTAAAACGGATACTGAATATGGTACGGAATATGTGTCTGTGCATATATATATGAGTCCAATGGTGGTGCGAAAGTGGTTATTCTTCAATGTTGATATCGAATTCTTCTTCGTCCGGCTCATAACCGTCTTCTGCCGCTAGATTGTCCAATGCTTCATCCGTTATTCCGGTAATGCTTGTGACGGATATTTTTGTCGTGCTGCGAGAAAAATATGGTATTAATCGGAATGCTGCATATCGCAACTTGGACACAGATCCGTCGATCTCTGCAAGGAGATATGAACCGCCTTTAGTCCGTCGAAGGACCACCATAGGACCGAGATATCGCGGCTTCGTCTTTCGACTTAGCTCCTTCTCAACTCTGGTGTTCCGTACCAATACCAGGGTTCCGGACGGGAAGTCGTAATCCTTGATTGAGTTCCGGTACTTTTCCTCGAATCTGCGGATTGACTGATACCTTGATTCGAGTACTTTGTCTTTGATGGCATCTAGGTCTTCTTGTCGTTTCTGTAGTTGGCGGGCGCGCCATGCGATGAGATCTGCGGTAGAGAACTTTTCCTGGTCCGGAAGCGCAACCAGGAAAGTTGCTTCAGCTAAATCAAACGGAAAAACCGGTTCGACTCCATGAACCATAAAATATGGTGACAATCCGGTTGACTCTTGGATAGTTACCCGTTCTGCCCAAAATACCGTATGTGTGACCTGGTACCAGCGGGATTCGTCCCCCTCGCAACTTTTCATGATGGCCTCCCGGACATCAAGATGCCGTCTCTCAACTATACCATTTGCTTGCGAATTGTATGGCGAGATGCGGATAGGGTGGATACCATATCTGTCTGCAAGTGAATCAACTGCTGCACGGAACGCGGGTCCGTTGTCCGTGACGATCTCCGTGACAGGACCCCATCTGCATAGGATGTCTTCGAATATGAAGTCGGCCAGGATCTTTGTCGTTTCTCGGCGGATCATTCTCCATTCCGGGTATCCGGTCAAAGCGCAACGTGCTTGAACTAATCGGTCGAATCCGCCTGCTTTGGGCATCATCATCGTGTCCATGTGTGCTTTCCGGAATATTCCATATGGGATAGGAACGGACGGGGGGATATGCAGTTTGCGGGTCTGTCGGATCTGACATTCGTGACATGTTTTGTTGTACCATTTGATATCGTCAATAATCATGGGCCACCAAAATCGTAAGAGAAGACGGGTCCGGATTGTCAGTATACCTTTGTGTCCGAGATCATCATGGGCTTCTTTGAGGATCCGTAACCGTTTGCCCACCGGGACTACTAGTTGATGCTTGCCGTGGGAGTGCCGTCTCCATAGGTTTCCGTCCATAATGAAGTATCTAGCTGCGGATGTAACAAACACTTCAAAGTCGCGGTCCGTGAGCTGTGCAGGTCTTTCCCGTGTCTCCAGGAAGCGTCTGATTTCGATGATCCGGGCGTCCGTTGCTACTGCGGATTCGGAGCGGGGTATTTCAACCTCATCTGTGGAACTGTCCGCAGAGTCTAAGAATGCTAGAAGGGTTGGGGGACGGGCATCTGTCAGTGGTACGGGTTGCTCATACGGTATGTGTTCAATAAGATTCGCAATGCCGGAAATGCGGTAGGCTCGATCGTTCAGGATTTCCGTGCAAAAGGAGTACAACCGATCTAGCCAATCTTCGTGGTCATCATCCTCATCCGGACCATCTTCCGTGATTGGTCTCCTTGAGAGTCCGTCGACACCGGTATGTTTCGCAGCAGATACATGTACAAGTTTGAAGGAAAATAAGAGTATACCTGCAATCCATCGGTTGATCGTCGCATTCGGTTGGAGGTCCGGGTTGTTGATCATACCCTTGATGTACTTTGCGTCGACCTCAACCGTTAGGTTGGTGACACCAAAGATAAATACGCGGACGGCACGGAGTGCGCGGAATAATCCGTAGAGTTCCAGTTTCGCTTGAGAGTAGCGGCTTTCAACTTCCGTGAGTGATATGGATCCGAACCGGTTTGGATACCGTTTGCCGTCTTCGCCGATTTGGAGCAATATGAAACCGACTGCTACCGATGATGTATCCACTGCAAGGATGACTTCTCGCCCGCATTCGTAATCGATCTGTCGCAATGCGGGGGACTCTAATACCAAGTCCTTCAGGGTCTGCATAGCTGTTTGTTGATCCGGTCCGAATTCGAATGGCGCGTCTTTCTTGGTCAGATTGATGAGTGGCCGTGCGATCTTGGAGAAATTCCGGATAAAGATGCGTAGTACACCGCATGTACCCAGAAATCCTCTGACTTGCGAAACGTTACGTGGTTCCGGCCAATCACGGATTTTCTGGATCTTGGAATCTTCCGGAATGCGACCTTCGAAGGTGCATTTGTGTCCGACGATGATTGCGGTTGGGGCAGCTAAGACGAATTTAGTAGCGGATACGGTCGCTCCAACATTCTCTAATCGTTGCAGAATCCGATTGAGAACTATGCAGTGTTCCCAAATGAAGCGGCGAATGCCGGGGTTGTCTGGGATGGTTTCATACGTGCCGTCAGCACTTTGATACCTTGTCCGAACGGACTTGACGGGTACATCGTCGATGAATGGGGAAGTGAATTCAGGAATCTCGTGCTGCAAAATAAACGCCGTATCTCCTTGGTATACCTGAACCGCATTTGCATGTCCTTGTGGAAGCGTGGTAAGCCGGTGAGGTCCGAGTGGTGTACCGAAGGTAGTAAGATCACGGGATTCTTCGTGGAGTGCGCGCTGATCATATCCTGAATATAAATCCATCATCCCGTAGACAGCATAACCGGCGAAGGATTCTGCTAGATGCTCCACGAATGGCGGAAGCGATGCATCGCGGATGGTTACCGCGTTGAGCGGCTGCAAGTCGTGCACTAGACGTAGCGACTTCCCGTCTTTCTTGACGACGCAGAACCACCGGGAACGGTAGGCTGCGGTAGACGGTTCATATACTCCGGAATCAATCTTTTCCTTGATAATCCTTATGACTTCATTGACAGTTGCCGGCGGAATCGGGATGTTGCGTTGTGACCACGGGACATGCGGAATGGTTGGGATTTTGTAAGGCGGGAAGCACGTTTCATTGAGCCGGCCTCTTTCTGACGCATCCCAAGCAAATGCAAGTTCATGGGTTCGTACGAGCCAACGTATGAGTTTCAATTCTTCCGGCCACAGCCAATTTGCTGGATCGAGGTCGAGCTTGTGAGCGCGTTCTTGGGTGAAGCGGATACCTGGGACGAGTTCGGGAGGGTGAGTAGGTAGTTCTGGCAGCCCGGCCAACGGATCATCTGGTAGGTGGCGGACAACGCGATATCCTGCCGGCATGGAAGTTTGAATGGTCCGTACTTTCTTCGCAACCGGCTTGTAGGTCAACATGTGCCGAGATGGATCATAGCTGTAAACTGAATTGAACGCATTAGTATTGTCCGGGTTATTAGGGGAGCGGGTAGAGACTAGGTAGGTATACTGCGCCGAGAATAGCGCTTCAGAATAGGGTAAAGAGTGACCGTTGCTCCGTGAGAGCGGGTTGTGCGCGGATAGCGCGAGACGGGTTATCTGAGGATGTAGGTACATTGGAGACTGAGTGAGAGAAATTGTTTGTTGTCCGTCGTAATCTCCTTGCATGCATTGCGGATCATCGACTACTAAAAACCCTTCCGCTTCGGATGTTCCTTGCATTCGATGTTATGTCTGCAACCGATACATTTCTTGACCCAAGGTTCTGTTGGTATCCAAATTTCCTTGCCGGAGTTGGGGTCCATCAGCGTGATGTCCTGGTCTCCGTTAGGAAGGTCTTCCGTGCGGCAACTAGTTAGCGTGAAGAATGGGCGTCCGAGTAACAGTTCGAAACTAGCCACTTGCGCGACCTGGATCTGGAACCACATTTGTCCGATGCCGAAGTCCAATGACAGGTTTTCTATGACTCCGAGTGTCGAGTCCCTAGAGGTGTTAACGGATTCCATTGTTAGCTTGTGGTCCGAGCGTAACGGAACCCCCAATCCTTTCCATACTTCCCTGGGCATGACAATGCATTCTGCTCCTTGGTCGAGGACGCAAGTGATTACCTTGCCACTTGCCAGGGTAGCTTTGATACATCGTAAGCTTTCGAAATGGTCCGCTACTATTCGTCCATCATCCGCTCGTGTCAGGCAATCATCATACTTCTGAAGCCAATGTCCTATATCCGGAGCTGCGGACAACTCGTTGACGGATACGAGTGCATCTGTGACCCGTTTGGTGGTGGTCATTTCGTGAAATACTTTCCGTACGTCCGGTGATACCGCAATGAGTTCCCGAACTGGTAGGCTGATACTAGCATCCAACATTCGATTTACGACACGTTTGTCCGCATCTTTGTCTTCAAGCGGAAAGGCGAATCTAGAGGGTTTAGTAGGAGGGATGGCATTAATGGCTGGTTTCGCGGATGATGATGTGGCAGGGCTCGCTACTGTGGCAGCGGGTTTGATGATAGCGCCCGGATTAGGTCCCGTGCTTGCAACGGCCTCTTTTACCTGTGGAGAACGGATTTCCTCTACTGGTACCGCCTTGGATGATGATCCCGGCGCGGTCCGCGATGGGGCGGGGGCTTGTATACCGTCAAAACGAACATTCTTACCCTTGGACTTAGTCCGTTCGGCGCGGGTGTTAGCGAACGCTTGGCATGCTTCGTACGCTGCTTGCTGCAATCTCTGGAGTTCTTCATCATCCTCCTCTTCTTCCTCCGGCATCCGTGTGTGAAGGTAGGCGGATGCGTCGATGTCTTCCTCGATCTCGATTTGTGGTTGCGCGCGACAGTACAAACCTGCAATCACCGTGGCATTTGCACCCGTTGCCGGACTCGATTGTATGGCTTGATCGATTCTTTCTTTGAAGGTGCCGTGCTCCCTATATCCTGGAATACCGGATCCATCAGGCATGTATATCCGCCCTTGGTCTTCTACGATCTTTCCGTCACGGATATATTCCGCCTTTGTCCTACAGAAGCGGAAGAAATGGGTTGTTGCCCCACAGAAGTGGCATGGTAGTGGCGGCTGACTGGCTATGAACTCCTTCTTGACGACTATACCTGGGGCCATTTGCGAACTTGGGGCGGCTTGTGTCCTGGGCGGTCAAATTCGTATGGTTCGTCGGGATGGTTGTCAACCAACAGAATGCTCAACCGATGGCGGATTTTTGCATTGATGTCCGCCGGGAATCCGTCCAGGAACATGCGGTTGCGTTCTTGTTCCGCAAGTTTCTTCTTGCTGATGAGAAATTTGGATACCTTGAAGAAGCTCCGGTAGTACGTGCCAAGCTCGACTTGAGAGCTCATGGGGCTGTGTGCCTGCTCATCGGAAATCTTCTGTAAGTCAGCTCGAGTGAATCGTCTGTCACCTTCACATCCGGGGTACAGCGCTTTGAGTGCCGTGACAAATTTGTCCCAGTCCGTCTGTCCTGCCTCGGCTTCATCTAATATCTCCCATGTTTCCGCTTCATCTGCAGGTGCATACCGGATTGCCGCCTTGATGCGGGCTTCACCGGTTACTTGGCCGTGATCACATATCAGGTTGACGTCCTCGATGAATGCAAGGAGCTTTCCGGGGGTGCCGTCGAATTTGGGTGCGGCGTCGGTTCCCCTCAACGGCATTCTGAAGACGTTAGTTGACATCTTTGTGAGCGGAATGATAGGAGGTATAATCGGAGCGGGTGGTTGGAAGGGTGTAACTGGTAAGGGTATAGGGGGCGGAAGAAACTGGTAAGGCGCGGATACCCTTTTTGGGGACGGTGCGGAAGATGGGAGTGCTTCTAAGCGGGTGCGAGGGGACGGAAGTAGTAAGGTGTTCGAAGGTATATCGGGGATGGGGAGCGTGGGAGTGTGAATACGGGTAGGGTTAGAACTAAGGGATGACTCGGTAGAGGGAGTGTCTATAGAAATGAGCGGGCGGTTAGGGAAACTAAATGATCCGGGAAGTCTCGGGTATTCAACAGTGTCTCTTTCTTCTTCTTCCGGTGCGGATAACGAGTCCGGGGTCAGGTGTAATGGTTCTTCGTCGGTATCTTCTTCTACGTATGAGTCAGCCGGAACGAAGAAATCTTCTTGAGATAGCTGGATGGATTGAAGATCTTGTTTTGCGCGACGCGCGGTAGTGAGCCTAAGCGATCTGCCGGCGGTGTCAGATGATCCCCTCGCGGTGGGCTCCAGTTGAGCGAAAGTGATTCCGTGTAGCCTGTTAGTGTAGACTACCGATCCGTTTTGAGTGCGAGTATTATAGCTCGTCCCAAGGGGATTGCTACTGAGGGATGTCTTCGCAATAAATGCAAAGGAATCAATCCGACGGGCTTAAGATCTGAGCGGCCGGTGAGCGGTGGGGAATCCGATGTGAGAGGAAGATGTCCGGACGGGAACGATTCTGACGGGACGGGTGTCTAGCGGTGCGGATTTGGTCAAGGTGTCGAGGTAGCAAGGTATCGAGGTGGCAAGGTGTCTAGGTGTCGAGGTCTCGATGTAACGAGCTACCGGAAGTGATCCGAGGAACGGGAAGAGGTCCGTTGCGGTACGGAAGACTAAGGGGACTTGTTGATCACACCAACTTAGACAGTAAATCCAAGGGAGTAAAAGGAAGTGATATTGGTAGAGTACGATGCAACTATTTATCTTAACCCGTGAAAACTCGGGACCCACTTAAGCGACGGTAGTATAGGCGAGGCCGTAGCGCGATAATATGTAAGGGACGGCAAGCGGCCTCATGTATGGGAATGTACATGTAAACAGTCTGCTGTTTGATCAGAGTGATGAAAGGAGAGAAATAACGCACCAATGGGGATGGATGGACATGGATGGACAGGAACGAGGGGCAATTGAGGGAATCCGTCGCGGGTTGCATACCCGTTAGGTGTCCGGGAGGGCGGGAGTCGACGGAATAGGCCGGATGAACATGGACATGAATACCTGACCAGGTGAGCTCCGGATCGTGCATAACTGGTGATTGTGAGGCTGGCGCCAGAATGTTTGGTACAACGGTATCGATGTTACGCATCTCAAAAGGTGTGGTGTTGCTTCCAAGTTGATTTGATGGTATGTCACATTTGGGACATTCCGTGGCTTTGACTCCTGCAGCCAAGACTTGCTCAGGATAATCACCGACGAAGCAAGAAAACAAGGGATGACCACGACGCAGGACACCATCTCCACTTTTCATGACAATACCATCCAAGCCAGCTTCCTTCAGTGGTGCCAAGATACGGCCCATGCAGGCGTGATATAGGTTTGCGATGGTTCGGCGACGCGAAGCCTTGTTGGTGATGTGCTCGAGACGGGTAGTAGGAAGATAAGCGAGAAGAATATGGGCACGGTGAGATGGCTTTCGGCGAATTTCCTTCGGAATATTGCCAATAGTAAGGTAGACTGGGTAGGCTGTTTTATTCCGGAACATTGTTACCTGAGTCTTGTCACTTGAAATAATAATCGGAATGATGGTTGCACCTGGTTCGCGCTGATCAAGCTTTTTCTATTCAATATGCCAGTTAGTTTTGATGGGTGAAAGTATTCACAACACAGACTTACCTGGGTATCCCACCACCATTTACCAGTATGCATATCATGGAACAAACAGACAGTTTAGCCTGTGGAATGGGCTGCCCTGCTCGAGCATCAGGGTATCGCACAATAGTGATTCCATCTTCCTGAAGCACACGTTGCTCAATCTGCTGACGCAAATCACGGTCATTGCTATTCATCTCTGTGCTGTCTTCTTCGGCAGTTTTGAACTGGTCCTCTAAATCCCTTCCAGTTATGAGGGGTTCCCATTCGGCATCATTGAGGCCAGGCACTATATCATCCTCGGAGTCTGAGCTGTCACTACTCTCACTGCTGTGAGCATAGCGTTCCATTTCATCGGGCCATTGGATTTCATCTTCCTCGTAAGTACCAAAAGCGTCTCCTTTGAACTCAGGTAGTTGATCATCAGCTTCGATCTCCGCAGGATCATCTGAAGGAGTTGGCACTGGAGAGTAGACTTTTGAGCGTGATGCAGCAAGCACAGCCATGCAGCATTGATTCTTGGTTTTAGCTAAGTGTTGACTTAGGCCAGTGGCTGAAAAAGTCGTGTAACATCCTGTGCATTGGACCATAATGGTACCATGGCCCACTGGGGGAACATTTACTATCCCCTCTATGTCATTTTTCAGGCTCCGATGGGCCGGATATCAATTATATATTGCCAAGTTCCAGGTAAGGTTCACACCATAAGATGGACATTGACAGCTCACCACTCTCGTCTCCTGTACAATCAAATAGTCCCCCTTCATCCCCTGCTCGAATGAGCAGTCCCACAATTCCGTCATCTCCTGACTGCTCGAGTCCGACTCTCTGTAATTCAAGCCAAAGATCAGGCTCTTCAATCACGATGAACACAGAGCTATATGCCCTGTATCTTAGCATCTCAGAGGATGTAAAATTCACACCTTCTGAAGTGAAAGAGAGCTCATTCATTACACATGACAAACCATTAAAGTCTCGAATGTCAAGAAAGCATCTTCCATACCCCCCCAACCCAGCTCCATTGGAGCTTCGTTATGCAGCTCGGATGATGAAGTCCAAATTCCAACCGGAATTGTCATTGGAAGCAACACAGAAGGTATGTAATATTTACTTCTTGACACCACTAACTCATTGACGTGGTCCAAAAGTTTCAAGAACAGTTGGAGAGCGGCCTCTCCCAAATGACGACTCCAACCTCGTACAAAGGATACAAGGCCAAGCTCGCAAGTCGCGAGGTTGCGCGCCAACGCATGGTGCTGGCGACGTGGGAAATTGACGAGGCCATGCAGTATGAACAATTCCTCATTGCCATCTATGGTGAAAACGAATGACAGTTCAAGATGGTGGAGGGGGGATTACATGCCTTTAGGAGGATTTTTTCGCAACGTGGGCAGGCAGAGCTTGAGGATGATAAACAATATCTTCAAGCTGTCTATGAGGACGAATGCGAGATCCTCCGCGTTGCTAGTGCCCAAACTGACCAGGTTGCAACACTCCTCAGTTCGCGTGTTAAACAGGCATTTTTGAAATCCGCTGCAGCATTTCCTCTTTACCCTCACGGTGGACTCTCCTGCATCGGCACTAGGGAACCCTCTGAACACTCAGATCCAGACTTGTCTGATGAATCTGAGCCAGACCTACCTCCAGACGATTCGGACCATGACTCCGAAGATTCATACGAAGTTGCAGGCTCTAAGGACTGATAGCCGCACTTCCAGCGGTATGGGAAATCCTTGTTTCGAGTATTACCAAACTCATCACAAGTTGCAGGCTCCCCTTTACAACTCTGATCACACTTCTATGCTTATGTTCAATATACGTTTCTCATATTGATATGCAAGTATTTCTTGTGATATTGTGATTCGTGAATCTGTCTGTACATGCGTTTATAATGTAGTAGAAACTTGTCAAATGCACCCAATGTTGTGTTATTACATTCTTCTTCCTCTTACAATCTGAAACGAGAAGTATACAATATCTATAATTGCAATATTATACACATTAATTGGTATATGGAAAGCTCGGTTGATTTTTGCCATAAATGTCATCATTTCAACATTCCATAAATGTCGTCATTCGAACATTCCATAAATGTCATCATTCAAACGCTCCATATATGTAGTCGTTTGAACAGTCCGTATATGTCAGTTCCAGCCCATCTGTAGCTATGTTCGTAAACGCCGCTTTCCTGCCCGTAGACTCGAGGCTGATGATCTTCAAATCAATTTGTAATCAGCTTACAGGTAGACATGTTCAAATGTGAACGCCCCAGTTTAATCAACTAAACGATATGCTCATCGTGTTTCAATTCAGTTTTCACCTCATTCCCCATCTGTCACTGTACGTGAAAAACTCGCGCTCAGTCTTACCATAGCTACTGATAGCAGCACATTGCCCTTCTTGTGATTAGGAACGCTAAGTATCAGATCGCGATTTTATGACTATCCCACTGACTCGGTTCTGTTCAGTCGTTCATTATGTATGAGTATGAGTATTCTACGTGTTTCTGGCGTGTGATGCCAGCTCTCTCGCCACGATCTCCATCTCCTTTGTCCCTACTGCCAGGATTTTTTCGCAGCGAAGTATGCAGGCGCGGGATAACGACGAATACTCATACTTCCCTGGCCAACCTCAAGACGGGATGTTCTCATTTGCAGACTATGGTGAAGACGCAGATAGAAATACGAGTACAAACGGTAAGTACTCAAGCCAATGGTACACCAATCGCTCGCTGACAGATCAAGCAGATGATGACAAGTCCCCGCTTTCCAGGTTTCTCCGCATGACTGACCCACAATATGCGATGCCGACTAGTAGTCATGAGAACTGCATTTCTCTGGCTCTCGGTACTGGTCAATATGGGGCAAAGCGTTTCCAGTATGTAGTACTGTGGTAGGAAAAGGCTAATTTGCCCAGTTCTAAATTTATCTATAGCCGATTCTGGCTGCAAATTTAATCGCGTTCAGATGACTTCTTGTTACAATAAACATGCAGCTATCAAACATTTCATTGAAAGTGCGGAACTCAACATAAGAGACTCGGAGAAACTAATGCGGGAAGCAAACAGCGCAATTATGCTCGGCTAGTTGTATGGTGCAGAAACATTCTGCGTCACCCGGCACCTGTATGATGATGTAATTGAAGTTGAGCGCCGGACTAATCCAAAAGGGACGCCCAAAAACAATGCTCGTTTTGGAACCTATGTGAGTTGGTTTTTCTCAGTGGCGATCACACCATCCCTGCAAGATACACGTATATATTAGTACTGAAGCTGGTGGGATGTAATTAGCTACCCCCGTTACATTATTTACAACTTCAAATTCTACTATCCACTTGTTTACCATACCCTTCAGGTCAGCATGTCACCCAGCAGTGATACAGGTTCTGGTCGGCCCGCCAGGAGTAAGTACTTACCACTATAACGAATTCAAACAAATGCGAATTCCTGTTACTGCAACAGATGAACGAGGTGCAAAAAAAAACGCTATGGAGAATGCAGGTCAGTACATGATTGAACCGGTTGAAATTTGAGCAACACTTACTGGATATTGCACTAGTCTGGATGACTACAAAAGCACAGTGTCAGCGCCACGCTGCAGACAAGCCCACCGTGACGAAGAAAACATTTGTGCAAGGGAAAACTCACGTGTCTGATGCCAAGCATGGCCGCTGCGATAGTAGTCGTACCCCTGACTCTGAGATCCCAGGGCTTGCACCTAGAAAGCGTCAAGGTGAGTGTCCGAACCGAGTTCAGGATCTTAGTACTACATTTACATGGGATCGTGCCAGTACATAGTTGTGGAAACATCCAAAGGAGAAGCACATACCAAGAAGCGCCGAGGTGAGCACTGATCTGGGACTGATTTCATGATGACTAATCTATGCGGGCCGGGTACAGTTGCTGAACCGCACGCAGATTCCGATGTCGATATGGATGTCAATGACGACGAAGGCCGCATGAGCGCCGTCAAGCACACGCAAATGAAAGGTCAGCTTTAACATAACAGTGTCTAGGTTCAGCAACTTCACAGGTGTGGCAGGAAAAGAAAAGGAACTACGGTCAAGCTCGAATTCCCAACAGACGACTCGGAATCAGATAATCAACGATGGATTTTTATCAGACGAGCACATCGACGGTATCTCTGATTTTCAACCTAGTCACAACGACTCCGAGTCGGAGAAGGACAGCGACGAGGAGGAAATCGAAGACGACTCAGAGGAACCCAAGTCCTTATCAGCCAAAGTAAGTAACATTGTTCGTACTAGTAACTGATTTTACCTTCAATTGGTTTCCCTCAGACACCGGTGTTTGTTTCGGGGTCGAAGGCCAAACAGCCTGGCCTCCCTTTGACTCAACCAACCTGCCCTCGTACAACTACCTCAAAGGAGCGGACGCGGACGGCTGAACCATTCCCCTTTTCGTCGGCTCAACCAAGGGCTACCAAGGTTAGTTGACTTGGATATTTACCTCCATGTTTAAATGTCAATATTCCTCAGAAAACAAAATCGCAGTCTGCGCGCAATCAAAAACGAGCAAATGAGGTGAGTGAAAGAACTCTCACAGTGATTTTTGTGTTCAAACGATGTTATGGACTCTCTAGACACCTGTTTGGGCAGATGTTCCCGCCATTGTGTCAGATGGGGAACGTGGGACCGCCTTTTCATCGGCTCAACCAAGGGCTACCAAGGTTAGTTGACTTGGATGTTTACCTCCATGTTTAAATGACAATGTAACAACCCCTCAGAAAACAAAATCCCAGTCTGCGCGCGATCAAAAGCGAGCAAATGAGGTGAGTGAAAGTTCTCTCGCAGTGATTTTGGTGTTCAAATGATGTTATGGATCCTCTGCAGACACCTGATTGGGCAGATGCTCCCGCCGTCACGTCAGATGAGGAACATGAGGCCGCCATGGTATCAGACCACCACAGTGACGCCGAGGAGGACGACTCAGATGGTCATGCTGATCGCTCTGGAAGGCCCACACTCATATGGACGGACACTGGTAAGTTGAAGCTGACGGACCAAGATATTGATACCCGTCGTGTGGTCCAAAGAGCGATATTGGAGGCAAAACTTCACATGACATTTGCCAATGGCTATCCGGAGCTCACTGAGAAGAGCCTGTTTACACGGGATGCACTCTTAACAGCAGCTCGCGCCTGCGGTGTCCCGCCCATCCAGGATCGCCTCAAGACTGATGACTCATATGTGACAGCTCTCGCCACGCTAGTATGCTCAAGAGTTGGACTCGTTGCAATATTACTAATAGGTTGAACCTCGCATACAGATTGAAGCCCGAGTGCCACTGTTCCACACCGAATTAAAAGACGACGCTTGTGCTCAAGTGACATCATATTATCATCTTGGCCCTGATTGTGTCGACACTGCAAAGGCTTTGCTGGTCAACCACGTTTACCATTATGAACAGCATTTCAGTGTAGGTTGCTATGTTCTGGGTTACATGTATTGATTTGCTCAACACTGCGCATGCTCTCCAGGAGAAGAACGACCCCATTCCACAGCCAAAAAAGCCATACTTCGCTGATATCTTACCATATCTGATGAAGGGGCGCTATTTCAATGGGCCAAAGTCAGTCGGCGTGAAATTTTCAGACCGTTTCAAGAAGATTGCGCGCAACAAGGCCGAGCGGCCCGAAGTTACAATTCCAATGGTTGCCTTAACCAGCACTTCGGTATATTTATTGACATACTCTGAGTCCGAGTCCATGTACTAACAATGGGTGCATAGGTGTATGCCGCACTGTTCTGGAAGGCTAATGGATCCCCATCTAAGTTCAATTTTATGGGAAATCTATTCAGCGAGGTTTACTTTTTTCATGTGAGATTTCTTGAAGACATGAAGGTGACGGCGCCGCACAAGTTTCACAAGATGATGGCTGACATTTTCGAGGCTGTCCAGTGAGTCCATTTCCGTGCTGTGCTAACTCATCTGTCCGAGTCTCACATCTCACAAGGAAACTCTGCACCCATGGCAACATTGCTTTAGTAGGATCACACGAGTCTGCGATGGCCTTCCTCGATATTGCTGGCATGGATGACGAAGAGTAGATTTCTATGCTGCAGTCTCGCTTTACATAATCACATTCAATATATCGTCACATATTGTTTTAAACGCTCCTTTATTGTCTCGTATTCTACAAAGCTATGCTGATATACCCCTCTTTTAATGAAAACTTAATTTGTTCTTGTAAAATGTTTGAATGAAATTAATGAAATCCTGAACAAACTGTCAGAATAAGATCCTTGAAAACTCATTGTAAGTTTGTGAATTTGTTCAAAATTATCACTAAATTAGTGCGCACGATGAAGATCTGGTGGGGCAGTAAAAAAGGTTCTCTAATCCGCTAAGTTGTCTATTTTTGTGAAATTATAATGAATTAGAGAAATCTTTCTTAAACTTGACATATTTAGTCTAGGTTTGTATGAGAGGGTTTTCCTGATGACTCGTCTGCCATAAGAGCTGCTCTTCATATGTGGGGAAGACATAAAACCAAGCGGCACAGTGGATTGCGCTAAAAATGATTCCCGTCGCGTACCCAGCGAGAGTCAGAGCCTTGCTTTCCCGGGAGTTTAGTTCAACGGGGCAGACGCCATCAAACGTTGCAACTCGTAGCTTTGAAGAAGACGTGGCATCAATGCCAAAGAATTTTACAAATGTGTCCATGGCTGAAATAATCGTGGTATGCAAAGGCATCGAATCATTGTTTTTAGGGACACTAAGAGGGACATAGTCAGCAACGGTAGAATTGATTGAGGCGCAAACGTACACATAGACCTCTGGCTTGGATTCGGTCGACTTCCAGTAGACTGGATGAGGACATTTTACATCCAGAGGTTTATTCCACCACAGAGCATAGGTGACGAAGTTGAGAACCGCAAAAGCAAGGGTCCCCACCTCAAACTGTGTGGTCTCGAGGTGATAGATGGCGCGGGAGAGGAGCTGCAAAACAAACCAAGACACCTGAATGAGGATCAACCCCTTTGATACCACATTCCCTTTGCTCCGGTCGCGGATCTGCTTTGCTGTGAGGGTTGGGCCACAGATGGATCTAGTACGTATCAGGTTGAGCAGGTGGTCGGGCGATAGTGTTTGGAAGGGTTCCCCGTCCACATAAAGCATGAAACCGCCCATCAGCACAAAGAAGCTGTGAGTCTGAGTCCATCTGTAATCTAAGGACGTACGTAAGAGATTTAGTTGGAGAGAGTACGAGTCAAGCATGCCTTGAGATTGTTCTGAAACATCAACCCCAAAGTTCTCCTTCAATGGCTTCGCACGAGTATGAGTTCCTTCATATCCTAAATTGGAGTGCTATGAACTGCCGGTTCGGAAGAAAGACTAGTGCGGATGGTTCACCTTCAGCGTACTTTACGAGAGTATGGGTGCCAGCGTGATCTTAAGAGATAAGCAAGCCATAAGGACCCATATTCAGGATGCAAGATCGAAGGTCGAGTTCACCTTCGTGTTGCTCTGCAGGTGCTTCTACACGCTCATCAATATTGACTAAAAAAGTACCTACTCAGTCGTACGAAGAAACTGTTCAGAGTGTAGGACTCACTTTCGGACCAATCTTTGGGATTATGAATACTGAAATGATCCTGAAACTGTGTTGTGATATGCTGAGTCCAGAGCCTCTGGCGCAGAGCCCATGCAATGATCACATCGGGAGCGGCCAGTGCGACCAGCATGATGACAAACCGTCGCCATAGAATATGAAAGGAGCTATCATTAGGACTCGGAATATTGGGATGGATAGCACCATATGTGCATGCAAGAATAGTCAGAGTACAGGTAGAGACAATGCTCCACAGAGTTCTCTGCTCCAAGGATGATCCCGCTTCGAAACTATCATTGATAGTAATTGAATTAGTGGTAGGTGCGGCTCGGATCACTCGAACGAGGTAGAGAATGCAGAGAAGTGAGTGCATCCCGGATACTTTGAGGAGGGGGTTGTATCTCAAACGTCTATCCGTTCACTGCTCACCATTAATATTTCGCCAATCGAATAGATAACGTCACCTCACAAGACCCACCCTGACACTATAGTGGCATCATGATTGCCTCGTGTCTGCGGTTTGGCAAGTATTTGCGTCGCCGCCATGTGCGCGCTCCACTTCAGCTCCTTTCATTTTCCACTCTCCGCATGCATATGCGCGCTCCACCTCAGTGTGAGGGCTGCCTTGAGTTCGATAGGGAATTGTTCAAATCGTTTAGACTTCAAACGGAGCGGCGGTAGCTTTGGTAGAGCGAGATAATGACAGAAGGCTTAGAAGAAGACGACTAGAGCATCACGCGCCCCCGGAGGGTCGCACTTCTGGGGGGCATATGGAGCGGAGCGACTTATCGGGGTTCGGACGGATCAGGTTTGGGAGATAGCAAGGGAAGCAGCACTTAGATCATCATCATCGACAGCGGCGGTTTCCTCAGTCCTCTCCAGACCACAGTACTGACCAGTCCAGCGTCCTATCCAACAGGCGCGAGCCGGAGTTACTAATCCTGTACATAACTTTGGTATTGTTGACAAGCACGTCTGCAAGGCTATGATGATTCTACTTCCTAGTAGCAGACAAAGTTCTCTAGTTTCTGTGTTTAGATCCGTTTAGCTTGATCATTATGCGAGGAGGATACATTCGCATGTTCATCTCCTGGCTGAGGCTTACTGTCAAGACAAACACATTTAGGTCCTGCAGAAGCAGGGGCTTGTTCTTGCTAAGTTTCGAGATTTTTGTTTGTTTCGTATGAACACCAAGCAATCGGCGGAGGAGGAACAAACTGATTTCAAGCTCTCATTTTTATAAGTATAGACTTTCGGGAGCTTACCAACGCTTGATCCCGCCCCCAGGCCTTCGTGTACTATATGGATTCCCAGTAGTGCGACACTGTGTGGTATCTGCGCCTGGGCCCACCCAGTTCGCACAGCACCCCAGTGCTTCAATTTGAGGTAAGTACTAGGTCACTGCAGGGCATCCCCTCTTTCAAAGTCGAACCGAGACCACTTGATGAAGTATAGCCGCTTGACAATGTGTCCATAGCCCCTCCAGATCTACGGTGAGCATCCTGTCCTTTCCCAATCATTTTTTTACTAAGAAAGCCCATAGAGAACTAGCTCTATACAGTCTGCTAGCTCACAATGGCTCTGACACTACAGGACTTCTCAACCTCCAGTAGCAGATATCGTTCCACTGCTTGATTACCCCAAACTTCGCCTTTGCCGCCACCAAAGTCCTTATTCCACTTCCAATGGTCGAGCATCCGATCAAGGCTTCACGTGTCATGCCATCAACCATACTGCACCGACGTGAAAGCAGAGACACGACTCACTGCCACGCTAGTAGCAAAATATCCAGTCCTTCCACGCCGATAAGTCATGCGGTTACATCCAGGACGCGACTACTGATACTCACGCATATTCCGGCAGGGCAGCCTGAACAGGTTGAATCCTTTGAGCAAAAAGTAGGACATCCGTCACTGGCAGCGTCGTTGGCAGATGTTGATAATATCAAAGCAGCAACAACAGCGAAAACAAAGGAGAGACGCATTGTTTGAGAGGATGTGATGTTGGGTCTGAGGGGGACAGTAGGAAAATATTTTCCTTTTATACGCTGAATATTGTTCCACCTGAAGACCCACAAATTGTTTCGAACAGATGCATATCTGAAATTCCAGCAGATTGCCACCTAACTTCTACTTTACCTTGCCACTGGCAGTGTGAAGCAAATATATATATTGGCAACCTGGCGTGGAACAAAGTATCACTTCGTGACGCGGGGTTCAAAATGCCAGCTCGCAACATCCCTTTTGAACAAATAATATCTGCCAAATGGGTCGAGAACGGCATACATCAGCTAGGTGGACAGCAGATGATCATTTATTCAAGGGAGGGCTCGCTGCGGGTATGGAACTTAATGGAAAACAGATAGGAGACGACTGAAGGGACGGAGTACGGACCGCAGCGATGTCTCCGGACAGAAAGGTAGTGGTTGGCGGGAGTGAAGATAGTGGGCTGAAATTGTGAGACATCAACATATATGCAAAGTCATCGGGAGATGGATAGACATACAGATATGGTGAATTATTAATTAGGTCTGCTGGAGACAATCATCGCACCAATCAAGACCGGGCACGAATACATACACGCAGGCGTTTACTCGCCGGACACGACCATGATTGTGACTTGTAGATACAGATTATGCGAGCCTTTGACTGCTGAATATTTTTTTTCTATGGTGCTGGATTTGTTCAACTATCTTTACACAGTCAGCATCAGCAAAAGTGGCGGAAGCTGACACTGCAGGGCCTCGGCAGATACCGTAAGCCTGGCGTAGGGTCCCAAATTGCCAATGTAGCTACAGGTGGCGTCGCATCAGGCATTGCAAGGCTTACAGTTGCCGGCCCAATGTACTAGTACTGTTATGACTTTTGAATAAGCGATTTCCCCCGTTCCACCACAACCAAGGTTCGCCACATGAGCAGGATTCATCCAGCATTTGCTCTATCTCACCATTTATAACCCGACTTTACGTCCCAATGAAGAGGTGTCCAAAGACGACGAGGATGCAGAAGAGCAAGCACAGATCCTGTTCTACACTTCGCAGGAACGCGCTGCTTCGCGCGACAAGATGCTAAGGCATTGTTGATATAGTCCCAAGTTATTCATCAAGGGAACCCCATGGTCTCTGAGTGAGGGTCTCTGCACTCCATGCGCTCGCACTTAAGCCCCTACTCTGCACGTTCATATTCAGGCTCAGCACCTGCACCATCTGCTCGCGTTTTCAATCTCTCAAGGTCCAATTCCTCTCGTCCTTCTGCAAATTCTGCTCACTCATGCGTAGTGACCACGTCATCTGCATCCCTGAACTCTGGTCGACCGCTGGGTACTGACCCGCTTACGCGAACACTTTCAACAATGTATGTTTGATTTATCGACAACCTCTTGCATGTAATTCATGTGAATTTCGTGTAGCCCACTGCCAATGCACAGGGTGCTATCGTTGCTTCTATGCCCGCTGGGTCCCTCGTCGGAGCCCTTTCTGTCACCTACCTTGGTGACAAGCTTGGGCGTAAAAAGACGATCATCCTTGGTGGTCTTTTCTGGGCCATTGGCTCTATTCTCCAGTGAGCGTCGGTCGTGAGTGTATCATCCTATCATAACATCGTTTCGCTGTTAAGATGCCGCTTTAGAACCGTGGCATGCTCGTGGTTGGCCGTGTCATATCTGGTTACTCCGTCGGCATATCTTCTACCGTTGTCCCTGTCTATCAATCCGAGATTGCTGCACCTGCTATCCGTGGTCGCCTGATTTCCTTCCAACAATGGTCTATCACTTGGGGTATCTTGCTTCAGTAATTTGTTCAGTTCGGTTGTTCGTACATGAACGGCGCTGCTTCATTCCGTATCCCATGGGGTCTCCAGATGATCCCCGCTATTGTTCTTTCTCTCGGTATGCTCGTTTTCCCCGAATCTCCCCGTTGGCTAGGTCAAACCCGCCAAGGCGCTCGTCAATTCTTCTGAGTAGGAGTCCCAGGTTTTCCTCCTCGTGCAAAAATGCTTACTATCCAGCAGGATATTCCATCCGACCGACTCTTACCACAATGTACATTCTCAGTCGAGAAGGATGACGATACTCAAACCCGAACGCGACTTCTGGATTCACGCAGTACGCTGACTCTCGATATGTTGTAGCCCTCTTATCCTAGTTTTGCTAGGCGGTAGAGCTTGCAAAACACCGCAGACGCTTGTGCCTAAGTTGAATAAGGGCAAGGGCAAGGGTAATGGAAAGGACAAAGAGAAAGAGCAAGCAAGTGCTCTGCTACCCTCTTACGACTATCACGACGGCTCGCTTCACGATTATGCACTTCATGCGGACTTCCTCCGGGGATACGAGCAATTCAAACTCACGCACGGGTCTTTCACCTCGATTTTACATTTCCTCGGGCAAGAAGCATCAGAATTTCAGCTAGAACGGTTATTCACTGTATGGGAATGGTCCTGGGATTTAAGCAAGAGTTTTGAGTTGAGCAGTGTCCTAGGTGCGTTGTACGTTCGGACTTCGCGCGTCTATAGCTGATTTGGTCTAGGATTGTCGCTTCACACCTTATACACTCTATTCTACCTCTATTGGATACCTTTTCGTCATAGTTACGAGCTGGACTGGACGCGTTGTTTCTTTCTCCTTCTCACGTAGTTCCGTCTACCAAACACTGACAATCTAATCATCCGCCCGCACTCTCGCGACACCTTCTCTCTCTGATTCCACCTCATTTACCACAGCATAACGCAGATGATCACCCTCTTCACCCACTGAGAAGGGTGCGACTGCAAACGAAAGCTCCACTATCGTCTGTCTTCCTTTGATGTTTGTCGTGCCTCGACTAATAAACCCGCTGTTAGTTCATTCATTTCCCGTTGTTCACGGCAATATTGCCAGCGTGAGTTCATCTTCTTCGTGTTCAGTTGCGCTTGCTAAATAACCCAGTCCAACGTCTTGGTACACATCAAGGACGTAGAATATAAGGCTTGCCTGACGGACTTCGGTTTGTTGAATGCCCTCGGTGGACTTCTAAAGAACAGTGTGGTCGAAGGATCAACTATTCGGCCTGGTGCAACCAGCTGGACTGCGCTGGAGTTGCTCAGGCCACATGATCCCCCTTCAAATGTCAAACCGACTGTGCAGAACGACATGTATTCCTTTGGTCGTGTCATGTTTCACGTAAGCATTTGTCCACTGCACCCTACTTGCTAATGTGATCACTTATGCGCAGGTGTTAACCCTGGTCATTCATTGGCATGATGTCGACGAGTTCAAAGTCGTTCAGAAAATCCTTAACGGAGAGGAGATATTACGTCCTGAGGCATCCGCTGCGACATCTGATATCATGGACGCCCGCTGGAGTCAGATCGAGCAGTTTTGGTCAGTTGATTCTTGTGCTCGGCCATCTGCCTTTATGGCCGTGGATTTCCTAAAGAGCGAATTCAAGGCCTTGACAAACAAAGAGAGTTTTTGACTGGTTTCGTCAGAGGCTTCAATACTTATCAACTAGACACATACACGCCTTGAGGATGACGACGGTAGCCAGTTGCAGCCGGAGGCAAGACCATCGTCGACTCCCGCAAAGGTCACATCTCTTCCACTTAGGGGTCTTCGCGATAATTTTAAGAGTTGTACGAGGAATGTGGTCATTATTGGTCAAAGTGGAAAAGCTCACTCATTAACATGCTTTGCCCCAGGGCTAATGCTCGTACCTCGAACGACACGACCAGCACAAAGGTAGTAAAAGAGTATATGTGCAACCTTGGGCAACAGCGATATTGCCCCAAGTGCACGATACAATGGGTCTCAAGGAGGGGCGTTGGGGCTTCCTTCCGGACAAGCAAGCGCGGAAGCAACTCAAATCATACTTGGCGATGATGCAGAAGAAGAGCGAACTCCACCTTCTGGTATACTGCATATTAGGATCAGGCGGCCTGAAGAAGTCACTGTAGTGCGAGTCTGTGAACATCGGACATTGCAAGGGTGTCAGAGCATGCGATAGAAGTACACAAAGTGCTGTATCGATCGTGTGGATAGGGTTCGATAACAACTTATGTTTGTTTTCATGCGAGCACAGCGCATGCAAATGCACACTTTGCATGAATTCCGCATTCCGAATTTCCCCTCGCACTTGTTGCGCAACAACTGCACACGGATCAATCAGATCCCTCGATACATTTACAAACCATTTGCCATCTGCCACTCAGCACACCAGGCGTTGTCGCACATTCAAAGTCCGTCAGAATGTATTTCAAAGTCCGCCTTATGTCGAGAACTCGGTTGTGTTTTCCCCTTTATCCCTGTACCATAATGTCGTCTCTGGTATCTGACGCGTCATTGTCCACCTCCAGCTCCAAAAATGCACATCAACGGATGAGGTCCTCGAAAATCTAACTGCCACCAGCAAACAGAAGTAAATTTCTCATTCATTCATGATTGCAGGCTCACCCCTATCACACGAATCACGCAACCTATGGTTGAGCGACACATCATGTATGCGCATATATCCATACATTTGCACTCAAATAATGACTACAAACCACCAGATTGATAGTGCCATGAGCTCACAGCCATCTAGCGACTTCGCATCCCTCAAACACCCAATACTTAAAAAGGCTGCCTAGGTATGTCGCATTCTTGTTGTTTTGCCTATTCTGACCCTTGTTCCTAGATTTCAACACTGTCGCTTGCTGTATTTTCACTCATCTTGGGTCCATGCTGTATATTGCTCTCACATTCAGAATGTCTCTAGCACCATTATTTTTGCTCTATACGAGTCCGACGCGGTCCGAAAGCATGATCCAGATCAGTTCTGTCATACCTGTGTACTTTGCTACTTGTGTACTTTTGCTACTTTCACCACTGTGTATTGTACGATCGTGAAATTCAATTTTGTTTATTGCATCACAGTGTATAAATGTCTGGTATGAGTCATGTAAGCTATGAACAGCCTGCTTGGGACTGGCAAGGCTGCATCAACATTGCAAGGCGCCTCAAGGCTTTTTAAAATACATGATTCTGATGGCTTTTGACAAGCCTGGTGCCCATCTGGCATGACAGAGAGGTTGTCTGCCAGTCGTGTTCAGTCTTGGCGAAATTTGTCAGGCTGGGGGGATCTTGCCATGCCTGGGAATGTCTTGCCAGCGTGCACCACTTTTGCTGATGGCAGTCATTTACTCGCCAGACACGACCATGATTGTGACTGGTAGATACAGATTATACAAGCCTTTGACTGCTGAATATCTTTTTTCTATGGTGCTGGATCTGTTCAACTATTTTTACACACAATATGCACACATACACAAAGGATTTACACAACACAGAGTTGCGTAACTATCGTTGCCGAGATGTATCAGAATGCTTTAGAATTAGCGTGACTTCCTGTTTTGGTAACACCGCATGACGATGAAATGCTCGAGCTCGCTGTTGAGGACAGTGAGCTCAAATAGTTGCCTAATCCTTCACCCTTTTCACTAGTTCTTTTGAGGGAAGAAAATCACCTGTAGCTTAACTATGGAAGGCCTCCAGATATCCATATGGGTACCAGGCAAGACACTCGAAGCTCACTTTGCAGAAGAAAAGTACCCGTTTTTTTTTTATGAAAGTGAGAGAGACGTGGCATTTCCTGGCAGGGAGTCTGTGGAAGATCTGGTGAGGAGGGGTGAGAGGGCAGTGAGGGAGGTTGTGCTGCCGCATGTGGTGAGTGTTGTGAGGTCGGGGAGGGACGAGCATATTGTGCTTGTGAGTCATGGGTTGTGTATCGCGCAAGTGACGGGTGCGATTGTGAGATTGGGTGGGTAAACATGGAAATGAAAGGGACCCATGGTCAACACGGGGTGGGTGAGGGTAGAGGTACAAATTCAGGTGAGTGTGGCAGACATTGATTATGAGGTGGTGTTCACGGATGGTGTAGGGCGGGATACCGGTGGAAATCGGGGATGGCGAGGTTCCTCCAGTAGAAGTGATAGTGACGGACGAGGGCAGGGCAGATCACCTTGAGGGCCTTGTGTGTTGGTTTTGTTTGTGATGTTGACTGACTGATGAGAACATGACTGACAGCTCGACAGAGGCCCACTTCAAGGCATGAAAGCGATTATGGGTGGAGGGGTGGTGATGGAGGGAAAGAACCCGAATGAGGCGGAGGCTATCTCACAGACGTCTGCTGGGAATTCGGTGTAGAGCTTGTCACATATACATTTCAGATAATTGTCATGAATTTACGCATGCAAGTATATACGTACTGGTACTACCTGCACGTGCTCGTCCGTGGGAATCGTGCACCGGGACATAATCGCCAGCCATCAAAGCTCTATAAATAGCACCATAGTGGCCGTCCGATCTTGTTAAAATCATCATCCCTTTCCATAAGTATCCCTTAACCGTTATACCAAAAAGCAGTGATAACGTACAAACTTCATTGATTCAAACCCCGTTGGCTGACTCGAGTTCCCATATTCAGCATTAATAATGTCTGCGATACGTGAGCTTTCGTTATCAGTGACTGCCTTTTGCCCTAACAATGGTTAGGGGATGACAGTCTTGACCACTTTTCGTATGTGCCGTGATCCGATGACGCACCCTATACACTATGTCGTCACCCCGGGCTCTTTAGAAAAGGACAACGAGCAACTAGGGCGGACAATCTTCAATGGCATGCACACATGCAACAATGTACAGCCTTTTCGTCAAAAAGACAGACATGATGTCCTGCCGGATGTGACATTAGTGAGGAACTAGACGGTTATAACTCGGCGCTAGCGAAAAAAACTCATTGCGGACACCTTTTTTATGTGCGCCAAAATCACAAATCACCTGAGGGGCTGTAGGGCGCTGTCTATGCGCATCATTAAGATATTGCTGTATGGCTTCTAGAAAAAGAATATTATTGAAACTCAAACGTCTGAATCCGAGCGTGAATACGATCCGAATCATTACAAGCGTGAACAGAATCGAATTGTGAGGGAACTAAACGAGACAAAGTAAGAGTAAGAACGAAACATGAGATAATTGATGGGTGATTGGGCGAAAAGCCCGCAGGGCTTTTCCGGCCTGAAACCTGGGTCCGAACCTGGGTATCGAAGTGAGCTGTGAGGGCGGGTGGGCCTGATCAGTTCACTAAACTGTGATAGCGAGGTTAAGGAAGCGGTAAAAAGAGTGAGAGCTAGTGATACGTGCTTAGAATGAGAGGATGCTGCGAGGTGTGCAGGAGCAGAAGGCGCTGCGCCACCTCGCTTATTAAGTTATTTCGCGTACCTCGTTCCTCGGCTTAGCAAAGAAACCGATCCGATCTTGTCATTGCACTGTTCGAAGCGTGTACTGTTCGAAGTGTGTGCACTGCCCCATAAATACGGCAGCGCGTATTACAGGCAAAAACTGTCCTCGAAAATTTCTAGATGTTTCTGTTCTGACGGTGTCATAGCGATGCTCTCTAGGAAAGGACAACGAGCAACATTGATGCGGGCGGTGATATGACATATATAGGATCTTAATATTAATATTATCTTAATAATGTTTGCATCGATATATAGGCGTATATATATCTCGGGAAGGATCTTATGCAGTGCTCGAGTACGATCGGCTCCATGACTTGACTCCCACGAAGCTTAATATCCCTTGGTCAGGAGGTCGTTTGCGACAGAAGCGCTGAGAGGAACATTCATCGATATTCATCATCAATTCGAATTCGGATACGGCTGTTTGGTTTGAGGCCTGAGGCCTGAGGAGCTACAAAAGATTTGCTGAAAGTTGGGTTAGCTTACGTTCCCATATTCAGCAAAGTTCCCGTCTTCCATCCCAACCCCACCGCCGCCATCGCCGGCCAGAAGTTGAGAACTGATGGCAATATTAATTAATAATTTCCCAATGTGCCAAAGATGAGATACGCCAAGTCTATTTCTCAAGTTATAAAATGACCTAGCGATATCATAGCATGACTCGGATATCCACTAATCTATCTGTCCTCTTCAAGTTCTCTTTAACGTGGTGCTCATCATGGCATTGCACTATGTTCCAGAGGTGCGCTTTGAAAACATGGAATGATGTGCTGCCATAAACCTGAACTAGCACACTAGGCTTTCACGTTCAATGGGACTCCCGGTGAAAGTTCACTACGTGACAGAGAACAAGCGCTCCCAGAATCCCTTTGTTACACATCCTCCATAACGAGAGTGCTCTGTTTTGTTGCAATAGGCTGCCCCGATCTTGAAGACCATTGGGAGTCGCTGCAATCCGCTGAAGCATTCGAGAAGGTGAGGGGCAGCCAGTGCTCTATCCTGTCCAACACTATCTCCGCAGTAGGCTATTCAACTCTGCAAGTTCAAGCCGCCGCTGACATAGCCTAACGTTTCAAAAGGCGAGCCTGCTTCTCGCGACAAGTGGTGTTTTCGTAACCACTGGCTCTCCCGTGTCATATTTTGCATATACTTCACCTGCAACCTATTTCCTGCTCTTTATGTCACTCATGATGGCAATGATTGCGATGCTCACATCTGGCTTGAACATGATCCGCTGGCTACAAGCCGATCGGCAGTGGACTCGAGAAGTAACCGTTATTCTCGCTTTACCCACTACATCGGCTGACCTCTTGTCAGCAACTCATGCCGGGCGGCTACTTCCTCCTGTCCTACCTGTTATCGATCGTTATACCCATACTATTTGTTGGCTTGTCCCTGAATTGCTTCATATTTGGTGAGTCACCCAGCAACCGGATGCTCTCTTGGGTATTCACATATTTCTCCCGCAGCGATGTTGGTAGCAGGCTTCTACTCCCAGAACACGGTCTGCCGCATCCTCACCACAGTCTGGCTGGTCATATATGTCGTCAGCATTGGAACAATCTTGATGGAGTTTGCGTGGAAGTATGCGAAATGCCTCAAATCTCGATGATCCAGATACCGTCAGGAGTTTCCACTTTGTTTTCATTTGCTTTGTTACGGCGTTTGACTACGTATAGTTTTGAAAGTTAGTGTTCTATGTCGTGAAATATGCCATGCATCCACTGCTATAGCTACCGTCTATATATATGTACATATGTATTAGGTTCTGTCGTTTTGCGAATATTTACAGGATTGTAATTTGTACGCGGGTGTACCGCAAAATTGTTACAGTCCTTAGATTCTATTTGACTTGAAGCTTGAAGCATGAATTACTGTCTCAGTCTGCGTGCTGATGAACCTGTGCGTCCTATTCGACAGGCGCGTATGGCGCTGGATTCGTTCAACTATTCCCCACACAAAATATGCACATATACACAAAGGATTCACACATACAGAGTCGCGTACCGTTGCCGAGATGTATCAGGATGCTTTGGGATTAGCGTGACTTCCCGTTTTGGTAGCACCGCACGACGACAAAATGCTCGAGCTTGGGTAAAGGATTGGGCAACTCTTTGAGCTCGCTGTCCTCAACAGCAAGCTCGAGCATTTTGTCGTCGTGCGGTGCTACCAAAACGGGAAGTCACGCTAATCCCAAAGCATCCTGATACATCTCGGCAACGGTACGCGACTCTGTATGTGTGAATCCTTTGTGTATATGTGCATATTTTGTGTGGGGAATAGTTGAACAGATCCAGCGCTATAGGCGCGAGCCGGAGTTACTAATCCTGTACATAACTTTGGTATTGTTGACAAGCACGTCTGCAAGGCTATGATGATTCTACTTCCTAGTAGCAGACAAAGTTCTCTAGTTTCCGTGTTCGAATCCATTTAGCTTGATCATTATGCGAGGAGGATACATTCGCATGTTCATCTCCTGGCTGAGGCTTACTGTCAAGACAAACACATTTAGGTCCTGCAGAACTCTTCTCTCCTTTCTCCTGCGAATAATTCGACACTGTCAGTTCGTCGTTAACGGAAAGGGAAGACCGTATCGGGAACAGAGTCTATCATTGAGCTCTCAGCCAGTGACCAACTGGCAAGATGGGCTGACGGTTCCTGTGACACTAGCAGTGCCGTTGTCTGAAGCACCTCTACAAAGACAAGGGTACCAACCTGTAATGAACATGCCAACTCCCCAGATCTTCCAAGGGCCCAATGGCGCGGTGTCGGGACAATCCTGCAATATCATTCTTACTCCCATTGTTCCCGAACCACAAGTCAACCGATACGAGAGGATTGTACATGTGTATGCAAGTCATGTTTGTCGAGTAAATTGCCATTCTAACACATATTACATTACAGTCAAGATAATGATGAGGCATTTGAGGTCAAGAAAGGTCCTTTGGACTGCTCGGAGTAAGTATGCTAGCGAGAGAGCCAGCGACGAGATTGACATAGGCTCGTAGGGAGCTTGCTGTAGTGGCAGGGTGGGAGCCGCTCACGCATCCTGAAGGAGCTTTGTTTTTCTACCATCCAGATAATGTGCGTCTATTGTCCCCTCCTAATGACTTGATTCATATCTCCCCACCAGAGAGTTTTCACTGACGCTGATGTTCGACACCCTGGAACTGCTGAAAAAATAGGCAAAGCTGTCGAGAAAGCGTACGAAGAAGCGCGCAACGCAAACATCTTCCTGCACTCATCCGTAGAGCTAGCGCTAGAGCTCATAGAGAAGGACGGCAAGGAGATGATTGGCTACTACTTTGCTGATCACGAGAGACGTATCATTTTCTGGTTCCAAGATCACAAATCCGATTTGCTCATGTGTAACATTCGAGGTGTAGAGAGCAAAAGCCACGTCAGTGAGTTCTTTCCGTGGAATACTTTATATTCAAGTTTTTGTGACTGTGATTGCGTCACTCCCAGGGTATGCGCTAGAATCACAGTACTGGTTCGTTTGACTTCTCAAAGTACGCATGTTCCCTCACTTGACTGAAGCGAATGCGCTCACACTTCGTCATAGCTCTTTTGTACCTCCCACGATTTACACACCACAATATTGACAGGAGACACATTGAACTATTTCCAAATAAACGTTCCCTTCCGGGGAATGTCGTGGTGCAACTCAAAGAAATTATAATGCATGCTCACGCAGGTGAGTAAAGCCAATGAGCGTTGCATGCTCTACAAGACTGACTCGTGATAGAAAACATCACTTCTGAGACCTGTCTAGCACCTTTTGCTCCAGATGAGGTTGCAAGTATGCTCAGCCTTGTAGAAGTTCTCATAAGTGAATCACCCTGTGATGCGGGGAGTCGTCGTTGATTATATTTTCAGACAGCGATACCAAGGACAACGCTCACGAGCAGCGTGAGCATTCAGTGTGGATTGTCGGTAAGTCTGATCGCGAAAGGTCAGCTGATTGCTTCTGACATGTTTGCTGATTTCAGCCCGATTGATGAGACTTTTCTGTTAGCTTAGGCTACTGGTATACGAACCCCATTTGCTGATTGCTTTGCTAGGCAATGCCAAATTTGTAAATTTCTGTGGACAACCAGGCGCTCGACTTAACGTAGACCAATCGTTATACGGAGAATTCAATACCCGCTCGAAAAGGATTTTTCTTCGTCTCATGAATATCATGCTGTTTGGATCGCCTGATGCTCAGAGCAAGGCTCTTCACAGGATATGGGTCGATGATACCATCGTTCAGCCGCGATGGAAGAATTTTATTGATAGGCTCACTACTGAATGGAATGGGTACACAATATTTGTGAGTTGTACTTTGCTTCACGTTATTGCGCAACGAATGACCATCTCAGTCCACCGTGATGCTTGCTGTTGATATCAGCTTTCTCGCGGTCCCATCTGTCCAGACTCAAACGTCCGCGATCCTTCTAGCATATCTGTCTACCCTCTGTGCCATGGGCTCGTTATTGGTCTCACTGATCTTGGCTGGACAAGTTAATGACAGCCGGAGAAGCTCTGCTGAAGCCGTGGTGAGTTTCCTTTCGATTATTTGACTTATTCCTCACGTGCACAGGCCTCTTTCATGGTAGGAATGTCACGTTCTATGCTCGGCCTCGAGAGCCTTGCCCTGATGCTCAGTCTACCATTTGCTCTGTTGATCTGGGGGTGCGTTTCCGGTTTCATTCCACGGGTCGGTGACTCATTATTTGACAGAATGATGTTCTTCGCTGCAGCATTGTCCACCTTGATTTTCCGCACTTCTGGCATTGTCACCATCTCGATTACATCTCCGGTTTTGGCCGCCATATTCATGCTGGTGACGTGGCCTGTACTGGCCTCTAATGATATTCACGTTTCTCACCTGAGGAACTGGATCATAGAACACGTGTCTCTCACTGATTCATCAGCGGTGACCGCCCATTCTGTTGTCTAGTAGTTTGTAATTGCAGGCGTACGGTCAGGAGCTTCCAATTTTACCTTTGGCTTTTTCACCGTGTGCGTTGAAGTATTTAGTGCTTGTGTGTATGCACAGTAACTTATAACCCAGCATAATGGGGTGGACGACACTCTGGCAAATGCTGCATGCTTGATTTGTAACAGCAGATATGTATGTAGTTTCTTTGTCTTCGAATACATAGGATCCCCAAAGCGAGTGCTTGATACTTTCTGCTTCCGTTTCTGCCCCCCCAGCGAGAGTCGTTCAAAAGCAGAGCGAACCCATATGTAATAAGCAGAATGGTCAAAGACCTCTGTCCCCGTACATAGTTAATGCTTGGAAATCGGGAGCCTGATGGTACCCGATTTTATATGAAAGTGTGAGAGACGTGGCATTTTCTGGCGGGAAGTTGGTGGATCTGACGAGGGATGAGAGGACGGTGAGGGATATTGTGCTTCCACTGCACGTGTCGAGTATTGCGAGGGACGAGCACACTTACATTTCGTGCTTGCGAGTTATGAGTTGCGTACTGCGGAAGTGGTGAGTGCGATCGTATGATTGTGCGGGGGTACATGGGGACCTACAGTAGTTGATCGATGCAGGCGCGGATTCAAGTGAGTGTGGCGGGCATTAATTACGAGGTGTTAACCTCATGAACAACGTAGGGCAGAAATTGCAGACGACGAGGTTCATCTGGGAGAGGTGACAGTACTGAAGTACTGACGGATGAGGGCAGGACAGATCATCTTGAGCACGCGGTGAAGATGTTGTGTATGCTCAAAGGACAAGTTATCTTAGTCTTGCACTAAGAGGTATGATAGTAAGTACTGTACGACTTGAGTATGTTTGGGGCTGTTTGTGACTAGATGGACCAGACCACAGACGGGGACTTTTGAGAAACCCTCGGTTTCCGAGGTTTCCGAGGCTTCCGCGGAGAAAAGGGAAATACTCAGGGAAGCGTACCTACCCCCCAGTGGGTGCAAGATATTGAGAACCAGAACGTACAGGTATAAGTATTCAACATGTCGACTGACCCACCTGTACTCTCCTCTTTGACATAGTGCTTGTCATGGCCTTACAATATTTTCCAGAGGTGCGATTTGAAAACACAGATTTGCTGCCATTGGCATAACTGATCTAGGCCCGGGATGCTAGGCTACTGTGTTCTACAGGACTCCCGGGGAAAGAACACTAACCGAAGAGCAAGCAATTCCCGCATCTCTTCGTTACCCGTCCTCTTTCATGAAAGTGCTCTGTTTCTTTGCACTCGGACGCCCCGATCTTGAAGATCACTGGGAATCGCTACAATCCAAGGAAGAGTTCGAGGACGTGAGGAAAAGGCTGTGCTCTATTCTGTCCAACATTATCTCCACAGTAAGCTATCAACTCTGCGAGTTTAAGCCAACACTGAGATAGCCTGAAATATTTAAAGGCGAGCCTTCTTCTCGCGACAAGTGGCGTTTTCGTGACTACAGGTTCTCCTGTGCCATACTTTGACTATTCCTCACCTGCGACATATTTCTTGCTCTTCATGTCACTCATGCTGGCCATGATTGCAATATTGACATCTGGTTTCAGCATGATCCGCTGGCTACACACTGATCGGCGGTGGGCTCGAGAAGTAAAAATTATTCTCGCTTTACCAACTACATCGGCTGACATCTTACCAGCAACTCAGGCCGGGTGGCTACTTCCTCTTGTCCTACCTGTTATCGATCGTCATGCCCATATTGTTTGTTGGCTGGTCCTTAAATTGTTTCATATTTGGTGAGCTCTAGTAATTTAGTGCTCTCTCTGGGTCCTTATCCACTGCTTCGTCCGCAGCGATGTTGATAGCCGGTTTCTACTCCCAAAACACGGCATGCCGCACTCTCACCGCAGTCTGGCTGGTCATGTACGTCATCTGCATTGGGGTGATATTGATGGAATTCGCGTGGAGGTATGCGAAAGGCCTCAAATCACAATGATTCAGATACCGTCGGAAGCTTCTAATTTTACTTTTCGCTTTTTTACCGCGTGCGTTGAATTATGGACGATACCCTGGCAAATGCTGTGTGCTTAATTTATAACAGCAGAGATCTATGTAGTTTCTTTTACTTTGAATAGGATCCCCAACGCGAGTGCTTGATACTTTCTGTTTCCGTTTCCGCCTTCCAGTGAGCGTCCTTCAAAAGCAGAGCGCTCTCCATTAGGCAAAAGATAAACTCATACGGATCAAGCAGAATTATGGAGGATCTTTGTCCCCGTACATAGTTGGTGCTTGGAAATTGGAAGCCTGATGGCCAGGCTATAAGCTATAAGTACAGTCAGTCAAAACACAGGAGACGCCTTAAAGGAGAAAATGGGCGACTCCAGTCACGTGGTGATATAAAGGGATGATGCTAGCAGTGTTTCCGGTGCTTGTTGACGACTTGGACGATGAGCGAACCCACTGATGCAGATCGCGTACGCTCATTTATTCCGTGTATGCTGAAGAAAACTAACAATGTATATACAAGATCCGAGCAAAGCGCCTTGCCAAGTTGCAGGCAGGATCTGCGTCTAATTCACCAACCCCTTCGCCCGCCTCTCCTTCAACCCCCGTAGCCCAGCTTCCACGTCCAAAACCAAAACTCCCTTCTATTCCGCCTCAATCAACGACTCCACCTCCTCAACGTAACGTCCCTTTAAAGAGGAAGTCCACCGCACCTGCTCCCAAAGTCGACTACCAGACATGGGAGAACGACACAATATCCACAGTCCTCAAGGTTACACTCAGCGTATGCTCTTCACTTCTTTGTCATAGTCATTGAAACTCATCGGTGAACAGAAATCAACCGCCGAGGCAAACGAGTATGATCTCGTGTGGCTCAAGCATCTCCAGGCTGAGCTTGAGTCCGAGGGCTACCGTACGTCTTTTTAATTATTCACTTGTTTCGTTGATGTAACTTCTATAGCCCATACGACTCTTACGAGCGATATCGTGGATCGTCTCCTCATCACCCGCCTTGAGCTCGATGCTCAGGCTATGTCGTAAGTTTCTCCGTTTGGTTGTCCCTTTCATTCCCTTTCATCTCTCGTTTATTGATCCTAATCAAATGATTGTGCTTGATCACTGGCTGAATCGTAAATGATCACTGACCAATTCGTAAATGTAGCGACGACCTCGAATATGTCTCAGTACTCGCCTCTCTCCCTCCTCAGTCCGTCTTCGAGTACCTTGTAGGCTGCTGGAAGCGTATAAACACCGCTAAATCAACTTTACTCAAGAAGGTACTCTAGCTTCCTCTACGCCAAATAATCATCTCACAAATCCTAGAACACCGTCTCTGAAACCCAGCAAGCTACTGCACTCCTAGACAAGCTCAGAGACCTCATTATCAGTTACACAGGTCTTAACCTGCAGGAGCCGGAGATGTTTCCGCAACCCGCCAAGTGTGTTCTCCCCATATCTAGTTGATGCGTTGCTGATTAGCACTCTTTCTGTCTTCCGCTTGTCACAACTCTGCCTTCTCTTGAAACTACAGTCGCCCCATATCAACCCTTGGTTCACACGAACTGCTTACACCCCTCCTCTCCCTCTCCGCTCTATCTACGCCTCTCTACGCATCCGCAACCACCTCTCCAACCACGCTGACACCCGACGAGGTTCAGCCGTTCCTGCAGGACCTTGCCGCTCGTTTCACAGACCCAGTGCGTGTGCTTTTTCCTGACAACATTCTATCGCAAAACAAATCTATACCTTGCCTGCTCTTCAACCTCAAACTAACCTATTCCTTTAGGAGGAACTTCTGAACACACTAAGCACCCTTGTCCGTATCCTCGTCGCGCACGCCCTTATGATACCATCCGAGGGTATCGGCGGAAGCAGCGGGGACTCAGCATGGCGCGGTGTCATAAGCGGCATGGAAGCCCTTGTCGAAGTAAAGCCCATCGCAGAGATGATTACGACAATGCCACAATGGCTCGGCGAGGGTTTCGGGGTGGAAGTGACGGCTGCGAACTTCGAGAGGTTGTCTCTTATGGGACCGTTGTTGAGGCTGGGGACATTCAGTCGGGAGTGGGTGAGTGTTGTGCAGTGAGGCGTGTGGATGACGACGTGCCTGACGTGCGTCATGCGCCAACAGCCAGGTATTGCCCAGACATACTTTAGCGACCCAACGAAGCGGAGTCGTGCGGATGTGGACTCGTCGAATGCGAGTTTGAGAGGGACGTTGAATAGCCTACAGGTGATTGGTTTTGGCTTATGGTTCGTGTGGATTCACTCATTTTTGGGTCTCTTTATCCGCACCCGTGGCTCAGTCCTCTCTCTTCCAAATCTTCACTACCCTCGCGCGCACATCACTCGAGGCGCGTGAACGGGTGCTAGAATACTTTGCGGCAGCAGTGCGTCTCAACGTAAAACGTGCAGGGATGCAGGTGCGTTTCTTTCCTCCTTTTGCGCAGTGGGATATTCATGACACATACGCAGGTTGAGCCCGACACTGTCGCGTCGGACAGCTTCATGGTCAATCTACAGAGCGTGCTGCTGAGATTCGCGGGGCCGTTTATGGACGCGAGTTACACAAAGGTTTGTTCCTTCATCCTCCCAATGAAGAGTCTCCCTCATGACTTGTTACTATCTCACTGTTCCTGTAAACACCACCGCGTGGTCGCATGCATTTCGGGCACTGTTCTGTGAGCACAGATGAACCGCATAGACCCCTATTATTTTTCAGTGTCTACCCGAATTGATCTGAAAGAGGAGACGAGGATCAAAGCGACGAGCGATGAGGCTGCGCAATGGGTCGAAGAGAGCAAGTCAAAGGGTAGGCGCCCCCTCACGTTAGCGCCCGTCATACTGATGCCTATTGTCCACAAAAAACCTCTCCACACGCAATGCAATCATGTGCTCGCACACACCTCGCGTCCGAATTCTATTACGTCACCACCGCTTTAGCCGCAACACCCCACTTCATCTCCGAAATTTTCTACCTCTGCAATGCGCTGGGACACTACGGATACATTCGCACGATCCAGGTGTACGAGGACTTGGGGAAGACTCTTGATGATTATCAGAGACATCACGATATGATCAATGGGGATGGGTTATGGATGGGAGTGCGTATTTGTCCTTCGATTGATCGTGCCTAATTCTCAAAATGTCTAACGCTTTCCTCAGACGCCTAACCAAGCACGCACGCAAGCTGCCATCGACAACGTTAAGGTACATATTTTATCATCCACACTACCCCATGACCTTGGCGTAACAACATCTTACATGAAACAGAACGAAATGTCCAAGATTCAATCTCAACAACTCGCGTACCGTGTCCAACTGCTCGATCCTGATATTGTGGTCCGTTACATAGGGTTCACGAGCTTTGTGTCAACATGGTTGATCCGGAGCGTCGATCCGCGGGGGACTCATCCGAATCCTGTCGTTGAGTGCGTTTTTAGATCTTGAGTATGATCTTGTGTTTGGCGTGGTGGCTGATGCGCAATGTCCTCTGGTAGTCTGCCCCTTCCGAAGGACGTCCCGATGACGTTCAGAGTCCTGCCAGAGTTTATCATTGAGGATGTGGTAGAGTTCTTTTTGTTTGTCGTGCGGTGTGTTTTTTCGTCGTTTTTTTTGAAACACGCATGAGAGCTGATGGGCCTGAAGGCACTCGCCAGAGAGTCTTGATTTGTCTGGGAAGGACGAGCTCGTGATCTTTGCGTTGACGTTCCTTACTTCGACTTGGTACATCAAAAACCCGTTCTTGAAAGCGAAAATAAATGAGGTGCGTTTCCTCCTGCATTTCCCTGTTTCGCTTGCTACCAGAAATTCGCTGATGCCGGAATATCGGACAGGCCGTGTTTTACGGTGTGTTACCGTACGGGCATGATAGACACGGTATTTTGGGGAACATTCTGAATGCGCACCCCGTCGCGCTCAAGAACTTGATACCGGCGTTGACTCATTTCTACATCGGTATGTTTCGTCGTCAAAACTGGACGACCCATGCTTATGATGTTTTTGGCAGAGGTCGAGCAAACGGGTGCTAGTTCGCAATTTTATGACAAATTCAGTGCGTGCGATTGTTACATGGATGGATTGAATCTGAGGATATCAACATCTCAGATGCGAGGAGGAATATTGCCTACATCCTGAAAGCGGTCTGGGACAATCCTATCCACAGAGACGCTTTGAATAAAGAAGCACAGTACGTTACCTCCTCTTATAACATTCACGCACAACCCATCATCATCCTCCAGGAACGTCGACAAGTTCATCCGGTTCATCAACCTCATGATTAACGACGTCACCTATCTCATGGACGAGTCCCTCAGCGAGCTCACGCAAATCCACAACATCCAAACCGAGATGCGCGACCAAATCGCTTGGAACGCTCGTCCCCAGCAATATCGACGCGAACGCGAAGGAACGCTTCGCAGTCTCGAGCGGCATGCGTCTGGCTATACCACGCTGGGCAGGTCTACAGTTGGTCTTTTGAAGGATTTCACAGCAGAAACTAAGGGGCCGTTCATGATGCCGGAAATCGTGGACAAACTCGCAGCTATGCTGGACTACAACCTAGATGCGCTCGTCGGGCCCAAGTGCCGCGAGCTGAAGGTACAAGACCCTGAGAAATACAAGTTCAGCCCTCGTCAGCTCCTGAGCGATATTCTACAAGTGTACATCAACCTCAGTGACCAAGAGGAGTTTGTGAGAGCTGTTGCGAACGACGGAAGGAGTTACACGAAGGAGTTGTTTGAGTCGGCGATGGATACTGCTAGACGTGTGCCGTTGAAAACGGAGGCTGAGATTGGGGTTGTGAGTTCTTTTGTGTCCAAGGTGGAGGAGATGAAAGCTACGATCGAGGCAGAGGAAGATTTGGGCGAGATTCCGGAGGAGTTTTTGGGTTGGTTTTTTCTTTTTATTGTGCTTGGTCGTGGAACAAGCTCATGGCGAATTCATCAGACTCTCTCATGTTCACGATCATGCGTGATCCAGTCACGCTTCCATCTTCTCGCGTCGTTATAGATCGCTCGACTATCAAGTCTCATCTTCTATCTGACTCCAAAGATCCTTTCAACCGGGTACCGTTGGTGATTGAAGATGTTATCCCCAGTATGTTTTCTTTTTGTGTTGTGCGTTCATCGTGCTTGACGCGATGAGGTTAGATGTGGAACTTAAAGCACGGATCGATGCGTTTATAACGGAGAGACGGAACAAGCGGTTGACGATAGAGGAAGGGATTGTGAAAATGGATGTGTCGGCGGATTGATCATATAAATGCTGTATCGCTAATTTTGCATCAAGTAGAACTGAATGTGATGTCTTTTCCAGGAGTTATTTTAAGTTTACATATGGGCTCGAGGAAACGAGCGTACTTATCCTACACACTGGTTGGACTCACGTGCGTTGCAGACACGAGTGATAGATGAACATCTACGTATGTAGTAGTATGCATGAGTTTGGTTCATATATCGATCCTCCATGCTCATCATGCCAGTGTACGGTGTTCGCAATGCTACAACAGTCGGCATTAGTATTGGCACCGACACTTACAAGGGAGAACACAACGGTGTAACCCTGCTGAGGGATATGCCTGTCATCGTCAGAGCAAACGGGTAAAGTCATGATAAGCAAATATGATAATGAACACGAAACGCTACTTCTTTCGTTTCTTGGTTCCCCGGGCGTTGCTCGCCGACCCTGCCCTGGCTCGTCCCACCGCCCCACCTCGAGCAAGCTGCTTGACACGTCCCCGTCCCGCTTTCGATTGACCTGTATACATCAGTCGAGGATAAGGCAAGGGCGAAAATAATTTACCAGGTGATGTGTCTTGTACGTCCGTGTTGTCTTCTTCATAGTCCGTGCCCGCGTCAGTGCCTGTGATGACGCTAGGGGTGATCCCAGCACCCTCGTCTCCACTCTCCTGCGTGAGCGCACTGCTGTCGCTATCGCCTCCTACCAGGCCAGCCATGTCCGCCTTACTCTTACTACGTTTCGTGGTCTTGGTCTTTTTCGGTTTGCTGGGCTGACGCGGGGATGGTGCGGGCGTTGATGACGGAAGGGAGGCAGTTGCACGTATCCGACGCTCTGAGACGAGATTGTTGAAAGCGTCCTCGTTAGGAAGAGAGTATTCGTCTCGAAAAAAGGGATGTCGTGAGAGGTTCTGGGAAGGCGAAGGGGATCGTACGAGGTGTGGTGTTGAATTCTGGCTCGAGGTTGGTGTGTCGAAACCATCAATTTCCTGGTGCATACTGAGACAACTAAAAACAAAACTGAAAGCACTGTGCAGCTCACCGCTGTCTCTAGTGCATCAAGATCATAACACGTTTTCAACTTTGCCCAAATACTCTCAACGGGTAATACACGACCAGTTTCATTGTGTATTGTATTGCGAATGGCTAATACGTGAAAATGCTTGTGCAGGCCAACGGGACGAGCCTTCATCACGGATCTGAAGAAAGTGATCTCCCCTTCGACGCTGTCGAGGAAGTCATCTAGGCTATCGGACATGTTAATGTTGGGACGTGGTTTGTGGAGTAAGGTAGCGGTTGTTTGGCAAAGGCTTTGGATCCAAACAAACGCGTCCACATTGAGAATAGTCACGTGGGGGCCAGTCTCATCCTTGCTCTCAGTTACTTACGGTCACTGGATTTCATGTCTGACACAGAACAGGATACGACCGTGCTCGGAAAGCGAGGTAGAAACTCGGACGATGATCCAAGTTGTGTCCAGGACGGGGATGATGGTCCAATACCGGCTGTCGACGCAGACATGAACCAGGACGACAGCGATGATGATGTTGGTCCTATGCCTCTGCCTGCCGGCGCCAATGGTGGACACAAAAGGAAGCGCAGAGGTGAGTCTTACGCTTATCTGCCTATGAATCATCGTTTTCAACTCAACGCTAGTGGTGCCTCACGAGAAACTGTACCTGGACCACCTCCCAGATGCGGAACAGTACTATAAAAGTTACATGCACCGTGACTTCCTTAGCTTCGTTGTTGTTACGAAGTGCGTCCCAGAGAATTTTTATAGCGCGATTATCTCAACCTCGAAACAGGACGGACTTTATCATTACTACATCTGTTGATGGGCATCTAAAATTCTGGAAAAAGCAGGACGAGGGCATCGAATTTGTGAAGCATTTCCGTGCACACATGAGCCCTGTGACTGGAGTGTCAGCAAGTGCAGATGGACAGCTTTTTGCGAGTATCTCGGAAGATGGGTCTGCAAAAGTGTTCGATGTGCTCAATTTTGGTGCGCAAATAGCCCACATTTATTTGTTTTAGCACTGACTAGTAAACAGATATGATAAACATGTTAAAGCTCGGGTTTACCCCTCACGCGTGTTGTTGGGTACATAGGCGAGGGCAAGCCCAAGGCTTGCTGGCTGTGTAAGTATCTTCTGCGATTTCTGGTAACTTCTAACAAAGCATATAGCTCGGAACAAGGGACGGGTACCATACGGCTTTATGATGGTCGTGGTAATGACACCCCACTGCTAACAATCAAACAACTTCATCGTTTCCCCGTGCATTTGATGGTGGTGAGCCTATCCTGTTTGAACGGAGCGTCCCATATGACGGTCATGACTTTAGTACAGTGACCGCTACGATACCGTGATCTCTGGTGATGAAAACGGTTTTGTCGAGTACTGGCAACCGTTTGAACCTTTCGAGCCACCGAAAAATATACCTGGCATGTGGTCACTGAAGTCTTCAACGGACCTCTACGAGTTCAAAAAGGTATGATAACTTTCCCATCTTGTGGCATTCACTGAGCTTTCTCTAGACTAAATCAGTCCCTACTTGCATAACGCTCTCACCTGATTCCTCTTCCTTTGTTACATTTTCTCTTCCAGATCGTCAAATTCGCATATTTTCTTTCCTGAAAGGCAAACTTACTCGAAAGTACGACGAATCATTGACGGCAATCCAGGAAATGCAACAGGCCAGCACTTCAGTCCATCGCGTAGAGGACATGGAGTTTGGTAGGCGGCTGGCAGTGGAAAGGGAGCTCGAGATGCCAGGCCCTGATGGACGGATTCCTGCAATGTCGACCAATGCAGTGTGGGACGAAAGCGGCGCGTTTGTCTTGTATCCTACCTTACTTGGAATCAAAGGTTGGACGTGACTTCTGTTTGGCAGACTCAAAACTGACATACACGGTTTCTTAGTGGTCAACACGGTGACTAACCGTGTTGCGCGGCTACTGGGAAAAGATGAATCAGTCCGGTGGATGAACATTGCATTGTATCAGGGAGCGCCTGGAAAGAAAGGGCTAGCACCTGTATGTGCTGACTCATAATCGAGGAACACTGACAGGCAACTTTTACAGGCGATGACAGCGTCTGCGAATCCCATGCTTGCCAATAAGGGCATTCGAGACCCGACCCTCTTTTGCACGGGTCACAAACGCCAGCGCTTCTATCTCTTCACCCGATTCGAACCAGAGTAAGTGCTTTATCATCTGGGCTATGCTACATCTTCACATCTGCATCACAGAGACAGTAAAATTCATGACCGAGATGTCTTTAATGAACGGCCGACGCGTGAAGAACAGTCTATTGCCTCTGCGACCACCCTTACCAGATCAGGACCATCGCCTTTAGCTTCATCTGCAGTAATTCACACTTCCATGGGCGACATACATATGCGCCTATTTCCCCAACAGTCTCCTAAGGCCGTGGAGAACTTTGTGGGCCATGCTCGGAGCGGTTACTTCGAGGGTGTCATTTTCCACAGGGTCATTCCGAAGTTCATGATTCAGACTGGAGACCCATTGGGCGATGGCACAGGGGGGACATCTATTTGGGATAGGGAATTTGAAGATGAGTTCTCCCCAGATTTGAAACATGACCGGTAACTATTCAGCGTTTGCCCCAGAGTCAATTTCCCATGGCTGATTGACCCCATCACAGACCGTACACCGTCAGCATGGCAAACGCAGGTCCCAACACAAACGGCTCACAGTTCTTCATTACCACGACAGCAACCCCGTGGTTAGACAAGAAACATACGATCTTCGGACGCGTTTTCTCTGGATTAGAGGTCATTCATAATATGGAAAATGTGAAGACGAATAAGATGGACAAGCCGTTTGAGGACATCAAGATTGTCAATATTGATGTCGATTAATATGTATTACACATATTTTGCATGATCATTCAAATTTAAAGTGCAACACGGTCCACAATCTCTACGTGATGATGAACAAAGAGCGATGACCCTATGGAAGAAAGGTTTTCTTGGAACTGTGATTGGAGGCGTTTTGTAACGCGTGCCGGAGATAGCTCACGGTTCGTCTCCGCAAGTGAACAGGGACAGGAGAACTTAAGTAGAGTATGTGACTGATTGGAGCTTTGAAACGAAGATGTACGTGATGTTTCGGGGACAACGTTTGCTTCATAAACGTCCAAGGGTTGTCCACTCAGGAATGAGGTCTGATCCGCCGAGATGGGGATATATGCGACTGGGTAACCGATCAAAGTCGCAGCCAGAGGGACAAGAATCTCTTGCGTCAAACCATCAACGAAGGAAAATGAGATCTTGGCTTGATATTCTAGCATGTCTGCATTCATGGCGCATACAACGTCCAGCACTGTCTTTGGCGTGCTAGCCAGCTGGCAGGAGGCATTGAGATGTGACTCGGAGGTTGAGGTGTTCCACACCGTCTACATACTCACCAGTGTAGGGAACGCACCGAGGAGAACGTATGTGACCACGGCATTGCCATCCTCCAGCAGTGTTTCAGCGAAGACTCGCAGGACGCGAGAATTTACGATGAATGACTGAAGTGACGAAGGATCGTACCAATGGACGATGTCAGCAAAAATTGTACTCTGGTTCATCCGTTGTTCGATGAATTGTGTTGCGGTGTATTCCTGATCAAAGCGTACCTTCGACCGCAGGCCAGCAAGCACACGGGAAAACAGGTTAATGGAATCCTGTACAGCGAACGTGTCCACTAAGCAAGCGGATCTGCAGAGCCCATCAACGTCAAGCAATGTGTTTTTGCGACTACAAAGGCTTACCGGATGCCATGAGCGATCAGACATAAATCGACTGAGAACTGTTCTAGTTTTCCAGGCCGAACTTTTCGCAGCGTCCTTTGCGCGGATAATTCCTCGTGGGCTAGTTGTTTGTCCTCTAGAAAAGACCTCGACATCAACCTTGGATTTGTGCAACTAGCTAGCCTTTTGAGTCTGTGGACTGTAATGTGGTGAGTCGTGACTTAATAATCGGCGTTTAAATACGTTTGTGCCTAGACTTTGAACCAAGCTTGGTGCCTTCGGCTCAACGCTCAGCTTCCTATTATCAGTCATGTTGCGACAGGAAGAAATAAAGCCCACAACCGATTTCCAGTCTCTTGCTGAAGAACTCCAGTCTCATATTCTGAGTTTCCTTCCTTACCGAGATATTCTTCGATGCACATCCGTGAGCTACAATTTGCCAGTCGATGTGAAGTCCTTGATAAGTATTGACGATTATGTTGCAGCTATGTAAGGCACTTCGCCAGACGTACATATCGTCCTCCGAGCTTCAGTACATCGTTGAGCTCGGCGGTCAACAACTCCTCCCCGTCCCCAACGCAGACCTTGACCACTCCGCTTCTAATTCTCAGCGCCTACAACTCCTAAGGGACAATGCTCACGCATGGTTCAAGTTTGATATACACTCTTTCGAAACAGTCTCCATACCAGTACAAAATAAAATGTGGGTTGCCAACGGGCATCTCTGTCTGTGGGAGCGACATCATAACTCGACCACAGTTTTTCCAATACTACCGAAGCCCTCCCAATACAAGATCGAGTGTGATCGGGCTCCGACATCGTTGCGTTCAGATCCCAATGCATACAGCTTCGATGTGATCATGGACCCAGCGCAAAACCTTATTGCCATCGCATATGCTTCTATCGATGATGATTTCCATTGGGATGAAGAGGAGATCTATGTCGTCCTTGGGGTCCTGGATGGAGGAGGTATCCATCCCCAAGCCGCTGGACAGACACTGTTTCGGTCAAAGCTGCCTGGAATCCAGAGCGGTGATAACACTTCAACAGACCTTGGGTCATTAAAACTCAAGTGCTTCGGAAGGCATATCGCTTTGTGTTACTCCCTACGGATCACTTCTTCTGACTTTTTTAACGAGTGGTTGTGGGGGTTGCAGATTTGGGACTGGCAGCACTCAACAACGTCCAGTGTGAGCATTGCTCAGAAGCAGTCGGAAGACTTGTTGACACTCAATTTAGAGCGTCCTCAGTGACACAATACACCCACCGCGCGAGGCAGCAAATGATTTTTGTTTCCTCGGAAACGATAGGCTGCTGATTTTCGGCGATGATATGAAGCTCTATTCGATTGAGGACATGTCTCAGGCCCCGCAATTACTTGCGTGCTTCTTGTTGCCTGTCTCAGTGAAGAGCATACAGTGCAAGTACTCAATGGATGCTATTGCACATAGCTCACGACCCCAGATACTAAACCAACGGACGATGTGGACCTCGGACCCTGAACGTCAACTACTATCTTTTGTCACTTTCTCTCCCAGTCTCATCTTCATCATTTGCACCAGTATCTTCTTCGATCCCGACTTATTTGAAGGAATGCTAGAAGCAATACAGTGGGAAAACTGGGGCCCTTTAAATGCTCGTGTATTCCAGGCACCGAGCCGTTGCAACATTTGCGTTGGTGGAAATCGAGTTTTGTTGGCATTTCCTGCAAATGACACGACTAACTGGCATGTACCTCGAAAATATAGATTGCATGTGATGGACTTCAGTCCGTTAGCTGTCGAGCGTCGACAAGGTCTAGGACGAGTAGTGAAAGAGCCATCTACGATAGAAATCACAGAGTCGCAGACGGGGAAGAGCCTCGAGTTGGCGGAGAGCTTAACGACCTCTCTGCCTTACGTCGAGGTTGTATTGGACCAGGACAGAACATTTGGACATCGTGGGTTTGAAAATATATGGATGGATAAGGACAGAATTTATTTCGTAGGTTCTTCCCGTTCTTCAAGCAAGTGCGACTCGTTAATTTTATCTAGCATCATGGATCGAATCAGCTCGAGGTCATTGAGATAGCGCCAACTTGAAGGGCTACATTTGCGGCAAAGCCCACTACGCCGTCTGTGGCGTTTGGAAAACATTCACACGAGAAGAGTTGACTTTAAGGCGAGAACTCAGGAGAGTACTGAGAGAACTGTCAGAACTAAACCTTTGTTACTCAAAAGGGGGGAGAAGGATCAACTGTCCCTCCTGTACTATGTAGATCGTAAGGGTGCGGGCACCAGTCCCCGACTCTCCTTCGTGGTCGATTCTGTCGACAGATACCCGAACCTTTCTTAGTTTGAACGTGTTTTACGTCGTGAACGCGTGAACGACAAAGACGAAAGTAGGGAGCAAGTACTAGATGTCCACTAGTCATCAGGGAAAACCTCCTTTGGAACTTTCATAAAAAAGTACAAACTCGCGTCAAAATCAAGGGAATTCCAGGAAATCAACTACTTTGATTGAATTACTTGTATTTTGAAGGTATTCCAAAAATCTAATTATACTTAATACTCAGAAAATAGAACTATACTAAGTACTAGTACTTGTCCCCATTCATGTGCTACTGCGCTGAAAGTTTTAACTCCGCCGCAGAAGAACAAGACCATAGCTGTCGAGAATGAAGGCAATGCAGATATCAGGAGTGGAGGGTGATGCTCCCCCTTGTCGAGCCGTCGAGAGTGCACATGACGAGGATCTCCCACACGATGATTGCTCTTGCTGCATTGGGTGTAGCCAGACCAAAACCAACACTATGATGATGATGGGATGGTGAGTGGGTCAAACAAATGGAACACGCTGGTCGCTGAGCACTGAGTGCTGAGGTGGAGAGAAGCGACAAGCATCAACGGACACTATAGTGTGGAAATTTTATTGGGTGACGGTATAAGTACATAGTGAATTTATAGCTATTTGTGCAATGAAAATAGTCAATGTTGACTAATCATGACAAAGCTCCCATGGTTGAATTCAACAGAAATGCATGTCCATTCCAGTCCCTCACACTGCAACCCATACCATCCCATATCCAATGATGACCTTTCCTTCCAGCAGTGTTACTTTTCTGTCCCTTCAGCAACAATATGGACTACACCCCGCCACTGCCACCACCAACAATGATTCCAAACCGACCTTCATCCTGCCACATCTCCATGCCATGCCATGGTACATTGAGCTTTCCAAACCGCAATCGAGTCACATGACTCACTGACATACACATCTTTCTTGCTTCAGATGGTATTGCATTGTAAGTCTTATTTCTTTATGAAGTTCTTTTTTTTCTTGTACTCTACATGGCTTCTGCTCGATGTTGGCATTGTTTTGGATTGTAGTGATGTCTCACGCTCACACAATGGTTCTCATTGCCAGTTCTGGTAGCCGTCAATTCTTATTGATCATCTCTGATCGGCGCTGGATGAGACACCCGACACCCCTCGCTGAGCTAGAAGCTGAAAGGCACACAAATTCAATGAGCCGCAGGCATGATGTCGTCCGACGCTGCCAAACACAGCATCGAAACACAAGTTCCAGCGCTAGTTTGAATGACACCAACAGTTCCACAGCCGTATGTGTGTCTGATAGAGCTGGAGATGCCTGTGGATCACCTTCGTCATCCATGTCCATGCATTTTTCTTCACTGTCTTCTTCATGGAATGCAGGCGCAGCATGACACTTCTTGACAACTTTCACAGCTGGACCGCTTGCACCAGTGCCACGAGCACCTACACCACCGATCTTGTGCAGCACACTGCTCGGACGTCCATATTCAAGCATGGCACTGATATTCACGACTGCCATCATGATCCACTCATGTTCCTCAGCTCCCTCAATTTCAATGCACTCAAGGAAGCGAGTGAGAGTTGGCGAGAAGTCGTCAAGTTGGATGTTAGTGAACAGCATGCTGTGTAAAAGAACAGGGAGTTCTGGTGCGCGGGTGTCAGGTTGCGATATATTTTCTAGTTCACTGCAGTCACAATCAACTTTCGTTTGTACATACTGGTGCTTTTTCGAGTCTCCTGATCTTTTTGACATCTTTCTGTGGTGATATTCTCGTTTAATTCCAATATAATTGATGTTCGTTTATTTTGACATTGACTGAGTTCAGGATAATTCAAGATAATCAATCAGAAAATTCAAAGGAATTCACAGGAATTCCGACTGGAGTTGGATAATCTCGTTTACTTTTATTTACGAGGAATTCTCTGAAATTTGTTGAAATTACCTTGATTTCGTGAAGGAGGTTTTCCCTGATGCTAGAGTCCACACATTCTTGGTGCAATGTCTATTGCTCCATAATGCACAAACAAAATTTTTTAATTCTTTGACAATTTGATGGCCTGACATTGAAGGTACAACACCTTTTTTATTTTTATTTTTAAATTCGACTATTGAGTCCAGCGGAGTTCCAGCGGAGAGTTACTGCACAGAAAAGTGCATTTTCCCTAGTTCACATAGTTTGTCACATCATGTCACACATCTGCCGCAATGCCTTTTCACACTCCGCAATGCACCGTTTGTACAGAGCACCCTTGGCACTACTTTCCTCCCGTTCCCAGGGTCTAAGAGACCCGGTTTCGTTGTAGAGGGTCTGTGAGACCCCCCCTCTCGTAAGGTCACAAGACCTCTCCAAGGATAGTAGTACCTCTCTCCTCCTGTGAGCTCTCTGAGACCTACTAGTAACCTCTCGTGTGAGCACACCAAGTCCTCTCTCAGGATTGTGAGTACCTCTCCCCTCGTGTAACCTCTGTTGTCAGTCTCGGTGCTCCTGCTCCTCCTCTTGGCCCTCCCCTGGTAGAGGCTTCTGCCAGACCTCTACATAGCCTCCTCACCCTCCTCCACCCTCCTCTGCACCTCTAAGTGCTCCTTGATAGTAGATACTCGTGTTTATGTTTTTTTTACTATATTTGCATGTCATAATACAAATCATTTATTCCCTGCACGATGCGCCCAACAATTGAGCACTTATATTTGACTCATTTCACTCAAGGAGATCACTCATATAAGTCACCAAACAACGTGTTTATTTTCAGCAGCACAAAACATACATAGCAAGTGATGGAACATGATATGGTACAAGGGGAAGACAGCAAAAACAGCATTAGACAAGAAGACATACAAGATTTTCACAGCAAGACAACAGGCACCTCACAATTACCTTTGAATGGCGGCTCCTTCACGTTGTTCTTGCTCTGTCACCTGACCAGGTAAGGTGAGTGGCATATTGGCAATGAGACTCCAGGTACTCTGGTGTCCATCTCCTCGAGGAGGCTGGCACTGATATGCGCACTGATAGCCAGCATGACCCTCGTGACTTGCGGGATGCATGTATTCTCCACGAATATCCAGCAGGGGAGGTCCACACAAGTGGTCATCAAGAAGTTCATGGTCTGGGTACTGCACATCACAATAGTATGATCACCCATACCTGGTGGCATCATGATAGCCTGTGCTCCAGTTGCTGCAATATGGATACTCCCTGTGATAAGGGTAGTCTCCTCCTGGTTGTGGTTGCCTGGTATACACATGTCGGTCTAAGTCCTCGTGGTACATGTACACACTGTGTGGATCATCATTGGGGTGGCGACGGTCATCATGTAGTGCAGGAGAGTTGTCTCGGCGAGGGTGCAGGTCACGGCCATCATTGAGTGGGAGGTTGTGGACGTCATTTGCATTACGAGCCTCCCATGATTGACCACAATTGTGAGGATGCCAATTGTCATGAGGCTCACATGAGTGTGTGGTGTCTGCCCTGCGTGGGTCAGCATGGTGAGACTCTAGTACATTGTGGCCAGAAAGTGAGGGGCTGAGATGTGTGTCCTCCAATAAAGAGTGCAGCAGATTTTGAGGTAGTGGGAGAGGGGTGTCTGGGACAAGGACAGACTGCCCATCATCTGGTGCAAGCTCTGCAGGGTGATCTGAGTCATGTGCGGGATGGAACTGCTGGAAGAGTAGGTGTTTCCGTGACTTGTGCAGATGATGGATGATCAGCAGAGGTCTTGGGGTGTATGGCTCCATTATTGTTCTGTGAGTCTTCATCTTCTTGCAGGAGACGCACAGCCTTGGTCAGAACAGGTTGCCTTCCCTTAGGCATGGGATGTGCATGTGGCACTGGGCTTGTGTTAGTATGTTTTGACATGTATGAGTAGCAAATACCTTTTTGAACATCAGGAGGTCCATCGCAAATGCGCTTTGCTGCATTGTCTGTATAATCATAAGTCAGGATCACAGCTGAACTGCGATAATCATAGAAGACTCACCTATAGCAGGACATGATTATTGTTCGTCCCCTGAGGATTCCACCATGACAGGAGATGAGTGCCCTCCTTTGGTGTGAGCTTTGCCAGCAGCCTTTGCACTTGGCTTCTTCCCGATGACTATCTTCCCTTCTGACTCCTTGATTGATCATACATGTTTCTTTGTAGCTTGCGCACCACCTCCAGCCTTCAACTTCCGCTTCTGTGAGTGTGAAAAATCATCATAGTCCTTGTCACCCTCACTGGGGATCTCACGACAAGAACCATTGAGAGGCTCCTCCTCCTCCTCCTCCTCCTCATCATCATCATCATCATCATCATCATCATCATCATGAAGCTCGTCAACAACATCTGGACTGGACCGAACTTCTATCACAACTGGTTTGGCAGGGGGGCACTTCACAAGCTTGAATGGACACAATGGAGGTATAAGTACTTCAGGACACATTTTGGTTTTGTGGCAGATGGCAGTCATAGAGTCCATAGCTGCAATATCTGTGTACGAGATGAGGGGACCTTCGACTTCTTCTTCCTGGTTGTGGCAGAGCTGGGTTGAAGGTGTGCAGGGCCTTTATAATCAAAAGTCCCATTGATGAACATCCACCTTGTGTTTGGAAAGGGAGAGTCTGCAGGAGGTGCCTCACCAATGATGATGGGCTCCTTGGAGGCTATCACAACAACTGTCGAGGCTTCATGAGCTAAAGTGATTTCAAAAGGCTGTAGTATGTACCTCCGATGGCTTTTGTTACTTTGACAATGCACATTGTCTTTGCCTTCAATGTGAGAGTGAGTACATTGACCTCACATTGCATGAGCCCGGCAACACCTTTACTCTGTGAATTACTATTGTGAGAGTCTCCTGGCATCAAACTTAAGTGCAGGGTGGTACCCCTCAATATGTAGATGATCATTAGCGAGTGAGCTAGGCATCAATATCCATGGGAAGGGTCTACCCGCAAACTTGCCACCGAGGTCCACTGGGAAAAATTGTCAGGATCTCACTGTGAGTCTTTGTAGATATCGAGGATATCCTGATAAGAATCTGGGTAGGTGTTTTTAAAGTGCTCGTAGCACTGACGGCGAACACCAGTGCCTATAAAATCAATAATCAGCATGGAGTGAATAGTGTGCAGAAAAAACAGATCATTTACTTGGTGTCATCGAACCATCCTAGGGAGGAGCATCTTCACCGAGCCTTGCAAGTTCCTGGTGCATGCAGTCCTTGAAGTACCCCATATAAAGGTTTCAGTAGTTGGTGCTATTGATCACTTGACCTCGACTCTTCATCCACAGGCTGATTACCTGGTGGGAGGGCATTTTCCATCAGCTGCATTGTATCTGATGTGTGGGAGGTCATGAGTAGAGAGAATGGCAATGTGCTGCGCTACAGGGATGGACATCTGGGAATCATGCAGCAAGATTGTGCAGCCATTGAGGCATACATTGTTGAGATGGGCAGTTGAGGAACCAAGGAAGGATATCCCTTGGATCAAATATTTGTTGTGGGAAGCCATGGCAAGAGGGCCATATCCTAGTTGCTGCACCTGGCTCTTGCACAGTGATGTGCAGATCCTTGCGGGGCGCAGGCATTTCATCAATTTGAAGTACCTGCCAAGAGTGTCAAAATGGTAAGGAAGGTGGCAAATGGTAATGTACCTCCGGAACCGCCCAACAGATGGTGACATTAGCTTTTCCGCTTCGTCAATGTCTTCTATGTCCTCGTCGGCAATATCATCTTCCTTGAGGAAGTCAGAGAATGTGATGTGTGTCAATACTATACTTGATGCTGGCCCTGCTTCAAAGTCTAGGATATCATCTTCTTGGTGATCAATTGTGAGTATTGGAGGATTATGTATCCAACTAAGGGAGGCTTTGGTTGCACCTCGTGTGAGTGTCTTCATGAGATCTGTAGCTTCTTTGCACAATCAGAAAAGCAAGCCACAGAGGCAAATGGATTTTCCCAGCATGATCGAAGTTGAAGAAGGTGGGAGGAGAATATTCAAGACTACTTCCTTCATGGATTGGACTCCCAGTGCTCAAAAATCCCCGTATCCTCAGTCATGATTTACTTCATATTTCATGAAGACTTTTGGTTCAACCGAAATTCACCTTTCCTCAATGACTCAGCAGCGAGAGTGCGGGTCTCGACACCCTCCTGGTCAATGTACAAGCTATTGGGTGCTGCAGTAAGTCTGTCCATTAAATATTCCTCAAACACTCACTCAATTTAATCTGATGTTGGTTATATTGTGTCATCTGCCAGGCTGCAATGAGAAAACTCTTGAAAATGAAAAATGTCTTACAATTTTCTACTTTTGAGTTTCAGTCTGTTACAGCTGGAATATGAAGTGCAATCAAACAGTATTTGAATCTCCCGGATCTCAATGATGGCGGGTTCTTACTGTGGATGTCCACCCACCATTCGCAATGCTTGTGAGTGTGCGCACAATGCCAAAATTAATATATCAACTTTGTGACTACAGAAAAACACTCCGGTCTCATACTGGGGAAGGATCCTCCACTAAACAATGGAAGATCTATGTACCCCCGTCGTTGTCAGAACTGTACCGACCAAGAACAAATAACACTGTGGCAACCCTCTCAACATCATCATCTTCATTACCACCACTAACATCTGAGTCATCTTCTTTGTCCAACAAATTGTGGTATCCGCACACCATTCTACAATCACCTCAAGAAGTGCCATACACACCATACATCAATAATCACAGCAAAATGTCCAGGTGTTCCCAACCTCAGGCTTTCAGAGTGCCTGAGGTAGTATTAGAGCAGGGTGATGGGCCATCATTCACGCAGGACTATGCATGTGATGAAGAGCAGTTATATTTTGCATCACATTCAGGCTCAAGCTCACTGGCAGACTGGAGGGGGGGCAACTTCGTGAGTAGTTGAGGGCCCTCAAACTTACTGTGAAGTTCCATTTTTTCACATCATTTGGACTACCAGTGTTGTTTACCATACTATAATCATGATTATCAGTGTACTACTAGCAATATCCCATATCTAGTGATGGAAAAGACCCGAGAATGGTAAAGGCCACACTGTTTCTGTGAATAACACAAGCAATCAAGATTGAATGTTTGGTTACCTCGACAGATATAAGAGACTTGGTATACTTGCAATAATCACAAAACTAGTCATCTTCCCTTGCAGGTAATACACCTATGAAAACACTAATGTCAAATTCAGACAGTAGAAATAAGAAGATGGTTGAACAGCAAAGTTAAGGGATCCCATTTAGTGATCAAATTGTTGTGCCATTGTGCATACAATAATGCAGTAGATACTGAGAACAAAAGAGATGGAGCATAGTGTTTTGGTAGCAAGTGTTGAACCCAAACCTGGGATGGCAAAAATGCTGGCATTAACTGCCATGATGATGCTTGCCTAGCAGCCTAAGTGATAAGTGCCCTCATCTAGGTCAGTGACATAGCACTTGCAACCATAATTTGAGATTTAGCTTGACCACTGAAATTATCTATAAATGCCTTTATATCCACCCCATTGACAAGACCATCAACATAGATTTTTTATAGTCGTCTGAGCACCATTATCAGGATCCAGAGCATGACAACAGCAACAGCAGTAATGAAGGGAGATTTTTCCAGATCTCTATGTGTCTCACCCAATGAATGTGTTCACATCAAGCGAGCTTTGGGTTGGCCATAGTGATTCAGATATTTGTGATGTCCTGTTGTGTGCCTCAATCAACAATGTCTGATCTAAGAAAGGGACATCATATGGAGTATGTGCAATAATTTACCTGCCAGTATGTGTCCCAGTAAAGGCAGACAGTTCACTTCATCAAGGATTTTTGCCAGTTTTGTCCTTCCTGGCAAAGCAACAATGCTCCTTGCTTTTGCCTTTATGAAAGGACATGTGTTTAGCCACAAGTTGCTCAGCTGACAGAATACTGAACAGTGCCAGGTTTGTCTGCCTACAATTTTTTGCAGTGTGAAAATGACATGTCAGTTGATAGCCCTTGTTACTAATATAATGGAAAATGTTCTCCAAGGTTGGCTTCTGCAGCACTCTCAGACTAACCTGCCTTACTATGAGGCATCCTAGTATGGTCCCATCAACATGATGTTGACTACATACTTCACTGCAGACCACAATTTCATTGTAAAAAAACAACCTCACCATTATCAAGCTATTGATGCAGGTGGGTGCATATCTATGGATTCATATGGGCAAGTTGTTGGTTTATTCTTAGATGATGAAATCCCTAACTTTGTGGTTTCAAATGTAGGATCCGAGCTTGATCACGATGTCCTTTTCCTCATTTTCAAAGTGAAGAGGAAAAATAGTCAATTAGTTTGCTATGTATCCAAGCAGATAGAGCAATACATCTCATGGATGTGTGATATTCAAGTTGTAGTAACTCTAAAGCGTGTGTCTGTGAAGTCACTGAAGCGTGTCTGTGAAGTTACTGAAGCGTGTCTGTGAAGTCACTAAAGCGGATCTGTGAAGTTACTCTAAAGCACGTGTCTGTGAAGTCACTGAAGCATGTTAGTTAGTGAATGTAGAGCCTGTATGGCATGTAGTGATATGGTTGTTGTTTGTTACTGAGAGAGGAAAAGCTCATATACATAGTGTGAACTTAAAGCCATATATTATTGTAAATTATAGTGTAATGCTGACTGTTGGTGATGATATACATGATCTTTTACAGGGACTTTGTGGCAGGTTTGCTTAGTTCTATCACCATACATTTTAGTAGGAGTATTAATACTACCTGACAATTGTAGAACACTAGTTATGCATACTTGGCAGTCATTCTTCATACTTCTTGTATGCCTGGGAACCAATGTCTACTCCTTCAAGTGCTCCCTAATGCTTCCCTATGCTTTCTAGATATATACCTATATCAGGGCTGAGATCTCCATCATATGACTGCCCTTCTTGTTGTAGCATTTGCCTTGGTATATGGCAATTGCCATAACTGATGGTTACTATCATCCAAGCTTCATGACACCTTTTCCTGGCTCATACCACCACTTATATCAGATAGCTTAGTTATGGCCAAATTTATGTCACTGGTCAATATTGCTGTAGTTTTCGGAATTTTGAAACTCAGCTATAATTTTTGGCCCCCTGTGGCCACAATACTTAAAAATATATTGCTCTTTATATCAGGGCCTTCTCACATTATTCCCACACTTTGCATTTTCACATTTTTAGCCACCTACTGTGGGAATTACTCCACAACACTCGAAACATCAAACATATAAGAAGCATTAGGGATGACTGCCAAGTATACATAACTAGTGTTCTACAATAGTCAGGTAGCATTGATACTCCTACTAGGGTGTGGTGATGTAACTAAGCAAATCTGTTACAAAGTCCCTGTAAAAGACCATGCATATCATCACCAACAGTCAGTATTACACTATAATTTACAGTAGTATAAGGCTTTGAGTTCACACCATGTATATGAGCCCATTGTGGGTATAACAAATCTGCTGGAGAGCAGAAAGTGTTGGGTTTTGCTGCCTAGCTGCTATGTCTGGTAGACAGTGTCAGACCCTAAAGGGTTTCTGAACTAGGCTCAGAGCTCAGAAAGAGAAGAAATGATGAGAAAACTGCATTTAAAGTCACTCCAGGTGAGGTAAAGACCAACATGCTTATGTAAGCAGTCCAAATGCCAATATAAGCACAATCAATAGGAGGTAAAGTAAGCCTAACCAGGAACTGGTTCCTACACCATTCTCTCTCAGTAACCATGCTGAAGTTGTGATCATTGGTGATCAAGAGAAAAGAGTGACAAATGTAGGTAAAAAGTGATAAATTTGGCAAAAAATGCCTCACCAACACATCTGTGAATTTCCCTATTAGAATAATTGTGTAAGCCACCACAACCTGAGCTTGACCAATTCTAGTGTGTCCTCATCATGAACCAAGGGTATAATTTTTGTAGCAGATTTCAGGAATTCTTCTGCAAGGTAGTTAGATTTGCTGTAAGCAATGAACCAAAAAAAAGCTCACCCAGTCCGACATTGAAGTCTCTGAACTTTTCATCCCTACCAAGATTAACCTTTGGGTGAGTTTGCAAATAAGCATCTATATTTCAGATCTGCTGTTCACCAGAGGCATTCTCGCCAAACCCTCTGTTAGACCATGACATCTTACAGCTCTTATAAATTGGCTCATGGTATATCGGCTCTGCTCAATGCCAGCCAAAAATGGTCACCTACTGCATTAAATTCACTTTGCGATGACTGTTTGCAATGTTACCTAGTCGGCAATCAAGAGTTGTATGACACACTACCCTAAAGGGACAAGTAGTACTATCCTCAGCCATCTCCCACATCTTCAGCATATCAGCTAGTCAGTATGGACCCTCAGAATAAGGTGAGTAACACAAGCAATCACTGATCGGCCACTCACTGTACGAGTAGCAATATAGCCGCTACATCAAAGATCAGACCAACGGGTTGCATGTTGTAGTTAGATTGGTGTCAGAGCGATGGAGTTGTCGGGTGCTGCGCAAAGAGGAGTATTGCAGGTAAGAATCCAACTTACCAATGCTCAAGTTCATTTCTAACATCAATAGAAATGGGACTTGTAATGTGTTGAGCGTTACAAAGATTCACAGAATTCCAGAGGACTTGCGGATGGAGTCCCTTGCCGCCACTCTGAATCGAAATGAGGCTTTGCATGGGGTTGATGTTGAGGAGAGTGTGTTGAAGAGTGGGACATCATGTGAGTCTGTTGATGGTGAAATTGAGTGACACAGGTCCGGCAATATTGAAAGGAGTAGGAAACGCTGAACAACTAAATCAATAAGTAATCAAACACCAAGCTGGTCTGCGCACACCTACAATAGAGTATTGCAATGATCCTTTATCAGCTTGGGGATGAGGATTGTGTTGATAATGTATGAGCTGGTCAAGGGTGTCAGTGCGACCATAGCATGCGCTCGCGACTTCATCAACACCAGCCTCCTGGATCTTGAAATTGTCAAAGTTGTGGAGAGCAACATGAAGGACTGCACAATCTTCTGCATTAGGAAAAACTCCTTTGTCTATATAGATCTATATAGATCCATATAGCTCTATATAGACATTGTAGAGATTATAAATTCTATACAGAGGTGCCTATTATAACTAACTTGACTATAGAGGACCTTCTACTATATAGCTCTATAGAGATCCTTGTTTTCCAACTATACTATAGGTGTTTTCTCTCATCATAGCGCTCAAGTACCAGGAAAATTGTTCAAAGCAGTAATATTTCAACTATCTACTATACAACTTCTACATTAATTTGTAACTACTAGGTCAGTGGGAGAAAGAGCAGAAAGAGCAGGAGAGGAGAGGAGAGAGAGTAGGAGGAAGGGAGACAGCTAGCAAAATAGAGTTAGAAAAACAACAAGAGAAAGAAAAATAATGTTACCAAAAAGCAAAAAAAAACTTGAAAATTGACAGAGGGCCAGAGAGAAAGAGGAGCAGGAGAGAGAGAGCCAGGAGAGAGAGGAGAGAGAAGCAGAAGAGGGAGAGGGCCAGAAAAGAGCAAGAGCTGAAGCAGAGCAAGAGCGTCAGAGAAAAAACAAAGGGAAAAAAGAATAGACTCAGCAAAGGGAGAAGGAACCAACATCAAAGGCCCCACTACCAACACCACCAACCACCAACACCCAGGACTTGGCAGGAGAAATAAGAAGGAAGAGGTGCAACAAAACTAAGGAAAAGAGTGAAGAAAGAGAAGACGGTGTCTTCTTACTTGAGGGTCTTATATAAAATCAGTGTAAAATGTAGTGACAACCACAACTACACTTTGATAAGACTAGAAGTTGTCAGCTCCTCAAGTTCATGGTCAACGGATTTTCTACTTCTCGGTTGATAACGTGTTGTTCGTGGGTGGTCAAAGAGTAAACAAGTTACCTCCTTGTTTGAAGAAACTATATAAACTGTGTCTGTAGATTTGTTGTGTCTGGAAAAATGATAGGTATGTTTCACCCTAGTAGGTCGTGTTTCAACCTATGAAAGTTTGTCTCAACTTTGTCGTGTTCTCCTGTTTCGTATCTCTCTTCCTGTAAAAGAGAGAGGTCTTCGTTAAGTGTACGTAGAGCTTGGCTCAGTAAAGTAGTGATGAGTAACTTAGTTATCTGGACAGCCTACCTGTGGGCTCTTTAACCTGAAGTTACTTTGTTGAAATGATAGTATTTGCACTCTCACTATGTCTTGCCTTGATCTCACTCTCAGATTAGTGGGATAGGTTTAAAGTGTAAGTTTGTCTTAGTCTTACTTCAAGGCACTTGGTTTGCCTGCACTTTGACTATGTCTTGCCTGATCACTCTCAGATTAGTGATATTAGGTTTAAAGTGGGAAGTTATATTCGCATGAGTGTAAAATGGGCTCCTTTTATACCTTTTTGGAGGCCAGATTACTAAGCATGATTCATCACATGGATTGGTAAGAATGTGCTTACAAATCCTACCATTTGGTGTGCTGAGTCAGCTTGTTTTACTAATAATACATGTATCTTACAAAGCATGATAAATCAAAGGCATGAGTCATCTCATGGATTGGTAAGGTTGTGCTTACAAACCAAGCCTTTTGGTGAGCTGAGTCATCCTGTTTACTAAGAAGATTATAAATACAGTTGCAAGTCTTACAAACCATGACGAATCAGTGACAAAACACGATGAGTCAGGCTGAATCCTTACAAATCACCTTATTTCCCAGTCACATGACCTGATTACAAACATGATCAGTCAGCTAGTGAGAAAGTCTGATGAATAAGCCAAGAAAAAATAGAAAGAAATGGAAGGTCACAGAACAAAATAGAAATACATAGAAATCCCCGTGTATAATAGGAGAAATGAAACACGAGAAACGAGGCTTCAGAAAAACAGACTGATGAATCAATGAAAAATGATAGAATCACTTGGTGATATGGTAGAGTACAGTTCATTATACCTTCCTTATCTTTTGTATAGCACACATGTCATGGTATGGACTGCATACCATGCATGACAACGGTTGAGAGAACTTACACTTACACGGTAAAAGTCAACCGTGGGAATTTGTGCAGCATCCTGCACAAATTCCCACAATAGTTAAGGCAACTCATTAGGGGAAAGACTTAGCAAAATTTTCGCACATTTGACTACTACCATTAGGATTTTGACAAGGAGTGACTATGGTAGACCTTATGAATTTTTTGGAAGAAAATCAAAGTTATAGCCCTTGTCAAGGGTAGTCTTTCCATAGTCTCATGACATTTTTTAGTTAAGATCCTAATGAGTTATAAGCAAGAAACTACAAAGTGGTGTGTTCAAGAAAGTTCAGGCACGCAAATAATATGACTGATGTTTCCTTAATTTTCCTTAGCCAATTTCCACTTACTCAATTCTGCTTATTCTCCTTAGCCGCCTACTTGATTCTACTTATTCTCCTTAACCACCTTGGTAAATTTTTATAGAACTATATGACAGGACTTCAACTTTAGGGAACTTTCAGAGCAATTATAGATTATGCCAACTATTCATAATCTATTCATAATCTATAATTGCTCTGAAAGTTCCCTAAAGTTGAAGTCCTGTCATATAGTTCTATATAGCCAAAGGGCTTTTCCTGATGAAGATCGCTCTTGTATACCACTTCACTAAAGACTCTTCGTCTTAGTGTCTGATACTCAATTGATACCATTAGCCTCGTCATCACTTGATGACTATTGTCACCAAGTCCTGACACCAAAGATAACGATAACGAACCTTCACATTATCTTTGTCTCAGCAGAGACTTAGTATGAAGCTCTTACCTAAGTCTACACTTTCAGCGTAACATCACCCACCTTGGTCAATCCATTAACAAACCATTCCCCAGACATCGACTTCTACAAGACCTTTCAGCGCTTCATGACCATGCGACTGATTTTCAGTGTTCAAAGCTGCAAGATCACATGAACGTACTGCAGCGCAAGGTCAATCAGTGGTGTCAAGTTCAGGTTCTGTACATGTGCTCTGTTGCCCCCATCAGAACTGCCCAAAGTACTGATGTAAGAACCATCCGTCCCCTGGCCTCACAATGGATGATTATACATGATCTGGAGTCCACCTAGTCAGGTATCATTCCCGTGGTCATCCGCTGACTTTCGTCAACATCTGTCCCCATGCACACCATACAGATACATGCTCTGTTGGGGACATCAGTGTGTTCTCTCGGGTTCTATCCATCCTCGTCCTACCCATGTCCATCCATCCCCATTGGTGTGTCATTAGTCTTTTCTTGTCATTCTGATCACCCACAGTCCGTATTACATGTGCGTTCCCATGCACAAGGCCGCTTGTCATTACTTACATATTATCCCGCTATGGACTCACCTGTGCTTACTGCTATGCTTAGGACATTCTGAGTTTCTATGGATCATGTTAAATAGTCATGCTAACCTCTGAGAATACTACTTCCTTCTACTCCCTTGGACTTTGTGTCTAAGTTTGTGTGATCTTAAGTCCCCTTAGTCTTCCGCTCCATGGATCACAGCACGGACCCCTTTGTGCTCTCACTTTCCGTACTTTGCACTCCTTGTCCGTACCGCAGAATACTACCGGTAGCTTGTTACATCGAGACCTCGAGACCTTGCCACCTTGACACCTAGAAACCTCGTAGACTCATAGCTGTACCGCTAGGCATCTGCTCCGAGTTATCCATCCTCACATCAGACTCTGCCTATTTTACAAGTTCTTCTGTTCCGTATCCATAGCGGATTGCATAAGATCATAAGCCCGCAGGCTTGATTCCTTTGCCTTATCGCGTAGAGTATCTCTCAGTAGCAATCCCCTTGGGACGAGCAAACACACTTGCACTCATCTGGAACAGTAGTCTCTTTCTACAGACTACTCAAGATTACTTTCTCACACTGACACATTGATTGAGGAGAAGGCATGTCAAATCAGATTATTCCTCCCTTCTCAGCTCAAGGAACATACACCAGATGCTATCTATGACAAATGACTTTGCCGGTTCGAATGGGAACTGCGCCGTGTGCAAGCATTTGATGTGTTGAGCAACCTCCGCCTGCATCTCCTTCTTTGTACCCACCTGTATAAATTCAAGAATGTCAATATCCAGGGTCAGTGATTCAACACATGCACCACTGCCGTGTTAGGAAGGGTTGAGCGCAATGTCACAGAGGCTGTTGAAAGGTACCATCACACATGAACCACATTAAACTATCTATGCGGAACACTTGCAGAGGATGGCTTGCAGACCATCTTTCCAATACTGGAGCCAGCTCACATGCACAGAATGTCAGAAGGCGAGGCAGGTCAATCCAAAGGCAACCAGACTCTTTCTTGGATCTGGAAGATGCAGGGCATCTCAGCAACCGGGGAGGTTCTTGCAGATGGTGAGCTGTTCCCCATTTCTTTCTGATGTATTTTAATCCTGTTGTCAGTGCTATGCATTGAGTGGTGTAAAGCCAGAGCATGTGTGCACCACTGGACAGAAGAAGTGCAGCTTTTACTGGAGGAGATGTGGTGTGTCAGAGAATTCCTCTTGTGGCATGCTACATGGTGGGATGAGCAGGCAGGGCGAAGAACAGGTTTACCTGATGCTGTGAGTGAGGGCATCAAAGCTTATGCCAAATGCCAAGCATCTCTTCGGAGAAACTTACAGATAGCCTTCAACAACATGTGGGTCGTGATAGAGTTCTCCGCAACTGCAGAGGTACAGTTATAGGCTCAATGTCTCTTGCGCTGTTCGTGCACCAGTACTGTACTTCCATGTATGTATATGTCAATTCAAATTTGGTGTTTCTCCTAGATCCAGGAACCACATCAGAAGACTTGGCTCGCAATAGAAATCAGCGGCCTCGATTATCGAGATCAGATCAGATCCAGATTCAGAAACATTGGGAGACTGATGGCCTCGAGGGCATTATGTATAATGACAAGGGATAAGCATCAACCATACATAACAACTCGTGTCTAATCAGCCATTGTTATGCATAAGTCTGCTACAAACAGGTGTTCAGACTCAGTTTGCCTGACAATGACAAATCTTTGTAAATTCAAAATTTTGAATGCTAGACCAAGAGGTGTGCGAAGTAAAGGCTCTGGACACTAGGTCGTTGAATTTTTGACCGTAGTAGTAGTACCGTGACTGTGATATGTAACAGCGCAACCTTCCTAAGGTAGTCATGTTTTGACAGTTAGAAATTCAAAATGATTGAACATGATCAAAGAATGAAGGACCCAGGAAACCGCTGATGGTACATGAGTGCAAGTGGTGCGAGAACGTACAGACTAGCTTAACGTAGCAAGGGCATAGTGAAAGCATAGTGAAAGCATAGTGAAAACCGCAAACATAACAACAGAGTCCATGAGCGATAGCGTGCTTAAGTTGAAACTGGTGGTAGTAAAAAAATCAAAGCAAACTCAATGTCCGAGTCGAACTCTCTTCACCAAAGATGCAGCAGAAGCAAATGTCTGGCCATCGGACTTCCGCTTCTGAATACGACTCGACCCTGATGCAAGGGGAGCATTCTCCTTCTCAACAACGAGCAGGAATGGTGGCCGAAGAGGAACACCGGCTTTCCTTTCTTCTGCGCCAGTAAGAGCAATGTGAGACTCCCAAATGGCAAACGGGAGATGACGACCATGGGGCCGGGCTGGGTGGGCATATTCAGATGCTCTTGATCAATATGAGCTTCAAAGTTGTACCGCCAGTCAGTGTCCCGATTCTTGTGAACACAAAGTTTGCACACGATTGGCACGTTGCGACAAGGTCGATTGTCTGAACCCTTGTTCGCACTGCCATACTGATAAGATTCCTTGTGAGGACATTTACACTCCACTTCTGTCTTGCGAGCGGTCTTTTTGATGGTCACCGCACAGTCGGGGTTGTCTGATTGCCCACAAAACCCACAAGGGAGCTTTCCACCGAGCTGGTTAATGAGGACCTCTGGGATATTCGAGACGTGCGGAGAATGTGAATGCCCATATGCGAGCGAAGATCCTTTGTTGATTCATCACATAGAGGGCATTTGCTCGTGACTGTTTTACCTCGTCCTGATGCCATCAACAACTCGGTCCCAGCATTACACACCAATGCCACCGAGCCTTGAATAAATGTTTGTTAGTCACGACGATAAACCTAATCAACAGATACATACCATTGTGAGCACAATATGGAAAATGCGCGCTTTCAAAGCTGAGCACAGGAAGCACATTCACGGGAGTGTTCGAATCCATAATCTCTTTCCAAAGGAGCAAGATGGCGAGGTGTAGTGCATCTTCACTCAATGCCCATGTTGTACCCTTGGAGTTTACTTCTGCAGCTTGATCATGGGTGAGGTGTTCGAAAGCGTCAATGATGGTAGGATTTATGGTCTTTAACAAGTGGCCTGCAATAGACACGGTGAAAACTTTGAGAGTCGTCCGGTCTGTCCCAGGCACAGGAGACACATGCTTGAGATACGAACCATTCCAGATCCACTGCAATGAGGAATCTGTCATTGGATGATTGGAAGTTGAGGGCAGAATGATGAGAACCTCGCCAGTGACCTTTACATTACTGCGAGGTGATGTCAATGTGGCCGAGTTGATACGTGCACGAGGAACACCATTTTCAGATATCACAGTAGCACGAACCAGGGCGAGGGTCATGATTTTGTTGGGGGTGCGCATAAGTGTAATGAAGAGGTCGCCCGTAATGAAATAACTGCCGCATAGAACATTGCCAACTTCAGCATCGTTGACCTTCTTGTTAACGGACGTGAAACCTCGAACGCGAAGCAACTGCACTTGCGACTTAGGTGTAAAATTGGGTGTGATGATGAGTCGGCAGATGCTTTGCTTATGGACCCATTTTTTCTTGCACCACACGTAGTCCTGAGGATGAATTCCAGGGCCTTTGGGAGGTGCAGAAGCTGAAGGTTCAACATTTGAATTGTACTCAGGCTCGTCATCGTCAAGTGCAGGGTTGTCAACATGAGTAGGGTCAAGTTCTTGGTCAACGAGTTCTTCAAAGGTAACTGTATCCTCCTCGTCATTGCCCTGGTCCTCTGCAGCAGCATTAGACTGCTGCACAGAATCTGTTGTGAGGATGTCATGGTGAACGTCTTGAGGAACCTGCATCAGAAGGGAGCGATCTTCTTCGTCATTGTCATCAACACTCGGGTACTTTCCCTCCCCGAAGACACACAACAAGTCCATTCCGGAATTATGAGCAAAGAGGGTATTGAATTCATAGCACGAGCAAGAGATCTGTGAGTGCTTGAGGATGTCGATGGCTTTATCTCTGCCTTCACACCAGGAATGTGGGAGATCACAATGTCCAGTGACCATGTCGCCGACCCACATCGAACTGCTAATGTGGTCTACACCATCTGCACATTTGAGATTGAGACACCAATGGCCATGGGTGAGGTCAGGATTCCGAGCGTAAACTCCTCCTATGTCGCGTGCTGCACCCAGATGATCAAGAGCCTGGCGATATGTCACCACACTGTTGTGCCCTCCGCACATGCGAAGAAACGCAAATTGAAGTTCTAGCACATCGTCCCCTAAATCAAGCAGCGAGAATGATGCAGAAGCGTCAAGCTTCTGCTGCTTCGCAATACAAAAGATGGCATTCTTGGTGAGGGTTTGCATATCATAGTATAGTTGGTTGGGCATTAGGGCACGTCGTTGGCTTCGATAACAAGCATAGAGCAGGTGAGAAAAACAGCTGAGGTGGACGACTTGCTCCGATAGTGAAAGAGAGGCATTGATGAACAGATTGAGAATATGGTGGATTAATGTCCCGAGAAGCCTGATCGCATCAAAATCGGCAATTAAATCCACACTTGCTTGGGCACCCAGAGGAGTAAATGGAGGTTTTGTCGGATCAACAGCAGCGAGCTTGATAACAGCGGACATCAGCTCCACTGCACGTGGAACGTCTTGTGGATCATCTGGGTAAAGCAGCTTCTGGGCTCGTGCTTCATCAATACCATCAATCCACACTAGATAGTGTTGCAGCATAGACATGTTGATGCACCGCCCGTTATTAAGGAACATGCCGCTGCGTGAACACATCAAGGTAGAGATCCCTGCAAACACATAGTGCTAAGTGAAAATAAATAAAACAAAGGAGGAACATGTACATTTGTAGATATGCTTGTAATAAAAATCAAGCATAAAAGCTTGGTCGCCTGTGAGCAAGTTGAGTCCGGGAAGGTTCGAGAGAATGCCATATAGTGGGGATGTAACAGTGAGAGGTGTCCAAACGAAGGTCTTGTGACCAGCCTTGCGCCGTGTTGCATCGCCATCGGTAGCGACTGACCATACTGGCCCAACTCTGTTTGCTGCGTCGCTGCTAGACCATGCTTCAATTATTGTATTGAGGATGAACTCCATTTCCGGTGCGCCTTCTGATTTACATGTTGGTGCAGCAAGTATAGGATAAAGACCTTCCTCTCCAAATATATGGGCACCGACAACAGTGATTTCCTTGCCCAAGTGCACCTTCCCTGATTTCAGGGCAGCAGCTATATTAAGTGCAGATTGATAGTTATTGAGCGAGACGTCCACGAGATTTGCATGGGTCCAGCAAAGTCCTCCCACACAGTTTGACTGTGGAAGGAAGACTGCAGCTTCTTCCTGTGCGGTCTCATCAATGAGAAGGCTAACACCACGCATTCGAGTTTCGGTAGGGGATAGTGTAGCGAGAATGACTGATTCAATATTTTGTTGAATAACGGAAGTTGTGATACATCCGATGACTGGTGCAATTTTGATGAATGATGCGTGATGAGACAATGTCCATAATGAAGGAATCGGAAGTCGCTGACTCAGTGCGTAAAGAAGGTTTCGTCCACCAAGGTGGTGGATAAGGATTGCGAGATCAATGGAATCTTTGCTATGGCCTCGTGGCCGATATCCTCATTCAATAGCATCTTCAATTAAGTGAAGGATTGTATGGACACTAGCGCCATTCTTGAGAGCCATTTGCAATAGATTCCATAGCCAAGGGACATCACATTGCGAGAGAGCCATAACGAGTGAGGTATGATCTTCTAGTTGGGATAATAAGCGCTTGATTTTGCGGTCATCGTTAAGACTCTAACGTGGGCATGTGAGTGATTGATACATTGAGAAATGTGAAAAACATACCTGTAAGTTGAGTGAATTGACACTTGTATTCCATTCGGTTATGACTTCGAGGAGCTGAACGGGAGTGAGAATCCCATGACGAGTGTAATGATTGCGATCCTTTGCTAGTTGAGCGAGACTGTTGATACGGGGCTGCAGTTGTCGACAGGGGATGCAGGATGGCTCACCATCTGCATCGTGGGTGCAAATTGGTGATCAGGCATATAGCATACCGTCGATGAGGTTAAAGTGGAAAGGTAGTTGGTCTGGGCCCTCTTGTGTGCGTAACCATGGGAAGTTAGCTCCGACGGGAAGCCCAGGTTGCATTGGCCAGTCGTGCAGGGCAAGACCAGGGCATGAGGCAGATTTGACAAGAGTAAGTGATTCCAATTCCTAGCTGTAGTTCATCAGTAAACAGTCGATTAAATTAAGGATTGACTTACGAAGAATTTTGCGAGACTCGAGTGGGATGGAATGCAGTGTTAAGTGTTAAGTGTGAAATTTTCATAGACACTTGTACGGTCTTCTGCAACTTGCGCTTGGGACCACAAGTTTGTGACCCATGGTGCTTCTCGAGTGCCATAAATTGACCTCGAGTCGTAAGCTCGATATGAGTGCGGATACCAGTTTTCACCCAACAGCCTTGATCGGGACACTGTATCTCCCAAGTCTTCGATTCACTTATTCGTGTTTTGAGAGCACGGTGCTGATAAAGTTTGAGATAAGAAGTGCAAGTTGCTTCTTCGACGAGTTTTCTTTCTTCTGCTGGATCAAGAGATGTAGAAATAGTAGGTTGGCTTTGAGAGCTGCTGGAGGTGAGGCTTAAAGGCAAAGAAGAACGTGCTGTGTGATTAAAATGAAAAGAATGTTGGCTCGAGTCGAGATCATAAGCGATATGCAAATTAGCGCCAGGACAATGGCTTGGGAAATTTAATTCAAGTGCCTCATTGTCGTCTGACACAGGTTCCTGGGATGACGTGATATGGTAATGTGTGTGATGATTACTGTGGGCCTGCGCAGTGTGCTGGTAAAAGTTCATGATGGTATAATCCAAGTGTGTCATAGTGTACAGTGATGGTATTTGGCAAGGAGAAATGTGTCTTTGCGACTGCAAGAACATGTCGGTCGATCGTTTGCGTCATGTATCAATTAGGAAATCTGCAATTGATCTGCAAAGTTTGATGTTCTTCAAATGTTCGGGCACATTTCATGTTTCGAAGCTTAAAATCAACAAACGATGTATGTGGAACTGTTCTATAGACTAATATAAAGCAACTTTATCAAGATATGGTACGATTTTGATGGGTTCTGCGCCCACTGTGCAAAAACTCATGCAAACCTGTTGTTTTCTCGAAAGCGGCTGAAATATGGACCCCTGGCACCAGTTTGGTACTAGGTGCCTGTAGGACCTCGTGTTCGGCTTTCGCCGAATGCACACCTCTTGTGCTAGACAGCGCAAAAAATCGTGACCGAACAGACCCTTAGTCAGTAAGTTAACTACTTCACCATGAGTATATTCTACATACTATACTAGCATATTCCAAGTGAAATGAAACAAATCCGTTGAGAAATGGTGGAGATCGTGTTTTCAGTATGACAGCAGCAAAAATCACGAATTGGTGTCCCCGCCTTGGCTGCTGACATCAGACATTAAATTTAACAGCATGTCATTGAACTGCAATCTGTGAGTAAGTGACTCACGAAATAGTGGACCGTCACGAATAGAGCATAACCCATAGCAGTCATTCAATCAGCTTGCATGTCGAGTTTTCCCGCCCACCCGGCGGCAATCTCGCCAGCGTTCGAAACGAGCTAACGCTCGGTCCCAGCCCAACCACTGATTGTCTGACATCAATGTATTGCGATAGCAATTGATGACGTATAAAAACACGGTACGCAGGCATATCAAGACTGGTGAAATCAATAGTCAGCTAGTACCAAGAAACCACTAACAGCCAGTATATTTACTGACACTTGATCAATTTACGCCCCAGCAGATATATACTTCATTCTTTCGAGCTCGGATATGCTTTGTTGCTCCTGCACAATCCACTTATTTGATGCATATACGATCCAGGTCAGAAAAGCGGCGGTACACCACCATGCTGTGGTCTGCCACGTTTTCCCGCTCAAAATTGAAATTGTAGGAGAAATCGCCGAAAGCCCGAATGCGACGTTATAAGCAAGAGGCGTTATTTGCCGTTTAGCAAGAAACAAATTCCGGGGGTGAGTGAGCAAAGCAGCGTTTGCATGAAGGATGATCGCGAGGAGTGTCAGAACAGGACTTAGATAGAGTGGAGGCTCTGGTCTGCCAGCTGGTGGAAAAACAACAACTAGTGGACTGCTGTAGTCGGAGAAGATGTAAATGATATGCCTGACAATAATCGTTGGCCCTGTATCACTGGTGCATTGTTGTGCTCACAGTAAACAAGACAGTGCAAGCGTAATCTGCAACGCAATGCGGTTCTGGTTATTCGATGCTGCATTCAAATTTTTAATGTTGTCAATAAGTTCACTTTGTTCTGCAGTTCACGAAATTAGCATATCTGGTGCCCCAATGAAAACGTTTGCCTGCATCACCTTGTTCATCCAGGACGTGCGTGTCATGTAGTTCAGATAGTTCAGAGGAGTATTTGAATGGGTTCCTTCGCCGGAGAGCATCCATGTTAAGAATTCGATGTGGGACGTTGTCTTTGACAGGTTGAACGAACGAATTGGCTGCGCAGTGCGCAAGAGCAAGCAACGCAAGGCATTGTCAAGTTCAAGTGAATCACGTGAGTCACAGTTTTATCTTATCAGCCCCTGCCACTTAAACTTTACTGGGGTAGATTACTTCAATCCGCGGCATGTCTGCAGAAAACCAGTCGGCCATCGTAGAGGGGCAGTTCGACGATGCTCCTTCGGAGACCGCTGTCCGAGCCGTGGATGACCAGCAAGATCCACGCGTAGGCGGATACTTCATTGACGATGAACGCCTTCTTCAATGGTCTGACGAGAGCTCAGAAGATGATGATGGAGACGAGCTAAACGAAGATGACTTTGAAGATGTCAGAGCAGACGATGAAGATTGGGAGGTCGCAGAGCGGGGTGAGTTATATTCACCCTTACGACGACCGATGGCTGATCTTCCTAGATTTTACCAAACAATATAACCGGCTTCGGCAGCATGTCGCTGTGCGCACTGGAAACGCACAGGGAATCACATCCTCCATCAATCGCGCAGCTGTCGTTGCACCTCTCCCTGCGGTAAACAAGCCGCGCAGTGCGGTTTCTGCGCATGCAAAGGACAAAACTGCTGATCAACTGGCTGCTCTCTCCAAGTACTCATCTCGTATCGCTAAAATTGATCAACCGTACGTCATGGGTGCCAGCGTGAACAGAAAAGGTCCTAGTTCATATGCAAATGCGAAGGACAAGTCAGATCGTGCCACATCTGAGCAAGTACTTGATCCCCGCACTCGGATTATCCTTTTCAAGATGATCGGACGAGGACTCATCCAGGAAGTGAATGGATGTGTTAGCACCGGAAAGGAGGTGAGGTTATTTGTATCCATCTCGGCGTATTTGCCTACAGGAGCGTTTAGGCAAATGTTTATCATGCTCTCACCCCCACCTCCACGCATCTTGCCCTCAAAATATACAAGACATCGATCCTTGTGTTCAAGGACCGTGATCGCTATGTGACAGGCGAGTATCGCTTTAGGCGTGGCTATAGTAGACGCAATCCGCGCAAAATGGTGCGTCTGTGGGCCGAGAAGGAAATGCGCAATCTTAAGAGACTCGTGTCTGCCGGGATACCATGCCCCGAGCCCATCGAGGTCAGGGAAAACATCTTGGTAATGGGTTTTCTTGGTGATGAGAAGGGCTGGTAATATTTTTTCGTCACGCTGAAGTCTCTTCCATCGCTCATCCATCGCTTGGATGCCAGGGCATCTCCTCGCTTAAAGGACGCCGACATCCCCTCTGCATCATACCCGGCATTGTACGAAGAGCTCATCCTCAATATGCGGAAAATGTATCACACTTGCAAACTTGTTCATGCCGATCTTTCCGAATACAATATTCTCTTTCACGGTGGACATCTCTACATTATCGACGTCTCACAATCCGTAGAACACGATCACCCCAGCGCGTTCGACTTCCTAAGGAGTGATATCAAGAATATCGAGGACTTTTTTGAAAGGTTTGGGGTGAAGTGCCTCGGTTTGAGGCGATGCTTCGACTTCATCACGAGGGTGCACGTAGTCGAGGAGGGGCGGGACGAGGGGTCCACGTTGAACCAATGGTTAACAGAAGCCGAAGAAGAAGAACAAAGCGCCCCACCTATGAACGGAAGCAACAACACAACCACCTCCCCATTGAACACATCAGCTACTCATGAAGACAACATTTTCCTTCAGTCATACATCCCCCGCACGCTTAATGAGGTATACGACCCTGAACGCGACGTGGAGGTTCTGACGAAGGGTGATGGGAAAAACCTGATTTATGCAGAAACCATAGGTTTGATGCATCCCACCTCTGCTGTAAGCCAGGAAGGCGAAGTCAGACTACATGTGCACTTCAAGGGCGAGGGATCATCGGAGAAAGATGGGGACCTCGCTGACGAAGGCGAGTACACGAGCGATAGTGAGGAAGAAGGGAGTGAAGAATCTGGGGCGGCCCAGAAGGATGTCTTTGACTCTCGCACACCTAGGGGCCACAGGCACGAAGATCGGGAGGCTAAAAAGGCGAGGATCGCTCTATCAGGGACTAAACATATTACTGATCTTCACTCAGGAGCGCAAAAAAGCCGTCAAAACCGAAGCACGTGAGAAACGGAAAACCAAAATACCCAAGGCAGAGAAGAAGCGCAAAATAAAAAGCTCGCGAGGACACTAAAGGCCCCTTAGTGTGCTTTTATCTTCGGTTGATTTATATTTTTCATTGAATACTGGATATAGAATATAACCGAGCTTAACCATCGGTGATGCACCCATGGCTGGCATCCTCGACCATTTTAACATACTTGTAGAGCGTTCCTTGGGTGACCTTGATTGGTGGGGCAACCCAGGCTTTCCGACGGCGTTCTATTTCCTCAGGAGAGATATGTAGTTCCATGGTGTTTGCCACAGCATCGACAGAAATGGTGTCGCCGTCCTCTACAAGCGCAATAGGTCCACCGACCTGGGCTTCAGGGACGACGTGACCTATGCAGAACCCATGAGATCTGGTAGATGACCCATCAGTGTGGTATAAGTTATCAGCGGGAATGGCACAAACCCTCCGCTAAATCGTCCGTCTGTGACACACGCGACGTCCTTACCAAGGCCGGCACCCATAATCAAGCTGGTGGGCTTCAGCATCTCACGCATACCTGCATAGCCCGTGCATTAATATTACCGCTCGGGTCAAAGACATCATTTCACTTACCAGGGCCACCCTTAGGGCCGAGGTAGCGCATGACGACGACTGTTTTTTCGCCCTTTTTGATTGAGCCAGACTCGACGGCGGAAACAAAGGCCTCTTCTGAGTCGAAGGTGCGAGCTTTTCCGGTAAACCCAAGACCTTCCTTGCCGGTAATCTTGGCAACAGCACCTCCAGGAGCCAAATTACCACGCAAAATTCTGGGGTTGTTTGAGATAAATAGACAGCTAGTGAAAGATAGAAATGCCGAACCTGATGTGTCCAGTAGCTTTAATGGGGTTATCGAGGGGACGGATCACGTCCTGACTAGCGGAGAGTTCCCCATGCTTGTGTACCCAACGCTCGAGGTTCTCGCCTAGAGTAGCGCCAGTGACGGTGATGTTGTTACCGTCAATGAAATTGTTTTTCATCAAGAAATGAAGTATCTCTGTAGTTGGAAAACATATCGTGAATGCGGAGATCGCCGTGATGGTCAAATCACTGACTAGGTATGCCTCCAATTTTGTAGATGTCCTCCATGACATACTTGCCGCTTGGCTTGATGTCAGCGAGGAAGGGTGTTGACTCCGACACTCGTGCGAAATCGTCAATGGTAAGCTTAATTCCTACGGCGTGTGCCATAGCAATGAGATGTAGCACGGCATTCGTCGAACCTCCTAGGATCATGGTGAGAACCTGTAACTTGACATCAGTGGCCGTAAGACATTGTAAAGGCGTTGCACACCATAGCGTTCTCGAATGCCGAACGCGTCATGATATCGCGGGGCAGAATGTTTTTCTCGATGAGATTTCGCATGGCAGCACCAACTGTCTTACATTCATCGTGTTTCTCTTGAGACTCGGCTGGATACGACGAAGACCCAGGGAGGGTCATTCCAAGGGCCTCAGCTGCACTGGCCATGGTGTTCGCCGTGTACATCTGTCAATATGTCAACAAACCACCACTGAGTCAGGTGTAGTGGTACTAACGCCTCCACAAGCGCCTGGGCCAGGGCATGCATGTCGCACTGTCTCATACCTGAGGGCTTCTGCTTCTGGTGTCTTTCTGTCTTGTAGGTATTGTCCGTACGCCTGGAATGCGGAAACGAGATCCAGCTGAGGCTGACCCGCGCATGAGCCCGCGCGGATGGTGCCTCCATACACCATAAGACCTGGACGGTTGAGTCGTCCAACTATACGAGTATGATAATATGTTAGTGCATATAGTGGATCTGAACAAGCATCTCACTCACGAGCCATCAGCACACCCGGCATATTCTTGTCACACCCCGGTACCACAACCATTCCATCCAACCAGTGTCCGCCAGCGGCTGTCTCTACCTGATCTGCAATAAGGTCGCGCGACTGCAGAGAATATGACATTCCCGCCGTGCCCATGCTAATCCCATCGCTAACACCGACTGTACCAAACTGGTAGCCAATGAGGCCGGACTCGACCAGGGAACCCTTGATTTCCTGCCCCAAGCCAAGCAAGTGTCGGTTGCATCTGAAAGCAACATCTTAGCCAGAAAATCTATTTATGGTACACGTCCTTCCTTACGGATTGCCCTCATACCTGAACCGTAGTCAACGGAATGGCCGAAAAGGATTTGATTGACTCAACACTCACCAGACACTAGCGACACCAACCATAGCTTTTTGGAAGTCATCATCAGTTTTGATACCTTCAGTGGCGTACAGCATAGCCTACGAACATGAGGTTCTCCACATTCTTTGCCCGACTCAAATGACTCACTTGGCTTGCACCTTGGTCTTTTGGTTGGGTGACAGTCCTGCTGTAGCGGTTCATGATGGGCTTGTCCTCGCATCTTGCAGGAGATGACCACAGTGACCTCGTTTGCCTTGCGAGGCTCCTGCTTGCTGAGAGTCTCGAATGCATCGTCCGCACCTGCTGAAACTGTTCTCGATCAAAGAAGTTCAAATAAAAAAATATTGACCCCCCCTCCCGATTTGGCAGGTTACAGCGAGAGTCATGGGGGATGCCGTAACATGCCACTGCCTGCCTCTGACAGCGACACTGCCTTTTAGCAACCAAGAACGACGATTTCAATCGAGATGTTCATGTAGTGCTGTTATGTCTCGGATGTTTTTTACTTAGGTTCTGGATCATAGTTCCGTGGACAAAGTATGCATGTGCTTTTCATAAAGTTTTTTTTTCGGACCGTCTCCACGGAAGTTGAATTTGAATCTTCATCTCGGGCAGTTGAATCAGTGACTGTCGTGAACTAGTGCTAGGTCAACGACTGCGCAGTGAGTTCATGCCAGGCACCCCCTCGAAGACGCTATCGCGATATTAGACTTTGTGGCCTACCAGTAAGCAGGTCCGCTTTGTACAAATACGGAAAGGCAGCCTCCCCGCCGATCATGTTTCACTTTGGTCATCCCCTCGATACTGAAAAATCATGATAGAGTTAGGGTCATTGTAAGCTCCCGCCAATGGCGAGTCAAACTTGCATGTTTGACTCCGGAGTTGAACGCGGCGCTATTAGCCTATTCCTTGGCGGTGTGTTGGCGATCTGACACTGATCAGGTCTGCGTATATCACAAGTTTCCAAAGGGGGGGAGGGACAAAATTTTCCTGGAATTTAGACACCGGTACGAATATGTGCATTATCTGGATCATCGCGCCAGTTGTTCCGCCATTCGCCTCAAAAAAATCTGTCTGAGCCATGCCATAGCGGATGTAAACTTATTCCAGCGGATTTTTTTTCGTTTCTGTGTCCGTCTTCCCTTCGTTGCATTTAGCGAGCTCCTCACAGAACATCGACCAGCGTTCTCAACGTTCTCGCCATTAGAGGACATCTCGCTAATGGCTCTCAGCAACATCATCATTTCTCAACAATTCGAGCGCTGCTGAAAGAAGCGACCATTACCGTTGCCCCAACGCTCCCTCCAGACTTTCACAAGTTTACGTTCCGCCTAGATTGCGACAGAGAGAGGTATGGAAGACAGAGATGATAAGCTATCAAGTTCGCTCCCAGAAACATTACACGCACACATAATACGTCCCAACGATCTAGATGGGCCCTCCGATGAGGCGTCATCGAGTGTTCAAGACAAACATCCCGTCCAGCGACAGGCCTCCAAATTTATATCGTCGTTGACTCCTGCGACCTTTCCAAACAGTCATGGATCACGAGGGGAGTCATCGCACAGATTAGTCTCACCAGACATAGAAGAAAGTGGATATAGTACCCGAAACGGAGGTGCTGCCGCTGGCTTCGCGCACCTTCCAGGCAGCGAGCCACCCTTCCACTATCAGTATCATTCCTATACGTACCCCCCACTCCTTCCCAATCAATATCAATATTATGTGCCTTCACCGAACACTTTTCAAGGCGGCGGGGCAGGGCCTTCATCATTGCCCCACAGGGCCCGCAGGCCGGGAGGTGGCAGTCGCGCGCCAGGAGGCAGTCGAGAGGGAGATGACGACAAAAACTTTGGGCCGACGTACGACTTGTCCCTCGATGATGCACAAGAGATCGGTAGATACTCGACTTCACAGCCAAGACCAGTGCCCGTTGCGCCTTTTTTCAGCAGTCGTGCAAGTAGCCCCAGGCTGTACAGTGCCCCTCACTGTGAGTCCTTGATTATGTTTGAAAAATACTGTAAATTCTGAATTTTCCCTGAAGCATATGACGATTCTCGTCGCCTACAACAGCCTTCGCATCACCTTGAACCAAATACCATACGACATCACTCGCTTCCTTCTCGGCCATGGGACACGGGTAGTCGCTCTGGGTCCTCCAGTAGTCGACACGCACCAGGAGCATTGCCAAGTGATCGCCCGATTCAACGGGCATCCTCGTATTCTCTCCCTTCATTTGGTGATTTGACGCGGCCTCTCAGGCAAGAGTACTCCGACAGAGGGCTGCAATCGCCCCCGTTCGGTGTACTTGACAAGACACAGAAAATCTTGCCTACAGAGGGATCAGTAGAGGGGAGAGAGTCCAGTAACGACAGACCTACCGACAGTGCGAGTGCGTCTAGGCGAGGTAAGAGAAAGCGATCAGACACTCAGGACGAAAGGAAGACCAAAGCTGGAAGTAAGATCTACGTTGCGTGTGATTTTTGCCGAGGTGAGTGGGTACCTTTGCAAGGATTGCTCGAGAACTTGAACTCCGATTGACATTAAATTGCCTCCTAACTTTACAGGGCGGAAGCTGCGATGTGATGGGAGCAAACCTTCCTGCGCGAATTGCTTCACACGAAAGCTGAATTGTGAATATAAGGATCACCCCAGACGTCGTGGCCCTGGAAAAGCACCGAAAGGCTCGCGGACCAAGAAATCAGAAGGGAAAGGTCGAAAGGGGAGGAAAAGTTCTAAAGCAGCCGCAAGTGAAGCTGATAGGGAAGGGTCCGAACAGCCTTCAGCTGCAGCACTCCCAGATCGGCATGTATTTGAGCCACCGATGATGTTACCAGGTCACAGTCACCTCCGCTTATCCGAGCTGGAGGCCGTTTATGCGCCGCCGCCCTACGCTGATCGGCCAATTGCTTCGAACTTGCATCGGGAAGGAGCAGAAGCGATAGCACACTATCAGTTTACGAGCGGTGTGTTTGAACAAGGAGGAGTGGAGGGTTTGAGACCAGGCTGGGGACGAGACGAAGAAGACAGCCGGTCAGCGGAGTCTGGACATACATCATTACCTCCTGGTGATACAGACGAGGAGGTAACTAATTAAAAGGACTCGAGGACGTTCAGTGTTCTTAATGTCGTGCGATGCAGGATCGACACCCACAACTGTCCACGGTGTTGACGGGATGATGACCCGGCGGCGCACTGCTTGTTACGTATTCTGGAGATCGGATACCTGTTTATCGTTGCTACGCTCTTTTCTTGGTGAGCGTCTTTTTTGAATGGGCTCTCACGTTCTGTTGACGAGAAATGAAGTCTAGATGCGAATGTTGTTTCGGAATCACCCTCTTTTCCGTGGCTGAGCCATATCCGCCGTACCCTATTTCCTTGATTCAATCCTGGTGCTGTGATAACCTGGGATTTAATTTTCTCAGCTCCAGATAGCCTCTGATAACCTATCTTATTATAATGTTATCATTTATTTCTATGATATACTCGGTAATAAATAAATGAAATTATTGAATAGAAAATTCAAAATAAATTGGATGGATTCAATTCAAGTCGGAGGAATAAAACCTAGGTGTAATGAACCCGATTGGTTCGGTGCATGTAGATTTCAGGCTCGGCTCCGTTAGCTTCCCTCTTTTCTGGAATTTCGGTGTTTATCATCCCCGCGCTTGCCTCACCTCGCGGGCAAACCCTCACTCTGTCTCCCCCGAACGGACATTCGATTCGTCTGTCATACTCACGATGCCGCTCGTCGTCGACAATGGCGAACAACGCATCATGAACGATGACGACGACCGTATCACAATCCCCCCTTCCGTTCAGTCCGTCCCAGGGGCCACTCACTCATATCCTTCTAACACTCTTGTCCCCGGAACAGTTGGCAACGGCCATGATTCTCACTCAAATGGCTTAAACGACTTCAGTGGCTATACAGTTATGGTCGCTGGTCAGCGCACCGGCAAGACTTCCTTTCTCCGTCTTCTCTTGGACACCAGTGAAATATCTTCTACCGCCACCAAAGACCAGCTCGCCTCCGTCGCAAAGTTCGTGCAGGGTTGCAGCGGTCATACATCCCACATACGCACCGCATCCATCAATATCGACCATGATATTGACCAAAATAGCACTCCTCAGGTCCTTACTCTCACGCTCGTGGATACACCCTCTTTAACGTTCGAGGATGAAGCTGCCACCGAGCGGGCTATCCATGAGATACTCAGGCATGTCGAGTCTAGATTCGCCGATGGCATCGAGGACGTAAGTTTGCCCAGACTCCACTCCTATGCCATATTGAACCTCAATTTTTCGGGGTAGGACTGGAGATCCCCAACGGGTGACAACAACATCCATTTGTGCGTTGCTGACATGGGCGCTTAGTCGCCGCGTCACTGTGAACTGACCCACGGACCAGGTGTATATACTTCTTGGATCCCGACGTGATTGTTCCACCTTCTGTACCAGGACCTCCTGCTCCTCTCGTCACCCGTGCTCGGGGCAGTAGCTTCTCTGTCACAGAGCCGGAGCCCGTCATCCTCGAGCCCCCTGTCAGCAACAATCCACTCCTATGCCGCCCTTCCCTTCCCATTAGCGAAATTAACACCATCAGGCGGCTTTCTGCTAGAGTCAATGTGCTCCCTGTAATAGCACGCGCAGACACGCTTACCAACGACCGCCTTGCGGCCGTCAAAATGGCTGTCCGCCGAGATCTCGCGGAAGCCGGCATTGGCTTCGGAATCTTCGATATGGACACCCATGCGCAGTTCCAGCACCGTAAAGACGCGGCTGAATCTACGCACCCTGTCAAGGGTGACATGGTGAATGGTTATAGTGGTCATGCGAATAAGACTTCTCCGCATGGCCGTGCTTCGCCTCCGAATTCCCCAGCAGTAACGTCTCTCAAACTCCCATACGCCCTTATCTCACCCGACATCTACTCGCATAGCGATGGTGTAGCTAGAGTGCCCCTATCACGTCACGAGCTCGTACAGCAATATGCTCCTTTGGTTCTTCGTCACACTGCTTCTAAACTGACGCGCGGCAAATTCATCAGAAGCTATCGGTGGGGATCTATGGATGTTCTGGATCCCGTTCATAGTGACTTCATGCCTCTCCGCACTGCTATATTTCATCACATGGAGGTAGGTATTCCCCGTTGTCCAACTTTTAACGTCACCATTAAAATTTACCCTCGCCCAGACGCTGCAGAAATATACTCGAGAATATCTTTTTGAAAAGTTTAGAAACGAATACTTGCTTCAGCACCATTCTGCTAACCACCAGCTTCACCCCCATGCCCTACAACAAGCAGTCCCGCGTACTTCTGTACCTCTTGCGCATGCTCCTCGCCCTGTTTTAACTATCGAGACACAGTCAGGTCATGGCTCTGTCCGACATCCCCCTCTTCCTATGGCCCGCGATGTCCTTCCTGGGGCGGATCTGCGTGGGCCGCCACTTTCCCGTCCGATGACAGATGGTGCTTCTTCATCCCAGCTTCAAGGCAAGACAGCGTCTGGTAGTAAGTCCATGCGTCGTATATTGACTCAGATAAATTTGTACTAACCCTGAACAACAGGGTCCTCCAAGCAGAGGACTAAGAAGATCACAGTGGCTTGCAACTTCTGTCGATGTATGTAGACTCCGCCCTCCCTTGCGGATTCAATACTCAGGACGCTCTCTAGCCCGAAAACTCAAATGCGATGGTGGACGTCCTGCTTGTAGCCAATGTGTCAAGCGGTCCAACCTTTGCGATTACATGCCACAAACTAGCAAACGGCGCAACCCCCACCGTCCACCCAAGGAGGATAGTGAATCTGAGATGAGTGGCGAAGACCGATCTGCCGAAGACAACGATCCTTCGGTTTCCCCCGAGATTGTTTCCCAGCCATTGTCTCGCAGGAGCTCCAACGTCGTTGACAAGCGACCAATGCTAGATGGCTTTTCTGCCATCGCTGGCCCATCAGAACCCCGCGAAGCTCTTAGGCCTAAGTCTGGTATAGCAACAGGAAGTTCAGGAACTTCCGATGGACGTTCGCTGTTCAAGGACAACGAGTTACCCCATATCGCAACTCTGTCGCTTCCCGAGACCTCCCCCACGGCTGCGATGAGCGCTCCCCCGCTCCCGCCGATTAGACCAGCCTCAGAGCAACAAGCTGCTCAGCGAAAACGCGCGTCCACTGTTCCTGGGAGGAGCAATCGTCCCGCTGCCAGCACCGGTCCGAAAGTGGTGGCGTGCAACTTCTGCAGGGGTTAGTTTTTTAAACCTTGCATGTTGTTTGGGACTGATCCAATCATCCTATCTAGCGCGTAAGACGAAGTGCGACGGAGCGCATCCAGCCTGTTCCAGCTGTGCGCGGAGGTCGCTCCCATGTAACTACAATCACGACTCCAGCGCCAACGGCGCGAACAAAAAGGGGGCTCGACGTGCCTCAACCTCCAAGGCAACTGCCCCCCAATTACATCTTTCTTCTGTACATTCACCTCCTGCCAACTCTCCCCCTTCGTCAACCGTTGTCGGCGACTCTCGTTATTCTGCCGGAAAATCCTTTGAGGACAACCCAGGAGAGGCCATGGACGTCGATTTGAAGAGAAAGATGGACGACATGGAGCCTTTGCATATCCAAAAGAGAATGAGGGTAGATGAAACCACCGGGAATGTTATACCATGAGCATCATTGATCACCCCCTCCTCCCAGACCCAATTAGGTGCAAACTGTAGAAACAACTCGCTCATGCACTGTCCCTTGGAAAGCTTGGAAACTGTCGTTGAACGTTATGTTTTTTGGGTTATCTCCAAGTGTTCTTGTCTTGTTTTGTGCATGGACCACGATTGTACTGTATTTTTTCTCCTTTGCTATTCTCGTTTCGGGCGCCAATGTTTTCTCTTCGATATAGCTATCGTCGACCATTGTATGTATGTTGGGGAATCAATCAAGCTCAAGTTTGTTTTGAACATTGGAACTCGTCGTGTTACCCATGGGGGTCACTCACTCAGTGGTGGGAATCAGTTGGTTGTCATGGGTTGCCATGGGCTTGTGATTCTTGTCGAAATATGGATTTGACTTTTCCTTGACACCAAAATTACCGCTGAAGCGGCAGCCCTGTTGCCTGTAAACCTTTCTCTTTGGCTGTAAATTGACATTCCTATATCCCACACGTTCTTTGTTCTACCAGTGTTCATACCCGTCCCACACTGTCGCACTCTCACTATTCTTCTATTTCTTGGATCTTATCATGTTTTCTTTTCGCAGAAGGCCCCAAACTTCAGATTCCACGGTGTCACCACTGAAAACCTCTCCCTCTTTGCCTGAGCTGCATTCTCAAGGCATACCTTGGCCGGAAAACTTGGTAGATGTTACTGTGATACGCGAAAGTCCCCTTCCGGAGTCAGAACGTTATCCACAGCAAGGTGCGACCAAAAGCTCTGTATCCTGCTCCGATCGTGCCCCCATTCCGTTCCACAAACCATTTCGGTTAATTGCAGGACAACCGGTGGAAAATGGCAGCAAGATTTCGTCTATGTATATGTCTCACCCCCCGTCTGCGTTCGGTAATTGGAGATCTTCCACCGTGCCTGTCTCGTCACCACGGCGAGCCCACCGTAAAAACCGTGCTTCACCTGCGTTCAACCTTATGGTATGTTATTAAATCAATATCCACAAACTGGCTGAAATACGACGCATCGATCAGGTTGTAGGAGCAAAAGGCACAGGAAAAACTTCGTTTTTGCGTCTGCTTCTCGAAACTGCCGACATATCGCCAAATGCGACAGAAGACCAGCGTGTGGGCTTGGACCGGTTTTTAAATGGTTCTCTGAAGCACACTCAGAAAATTAACACAGCGTGTGTTGAAATATGCGAGTCACGGTATGACCGAGTGCTTCTGACCGTTATTGATACCCCTGGACTTGAATTCGGCGACGGGCACGAGTTGAGGGTTGAACGTCAGGTCAGTGGGATGATCAAGTATCTTGACGCTCAATATGCAGATACTATGAATGAGGTATTACACGCGAATTTGTTTTTTTGCAAAACGAGTGACTGAATGTATATATATAGGAGTCTAAAGTTGTCCGTCAAAGCAAAGGGGATCAACATGTTCACTTGTAGGAATTTTGTCATGTTAACAATTATTGATTCAACATTTTGGACTTACTTAGGTGTATCTTCATGGTTGACCCCTCGACTATATTGTCGCCATCGTCACCTTGCACCCAGTCGCCTATGTCGGGAAGAGCCCGGTCAGATACCACGGTTTCACGTACCACCGTCGGAGATACCCAAGAAGCCAACTACCATCAGGAATATTCCAGAGACTTCGCAATGTCCCCCGCTGAGCTTCGCGTGATCCGTCGTCTTTCGGCACGGGTGAACGTGCTTCCTGTTATTGCACATGCGGACTCACTTACGGATGACACGTTGTCCTTGGTGAAAGCTGCCGTTCACAGGGACCTAGAATCAGCTGGGCTAGACTTCGGGGTGTTCTCCACACCCAAGCCGAAAACGGACTCCCCCATACCGATATCGCCCTCAGACGATAATGCCACAACAATGCCACAAGAAGTAAACGGTCACCGTGAGAACGGCAACGTCCACCAAAATGGGGGCTCTTACGTTGCAAATGATAATGAAAACAAGGAACGCCCGTCGCGTCCAGTCATCACACTGAAAGGGACGCGGCTTTCCCGCTCTCGGTCCCGTTCTCGTCGTGACCTATCTGCCGTAGCTCAAGACGAAAGAGAGCCTTACTATCCCGATGGCGCCGAAGAAGATAGTGTAGCGAATATTCGTTTCTCAGCTCATGTTGTCTCCAAAACAGATCTCTCAACGTTACTCCCCTTTGCGCTTATCGCTCCAGAACAGGCAACTGCACCGCGGGTTAGACGGCCGCAGCCAGCTTCCCCTGAATCTAATTTCTCCGCTCGGGAAGACACGACAGGGCCCGCTTCCCCTGGGGCAGAAACACCCATCTCCCCTGATAGTCCTACCGTCCGCAAATCCGTATTTTTTCGAGGTCCCCCGGAGGATCTCAGGGGCGTGTTTACTAGGAAGTTCAGATGGGGGACCGTTGACGTACTGAACCCTGATCACTGCGACTTCGCTGCCCTCCGAACAGCGATTCTATTGACTCATCTCAAGGTGAATAATTTGCTGACGTACTGTATGCACTGATGATGTACGGAAACGCTCCCCAGGTTCTCAAGGTACATACTCGGGAAGTTTTGTACGAGAAGTACCGAACGGAGAAACTCTTGGCTAGGCGTGCAACCAGGAACATTGGCCCCGAGGAAGCGAAGCGTCTGTTGGAAGGTACGCCACCTGTTTGTGAATTACGCTCTCGTGACTCACTCCGTCCCCTAGATCTTGGCTTGTAATCTCGTCAATTTATTCTTATTTACGAGTTCGTTCTATCAGATTCCATCTTGTACTACCTAGTGTTTGGTCACTTCCTCTGGACCATTTTCACGTTCTCGCTGTTGATATGTTATCGTTCATACTGTGGATCTATTTTTTGCATTCCCTTTTTTCACAATCGGGAACATCACGTTGGGCTTGCGTCCCCGCACTTTTGGATTCATCTACACTCTTTGGAAATACACTGTTATCCCTATGAACCCCCTCTTTGAAATAGACCGTAATCTGGCACGAGGCCCCCCCTCAAAGGTTTTGAGACTCGAACTAACTAGGAGATAGAAGCATAAGCGAAATTGGCTCCGTGAAGAACCCCGTGAGATCAGTATTGAGAGCCGACACATAATGCAGGACGACGAAATCATATACCACTAGAATAACATAAGTATAAAGTTCAGCCAAGCAATTGAAGGTGATGGAAGGGGGGTACCGTAGTACGTTAATAAAAACACGAATATAATATAGAGAGCAGCGGTTACAGACGATAAACACAGCGACCGTGAAAGAGCAGATTAAGCTTGATCCAAGTCATGGTCAAAGCGGGTTTTTGCCGCAAGTAGCACTCCCAGGGTACCAAATTGCCGCAGCGGCAGTATCCGTACATAATATAATTTAGCGGGTCGATTAAACAGGTCAAAAAGACCAACCCTTCGGTCCCCCCCCCACAGATATAACGCAAACTTGCCATAGGAGCAAACAGACCTAAGTAATACAGGCAGGCCCTGGCAGGCCGCAGAACACACCCGCCCAGAACGGAGAAGGCACAGGCACTGTGGGAAATTGGAAATATGTAATGTATACTTGTTAATTCCATAAATAAAATAATTATAATTATAAACCAAGTATCTTACCATTTTAGGGTACTACCACCAGCGATATGAGCTGACATAAGCTTCCTCTGGACAACTCATCGTCAAACGACCATGGCTTTGACGCAGGTCTCGCTGTTTTTTTTATTCAAAGGAGTCATGCAATGCTTCTATGCTTCCTTTGCTATCTGTGGTATTATTGGTGGAACAACTGCTGGCAGATGCGGTCGTCCTGGGTCCCGAGCGTCGATACGATGCGCGCTCTGCTCCAGTGACGCCAATCTGTCTGCCTTTGTCCTCTATACTCATCGAGAGCCGATAAAGGTTGCGATTTAATGGTTGCTTGAATTGCAGCTTTTATCGACCCAGAACCACCATAGCGGCTCAGGACAGTTTAACTTGATTGATATCAAACTTGGATTAACCCATCCACCTCCGATTTATGGCCTCGTATTGATATCAGACGATTTTCCTATGCTAAGGCCACATCCGTGCGGATCTCAGCCGACCCTTGTCCGATTGTTGGTCTAGTGCTTTATCAAAATAGCAAAACTTGACAACGGATAACAAAACGGCTAATCTTTGTGGAGATTATATGCAGTGTCCCACCCAATGAGTTGATGCTGTGAATCGTACAGCTGTACGCATCGGGCGAACAAAAGCAGGGATCGGCAGTTTGGAATTTGAGCGGATATCTGGAATCAAGCGCTTCAGCCAAGTTTGAGCGGAGATCTCGAGACAGCCCAACAGCAATCATATGCTACGCCCATCACAGAAGAGTGGCACGACATGTAACTGTAAGTACTACAAGTGCTGTACTTTGCAGTGGCATGCACGATCTCCTCCCAAAGCAATCCCAATCTCAGTTTTGCCAGCGAAGATTTATCAAATACTCGAATCCAAATGTCCCATCGGTAGTGGAATATCGAAAGATAAATCAACGAATGTCGATAGAAAGCGACAACAACATAGATAAGCATAACCGATAGAAAGCGACCAAAAGTTGACTATTGTGATTATGTATAGTAGTACCAGTTGAAAGGTAGCGAGGGAGGTATACAACGTAAATGGGTTTAAAAAGTCAATGAATCTGTTATGCAGCAAAAGCATCGACCTCTTCCTGTGATAAACCGTCCAGTCTGTGTAGGAGATAATCGACCTGGCAAAATGCATTAAGATGAACTCCACTTGGGTGTCAAGGAAAGTAAACGCATACCTCGACCTCTTTTGTCAGAGGGATGATGTAGCTCTCGTACAACTCCACCACACCATCAACATCAATTTTTGCACTGCCATTCATATGAGAGTTGACGATTGCGTCACCGTCGGAGCTGAATTCTTGTGCGTATATTGCAGCTTTCTTGCGCAAACGCTGAAGGAGCTTGCGCTCAACCTCTGGTTTCGTAACCAGTGCCTCGAGTGCGGCTGGATTAGGGGTCAGGATGTGGGGGATAAAGGCAGCGGGGTTTGCAAGGAATTTAGATTCAGAGACAAACTTTCCTATATTCAGAAAGATTAGAAGGATGTCAGGATTGGCATTATGAAGTGACTAACCGTAGTGGACACGTTTGCTAATCGCCTGCAGAACTTCAACATCTATTGTGGCTGCGCTGCCATAATTACCATCGTCCTCGTATTCTTCATCCCCAATGATCCCATTTGAGCGCTTGATCGCAGCTAGCGCCAGGGTCGCCCGCCTTGTTATCCGCGGAACAATGGAACGAGTGTAGAAAGACAGGATCGATGGATTTGCATTGATGGAGTTTTGATGTAGTATTTTTGGGAAAGCCAGAGGTAAAAGTACTGGAACAGGGAGATTGGACGTGAAAGGGTATTCATCTGGGCTGTATCATGACGTTAAAATGTGAAACAGATCTGATTGCATGAATATACCTTGTATATCTACGAGCTCTAGCTGTGAAGTGATGGCACTTAGCATACTGGTAGCTATGTTTAGCTATGGTCAGGGTACGAACCATGGAAGGTTTCGATCTCTTTCAAGAACCACTCGAGCCAACTGCCATCAAATTCCATATCCCTCAATTCCTGGAAGGAGCCACGGATGTAGATTCGGGGGTTGTGAGCAAACTGCGCTCGCTCTATCAAATCAAAAATGATGGTGTCTTCAAGGCGGACGAGAATTTGACGTATTCGCTCAAGAGATAGAGGGTCTTTCTCTAACATGAAATTTTGGGACAACATGATGAGGTCACGAGGAATGGGTGTTCGGGTTGAGTGGAGGGGCTGTCAGGACTTGGATGTGGTACGGTTTTAAGTATGACTCGGATGCCACTAGTGATGGAACGGGTTGCTTCCACGCTAAGCAAACGCTATGAATGCAGAACACAGATTCCGTTGTCAAAGCGCCAAACTAACCGCCACTGGTGAGAGTTTGAAGGCAACTCCACGGTTCACTCTAGTCCACTTATATTCTGATCAACTGCTGGTTCAATTTCAAGTCATTGGATAAATTTTCGGCCGGAAATTGATGAATTTATCCACAATATTACCGAACAATTGGTCTTTTCACTCATCACGCCATGTCCATGTCACTTTCCTACATACAGGGCCTAGTAGCCCGAGAAAGCAAGGTTACATCCTGTTACATTCCTTTCTCTGCCTCAATATCCGAGGCCGAAGTGACGAGATTAGTTCCTCGGCGACCCGACGCGGACTGCCGATTTGAACAAGAGTTGCTTGAACAAGGGGCATACAGTTGACCTGGAAGTCAAGGGGTATATCCTAGGTTACTTGTACATAAAAGTGAAATATATCCATCTGTCGGAAACTGTTTCTCCAGAACAACGCGTCAGTTATTCATATATTTAATATTACATAAACCCACTGTTTCACAGTGCCAACCTGTAACACCATGATGAGACTCTTGGTTCGCCCAAACTTCTAAGCCGCTTGACACGCCTTCGATTCAGTCGCCCGCATCTGACTGCCACTCAGCCAGCCAGTGCGATCTTTGGGTATCACTAATTTACGTAGCCGGAATCGGCAGGCTCCCTACACCCCGCACTCCATAACATTACCCCGTTGTCCCTTGTCCGTATAAACTCCGACAGCCCAGCCGGGCCGGGTGGCGATCCATGAACACCATGTTCCTAGGCGTTCGGCGTTCGCGTTCGGGCTTGCCCCAGTGAATTACGCGCGCACATAATTTATTACCACTATGTAGTAATAGATACATAGCGGTTGCAAACGAAAGGCGCGTTTTGCACGTCTTCGGCGCCAAGCATCATGAATGTTCCGCCACGTAGACAGCGCGTGCCTGGGAGAATACGTTGTACCAATCATTTAACTTGCGAAGATAAAGACGAAGCAACTGAGGGATACGCGATCCAACGGATGCGGCACTTGGAAGCCCACGATCTGGTGATTGAACCACGAGTCCAGCGGAGATGGAGTCACATTGGGAAGCACCATTGAATTTCTTTTGCTCTTTTCAATCGCGCTAGGCTTCAATGAACCGCGGAACTCCCACTCCGAAGTGTGTCTTCCTTCTTGATGTGAGTTGTCAGCTTTGTCATAACTCTTACCAACGCCCGGCAGCGTGTGGCGGATCACTTGTCACGGGAAGTAAAAGGGAGTAAACGACGGAACGTGTGAAACCGATGGCCGCAAGGTTCATGGTTGTGGCGGGAATAAGCGAAGGTGGTATCAGGTATCGAGACGTCTAATGTCCGGGACAGGACTCTGCATAGCACGGCGATAATAGCTGAATGATCGACACCACCAGAAATACATCGAGACGTTGAGATCACCAACGGACGTCAATGGTAGTGAAGTGCAATGTAGGGATGTCGACCACGATCACGATCGAAGACTTATCATGCTTTGTTGAACAAGATGAATACCCCCGGTAGAAATCAAGTAGAAACGCAAACTGTGCTTTGTCATTCCTATAAAGGAGGCATATCAACGCCAGGCTCCCATCGAGGAGAAGGATGTGATCCGCTTCTACCCGTGCCGATGACCGAGGTACCGCAGTATCGCTATCGCAAGTTAATCCAGCGCAATGTACGAGAGAGGCGCTGTGATAGCTGGAGCGGGGAGTACTGTTCTTTTTGGTGAGCTTAATATGTCACGACGCACCGGATCTTAATGCTGCTATCTTGGAAGTCAACGGGACACCGGGTGGAGGTTGGCTGTGGGGTACTGCATGAAAATCTGTACTAGGATATAAACAGCATGTAGTACGCATGCCCCACGCCGCTTTTTGGAAAGACCGATATGCCCTTTGAAAACCAAGGCATGTGTTTGTGGTGAAACATGCTGGCTCTTCACTTCGAGCCCCGAGACGAACTGGAGTCTCGTCACTTTAAACCATGACACGCAGTCATACATGGACCCAACGGCCATTACCGCTCCTATCGATCCAGTGGGTCCATTCTCGGCTAAGCAACTGATCAACGCAGATTTGCTTCAGGAGCTTGGGAATATGAGAGAAGTGGATATGAACATGGCACGCGCGAGGTGACACCATGGCTAGTGGATGATGTCGTTACCCTGTCTGCCTTACACTATCTGAAACCATTCTAATCTTCAGGGATGAAACTCCTCGGACATGTGGCTCCAGCCGTATAGGACCGTAGTACCTATGGTGCGGCTATGATGGCAATTGGAAGCATGAAGCCACTCGTGTCTTCGATCCTGCCCCAGATGGCAGATAACCAGGTAATTGGATAGAGATATCGGGAAGACATACTTTTGAGAGCGTACCGTATACATATCCACGCTCATCATTCATTAATGTGAATGCAGAACAGAGGATATCATAGAACCAGTTCGTTGAGAACAACTCGTAAGTTACGTAAACACGCCTGAATCCACTTGAACACCAAATCACACCCTTCCTTCATCTCCATCTATCTGCCAGAAATAAGAAATGGGATTCATGCTGCCATCCCCAACCAACCCAAGAGAACATGCTCGTGCTCTCATGTCTCAAAAGGAGAACATCGAGGCAGAACTCGACGCGCAGTTTTCTATTCTTAAAACCAATAACATAGATATGACCACATCCCTGGTTGATCGGGAAGGGTTTCCTCGGGCAGATCTCGACTTATATGCCATACGGCACGCCCGCAGACGCATAAACGAACTGCGAAATGACTTGAAAGCTGTCATGAATGAGATTGAGGCAGCTCTCCAGGCGGTATATGATCCATCGGCAGCTGCGTCATCACCCGTCGCATCTGAGGAGGTCGCGCAGCACACGGGAGTTACGGATACTGCGGAGTCGCTAGTTGCCTTTGCAAGAGTGGATGGCGTGGCCCCGGGTAGCCCCGCAGCAGAAGCGGTGAGTTGGTATAATGCTCACATCAAGGACGATGCCGACAGAGTTTCACTTGCAGGGACTTCGACGAGAAGATCTGATATTGAAGTTTGGATCCCTCGCACAGTCCTCGTTCACAGCAAATTCGTTGCAGCCGCTCGCCGATCTAGTATCCGTCAGCGAAAATGTTGGTCTGGGTTACTTTCGCGTACCTCCTATCTGCTGACATTCTCCAGCGAGAGCTTCAGGTCATCATATCAAGGTCTGCGGAAACCATAACATTAAAACTCATCCCGCGCAAGGGGTGGGGTGGGCGTGGCATGCTAGGGTTCGATATATCTGGTCGTTTCCCGGCACGAATCTAACAATCATCCACAGGTGTCATATTGTCCCTCACGGATCGTAGTCACTACCGACGCTCTTTTGAGACGCCTCCATTCATCACATTTGTATATATATGAGCATACTGTTGAAGATCATTTGTTCATTGCTGGAAATCTTGGTAATGCCGCGACCTGCTACGTTGCATTGTGAAATCCATGGATCGACAGCCCGATGTGGGTTTCCCGCGTTCCGGGTTCATATGACGTGCTCGAGCAATTATCAAGTCGTCATTTCCCAAGTCTTTCATACTGGACCCATCTCGTATCAATCTCGGCGATGCAGGCCAGTTTGTCGATTACAAAAAAGGGGAATCTCGGTTGAGAAAGCACGAATGGGAAGAGATGTTCAGCCACCATGATGTCTTCTTCCTATACTTACTTTTTCTATTGATTCATCCCGATCCCAATGACTTTAATTTCATAGCTTCTCACATCGCTGGCAAAGCTTTGAAAACGGCCTTGTCCAAATTGACGCACATTAGCAAAGCCACGCCGAACACGAAGTAAGTGAGCGCTCGGGGAACAAAAATGTAACGTGGAGCGTTGTCGCGGCTTAGATAACCGCAATGAACTCCGGGTTTGCAGTAGCAATTTCAAAACCATCTGCAGTGCGATATTGCGCCATACAGGCGGGCGATACGGTCGTTCGGCATGGACAGATTAGGTATGAGTCCCAGAGAAAACGCCTTACATACGTGAATCCGTGTCGATGAACATAATATTGGAGCCCAGGTCACTGGTCCAGGTGTATGCGCTTCTCTCGTATTCCATTAATACGGAATTGAAATCAAAGACGCAGTCATCGCTGGCCCCGCTAGGCAAACAGCCATCTATACATTCGAGCGTGACTTGTGTGTCGATTGCGTCCGAACTGCGAGTCAGTCTAGCGCTGACGAGGAAGCGGAAATTAAGCAAGGTTCAGTATTTGTGCAGCGTAAAGAATTACAACATCTTGATTATCCAAATAAACGAAAAAAAGAAGGAAAAATCGGACCAAGAAATACAACTCATTCTACACCAAAGCCTTCCGTTTCCCTGCAAACAACCAAAAAAATCAGTATGCGTCTCCGAGATCGGACACATCAAAAATGAACGCACTCGATAGCATACGTCAATTTTTTCTCGAGGCTCTCGTAATCTTCGTAAGGAGGCAACTCGATCCTATTGAAACACGTATGACTCCTCGGGAGCTGCGATGGATCGCCAGACTTGTCGATGGTGAATCTCCGGGGTCCATCCGAACCCTGTAGATCCTTGAAGCCATTAACAGGCACCCTGGAGGTACCCGTCGCAAATTGAAGTAAACGCGACTTGCGTTCTGGGGGCCAGCTACGAATGCATTGCCAGAACCACTCGATGACTTTATCCGTCTTTTCGTATCCGCGGTAATCAGTATATTGGATCCAGTCATCGCTGCAACGCATCTTTAGCGTGGTAACGATGAGCATGGTGAGAAACGCACGTATCAATCTCAGACATCCCTCCTATAAGCAGCTCCAGTTCTCGCTCGTCAAAGAGTTCAACCAAGTCTTGAGGTATGATCTCCTGGAAGCCGTGCATAAAGGCTTGCGATTGTTCCCGGACTCTTGTCTTAGTACGGTATTCCACAACCGCGTCGACGTACTCCTTCTTATTATCTTCGGTGACGGGAATATTAGCTCCTCCAGGCTTCAGCTCGACTTCCACAATCTCGCCAAAGCGGTCTTCCGTAGAAGTGAACGTTTCGTCCAAGACATCAGTTATGTCATTTTCCCTGAATCAAGCAGTTAAGTGACTCGATCTAGCAGCGACGAGGGCGGAAACCTACAGCATCCAGACCAGACTGCGGTGAAGGTCGGCGTCGACGCCTTCAAGATCAGCCAATGTCGACTTTTTCCCGAGAATCATCTTGTAGAAACTCGGCACGAAGTAGGCATCGAGGAACCGCCTGTGGAATATGGCAAGCCCAAGACATCGCCCAATAAATTTGAAGTACGTCAGGTGCTCAGGATTGATGCCCGACATCCAGTTCATCTGAAGGGTATAATTGTCATGTGCGGAATATTGGAACAAGCCGTAAGATGGGTCGAATATCTCATGTGACACCAGGAAGAACCACTCCCTGTCGCAGCATGGTTTAGAACAAAGTCATCTCAACAAGTGATGTTCGTACCTTGAGACACCTCCATAATCCAAGCCATCTTCTCCTTCAAACTTGATCACGAGTCTCCTCCTCAGTTCATTTCCACTCATTCTCATAACAGCAGCGAAGCTGTCATCCAAGACTCGGCTTCTCCGCAGCTTCAGCTCGCATTTACCCTCCCTAAGGTTCATTGCAGGTTGACTACGGAAGTAGATCACCTTCCTTCTGTAATCACGCTTGTACTGAGGGGCATTGGAATCCAGATTCGAGGGTAATCTTGGATCATCCCAAGTCGTGGTGCGGGTATTGTGATCAACAAAGTACACTCGGCCGGTGGAGGTTAGGCGCATCTCCCAACCTGATGGAAGAGGACCCATATTTGCATTCGCGCTCGTGGACGCGGAAATAGCGGAGGCAGAGACCTGTACCGTACGTGGGTCTATCCATGTCGTCAGCCGTGTATGATGGTCAACGAAGTAAGGGCGTCCTTCTGGCGTCCGACGCTCTTCCCACCCTGCTGGTAGGGGGACGTCTACATAACCACCGCTGCTGCGGTTAGAGTTTTGAACGTGTGGCTGCGGCGCGGTGATTGATGGAGGGCGAACAGAAGACGCAGAAGGTGTTGCTGCGGGCTGTGCCCATGTGGTCATCCTTCTATTGTGGTCAACGTAATAGACTCGACCGCTTTGTTCGTCAAGACGACGCTCCCATCCTCGAGGAAGGGGTGTTTCGTCTTCGTCGTCCGCAGTACTGCTGGTGGACCGTTCCGCAAGAGACAGCTCACGTGCAATACCTATAGGAGGTCTAGCTCGTGTCGATGCACTATCTGACGAGGTTCGGGACTCTGCGTTGGAAGTTGAGCCTCGACGGTTAAGAAGGGGACCGAGAGAAGGGACGCGGGGAAGAGCGGGTACCCTTGTCGAGGACTCGGGGCGAAGTATGGGTGTGCTCTGACGGGAACGCAGAGACTGGTTTGGTGATAGGCTAGGTGATGGATTGCTCTGCCCGGCATCCGACGGAGCACTCGTGGATGGCGGAAGCGAGAAAGAAAACAGCATCTTCCCGTAAACTGATGTTCCAGTAGATGATTGGCGAAGGTCGTGGGTTATAAGCCCTGCAGAAGCAAGTCGTGTCAGCCTGAAGTCTTGAAAGATGGGGATTGTAGGTACTGTAACTGTTAGCTGTGTGGTCTATCGCCTCTTGGCCTGTAAGCTCGACAAGCCCTAGGAAACCCTGATCTCGCTTTCTGAATCTCTTTTGGTCGAATATCTGGATTATGATATTGGAAGATGGTCGAACGGTACTAAGCAACCCGTTTAGCACCAACGGCAGCGAGACAAGTCAAAAGGACTCACATATCAAAGTGCTGGTTCCACGTTGGGCTGAGACACTTTTTGACAGGGCTTGTTGTGTATGTTTGATCGGCGTCGACGGAGACGACAGCGAATGGGTCTGGGAGACTGAAAACTTCTCGCTTCACGAGTGAGTTGGCGGCAAGAACTGTGCGTGCGCAGATTAGCAGACATGGCGGTACAGATGATCATGATATTACTCACCAGTGATTCGAACTATCTTTGTTTGCTGCTCGTTCGACATCTAGAGCAGCCACCAGGGGTGCTCGTCAGTTGTTGTGGCTGGGAGTACAGGAAACGCCAGGATGGTGAGTGAACGGAGTGAACGGAGAAAGAGGGTAGCTCTAAAGTTGAGGTTGAGCGGAGTATTCTTGAGCGCTATGCTGTGGAGATGGCAATGGCCGTCGTGAATAAGACGACGACGACTCGAAATTAGATTGCACGGATATAGCAGTCCGGTCAATATACTGACCAATGTTTGAAGAAGATATGACAATATATTATATGGACGAAGGACGGTGAGCAACGTTGGGGCAACGCAAGACCAGCTGCGGCAGCGAAACCCTCAGTGGGCGTAACATGCTGTAACTTGCTCGTAAACTTCTTGTTTTCATTACGTGACCATGACTAGCGTTAGCTAGTCCAACCTTACAGCCCTGGGACCGGAAACTCTCCGGAGTCGGTATCCATGCCATCACACAAAGAGCTACTTTAAAACATACATATATAACTATGTATGTAGGTATGGTTAATGCGCATCTATGCGCATCACCTTGCCAACATTCCACCGATACTCTGACGCTAACAACACGGCAAAACCCCCTGTGACTTTCAGTCTTTCACAGTACATCATGGATCAAACCGTAGCTTAACGGCAGGTGGAAGATCCCTTCCGGTATCTGTTTGATGCATCAATGATTCATTCCCTTCCCAATGTAACGCACCGCTTCCTCGACCCAAACGAAGAGGTCATCAACCATTACGTGTAGGTCAATACCCACTGCCAAGGTATGCACAAATGTAGCGGGTGTTAGCATCACGACGATCCTTCCGATTTTTTTAGTTGGGACGTACACATTAATTTTGAAGTTTTGCCGTTCTGTGATGTTTGAGACTCTCTCAAAGACTTCACAGAACGACAAACCGACCAAGAGCCCCGATGGGAATTTACCTCCTGAACATTGTCGCGTGACGGCCTTGAAGACTCATCGAACGATACAGGGGTCGGATCATGGGAAGCCTTGACTGTAAGTTCAAAATGTCAGTTTTACGCACAACGCAACAGGCATGTACTCACAGTAGCAGACGATATGATCCGAGTCGACTTAATGTCCGGTAAGAATCGATAAGCATGGCATCGTTGGGTACAGCTAAAACTCTCACTTGTAACGTGGCCACGATCACTGGTGAGCGCCCCATGGATAGCAAATAGTCGAGCGGTATCTCGACCCCCGGGCCTACACACCCTAGGCTACTCGGGGAGTGGGTAGCTTCCTGAACTACCATGCCGATGCCACGCGCCACGGCCGATGGATTGAGATCCATCATATCTGCCAGGAACTAGAGGCTATATCAATACCATGTCTTCATTTGTTCTTCATTACGATCATGCGATACTGCAGGCCGATCGGCATTACCAAGCGGAGTATGAACATCATTTTGGCTCGGTATTACCATGTGGGGGCAGCAAGAGAAGGGCAAGTATAAGGGTGAAAGGAAGAAGGCGGGCACGAAATAAAGCGGACGGGTGGGAAAGATGCTGGGCGGGAAGCATGGCAGAACGAACGGAGCATGAATAATGGCGGCGGCGGCCAGGTCAAACATCGAGCGAAGTTTAAAACTCAGCTAGGCGTCGCCGAGCTTGAAAGCTTGACAGTCTAGTCAGTACGATTGCAGTACGAGATATCTCATGCATAGTTAGGATAAGGAACTTCCTGGGTTTCATGCGATAAGGCCTGCCAACAGACCATATGACCTCGTTCGCTAAAGCATAACGTACCAGGTGAGAGAGTATTAAAGGAAGATTCAGAGTCTTGAGAATAATCGTTTTGCCTACATGAGTGAGATCCAGCGAAGAGTCGCCATCATTGGCGCTGGGTAAGTATTACTTTTGATTTGATTGTATATCGACTAATTATCCGCTCGCAGTCTTAGCGGCTTGTCCCAGGCAATTGCTATCAAAACCAAACTCGGATTCGACAATTTCACAGTGGGTACATCTTTCCGCCGAGCGGGATGCTCGCTGAGTCTGTCGATAGATATATGAGACAGGGTCTGAAGTCGGTGGAGTGTGGAGGGTATGTTGTTGTCATGCACAGAATATTAATGTTCTCCTGACAATTTTTTGCAAAGGCCAACACATATCCTGTATGATCAACAACTGAAACTGCAACATATCGCTCACCTCAAACCTCTTCTAGGGATGCTCATCAGATCTCGAGATTCATTGGTACAGCTTATCATCAGACCTATATCCATACTGGAACAAGTCGCATAGCCTTCAACCGGAGATTCAAGCTTACTGGATTAAGCTCTCAAAGAAATATAATCTATACGGACATATCGCATTCAATACGAAAGTGTTATCTGCCGAGTGGGACGATGCCAAACAACATTATACCCTCATCGCGGAAGATGTCTTTTCAGGCAAGAGGACGACGAGTGTGGCCCACGTTGTAATATCTGCCCTTGGTATTTTGGAGGTCCCAAAGATTCCGTACGAGATTCCTGGAGTTCGGAAGTTTCAAGGGGCTTCGTTTCACTCCGCCCAATGGCCAGACTCAATAAATCTGCAGAATAAGCGTGTTGCGGTGATTGGAAATGCGTCTTCTGGGTGAGTTACACGTCTTCGGGGCATTCGTTAAATGATGATTCAGATAAACGACAAGAGCACAATTTGTACCATCTGTATCTGAAGACCCGTCTGTTCAAGTGGTAAACTTCATTCGCACCCCAACCTGGTTCCTAACTCGAGTAAGGTTCTTTGTGCTGTGTTCGATGATTCAACGACTGAACAGAATATCCAAGCCACATATTCCGTACTCGGACACTGAGAAATGGATATTCGCTAATATTCCTCTGGCGATGCAACTACACCGAGCTTGGATCATGTTCCGGGTCGGGCCAGCTGCGTTGCAGTGTTTTAGCTTGCTGACTTTTGTTGTAGCACGTTGCTCCCGTTCACTTACCTATGAGTGATAAAGCTCTCCAGAAACAACGTGACGTGAGCAGGGGTCCCGAGATTGGGTATTCGGTCTAACGTTTCCACTCAGGTGATGACGAAATACATCCTCGATAACACACCGGGTAGATACCATGCTCGTTTGATACCTGATCATCGTACGTATCTGATCAAGGAATTTTCGTTTTGCTCACATGTTCCGCAGCTCCAGGTTGCAAGCGAATCGGTTCGTCGGTGGTAGTCAAACTATCGCTATACTCTTGCTCATTTCATGCAGTCACCGACAGTGGTTTCCTGGAGAGCCTCCATCGCCCTAACGTGACGCTGAACTTCGACGGAATCGCCGAAATAGTGGAGAATGGCATCATCACAAAGACTGGTGTGTATGGCTCGTCAATACATCGTCACTTTCCTCACACCAGTTTAGGTGAAATGTTGCCATTTGATGTCATCGTATACGCGACAGGATTCATCGGCGTGAGTTGCTATACACGATCTAATATTCCAGAGGATGCCAACTGTGCGAATAGGAGCGGTACCCGATGCACGTTCGAGGCTTGAATGGAGCCACTGTCCAAGGCTATTATGATGCGCATGGTGGCCCTACCGCATACATCGGGACTACAATTCCAGACACACCAAACTTCTACTTGATAAACGGTGAGTTCAGAGGAGAGCGTGTCATCATCACCTGTCGCCTGAGACAACAATCACAGGACCAAATACTGGAACACGAGTATCGGCGTTGTTCATTGCAGAAGTACAAGTAAGTACAGCTTGATTGTTGTATCTTTTTGCTCACGTTTGTCACAAGGTTGCATACATCCTTCAACTCATAGAGCCGGTCCTTACCGGTTCTGCCTCATCTTTCACGATCAAAGCTACACCCACGGATATGTACAATGCCAAGGTCCAGGAACGGCTCTCCCGCTCGGTGCACGTACACTGCTACTCTTGGGCACGTACGAACGGTACAGACAAGGTATTTTATCCGTTTCCTTGGCCTGTGACAGTTTGGTGGTGGTTGCTCCGAAAACCGAATTGGGATCATTACGTGGCAATCGGCGCCGAGAAATGGGTGTGGGCAAGGCGAATCAAGGCTGTTAAGAACATTTTGAAATGCACGGCGGTCTTAACGCTATCGTGGTTATACGTGAGTGGTTCTGCTCAACGGATTTTACACGACATGGCGGTGAGTTCCATCACTGTTCTTGATGCCTATCAATTGAACAATCTCTATCTTTAGGCAAGCGATTACCTGTGCCTTGTGACTTCTTGAGTAAATTTACCCTCCGTCTTTGAGGTGCCATAGATCTACGAGAGTCGAGACAAATCATAATTTATCATCAATTGTTATGAATTACCTTTACTCGCCTCATCCAGCTGCCAAGTTTGAAGGACCCCACATTCGTATTAAATAAGCTATGTCACATTCTGAAAACTACCAAGTTCAAGACAGACCCGTAATCGATTATACAAGTTTACGTGCAAAACTATCAACACGGCGGTCGCTAATAATCTATAATAACCACAACACTCTCCACGATGTCATCTTCAGGCGTTCAGTAGTTTTGTTTGCGACTAGGAACGACTGTATCCACTGAACAATCCAGTCAATACAGAGATCGAATCACATCAACAAATGTACTTACTGGCACCAGAAACACGCTTAGATCGGATGTTGATAGTGGGGGAACCTACTACCGTGCCAGGGCCGAAATGGGTGACACGCTCACGCCTCCTTGCCTGGGTCATTTGCGGGTAAGCCACTGCAGACGGTGGTCGCTGTGGTTGGAACGTGTCGTCGGGAGTCAAGTTTGCTAGAGGACTAATCAGCATACGACATCAGCATGGTCTAGGAATATCGCTCACTTGCTCCAGTCGCATCTTCAGAGTCAAAATTGATTGTGGGTGACCCAATGTAGGCGTTTGAATCGAATAAGACGCAATCTATGTCTTCACCCTGTGAGTTATCCGGAGCGTTCAAGCCGGGTGGTGCTGTGTGGTGTCAATGTTGAACTGCAAATCAAAGCATCGTGCACATACATGTGGAAGTAGTTTGCGGGGTTGGATTGGTACTGGCGGCCCGGGGGGTCGCAGAACCACTTGTATCGGTTGAAGCCTCGGAAGAGTACGAGCTATCACTAGTCATGCTCGTCGTCACGGCGGTGGGATTGGACTGAAGTAGCACGAGACCACTTGTATCGGTTGAAGCCTCGGAAGAGTGCGCGCCATTACCACTCGCGCTCGTCGTCACGGTGGTGGGATTGGACTGAAGTAGAACGGGACCTTCAGATGAGGGGGTCTCATTAGATGAGCCGGGTTCAACGCCACTTGCGGCAGTAGCTGGTGTCCAGAATTTAGTCGACAGCGACAGCATGATAGTGAATAGCACCTACCCAGAGTTTCTGGTAAAACCGGGCTGCCCCGTTTCGAAGTTGACTTGGCAGTAACAAATAATTTCCAGATGGAAGGCATGATGCAGCTGTATGGTCTTATGATCTAGTGATCTGGTGAATTATTGAGAGTATGGTGATGGGGACTACTCACCTCTGACTAGTCCCATATTTATACTTCTGCAAGATCGACAAGAAAACGCCAGTAGTGTCTGCTCTCGAGTTTAGTTGGTGGTATTGAAGAACAATAAAACCCATAGGCAGCCACTGCAACAAGAAACAATGTGATGACAATTCTAAGGCAGTGGGAAGATATTACAGCACCTACAAAGTTGTAAGGGTCCACAAAGGCCCACGAAACTAATCGTTTCCAGGACCGCCAAGTGCGGCAAAGTGTCAAATCTAAACTATGCCGCATGCTTCGTTACATACTTAACACCGAACTTGTCAACTTAGAATTATCTGGCAGGCCCCCCCCGCCGCGGTGTTTGACATGCTGCCCCAAGACGCAGTATAACCTACCGCAGCTTGCGGAGGGTTTGCCACGGTGCCATAAATTCACTGTGGTGAGTAAGGGCATGCCTACCTCAGGCTGTGCCAAGTCACTGCCTACGCACGGTCTAGAGTACAATGGCAACTTGCGTAAAAAAAAACCAGCGAAGAATATGTACTACTCGCATAATCGGATGCACTATACAGAGTCCAGACAACCCATCACATATTATCATGATCATACATAATATCAATGTATCCAAAAATACGTCACCACCTTGCAAGTTGACTAGACGACAATTGCAACTATTGTATTCTCTTGTCATGGTGAAACTTTTGATTTCCTTGGTCAATGTTACCAGCTCGACCGATACTACCCAAGCGGATGAATGTTCGGTGTTCAGCCTCGATTCGAATTGAATTAGTACTACTCACCTGACCTTGGGTTTCAGATCTGGACGCGGCTTTTGACTGACAACGATTCCCAATAGTATTAGTGGAAGTAGTAGTACAAGCGATGTTTACCTCCAACGCGGAGGTGATAATTGAAAGACAGAACACGCTTGATTCACGCGGAGTGCTGACCAATACTAGATCACATCAGCGGCTCTAGTCTCTGTGCGACACGAGTCGCCCCCCGACGCTCAATCAACGCTAATCAACGCCCATAACCTTCGTGCACCAAGTACTACTATGATGTACTACACCAGACTTCGTGGTAGCACTAAATCACTTTTGCGTGATATTTAAATTTTGAATATTAATTATCGCGGAGCTCGAAATTCCAACTTGAAGTAAGTTCATTGGGTACAGATAACGATGCACAAATGGCTCATGTCGTGCACAACGCTGTGTGTAGACGAACATGCTTGAAGCTTGAAGCATCATAGTATGTACATGTATGAATGCACCCGTTTGGAAAATTTAAACTTTCAGTAAGCGTGATGTATTATTTTTATGTACTTCGTCACGGGGCCTTTCCGAGGATTTGAGTCACAGATCTTACAGGAAACACCATGGGAAAGGATCAGAACGATAAGGTATGCGATGTCATGGTCCATAGACAGAACTCGAAAATCGACAGTGTTAGTGGCGGGCAGCCGAAATAATTGATTAGAGGACAGCGACACAAGATAAATGGGGAAAATACGGACACAACCCTTTGTTATGCGACTCACCATGGTTCAACGTTGGTGTGTTCACAACAGATCTCGAGACAACATAGCTTATTATTGAAACGAAGTGGGTGTTACCAGGTCCCGGTGAAGATGATCCGGAAAGACGAGAGCTGCAGCCTGCTATAGTTGGTGACGCAACTCCATTATCGCCGGTTGCCGAGCCTGACTGTGTTCAGTTCCCGCATTAACTCCAGCTTATGACCATGCACATAAGTATGGAGACAGTAGGCGGATATAATATTCTTACAGTCTTCTACTTGATGATCATCAGCAACAGGATCAGCCTCGGAAAGCAGGCCCCCTTGAGATCCAAGGAAATTCGCAGCTTCGGTGAAAAACGAAGCTGAGGTTTCGTCCAGTGGTGACTCCAGTGGAACAGCGATTCCGCCAATGCGAGCGTCAGATGGCAAGTCCTCATCTGGGTAGAGGTTAAGCTCAGGTGATCTAGCAGAACTAGCAGGAATTCGCAGACATTGTACATGCTCAACGCTCGCTGAGTCGACCGAGAGTAACTGCCTTCTCATCTTCTCCGAGGTGGTCTGCAGAACTATCTGCATCAGAGTTGACATCAAATAGGCAGGCTGGTATTACCCTAGTGTCCGTGTACAATGCATTCACTGCTTCAACAAGCAACCGAGTTGCACGATATGCCGAGAATAATTTCACCGGATTGAATGTTTTCTTTTGTTTTTGTAGTCTCTCTCTTTCTAGAACCAGGCTGAAATGTGATCGCGACAATCAGGAATTTGGCATGAGCATGTGTGGAAAGAGACATACACGTCATACGAGGCCTTCGCCTCTGTAATTAGGTCTTCAACCTGTTTCTTATCGGCGGCCATATCGCGTATCCTGAATACCTCGTCCAGCGTAGCTTCAAGGACCACATTGATCTGCCCAAAAGTGCTTGAATCCTTCAGTCTCATTACAGGGAAGATGGATCGATCATATTGAGCAGCTGTCCCAAGATTAGCAGGAATAAGAAGGGTTCGACGATTTTGCTCAGAGGGCATGATTTTCTGTGTGATCCACCTGATTGTCGATGGGTTTTACGTTTAAGTGCTTGTGCGAACAAAGTTTTCACAGAAATAAACCGCTGAAAACGAAACGGATCGTGCATGGCTTTGCAATTGATTTCTGGGGGTTCATTGGACCATACATAGACGTATCATGTGAGCATTAAATTGAAGAAATACTTGACTTGCCGATTATTACTGTGGGTCCCTGTTTACGTATATTTATTTGACTCCCAATTGAAGTGTGCTTTTGATTGTGAGTTTAACCCAACTCCAACCTGCACGGACAACAATATAACTTCGATGGACAAGAGTCCGAAGAAGACGAAGGCAGAACGCAAGGCCGCAGAGGCAGCGGAACTTGAGAGACACGAGGCTCTCAGGGCTCAAAGAGAGTTTGAAGCTTTTGGAGCGGAACGCGAACGAAGACCAGGAATTTTGACTGTGTACGAAGTTTGGTGGTGCCAACAGTACCAATGGCTTAAGGATAAAGGATACTTACTTCGGCCTCGATACGCTCCGGAATGGGTACCGTCATGGGAAGGTTTACAGTGCCACCCTTTTGATTGTGAAGATGGTCACATTTCCAGAGTGAGGCAAACAAGAATTTGACTACATTGATAAGTGGCTGACGACTTGAACCTCGCAGTACTCCCACATAATCGATGCGACTCGCATGTCTGATGGCTTGTATATTTCTCTCAAAGTGGTCAACAAATCGGTCCACCCTCACGAGGTAGAAATCGGGCAATACTTTATGATGGAGCACCTTGCCTCCGATCCTAAGAACCACTGTATTCCGTTCCTAGATGTATTATCAGTGCCGAACGAGGAAGATAAACAAATTCTCGTGATGCCTCTGTTGCTTAATTTTACGATGCCTCGATTCGACACCGTCGGGGAGGTGGTGGAATGCCTTAGACAGTTATTCGAAGTGAGTAAAATTGCTCCTGAATGTGATATCGCCCCAGTAATTTATCACAGGGCTTGTTGTTCATGCACAATAACCACGTAGCGCACCGGTAGGTGGCGGGATACAGTTGTCTCATGCTCTCAACTCATCACAAGACAAGCGACTGCATGTCGAGAAATATCATGATGGATGCAAAATATCTCTACCCTGAACCTTTTCACCCTGTTATGCCTCACATGAAGCGTGACTTCAGTGGCTATGTGAAGCATCTCACTCGCACTCAGCGGCCGCCAAAGTACTACCTAATTGACTTTGGCTTGTCGCGCCGGTACGATGCCACCGAGGAAAACCCGCTGGAGTACCCAATTTTTGGAGGCGACAAATCAGTGCCAGAATTCCAGAAGAATGCCAATGTTCCAATGAATCCCTTCCCCACCGACATCTACTATCTCGGAAACACCATCAGACAAGAGTTCCTGTATGTAAGTAACTACACATCTGAAAACTGGGGTTCATTGCTTATGACGGATAATTGAGACCAAGAAGGGGCTCGAGTTCTTGAAACCTCTCGCTGACGACATGGTGCAGGACGATCCCAACGGGAGACCTACCATGGAAGCAGTGGTCGAGCGGTTTGACTTGATCAGCCAAAAACTTAGCTCATGGAAGCTGCGTTCCCGTGTCGTTTCCAGGGAAGACGGCCTTCTGGAAAACATGTATTATGGAACCACACACTGGCGGCGGCGCATAGTCTTCATCGTCAGGCGTGTTTCAGCCATACCTCGCCCTTCCAATTGAAACATACCTCATGCGATGCGCACATACTTGCATACGATGCGAGTTCCAAGGTGCAAACTGAAACGCTCTGGGCTGAGGATTTGGGGTGAAGTCTTGGCTACGATCTACCCGTCGAATGGTCGGTTGTCCTCACATACTTATTATAGCGCACGTATTCTTAATGTGTTGTTCTTCACTGGCACTGGTATGCATCAATTCCCAAAGGATTATAGTAAAACTATTGCTATCGTATGTAAGGTTGCGACAACGATAGTTGTCCACGAGCAGCCCATGCATGTCCCACCTTCAGGAATGTCGCATACCTCCGTGGTGTTGCAATGCACATCCCGAGGATTTCTGTCACCTGCTGCACCCTCTTCTCATTGCTTCATGCTGAAGCTTGAAGACGTCTGTCTGCGTTATGTTTTTCTCCCTCTTGCGTGGAGAGGGAGCTGAGATCATTTTGGTGATAACAATTCGCTGGGTTTAGAATGAAGGGGGTTGATTTGAATTCAAATGTAATGGTACTGTAAATTCTGGTACTCCTTTCTTACCTTTCTTAGACTTTTATATAGAGCGCTGCAGCACTGAGGACCCACACGTTATCACGCGCTGCTGATCAGTTGAAAGCAAGCTCCTTATCATTTCTTCGGGTGGCGATCAGCGCTCATACAATAGACAACTTGAAGATCCCCTTCTGATTTCTGATATGAATTTTTCCAGATATCCTGACTTAATCAACGGCGATGCTCACTGCTGACCGACCACTCGAAGAAGTGATGACTGGTGCTTACTTCCAGCTGCCAATCAACTATGTATAATTACCTTGTTGGTGAGCGAGAAATCCTTTGCACTACTATATACTTTCATCCTCATTGGCACTTAGTTTCAGTGTACACCAAGTTGGAAGATATTCGCATTTTACCGCCCCCAACGATGCGAGAACTCGTCAATCAAGTTGTAAAATATGGAACGTTAACTCGTCTACAAGCTGTACCATATTGTCATTTGTGAGGAAGGAGGGTGACAACTATCATCAATTCAAGCATTCTGCAACTCGGGCCAAATCATCATTCAGCCTCGACAGTCTTGCTGCTTCCATCCCATCCCCGTGCGTATTTTCAAGGGTTGCTAACATCCATCTTTAACCTAATTATTTCCTGCCGGTGTGGCTCCCACAAACTCTTTTCTAAAGCGCCCACGCATACTCCTGCTTGAGGACTATGACGCAGGCGAGCCCGATAAGGGACACCCGGAGACGATCTGATCATGGAGGCCAAAGTCTACGAAATCCTCAAGCAGCACCCTCACCCTAACATTTGCGTTTTCTATAGATGCGTCCGTGACGGTGATTACGTTACCTCCATATGTTTGCAAAAATATGGACGTATGTTTATGGACGTAGCCATGGCTGGACAGTGGTGCCGACCATCTCTTCCAGAAAGTGATATATACGGCCTGACACAAATCGGTGAATTTAAGAAGGGAACACGTTCATAGATGCGAGTGCTTGCATTATTTTCTATGGTGCTATTCATGACCGTCTGCATTATTTTCCAATTTAGAGTGCACCGATCGTTCAGGGGAAAGAAGATTAATCTATTGAAAGTGATTAGAATGCTGCGATTCGCGGGTCAGCGTTTTCGCAACGAAAGACAGGGAGGTGGTATTGAATTCAATTCTAGACTCAATGTTAGAACGACTCGCTGATCGGATTCTCAGAGATCCCACTCAGACTTGGACATACAGATGAGTGCGTAATGTTCATTAATTAGTAAGCAGTCCACTGCCAATTTGTAATCCGTACTAGTCTCCCGCCCTTGGCGTTATCTCAATAACCTCGATATCAGATTGATATCCATGACACTAGATAAGAGTCAGTATGTCACACATTATTGAAAGATGGGGAGACCCTACAAGGTAAACTGCGTCCTTGTCAATCCAGATCCCGCCCAACGGATAACTGAATGTTTTGTCCAACACAACCTCGACGTAAGGCAGGTTCGTCGTCAAGGTCACCTGTGGCAGTAAGTCAGGGGTTTCTATGATTATCGTAGATGGCTCTTTCACTACTCGTCCCACACCCTGCAGACGCTCAATAGCTAACGGGCTGAAGTCCATCGCACATAATCTAAACTCCGTGATATGCGATGGATCATGTTCATCCGTCGTGTCATCTACGGGGCATGCCTGCAACACTCGATTTCCACTAACGCCAATACGACATTCCGTCTGATTCTGCAACACACGAGAATTTGAAGGTCCCCAGTCATTCCACGGTATTTCTGCTGCCATCTCTGAAGAGAAGTCAAGATCGAAGAACGTCGTGGTGGAGATGATGAAGACGAGAGTCGAAAAGAATGTTTCAATGGATAATATAAATAGTTGGTGTTGAGGGTCTGAGGTCCACATTGTTTGTTGGGCTTGCATCGGTGGTTGCAAGCTATCTTCCATAGGAAGGATGCACTCTGCAAACCCTGTATCCATCGCTGAGATAGGTAGCAAGAAGCACGCCAGCAGCTGCGGCGCCTGTGTCGTATCCTCGATTGAATAGAGTTTTAATTTGTGGCTGAAAACCAGCAATCTATCGTTTCCGAGGAAACAAAAATCAGCTGCGTCGTCATAGTCTGGGTTTATGTCGTCAGTGAGGACGCACTAAATCGAATGTCATCTATCAACGCTTTAACATCTCTGATCGGGACTCACACTGGATGTTGTTGAGTGTTGCCAGTCCCAAATCTGCAACGCCCACCGGTGACAGAAACCATCGTTTACATCATTCACCTGCAGGGTGCGCCATAAAGCGATATGCTTGCCGAAACCCTTGAGCTTGACATTGTCCGGTTCTGGCTCGACAACGGGCTCCTCGCAGCCAGGCAGCTCCGACAGAACGAGTGTATGCCCAGCAGCTTGAGGGTGATAACCACCTCCATCTAGGGCTCTGAGGTCAATACAGAACATCTCAGCATAACCCCAATTGGCTATGGGATCATAACCAGTACCGGCATGCACGACAGCGATCAGGTTTTGCGCTGGGTCCATGAACACTTCGAAGGTGTGTGCGTAGGGACCTGAATACAACGACCTTGGATAGCAATCACGCTCGATTGTCTGTTGCGAGGCATCTGGTAGTATTGGCAAGATCGTGGCCGATTTTTCACTGTTGTCCCAGAGGCAGAGATGCCTGTTGGCAACCCGTATTGATGGTGTTCCACTGTTACGAAATTGGTCTGGTAAAAAGATTGTTGTGCAAGTGTTGACATCAAGCCTGAACCATGCGTGAGCTCTGTTCCTCAGGAGTTGTAGGCGCCGAGAGATAGAAATGCGGTTGTCGGGATTTATGTCAGGGACACGGAGCAGTTGTTGACCGCCGAGTTCAACGATGTACTGAAGTTCGGAGTACGACAGGTACGTCTGGCGAAGAGCCTTACATACCTACAAGACAATCGTCAAATAATAGGTCCCAACACAACAGTAACACCAAATTGTAATAAATTGTACCACTCACGGATGAACAACGAAGGATATCTCGGTATGGCAGCGAGATCAGGATGTAGAACTGCAATTCTTCAGCAAGAGACAGAAATCCGGCTTTGGGCTTCATTTCTTCCTTCGTGACGAGCTCGAGTCAGTCAAATTGACGTTTAGATCTAAGTCGCATCATTGAAGAAAAAACATCCCCACGAACTTCCCTTGCACGATCCCTAATTATAAGCGCTAAGCGCTCATTATGTTTGTTCCCTACCAAAACCTGGTGTCAACTTAATGGACTTACGCGGTACGTCGTTCTTTTCACGGTGTTATCATCTCACATTTCTGATGGTGTACTGAACGTCCTGCACCCATTGTCAACCAAGTGCCTTGAAGGTCTTCAAATCGTGTTCCAACGACACGAAACATCTAGCCTAATAGTAATATTGTGTGTACACTATGCATATGTACGCTGAGTGAACGCCGGTCCAGGGGATGTGCTCCAAGTTTATCTAAAATCGGCGAAACGTACATCGAGCCTCCCGCGTTCCCTTGTGCTCAACCCAAAGGAGGAGCGGCTCCAGTTGAGCATGTTCCGGAAAGGTGCTTGCGCTCGGCCGGATTCACGTTACAAGAAAATAGGATCAGACCTTGCCTTAACTTACAAGATTCTGAAACCGGCAACTATGCGGCGCACATCATCTAGAGGTCAGTGCACAGCATCACCCGTAATTCGGGATACACAACTCGGAGGGTTGACCAAGGTGGGATTGGCACTTTTATCAAGACGCTTTACTGTCACATCATGTTTGTTTGGTTGCCTACTAGATCACGTACAGGCGAAAAAAATGAAGTTACAATGTTGGGAGCAAGGTAATACTTATCGCGGTAACCAGGTATATAACATTACAGCTTAGCCTTCGCCTTGACCAACCTGGCCATCCCACCGATAATCTCTTCCGCCTCCCTCTCTATGCGCGACAAGAGCTCTTCGCACGTCGGGATGTCCTTGATCAAACCAAGTACAAGACCTGCAGTCCAAATGCCATAGTCAGAGTCACCGTTCTCGAATACAATCCTGCCTCGTGCGCCCGAGACAAGTTCGCGGACGTCTTCAAACTTCGCCCCGCCTGGCCGCTGCTCGAGAGCAACGACCTGCTTTGATACTGCATTCTTGTAAACGCGTGAGGTGTTGTTCAAGGTACGGAATATGTGGGTGGTATCATATTCGGTGGAGGCAACGATCTTCTCTTTGATGTTTTGGTGGATAGGGCTGGACAGCACAAGTGAGAAAGGTGTAAAAGTTACAGTGTTAATACCGTACCTCTCAACTGTGCACATGAATCGTGTACCCATGTTCACTCCCTGTACGTGCAAGTGGTCAATGGAAATCGTGATGGAACATGCGAGGTGCAATACTCACAGAAGCACCGAGTGCGAGGCAAGCAGCCAATCCACGGCCATCTCCAATTCCGCCCGACGCAATGTAGGGTACCTTGAGCTCTTGCGCGGCTCTTGCAAGCTGCAAAATGTTACTATGTAACGGTAGACACGACCAGTGATAAAGCGCACCAGAACAAGGCCGCCAATGTCCTCCTCTCCAGGGTGACCAGCACCTACCGGCATCGTCAGGTGTCGTAATCAAATTTAAACAGACAGGCGAGGGACTCACATTCGAAACCGTCGATACTCAAAACATCAACACCCAGTCGTTCTGCAGACTAAATGCCCATTTTAGCACATGAAGCATGTATTGTAGTCTGATTGAACGGGCGAACCTTGGCATGTCGAATCGTGGTGCACTTGTGTATCACAATGCACCCATGTGACTTGAAGAATTCGATGAGCTTTCCCGCTATGGTTTATGTCAGAATCGTTGAGCGACGAGAGCACGAGACTACACACGATTGTTCCCTGCTGTTTCAAATATCTTAACGCCCTCTTCTACAGCCACACGCGCGAAACCTTCGTAGTCTGGTGGGTTGATTGAGGGTAGAAGCGTAAGGTTTACACCAAAAGGCTTGTCAGTTGCTGCACGTGTCTCACGAATCACAGTGCGCAGAGCTTCGGGGTTAGGCTGGGTAAGTGCAGTGATTAACCCTGCGACAAATTTAGCGGATGAGGCTGAGAAGCAAACAATATTGCATACCAAGACCTCCTGCGTTCGACACGGCTGCAGGAAGTGGAGGTTTTCCGACCCTGCGCGCAACTATCAGATCATTCTAAACAGACTTCACCGGCACAGACGTCACTTACCATTGCATACCCCCTTGCACTACTGGACTGTCAACCGTTTGGAACAAGTCGTAAGTGTATGTCTTCTGAACAAGAGACGTACGTTAACTTACACACGGATGCCCAGAAGTTCTGTCAATGCAGTTGTAATCATTCTGTCTGAATTGTGTTCTTGATTGCTTCTGGTGTACTCAGTCTACGTGAGATGTACTAGGCAACACAGTGAGCCTGGTAAGGGAATATTAGAAGGGTGTGAAGAACAAGGGTCTGTGAGCCAGACAAGCAAAATAAATGTGTTGAGCGGTGAAGATGGTAGCTAGAGACGTGGGTAGTAACTCTGCTCCGGTACTTAAGAGGATCCCGAGAACACATAGCATGCCGCTTTTTACGGGCACTCGGTCTGTGACAAGGTAACCGGCATGTGATTGTAATACAGCCGACTTTCGCATAATCAATCACACTTTGAGCTTGTCATGATCCTTGATCCATATCATCAAATCCATCCTACATAGGGTGAGTAGAGCGCGCACTAGCCAGAAACTAACCTCACAAATTGTATAGGACATAGTGCGTTATGCACCTGAAATGACCCCAGTTATTGCTTTTGCAAGTCAGGTCACTTTGAAGTTGTTACCGGTGCGCCGTACCTAGAATGAAAATGTGATGTCTGATATCCACCGTACTTCGAGATATCTCTGCTTGAAGGCTTAAGGCCCATAATGCTAGAATATTTCCTCGCATAATACAAGATGTGCGTCAATGAAGAAGCTTTGGTGGCTTTGATTGTTGAAGCGGTTGTTGCACGTGAGGACACATCCTCGTGCCAAAGCCGACACAATATTTGGCGGACCACAAATGATGCGTCCACAACGTCCACAACGTCCACAATTCAATATGTGGCACTATAAAAGCCCTGATGTTGTTTGAAGCGAACCTTCTTGCACACCATCCACATTGATAACTGTATCACCTCGATGGCTACTAGTAACACAATAACCCCAAGTCCCTTGAAGCCTCGCACTATCCTTCTTTCGCAGATGTCAGAGTATAGTACCGACAGTGACAAGCTCGCTGTTCCATCGTCCTGCATATATTCTTCCAGTGTCCAACAGTTCGACATCGAGACAACGTTCCCAGCGATCCTCAATCCTATCAAACTTCTCCACGAAGCCGCTGATAAACAAGACCTCGAATCAATCCGTGGCTTGGCACCAATCTTTTGTCAATGTTTGGCTACGATTTTATGCTCCATGGAACAGCTCCCCATGGACGTTCGGCGCGCTTCAGCCTACGGGCACGCCGAACACGGAGTGCGATTCTCCGAGAAGGCCTTCATCAGCCACGCCCGCCCACTTGTTGACCCGGACTTCGAACCGCCTAACAGGAGACAATTTATCTGGAGGACCCTAGAGCTAATGGATATGATCATGTCTAGCTTGAAAAGGTTTATGCAATGTGTCGAGCGCTTGTTGCGTCAAATGAAGCCCCTTCCTGACACCCCCGAAGAATGTGAATTGGAGGTAGAAACGGAAGAAGAAGATGACGACCAGTGCAACGAAGCCGGCCAAATTTCTTTGCCGTCACAGGACCTTCCTCAGTCTAGTGAAGGATCGTCGACGGAAAAGACATGTGTTGAAGAGGTGAATGAACTGGGTTCGCTTGTCGAGCCACCGGCGGTCAAACCCCCGAAACGCGGACTGTCTGGCATCTTTGGGCTTTCACTTAACTTGCGCCGCAAGATTTCGAGGCGATTTTCGAAGACGGACAAACCGGCACCTGTCGAGAAACTCACGACTCGCGCAAGTCATGCTCGTGCGACGGCGAATATCAGGAACTCTATTGCCCTCTTTCCAGAGCTGTTTGATGGGACGCTGGAAAATTCCCTTCCTCACCCAGATGATAGTACCGAACTATTTCTGGACAGGAACGGAGTTCTCCAGCTTGCTTCATTAAGGGGCCTTATCAGGTACCTTACATCGGCAGTCTCTGATGACGACCTAGAGCTCGCAGATGTCTTCTTCCTCTGCTTCCGCTACTTCTCGACTCCAGCACTCGTTCTCGAGGCTTTTATAGAGCGATACAAGGAGAAGTTGCCTGGTCAGGACTTAGCTCCCATCCCATCGATGCACGTCAAGATGCGCGTAGCTCGCCTGCTTAACCAATGGGTTGATCTTCATTGGCGCAACTCAGAAGATCAGGACGTCTTTGCGACTCTCACGCAATTTGCATTCTCTGATCTCTCTCGAGATCTCCCCCGCGAGGTCTCCTCGAAATTCATCGACACCTTGCATAATGCTGCGTGCGCCAAAGAACACAAAGGACGTCGCCTCGAGAAGACGGTCCAACTCATTCAAAGCTCTTCGCTGGCTGAAGAGCTCTCTAGCTTATGGGAGCCTCGCGACAAGAAGGCGATGGTGAAGGGAGAGTTTGAAAAGATCAAGCTGTCCAACTTCGCTTCTCCCCAAGGAATGGAGCTCCTGACTCATCAGCTCACCGTCCTTTTGTGGGAGAAATACCGCGATTTCCAGCCTGAGGATGCTGCACGCTTTTGGGTGGAGGAGGCAACTGGAAAGTCGACTTATGGCGTTTCCAATGACGCTGGCTTGAAAGTAACCACCTATGCTTCCTTTGAGAAGGCCATTCACCTTTGGGCACTGGATGTCATCATGTCTGCGTCGTCGATGGAGGCTCGTACTGAGAAGGTACAGTTCGTCTTGGAGTGGGCACATGTAAGGTTTCAGTTGTCCAGTCATGGCCCCAGCTAACACATCCTTTTCAGGAATGCCATAAGATCAGGAACTATGCCGCTTCATGGGCATTGTTCTCCGCGTGCGACAGACAAAGTTTGGTTGGTCCTTTAGTGGTATGTACCCAAGATTATGGTATTGTCTTCGCACTCACGTTATTTCGCAGAACATTGGTACCAAGCACGATGCGATTCTACTTGCTCTACGTCTCTTCTTCAGCCACACAAACCACATGAAGTCCTACAAGGACGCGATCCAAAGCAGTGTTGGACCTACTCTACCCACCCTTGGTACGTTTCAAGACACTGATAACTTGACCCTGTCTCTAACGATGCTGCCTTGCAGTCCTTTTCGTAGGCGACGTCAAGCGCCAGTGTGGTGACAAAGAATGTGTCGACCACCCAAATGCGCCGGGACATAAGCTCATCAATCTCAGGCGTTACCGCCCTCTCACGCGAGCTGTCAGGGGTATGATTGTTGCTCTTGTTCGTCTTAGTCATTACTAATACATTGCGACAGACATGGAGAGATGCCATATCCCCTATCACATCCAGCGTGTGGATTACGTCTGCCAGTGGATGGAACAAGTCATCTGCTCTTACCTCAGTCGCCCAGAAAATGAATGGGAAGATATCTTTTACGACAAAAAGTATGATTTTGTGTTCTGCGCTAGACATTCATGAACTGACGTCCCTCTCAAGGAAAAAGTTAAACCGGAAATGCAGTATCTATGTGGCGTAACAACAACATTCGTTGTTCTTGTCGATGCTTTCAATTGCCCACTGTTTGTCTCAATGTTGTATTGGCTGATTTATCAGTCCGCACCTGTTCGTCCGATTGCCCACTTTTCGTTTCAATATTTTATTGACTGACTTGAAATTCAGTCTACGCATATTCATTTGTTTCGTTAACCGTGGATACTTACCAACACGTCCACTCATTGTATGTCCTTTCAATTGCCCGCTGTTCGTCTCAATGTTTATTGACTGGTTTATCAGCCTACGCGCATTCATTTGTTTCGTTAACCATGGATCCTTACCAACACGTCCACTCATTGTATGTCCTTTCAATTGCCCGCTGTTCGTCTCAATGTTTATTGACTGGTTTATCAGTCTACGCGCATTCATTTGTTTCGACCATGGATCCTTACCAACACGTCCACTCATTGTATGTCCTTTCAATTGCCCACTGTTCGCCTCAATGTTTTATTGACTGGTTCATCAGTCTGCTCCTGTTCGTTAGCTTTCGTTGACCGTGTTTACCTACGAACACATCCATTCATTTTTCTTCTCGATGATCTATTGACTGACTTGAAATTCAGTCTACGTACATTCATTTACTTTCATTAACCATGTATCCTTACCAACACGTCCACTCATTGACCATATATCCTTACCAACACGTCCACTCATTACCCATATATCCTTACCAGCACGTCCACTCATTAACCATGCATCCTTACCAACACGTCCACTCATTGTATCTCCTGTCATCGTCCTGTCGTTGCTCAATTGCTCTCAAACACTCGATATCTTTCCTGTTTCCCAATATATCGGTTTTGAATGCAATTCGGATGAGATTGTGTGGTGTCATAACATATGCATATGGTGCATACAAAAACATGGCCTTTGTACAGTAGCCTGTCGCATACCGTCGAATCACCAGCCGTGTCAAATATATGTGAGAATGACATTAAGCGCGTACAGCCTCGATTCTCCTTCTGGCAACCTGTCTCCGGTTCAACGACGACAAGGATGACACGCCGACAGCGTCCTTGTCCTTGCTCCGCTCGACCTCCTCACCAGAAACACCAAGGATGATCTCGACGTGGCATGGGTGGCCCTGGTAAGGGTTGATACGACCATGTGCACGGTACGTGCGGCGGCGAGTTTTCTATAAGGCGTCAAAGGGATTATGATATCAACTGAATTGTAGAGTAAGATGCACGTACGGGTGCTTGCTGGACGCCGATGTTCTTGATGTAAAGGTCCTCGAGCTCAAGGCTCTTTGCGTCGGCGTTCGACTCTGCGTTTTTGAGGAGGCGAGTGATGAACTTGACGGATTTCTCGGGCCAACGACCTATAGTATATCAATATCCGTATTCCGCTTGTCTAATATCGCGAGACACACCCTGGGTTGCCTTAAATTGCTTGGCTTGGCTGGCCCGTCCGACACCACCAGCGAACCGACGGAAAGGGATGACTTGTTTGTGGTCCGAGACGTCAGAAAGGTAGGTGTAGGCCTTGGTAAGCTTCAAGCCTGGATCGATCATGAGGGTTATACGCATCACCATGACTATTACTTGAACACTGACCTGTGAGGGCTGCGGCGACTTCCCTCATGTTCTTGAAGTGCGTGCGAAGGTACTCGCCCCGAGCACGGGCGGCTGAACGAGACCAAACACATAGATGAGTATTGGGTTGGATATCAAGTTGCAAGACAGACTTTTTTCGGGATTGGTGGCAAGGGCGGCGGCAGCGTAGCGGACTGTTTGAAGACGGTGAGCATTCTAGTGGATACAGACGACGATAACGCACCCATTTTTCTTGAGGATGTTGTCGAGCACGGCCTGTAAGATTAGGATCGAGGACTGGGCAAGTGTGGCTTGAACTTTAATTCTACAGTACTTCGGAATTTGCCGACGATGAGGTAAATTCTCGAATTAGTCGACCAAAGTAAAAATGGCGGGCGCTCTCCAGCTGTCTTCCTCCGAGGCTGTTGCCCATCTCGAAACATACAAACGATCAGATGGCCTCTCAGTCAACGATCTCATGGACTCTCGCGTCCACGGTGGTCTCACATACAATGACTTCCTTATGCTCCCTGGAAAGATCGATTTTCCTGCTTCCGATGTCATTACGGAGACCAGAATAACTCGTAATGTCATTCTCAAGACTCCGTTTATGAGTAGTCCTATGGACACCGTCACCGAGACCCACATGGCCATCAGTCTCGCCCTGCTAGGTGGTATTGGTATCATTCATCACAACCAGTCCCCTGCTTCTCAAGCAGCTATGGTTCGAGCCGTGAAAAGGCACGAGAATGGTTTCATCACAGATCCTATCATCTTTACTCCCAATCACACTGTTGCAGACGTGCTTGACATCAAGGCGCGTCTTGGATTCTGCGGTATCCCTATCACAGGTACGTCAACATCAGTTTAATCAAACGACACTCTGACATCCTTCAGAAACCGGATCTTTGGGAGCTAAGCTTGTCGGCATCGTCACCTCACGCGACGTTCAGTTCGAGTCCCCCGAGACACTCCTTCACGAGGTCATGACCATGGACCTTGTCACTGCACCTCAGGGCGTTACACTTACAGAAGCCAACCAAATTCTCCGTGCCTCCAAAAAGGGAAAACTACCCATCGTCGACGACCAGGGTCGTCTCACCTCCCTCCTCGCTCGATCTGACCTCCTCAAAAACCAAAATTACCCGCTAGCTAGCAAGGACCCCAACAGTAAGCAGCTGTATGCAGCTGCAGCTGTCGGCACGCGACCTAGCGACAAGGACCGCCTGAAGCTCCTTGTTGAGGCTGGCCTTGATATCGTCGTCCTTGACTCGTCGCAGGGTAATTCATTGTTCCAGATCGACATGATCCAGTGGATCAAACAAACGTTTCCCAAACTCGAGGTTATCGCAGGCAATGTCGTCACCCGTGAACAGGCTGCTAACCTCATTGCCGCGGGGGCAGATGCCCTCCGCGTCGGCATGGGTAGTGGCTCCATTTGTATTACACAAGAGGTTATGGCTGTCGGTCGGCCACAGGCCACAGCTGTGTTCGCTGTTGCCGAGTTTGCGTCCAAGTTCGGCGTTCCTGTGATCGCGGACGGTGGTATCAGTAATGTGGGGCACATTGTCAAGGCGCTCGCCCTTGGTGCAAGCGCTGTAATGATGGGAGGGCTTCTTGCGGGCACCACAGAGGCACCGGGAGAGTACTTCTACCACGACGGGAAGCGAGTAAAATCTTACCGAGGCATGGGTAGTCTCGAGGCTATGGAGCAGGGTAAACCGGGCGCGTCTGGTCAGGTCAATGGCTCCACGAACCACACGTCACAGCCCTCGAGCAAGCTACAAGAGAACGCCGCTACGACGCGCTATTTCTCCGAGTCATCCGTGGTCAAGGTTGCACAGGGCGTGTCGGGTGATGTCCAGGATAAGGGCAGCGTCAAGGCGTTCATACCATACCTATACGTTGGTGTCCAGCACAGTCTTCAGGACATCGGCGTGCGCAGCGTTACGGAGCTGCAGGAAGGCGTGATGGAGGGTCGTGTCAGATTTGAAATGAGAACAGCAAGCGCACAGGTGGAGGGGGGTGTTCATGGCTTGCATTCGTGAGTGAAGATCGTTTGTTATCGCTATGCATCGCTAATATCTTGGACAGATATACCAAAAGATTGTATGCTTGATACGACGGCCAACCAGCTGCCGGTGCTACCCATATGACCAATAATACAATATAAGGCCCGTCGATACATCCATTAATCTCTTCCTCAGGCCTCGGGTTTGGCTAGCGCCGCATTCTTGTTGTGTCTCTTGCCACGCGGGGATCTCTTCGTTAAGTGGCGCAAGGTTGTTTAGTCCAATGATTTCACGTGTCAATGCAGGGTAGACGCGGCGCGGATGAATGAAACAAGAAGTCGATCAAGATCCCGGTCATCGGAGGGCTGCGGGAGTTCCACCCGCAAACAAGAAAGAGGGATTTAATGTTGCATCCACTCCCCTTTTTGAGCATATGCTAGTATGTGCCCCAGAGAGAAGAGGTAGGTCAACACACCAGGGGCATTGGACTAGTGCACTACTCTCGCCTCCGCTCTGCACCCTACGAACAAGGACGCATATGACTGACTGCTACAATTGTAGATAAGATGTTTGACCCTGTACTATGGTCGTATCTGAACCCTCAACAATTTAGACTGTCACGAGTTCGGGTGATCACGAGATTCTCCGGTGGGCTTGTGTCATGCGCAAGTTATAGAGAGCAGCAAAGCCTGAGAAGTAGGCTGTAGAGGTCAAAGCATTGCGTGTTGAGCCACCTACATCACATCCTCTCCCTCGGGCTACCAAGACCGACCCAGATAGGCTAGCTCTTGTTGACGACTTCGCGCTTGCAATCCTCGATCACTGGAACGACGGCACATGTTTTTTGAGGACCTTGCCTTTTCCTGGTGACCGGGCCATCAAGGCCATCAATGCGGACTAACTCATTCTGGTACCCATCATCACATGTATCTAATAGTAGTATATAGCAACATATGAAAGTATACCCAGTTGTACAACCATCAAGGGCCTCCTGCCAGCAATAAGTATATGTTATCGTAAACGTCAAGGTACCCGCTAGCCTCGTTGAACACAACGTTCTGGAACAACCGTGTTATTCTGAGAAGCGTTTGAAGCATGCGTTCTTCCCAAAACGTCGGGTTAGGTACCCGCAGCCTGCAAGTCTCTCTTTTGCCGACCACGCAAGATGACTTGTGTGAACCTCCTATCACTGATTAGATATATCTACGACAATTGATGGCAACATTTTTCACCTAACTTATTGCAATGTTTTACCTGGAGTCGCCTCAGTCGCATCGCCAGGTAGTATTATACCCAAAGAGTCCACACAAGCCTGATGACTCCATGAGCTCGAAGCTCTGCCTGATTGGAGTGGGTGACCTATTATGCGATAGTATTCGTCGCCGAACTCTCTCACCTCAATAAAGAAAATCTGCGTCTGAGGCACGACCTCGCAGAGGTCGTCAATAACTCGGCTGACTAGCCGAATGCAGGAGACGGCGAAGGTCCTGGCAAAAGACTGACTAGCGCGGCACCTTTGATCCACGCAAGAACGTTTTAGAACAGGTAGTGGACGATGTTTTCCTGTGGCGGCGACTTCTACGTTTGGAATTGTGCAAGTGACGAAATACTTGTTGTAATCAAGCCAAAGAAAAGGTAGAACCCACGAAGATGCGCGTAAGGGATCTTGAGTGACAGTGTTAATGCTGTGTTCTGCCGTGTTACGAACTGCCTAAGTAAACTCATGTAAGTTTTTGGGGGACGGAGCAAGTTCAAGTTTGAACCCCTTGTCTACCACTCAACTGTGGTCTCTTTTGCCGCTATACCTAGTATTTCTTGTGGTCTCCTCTATGTTTGCGAGCAGCGAATGCGTTCGGAAGGGTCAATAGCACTGTTAAAAATTCAAGCCACATCAAAACCCCTCTTCAATCATTGGGCGGTGATATAAAGAGCTGTTCACTTCAATTGCCCCTTGGACTCGTCGCTTTGAAAACATGCACGATAGCTCAGCGTGTCTTTGTATGCACGAAGAAACGCTGAAATATCATACTTAGTAGCCAACTGAAGGTGATCCAGCTGCAGCAGAATCTTGAAATTGACGACGTACATCAGGACCGCACAAGCTGCGTGCCAGTCGACACTTGAATCGGATTTTAACGCGGCTGCAAATCAAAGTTTTGAATTGTACATACTCGGAATTTTTTAGCGTGAACCTCACTCGTTGAGATCGCGCGAATTGAGATGACGAGTCGATTTTCGGGTGCTGGCTCCATTGCTGACCCTCTTGAGGCTTCAACGTTCAACGACGAATTGTGACTGCTGCCAGTGGCCCGCCGTCAGAAACGCCGCCTGCCAGTACAGAATCTCTGGTCATGAATAATGGCCTCATAGTGACAGTTGGCTTGAGCTTGGTTATGTCGGCAGAGCGAGGAATGGGGTACGTGGTGAACGAAGAGACTGTTGTGATGAATTCTAAGAGAATTGTTGTCGAGACAACAGAACCGCAAACCAAGTTTAGATCAAAAAGCCTCCGACCAAGTCGCGGTCTCTAGTCTGTTAGTACTCAACTAAGCTGCTAAGCAGCCACTACTCCTAAAACCTGCAGCACCTGTCTATATCACTACCCGTCCACAGCAGGCGTTGATGCCCACCAGCATCGATCATGAGAACTCTGGAACAACACACCCAGCTAATATCTCATCATCTTCCAAGTCTACTGGCTTGGAGCCAACGAACCAGCTCCATGATACCGAAGTGACTAACAGAGACTACGACGATCAGGTAGATCCTTCCTTTGTTTTGTTCCAACCTGGCCAATAGCAAGCGCTCATTTACCCATCAGCTCGATACCCTCAATGCATTATTGGAGCGGGAAAATAGGATTAAAGAGGGTGCTGAGAGGTTTCTCAAATTGCCTCTGAACGTATGTACCATTTCATTCATGTCGACTGATTTACAGTGTGTTCCACAGGAGACGATGCGTTTGCAAGTGGAATCGGAGCTCGAGATGGCGACGGGCGAAATTGAGTCTTTGACAAGGAAGATCGAACTTGGTGCGTCGTCTTCATGATTCGCGTTGGAACCGCTGATACACGACGCACCAGAAACATCTCGAGGCAGGCGCAGGAAGAACGGAGTTCCTGTGAATCGGCGCAAATTCGCTGGTCAAACTCCTCCAGTCGGGGTTCGGTTTAGGGCGGACAGTGATGATAGGGATAGAGGTCTGTAGGCAGAATTATTTGGTTTGACTTGGAAGTTGACATTTGGGGTAGATGATTTCAGAACAACTCTGGCTCAAGCCAATGCCTGCATCAAATCCTTAAATTCGCTATCGCGTCCGATAACATCGCCCCCTCCAGCATCGTCCCCGTCGTCCGCGAGCAGTACATCTGCAGCAGACAACGACAAGTCCAGGATAGATATAATGAACCGGCTTGTCTCCATTCTCCAACGCAATCTTCGCGTCCGCTACGAAATAAATCTACCCGAGGTTGTTCAAGCGTGAGCAGTTTTACGCGCCTTCATCAGTACTTATTGATGCCATTTTCAGGATAATCCCTGCTCTCGCTGATCGATGTTCTATGCATTGCCGAGCCGCTGCCTATCGGCTCGTCAGGCATGCATTGGTTGATTCAGATTCAGCAGACGAGCTGCATAAACAGCCTCTGGAGTGGTTCATTGTGAAGTATTGTGTTTATTTTTTACCTGTGGCACTAATCTCACATTTATCCGAACAGATCTCTATCGCGAGATAACAAACACGCCATAGAGAGGGAACAAGTAATCAAGCTCATTCGTACTATCGTCGATATCGTTTCCGAACCTCGAGATCGACGTGGCATTACCGGAACAAAGACGATCCCTCTTTCCGAATCCATTATGCGAGCATTTTTAGCAGTTGCTGAGCATGCTGAAGATCCTTTTCGTCCTATCTGCATACAAACTCTTGCCGAAATGGGTGCGTGAATGTGTTTTCTTCAATCATCCTGCGGCTGATCAAAACATTGAAGTTCTCATTGACATTGATCTCGTGGCGCGATCCGGAGGCATTCGATTCCTTTTGCATGCCCTAGGTGAAGGCCCAGTCGAAGTTGGGCCAATATTGGCAGCCACATTCTTGCACATTATCGACTCCCCTCGTACTCGCGCATACCTGCATCTTGGAACTGACCTGGAGGTGGGCAGGCCGTTCTTCTTGGTGTTCACGATTTTACTTGGCGTACTAGATTGCTCTCTCTGCCATCACAGATGCTTATGGCAAGGGCGCAGACCACGCGGATCGTATGCGGAGCTGTACCAAGATCATACAACTGATGCTACGGACTTGGAGCGGTAGGCATTTTGTGACGTGTTATCCGTCAAAGCATGAATCGATTTATAGGGTTGATGTATTTCTGCCTGGGAAATCAACACGCAATCAAGTCTCTCGTCGATACGCTACGAATACCATCTCTCGAAACTAGAGTGTGTTGTTTGAGTCTGCGTCAGAAGACAAGAACTCACATCCATTCAAGGAGATAGTGCTGGATATGTTCTTTGATCTATTCAATATCAAGGCTCCGCAATGGTATAAAACGTTCATTGACGGTCGGCGGCTCACAAGTAAGTCAGCTAGCCATCCCGGGTTTGTTAGTAACTCAAGGACGAGCTCAGTGTACCGAAAACCCCGAGCTTTTGCAGATCAGCTCGCAGATCAGAAACTTCCAGAAAAAGCTCCTGAAACACTAAAGCTTACTGACCAATACATTGCCCTTCTTGTCCTCGTGTTTACGGATGCTGGTCTGATAGATGTAAGCATATACCCATTGTACACCTGCACCTAACCTAACAACCAACAGGCACTCACGGCAATGCTTGAAGAATGCACCACTGGCTCCAACCTGTCACGTAAAGCAACCCTGCTCATGGCCGAGGTCATGCAGATGGCGAATAGAGTACTTCCCCTGGGTGTCGCTGCCAAGATACAGGTACAGCCTGCATCCAATTTATTTCTTGGAGTCTGAATCCGCTTTAGGCTGTTCCTCGCGTGTTTAATCTAGCAGCAGATTATAACCGAGGAGAACACAGGATAGTCGGAACATCTGCTCTTTCTGCAATCGACAGCTTCAACCGCAATCGTCTGAGACTGCAACCTAGTGTTAGGAATGCACGCCCAAGGTAAGCGCTTGTGGATGGCCAGGAAACAAACATTTACCTGTTATCATAGGGCGAATTCCACTGAGGACGCAGTCCGAAGAGGACAGCGACAAGTTGAGCAGGTTAAAATCAAAATTGGAATGCAGATGGACGATAAGACTTTCCAATCGTCGTTGCTCGAGACTCAGGTGCGTTTAACTTCGGGTCCGTGCTGTGGATTGAGTTGACTTTGCCCCAGGTGATGTTAACAAAAGACAGTGCGAAATGGAATTTTGAGATGCTTCAAGAGTTGATCGAAGGGCCATTATTGAATCCCAAGCGATTGGAAGAAGCCATCAAAGTAGCAAGATTCATGCGACGGCTACTGTCCTTTTTCCATCCGTTCACCCATCGATTTTCTGACCTTCCAAAGAAACAGGTATTTTGTAGTCTTGTTTCAGATGCTCCATGCTGATCATAAATCGCAAGCCCAATGTCCGCTGGGTGCGCTTGGGATGCTCTCTTCTCACCACGTTGCTGGCTAGTCCAGACGGGATTAGGTTCCTTGCTTCGGAAGATGATTTGTTGAAGCAAATAGTGAAGTGTTTTGCTCAGTTGGACCCTGTATGATTTTATCAAGTCGACCCCGCGATTTTGTTGATGCCGACATGTCTTGCAGTTCAACGGCACATCAGAATCCGATCCTATGTTTTCCAAGTACAGACTATCCGAGACGTTGACTTATGGCTACTTCGAGATGCTCGGAACTTTAAGCAAGCATGCAGAAGGCATTGAGTGAGTCATTCGCAATCCCTGATGTACTTTGCTGATGAACGCCTCCAGGCTGATGGAAAAGTTCAAGTTTTTTACTGCTTTCTATCACCTTAGCGAGCTGCGCGATCGCGAAGATTTGATCACCGCTGTGATTACGAATCTTGATTATACGATGTGAGCGCACGATTGTTATAATAGAGGCTATCATTGACTGGACATCAAGTGATGGTCATCCCCGTATCGTGCTATCGAAAGCTCTTACATCGAGCGACGTCGTGAGTCATGCCACGTCCAATGCACCGTTCATTCGCTTTATATGCATTCCACAGCGCACACGCCTTTATGCGACGAATCACCTTGGAGATCTCATACGAGACTCAGTTACACCAGTCGCGTGGACACTGCGTCTTCTTCTAACTCAAATATATGATCAAGCGCCAGAGGTTTGTGAATTGGCGATCCAATTCCTTGAAGAAGCCTGCGATGCTATGGAAGTACTGCAACTTGTCGTAGAAATGCAACCAACGATGGACCATCTCGGAGAAATTGGACATCCGTTACTGCTCAAGTATGTTAACTCTTCTACTGCGTTAAGCTGAGACGCAGAGCTAACCTGAAACCAGATTCATGTCAACTCCGATGGGCTTCCGTTACTTGTACAGCGCAGGTTACATCGACAGAGAAATGGACATGTGGTTCCATGTAGGTGCTTTCCTTTATCACCAATTCTCCCTTGACCGTCGCCTACCCAGGAACGTAACATCTACTACGTCGTACAAGTGGAGATTTTCCTGTCCAAGGTCTTCAGCTCAGAGGCTGCAGAAGATGATGAAGATGTCTTGTACGTGCCGCTCTCCAATGCAGCCGCGGTGTAGCTAATATAACCTCAGGGCCTTCGACGGAGTCGTTCCGCCCCACTTTTATGGGGAAATGTCGAAAACTGAGCTCGGCTGTCAAGTTCTTAGCGAAAAGGGCCATTTCTCCGAGTTCTCTCATTTCATAAAACAGCACGGTCTTGAGAGTGAAGATCTTGAATTGATTCTCAAACTCAAGAGCATCCTGTGGGCAGTGGTGCGTTGTCTCCGCCGTGTTCAAGTCAAATCATTGATAGTATCATAGGGGAATGTCGGAGCCACCGAGGGCGGTCTCCCGTTTCTGGAAGAGGAAGAGATTATCCCTGCGATATTGGAGATCGCCGAACACTCTCTCATTCCCTCGGTGCGAGGGTAAGCACTTTGTTGACTTCTCGGTCCATTGCGTTGAACGCAAATTTAGGACGTGTTTCTTCGTTCTCGGGTTAATCTCCTCAACATCTCAAGGAGCTGAAATCTTAGACGATTATCGGTGGGAGGCAACTTTGTCGCCACTTGGGGTGCCGACCGGGTTATGCATACCCTTGGATCTGGATAAATTTATTTCAGTAAGGCACTAGAATTCTCTGTGCCGTGCTATGTCTGACGTTTCCAGTTACCTGCGTGGGATCCTGTCGGGGTAAAGGGGGACGGCGATTCTCGGCTTATACCGCCAACATCGCATACCGACCTGGAGGTGATCTCTGCAATAGAGAACCTAAGCAACACCGTGATTGCAAACGCTGCATCAAGATCACTTGCCAGGTAAATTATATAAAATAGTTCTGCGCTTTCCCACAATTATTCAACGACCATCCCAGGATGAAGTCTCGACCAGAATACCGATCGGCATTCTCGTCACCCTCTGTATTTTTCCGTGCGCTACACACCGTTTCGACGCAACGGTACCGTTTACCAGTACGGAGATATATATTCGATCTCTTTACCACCGAGTTGGATGGTGAACTGGTCCTGGAGCTATCCGCATGTGCCAATTCCCTCCGCGCACCACCGATGTTCAAGCAATCTGAAGCACATATCAATCGGGTAGTGAGCATGTTCGGGGTGAAACATGCTAGAGGAGCCTCCGAGAGCGATGATGAAGATGATGATATGGATGATGCTGTCGATGAAACAACGAATGACAGAAATCCTGTGATGATTACGCTCCGACCAGTGAGCAGGATCATTGGCTTTGACAAGTGATCTTATTTGTAGCGGGCATGGATATTTGTATTTGACTTCATGTCTTGGACACTGCACTTCTGATGTATCATATATACCACCACTCCAATCAGCCCACCCTCCAACATGAAACTTGGCAGTAACCTAAATATACCAGTACTACGAGTGTGACAGGAAACAAGCACTCAGTTAAAGTCAGTGGACAGTGGATTTTCTTTGTTGTCGAGACCTAAAAAGTTCATCAAATATACACGTTCATAGACCAGCTGCACCAGCCAGCACGTCATCGACATTCTCGTCATCCTTCAATGCGAGCTAGTGCTGTGTCCTTCTTTGCTTTAATGTAAGCTGCCAGTGCCGGTACAACAATTCGCTGTGTTTTGTTCGTCCCATCAAACGGTTTCAAGGAATCCTTCCCCTTGAGAGGTAATATAATCGTTATGCACGGCTGCCAAAGCAATCGCGATTACTTGGGCGGCCCTGCATCGTGCCAATTTTTGTGGCGTGAATGCGGGAGAGGGGCAGGCTACATTTCTGTACAACTGTCCCGAGGCAAAGACACCTTGCTCTGTGATGTTGTCCCCCCAGAGACCTTCAGGCACCGAACAGGACGATCCGCGTGATCATTGACGAATGCACTGACAGGGTCAATTCGTTGTATCGTTCTGATTGACAATCTTCCTCGTGAGGACATATGACAAAAGCCTTCCCGGTTCTACTTATATATGATTCGTCTCTGTGGCGCCTCAAAGACGGAGGGTAAATTTACTCAAGAATTTTGTCACCTAGAGATAGAAATTGCTCAAGCGATGGCATAGAGAACAACTATGGACTCACTACCATGTCGTGTAAAATCCGCGAAGCGGAACCACGGATGTATAACCACGACAGCAATAAGACTGCAGTGCATTTCAAAGCCTTCTTCACAGCCTTTGTTCGCCTTGCCCATACCCATTTCTCGGCGCCGACTGCCACATAATGATCCCAATTCGGTTTGCGATGCCACCACCACCAAACCGTCGCAGGCCAAGGAAACGGATAAAATACCTTGCCTGTGCCGTTCGTACGTGTCCATGAGTGGCAGTGGACGAACACCGAGCGGGAGATTCGTTCATGAAGCTTTGCATTATATGCATCTGTGGGTGAAGCTTTGACAGTAAAAGATGAGGCCAAACCAGTAAGGACCGGCTCTATGAGTTGAAGGATGTATGCAACCTTGTAACAAAATTGAGTAGAAAGATACAAAAAGTACGCTGAATTTACCTGGACTTCTTCCATGAACAACGTTGATGTCGGTGTTCCGGAATTTGGTCCTGTGATCATTATCTCAGGCAACAAGTCGATAATCACATGCTGTCTTTCGCACTCACCAGCTAGGAAGTAAAAGTTTGGTACGTCAGGAACTGCAGTCCCGAGGTATGCGGTAGGGCCACCATGTGTATCATAATAGCTTTGGATGGTGGTTCCATTCAAGCCTCGAACGTGCATCGGGTACCGCTCCTGTTTGCGCATTTGGCATCCTATAGAACATAAAATCACGTATAGCAACTCACGCCGATGAATCCGGTCGCGTATACGATGACATCAAATGGCAAAATTTCACCTAAATCGATGTGAGGAAAGTGACGATGTATTGACGAGCCATACACACCAGTCTTTGTGATGATACCATTCTCCACTATTTCGGCGATTCCGTCGAAGTTCAGCGTCACGTTAGGGCGATGGAGACTTGCCAGGAAACCACTGTTTGCGACTGCATGGAATTAAAATGGGAGAGCACGAATTTAATTGCTCCCGACAAACCGGTTCGCTTGCAACCTGGAGCTGTGGAACATCTGAATACAAAGAAAATTCCTTGATCACTAGCAGACACGCACGATAATTGGGTATCATATGAGCATGGTATTTACTGGGTGTGCTATCAAGGATGTATTTTGTCATCGCCTGACAGGAAATGTTAGATTGAATGCCTGATACTCTCGCAACCTGCTCACCTCACGTCGTTTCTTCAGAGTTTTGTCACTCGGGCGTACGATAGTGGGAAGATCGAACTACAACACATGTCAGCATGCTAAAACCCTGTGATGCAGCTGGCCCGACCCAGAACATAATCCATGCTCGATGCAATCGCATCGCCAGGGGGATGTTGGCAAATATCCATTTCTCATTCTCCGAGTACGGAATATGTGGCTTAGATGTTGTATTTAGCTGCTGAATCATCGCACACAGCGCAAACTCACTCGAGTATTGAACCAGGTCGGGGTACGGATGAAGTTGACTACCTCAACAGATGGGTCTTCTGAAACAGATGGCACGAATTGCGCTCTTGTTGCATGTCACCACCGAATACGTGCGCAGAAGTCGTGCGACTCACCCGGAAGACGCGTTTCCAATCACCGCAACACGCTTATTCTGCAGATCTACTGAGCCTGGCCACCGTGCGCAGTGAAACGAAGGCCCCTGGAAACTCCGAACTCCAGGGATCTCGTATGGAATCTTTGGGGCCTCCAAAATACCAACGGCAGATATCACGACGTGGGCCACACTCGTCATCCTCTTGCCCGAAAAGACGTTTTCCGCAATAAGAGTGTACTGTTGTTTCGCATCATCCCATTCGACAGATAACACCTTTGTGTTGAATGCGATGTGTGGATATAGATCATATTTCTTCGAGAGCTTAATCCAGTAGGCTTGAATCTCCGGTTGAAGGCCATGTGACTTGTTCCAGTATGGGTAAAGGTCTGATGATAAGCTGTACCAATGGATTTGGACATCCGACGAGCATCCCTAGAAAAAGAGTTCAGGTGAGTGATATGTTGCAGTTTCAGTCATTAATCATACAGGATATGTGTTGGCCTGTGCAAGAAATTAAATTGTCAGGAGGATATTTGATATCTCACAACAACATACCCTCCACACTCCGCCAACTTCAGACCCTTTCTCATATATCTATTGAAATTTTCAGCAGCATACCACTCGTTGCATGGATGCACTCACTGTGAAATCCTCAAATCCGAGCTTGGTTTTGAGAGCAATAGCTTGGGACAATCCGCCAACACTGCGCATGTGTATTCAGTTGGTGTATAATCAAATGACAGTGATACTTACCCGGTGCCAATGATAGCGACTCTTCGCTGGAGGTTGCCCATGTAAGAAAATGTGCCATTCTCAACACTCTGAGTCTTCCTTTAATACCCACTCAGTATGATAGGCTTTAGGGAACGAGGTCATATGACCCTATCGCGCGATAAACATCCAACCTCCGGGCCAAGAAGTCCGTATCCTAAATACGACTGTGAGATATCTCATACTGACCGCCGCACTGTGGGTAGTAGATCTATTGGCTGAATTTAGCGCCTAATTCTGTGAAAGTCACAGCAAAAGATTGGCTTAGATCCTCACGGTTTGTTCGTCCTATCCAGAAGTACCCCCGTTAAGTGCACGTCGAGGACAATGGTATGGTAAAGTTCTGAGGATTGCTATATACATGATAGTACATAGACGCCCTGCACAGCCACCAAACCGGAGTTCGCCGTGTCTTCCGAGAGTAGCTCGTCTCTTCGCCTCTCAATAGATTTCGACAATGTCTCTGCTCCGTGCTTATAAGCAGGGAATACCCAGACGGGCACTTCCTGCGTGTCCAACTTATACGCGCCGTTTCTTTGCGGAAACTCCCAACCAGCCGGTTCGCACTGGCGATGCCCCCCAGAAAGACACCACCCAAATTGCGGAGGTGGCTCATACTGATGTATTGACGGCTGAAGTCATAAGTGGTGCTCCAGGTGTGTTTCAACCAACCGACACCAATGAAAACGTCGTGCTTAATGACCGAAAATGCAGCGGAGCTCCGGCATCGCATGGTACGGATCTATCAACCAGCCCGTAACACCATGCAAAGCGGGGCAGGAAAGTCAGAGCGGTGGCGCATTGACTGGGATATTTTGTCGGGAGCAGGTCGGTGGGAGAATCCTTTGATGGGTTGGGCCAGTTCGTAAGTATTGCTCTATTCCTTCATCTGTGACGGCGTTCATCACTGTCTGCACAGCGCGGATTACATGCAGGGTACCAGAATGTCATTCAGAAGCAAGGAGGATGCCATGCACTTTGCAGAAAAACAAGGTACGCTGCAACATTTCTACTCGACGTCCATTGCCCTCATGTTCTTTTCATTAGGCTGGAATTACTATGTGTGAGTGCCTCCCTCGCTTTTGACACGAACTTGACACTGACGAGCCACTGCAGACAACCACCACCCACCAAGAAAATCCCTCCAAAGAACTATTCAGAGAATTTCGTGTACAGGCCGAATAAACTACGGATAATGCGCACGAAGTAGACTGTCATTCTGTCCATAGAACTACTGCACCTGATCCACAAGTCTGCAATTGGTTGGAACTTAAGATGTCGGACTCATTCTGGATAAGACATAACGTCAGATATTAAGCGCTTAAGCCTTGCAGACTCAGACTTTCATGTTGACCAGTAAGTAACGACAACGCGCGGATTGCAACGTCGGTGCAGCTGCCGCTGATCGAAGCTTGTCATGGTGGAGCCACACCTAGTACTAGCACGGGAGTAGAATCTCTGATACCGGATATGAAATAAACGTCATTCGAGGAACCGTCACGGGCTCCAGTCGACTCGGTGCACTATAATTACCAGACTCTCTCTGCCTCTACTACTCGTTCCACTGACAAGTATCGTCGCCTGGACCAAGTTAACGTATCCGACGCTTGTTGAATACTGTCGTCGTCATGGGCGACATTCAGAACAGGCCATTTTCAAAGGATTACAGGTTCAGTCTATTTCCCCATACTCTTCAGTGCATGCGAAGCTAACATTTACTATTGTCTCAGTGGCCTCATTAATCAGTCTGCCATAGCTGTCGCATTGGTCGCGGTGTCTGTGACGTCGCACGAGATCATGAAGAGAAAGAGACGCGGACTTCACACTCAGCTTGAGGGGCTTGGAAGTGTCGAGTCTTGGGAGTTTGGCTAGTGAGTACACTCATTGTGTTTCCTCAATGTCTTCTAATCAGTGGACGAATAGTCTGTACCAGGGTCGTTCGTGGGCACGGTTTGTCGCTCGTAGCTCCTGTTCTTTTTCATTCTGACAGTGGTAGCAGGAATCCTTCCCCTCCGACGCCGAGAGGTTGGCCATTATCCTGGGTCAAGGACAGTATCACTTTTCCCCAAGCGAAGCTCAATGAGCTTAGAGGAATCGATGCAGCGTTATATGTGCGTTTCCTGCGCGGGTGTCGTGAGTACTTACATCGTGCGCTTTATTCGTATCCGTTAATTCTTGTCGTCCACAAGTATTCTTTGTCCTCGTCCACACATTTACGACCACTCCTCTCCTTCTTCCGATACATATCCACTTTTCTCTGGATGGGGTTTCACCACAGTCGATGACTAGAGCATCAATTTCTTCACTCGTAGGAACTCAGCAAGGCCGCTCCCTACTCTGGATTCACATTTGCCTCCTCTTCTGGATCACGCTTACCTGGATGTGCAATCTCTTCTACATTTGCAATGGGGCATTCAAATTACGAGCAGCGAAAATAGAAGCTGCCATACGCAGTGTGGAGTCCGATACCCTGGTCGAGAGGGAGGCGCAATATCATCCGCATCCTCATCCACAATACCCTTTCCAGGATATTCCGTCCCTTGACACCATCCACTCCAATCGTGGTTTGCGTCTGCGTACTGTGATGGTAACCAACGTCCCGGTACAACTTCGCTCAGAAAAGGAGCTGAAAGAGTACTTTGAGTACCACCTGTCGCGGTCTCTTGACATGCCTTCCGTTGGCTTGCCAGCATCCACTCAACCCGGTTTCTTTAACAAATTGCTCGCCTTTGGTTTCAATCGAGCAAAGCGCATTCCACAGAACATAGGTATGTCTGTACGCGAACCTGCGAATGGGAGCCAGGAAGGAGGCGATGGAGCACCACTTGGACAAGTTCCCAGCGCGAACCGGGAAAACGTGCCACCCATCGACCGAGTTGTCATTGCACGACGAATGACGGAGTTGGCGTCGTTGCTGGAACGCCGCGAAGAGATCCTCCGTCGTTTAGAGGGCGCTCACATCAGTTTGGCAAAGAAGGCACTTTTAGCGGTGTACGGTTTCGAACATAGACACGGCTCAAGGGAGGATATCACCGTGCCTAAGCGCACTAGGTCTGCAGATTTAGAACGCGCGTATAGTCCAACCCACAACGGACACCAGAAAAATGATACAGACTTACTTGTTCGGACGCTCTCTCCGTTTCTGGTGGATTACGAGTTGACCAGCAAGTTCGCGCCCTCAAGGCGCAAACTCATTTTGAAAATGAAGGGTGTGTCTCACGAAACTTGGTGGCTACAACGAACTGACAGTGTCAAAGTGGATTCAGAGATGGAGAGCAAGGACAACACCACCCCACACGAGACGATATGGGATGCACTTCTCAGTCTACCACGAGGCGTACTCGACCCATATCAGCCTTTAATCCACCTTTCTGTCTTTTTCCGAGGGAAGACCGTGCCGAGCATCGATTATTATACCGCTAAACTCAACCTCCTTACATCGTTGATTACACAGAATCGAGCACGGGCTGCTACTGAATACGACGCTGTGTCAACAGCGTTCGTAACCTTCGAAGACCCAGCAGACGCAAGGAGGGCATGCAAGTACTTGGCAGTGCATCCTAATAACCCACTTGCATGTCTTGTGACGATGGCCCCGCAGTATGAAGACATCGATTGGACAAGGGTTATGAAGTCAACTTATCGAGTGGACATCCTCAAAGATTGGGTAGTAAATATTGGGGTCTGGTAAGGGCTGGTTCGTTGTTGTATGACCACGAGGGGTAGCTGACTATGTCTCAGGGGATTCACGATATTCTGGCTTTTCCCAGTGTCCCTGTTTGTTGGTCTCGTCTCCATCCAAAGCATCTCGACATTCTGGCCGAGTTTGGTATGCGTGATCCTTCTCTGGCATTTTCTGTACTAAACTTGCAAGTAGTACAATTATCTTTCCAGTCACCCTTGGGAGGAAGAGGTCATTCAATCATTCCTTCCGACTCTCCTCCTCTCACTACTCGCGATTCTCATTCCGCCGATTCTTCTACTCATTGCCAAGAAAGCCCATACAATCATCACTCTTTCCGTAATGCACGACACGATCATGACTCGTTACTATAAATTCCTAATTGTCAACGTCCTGGTGTTTTTCTGCGTGGGAACCGCTGCGCTCCAGTCTTTCCTTACTTCGTTCAAGACCGTATCTGGGAGTGGTATCATCAATACTGTCGCTGGTAGTTTCCCGACGGCCGGACCTTTCTATGTCGGATGGCGTAAGTACAGTCCTTCGACGTCTTGCAGTAAATTGACGGGCTCTGCTTGTAGTGATCTTTACCACTGCAATTCATGGAGGCTTTGAGATCGTGCTGTGTAAGCGTTCATAACTTAAGGTTTTGCATTTCATTCTTATGTTGATCTTGCAGTTGGTGTAAGTTTCGATAATGAAGATCGTCATGATGTTGACACGCCTCGCTGTAGTTGCCTTTGTTCACTTACCCCTCCACCAAGCGACATGTGACTCCGAGGAAACGGGCTGTCGGGATTCGTCCGCGAACGTTCAACTTCTATTGTAGGTTCCGTCATTTCGTGCGGCGAAGTTTCTTATAACGCTTCCGAATGCAGACTGGCTACCAAATCACCTCCTGGTCATTCATGTACTACTCCTCTTCGCTCTGCTTAATCCACTCGTCATACCCTTTGGGTTGATATATTTCTCAGTTGAGACAGGTTTGTTGTTTATATGATCCATGATAGTCATTCATGCTGACCAAAACGTTTCCCAGCTGTTGTGAAAAATCAGGTTTGTTACACTACTCCCTTCACGCGGCTACATCTGACCAAAGCTGGGTAGTTGCTACATGTTTATGCGAAGAACTACGAATGCAATGGTCAAATACTGTTGATCCGCATTCTTCGTTATTCATTGGACGGTATGATGCTCCTATTCGCGCACCCTAACGCCGCTGATGTGTTTACTTTCATAGGATTGATGCTAGCTCAAGTTTGTTCTATCCTCTGCCATTCACTGTACGGTAAACTGACTCATGGGCTTAGTTCGTATTCCTGGCTTACATGGCTGTACTGCGGATGACTGTTAATTTGGCGTTATCGGCTGTTTTATTCGTCTTCACCGCGATGGTCAAGATGATGTGCGTGTGTTTTTTCTTTCTATCCACCTTTGCTCCAATAATGAAGTCATGATCAGTATGACCCGGATGTGCCGCGCCAAATTCGAGCAAGATGATACCGAGGAGGCACAAGTGATCTGCAGGATGGGCGCGAGAGAATCAGAAGATAGCCCCGAAAGCCACATTATACCGTCAGACCAGCCTGGGAGCGCTCAGGGCGTAGCAGTCGGCGCTGACGACCACCCTTCAAGATTCCGGACCTGGCGCTTACCAGCCTGGGTAAATTTCTCTTACTCGACCGTTCCTCGAAGATTCCGACAGCACGAGCGGCGCAAGCCGAATCCGTTCGGCCCCCACGCTCGTTCGTTCTCGAGGCTAAATTCAGTAGATGAGAACGGGAAAACACCATCAACATCGACCCATGAAGAACCACCTGCGACCATTCTGGGTGGGCCGCTCCACTCCCCACCTGCTGAACAGCAACCTCAGCCTCCAGCACGCATTTCGACTTCCCTCGTACAGCGACATCCACCTCTTGCAGCGTGGGATGATGAACCCCGTCATGACATCCCTTATGACAATCCTTACTACACACGACCTATCACCAATGCCCTATGGCTCCCTAGAAATCCGCTAGGTCTTCTGGACCTCGATGACACTGTTGATGTTTACCATGCATTAACAAGCGAGCCCGGCTCTGGTGATGTGGGTCAATGGTTCGGACCTGGCTCTTCCACCTCCCCCATGTTTCAGCTCCCTAGCTCAGTGCCCGGTGATGAACAACCGTCCTTCTTTGCAACTGGGCAATACAGCGGTAGTGAAGATATTGATCTTCCTGAGGGCATCAAGTCCCGCATCGTCACCATTGATCAAGAGGTTGATGTCGAGTCCACAAGACCACGTCGTCCATCCTTGTTTTCTCGACATCGCTCGGGTAGTAATGTTAGCATGAAAAGTGGCGACCGCGCATCTCGGGGTCTTCCAGGTCGATCACAGATCAACGATAGCAATCGCCCCGAATTCCCTCACAAATCATCCTCAGACCATGCACCAAGATCCTTTCGTGAAAGGGCATCTTCATACCTTCCGCCACCCAATCTTCACTTCCAATCTCAGTTTCGTGACCTTGACCCTGGATCTCGGCCAGATTTGCATGCACAGGCCGAATTTGCGCGTTCTACGGCATCGATTGTGAGGCATGGTGGCTCGCGGGTGTCGCTATCACATCCCATCAATATGACCCCTCAAGAAGTCGCCGCGACGCCTCGAGAAGCTGTCGTGACAACCCGGGAAGCTGTCGTGACTGAAGCTATCGCAGAAGAACATTTAGCGATGGAGGAACGGTTGAGAAGGGAGCATGCAGCTGCTGGGTTAAATCATGGGCCAACGAGTCGGTCTTGGTTTACATCTTGGATTTACGCTAAGATTTAGTGATGACCTGGGTAGCATTGATTCTAATTTTGAAACACTTTTTGTGGAACACGTTGTGATAGGACCCGTCGTGAGTGCGCCTAGACTGAAGCTCATAGCTAATGTCGTCAGTGGAGATGAGGTCATTCTAGATGTTCAAGAGGCTCTCGATTGTTACTGAACCCCGCAGGTACCGGCAGGTGTGGAGCTGTATCGATCCGCAGTTTGCCAGCCAAATGAGCTCATCTTCCAGGGACCACGCAACTCAAGCAAGGACATATAAATTGAGAAACGGGCGACATATTTTGATACAACAACAAGCGCAAGATAACGCGAAAAAATGATTTATACGAGACCTGTAGCGACTCTCGATGAACACCAGCTTGTCATGAAATAGTATTAAAACAAACCGATGACACCGCAGGCTGTTCGTCCACCTGCATTTCCGGTCTTGAGAGACTCTTCATTATCGCCTTGCCCCAAATCGTCAGTGCCCTACGTGGTATGTTAGTAGGGAAACACGTTCAACATGAAATAAGCGCCGTACCGCATGAACGACGACAGCCCGTCTGGAAAACGGAAATGACATCATGAGTTTTATACTACTGTGGATCTGTATATCTGGCTCACCCTACTATGCTCAAAGGGCCATTCAAGGAAATTAAACTATCCTTGAAGGAAAGGGTGGCTGTCCCATATTCGTCGCTCTCGATGTTTCCTAGGTCACCAACATGCCTGACAGAGTCTGTGGGAGCACCATGGGTTTTGTCATATGGGTTGTAGTGCGACCCCGTGGAGAGACAGCCTTTGCTGAGGTCTCCCAGAGAGCTATTGATCCAATTCAAAAATGCCTCACTTCGCGAAGTTCGAACTGAATACTCACTGGATATGGAAGCCACGCTGAGAAGAAGGATCGAGATTGTTGATTTCTCCTGAGATCTTGACTGGTCCATCTGCTGAGGACTGCTCAAATGTAATAGTGCCAGCGACTGGCGAGTCGCCCTTGAGCACTACTACCGCCTGCGCATTCTTGTCAGACACAGCCTACAGTTAAGAACCATTAATAACACACCTTTTGGACGATTGGGGCCGCGGATGGCTTGAAGAACCAGGTGTAGCCGAGAAATACGACCGCGGCAGTGATTGCTGCAATGAAAAAGATTGGTTTCCTGCCAGCGGATTGTTTTTGAGGGTATGTGTTCATGATGGGCATGTACTAGAAGTCAACGTCACCCCAATCGTGTTGGGCCATACCTTTCGGCCCGGGGCGCTCCTTGGAACCAGCATGCAAGGATGTCCGCATGGTTGTGACATCATTCACGGGTTTGTGTTATGTAATCGAAGCTATATCGAGAAGCGAATAGGTACTATGCATGGCATTGCATGCAGGTCCTTGCTACCGTGCACAAAGTGCCTCGATGCGCATTAACTTCGTCCCACTTACACACCGCCTGCAGCTGAGTATCGGGACACCGCTCAGGGACAAGCTCCCAGTGCCAAGTCCAACCATACATTCGTGTTTAAAACGGCATAAAACGCTGGATATTATGTAAAGATCTACCTCGAGGACACCATCGTCAACTCCCCAGGAAGACCAACTCCTCAGCCATGTCCGTAGTCGTGTTGTTCAAATCGGATTATATATAGCGATGCACAGAATGATAACACTAAGCAGACACAACAAGTAAAAAAAATGCTAACGTACTATGTACCTCGGTGATAAATGCGAAAAGTCATGAGAAACCGCGACCACAAACTTGCTCCCCAATACCCCTTCATATCACCAACGGAGAAAATATTGTATATGATGCGAGGCATGTGCTGCGCGAAATGGGCTTCAACGAGCCCGGAGGGATCGACGAAGGAAAGGGATGAAAGGAGCAGGTTTCTGCTCGGCTACTTAGAAAAATAGATACGTCGTGATAAAAACGCCAAGCGCAATAATAACAACCACCTGTAGTGGAACGCCTTCCTGGTGGATAACACTATCATGCTCCACCATGGTACCGACGTCAGATCCCGCGTACGTCTCTCCGTCATCTGAGAGCGCCGACGTATGTCTCCTCCGGAAGTCCGAGGGAGCGATGGATGTCGGTGCAATGGATTCTGGCGCCAGAGAGCTGGGATCTGGCACAGCCGCAAGAAGATCCCGAAGCCGTTGTATCTCGTCCTGAGCTGCGATAAACTTCGCTTCCAACTCTTGGTTGATCGACGCCGCCCGTGCAACTGGAGGAGAGGCCGGCGGTGAAGGAGAATGCACGTTGACGTTGACAACACCGACTCCACCACTGGTAGATCTCTGGAATTCGAGTTCCTCCCGATACTCTTGAGAACTGTTCACCTCTCGTTCTGGTGCAGGTGGCGTAGCGGAGCGCTGGGGTTGCACAAGCGGTGCAGCTTGAACTGCGTCGTCGAAAGAGAATTCTGGCATAGCTGGAGGAGGGCGCGACTCTGGATTCTTAAGAGTTGCATAGTTCTACAGATAGTGCGATCCCATTCAGCCATTTGAATGATCCAAAGTAGTCAAAACACCCACAGATGGTCCACCGACGTGCTCTGAATGAAGAACGGGAGGCATAGGGGGCTCCACATGTCCCTCGTCCTCCTCTTCAGGAATTTGTCCTTCAGGCGGGAGGTATACAACACGGAGTTTTTGCTGGTAAACTTTCCACTCTTCTCCAGTGCCTGGTTGGGCATTCCACTATGGTCCGACATGACGATGAGAATACGCTATGCACGAAGGAAGACTTACGAATTCCTGTAGGTCTCTGGTCTCCTTCTCGGGTGTGATGAGGGTACTTTGGATCAGGAACTTGTCCTTGCACTTTGACGACAAAGGTGGTTCGTCTTTCATCGGTTGTAGCATTACTGTTGAACATGTAAGCAAAGTCGACACATGAACATAACACGAGGCGCGTACCGGAGACATCGACACTTTCACCAGGCTCGACCCTGCCAGAGTTTGGTCGTACGCAGTACAACTACGGAGTTCATAAGCAACTGAAACGTCCTCCTTTAGTTTATTCCACTGACCTTGGGCGCTGTAGTCTTGACTTTGAATGCTACTGGCTGTGCATTTTTGTTTGTGATAGTTAGAACTTGCTTGACGAGCTGGGAGAAAGGTCCTGAACCAAAAAGTTGAGTTGCTCGACGGGCGCTTGAGGTAGAAAGTGGAAGAGGACATACTATTGAAACCCAACGCGTTGTTGGGAATGAGATGGACAGACATGGTTAGGAGGAGTGCGCAACGAAGGCGACAAGTGGATATGAGGGAGGGTGAACGGGTAGTACTACGTATTCGTTTGGTCGGAGTTGCAACGTTGAAGTTCTAGAGGGTCAGCTTTATTCCATCCGCGGCGAGGATCACACAAGGTCAAATAAGTAACTCGTGGACTGTGCGTGCTCACCACACACCACGACGCACTCTCACCGAACATGCATTTATCTGCTCATAAATCATATTAAGGCGTCATTCTTCCTAAGCACCCGCGGCGCTGATGGTATGCTCGAGGTAGACGAAAGGGTTTCTATCTTGACTTCAAAAGGCTCAGCACTCACACCGCATCACAGCCGTTAATCGCATTTGCGAGCCTGCCTTGGCTATTAGCTGCAATTCTGCCGCGCGTTTGCGTGCAGGCGCAGTAGGCGGTGACTCATCTCGCCTCTAGGGCGCATCCCTGTTTACGAAGTAGCGGCCCACAGTACTGATATCGTCCTGAAACGGTAAATACTTGTCTAACTCCTTTGGCAGTGGGAACAAAGCTCAGCATTCACCGCGCTGCAATGTCGGTAACCATAGCATAAGTTTGTCGGCGCTCGCACATAGATCGGCATATGTACAACACGGCGAGGCAATGCTTGCGGTCCAATCAAATACCAAGGGCTCCATGATCTATCGGCGTCAGTTCACCACTGGCCGCCACCTCCATACGACAGTGCTGAGTGCACCTATAGTGGGGGTTCGGATAATAGCAAAGGCAGTGTTGAGGTAAATCCGGTTGCATTATATGAAAAGCATACTTACCAGAGCCAGCCTGATATGTCACCAGTTGTCGAATCCGATCAAGTGAAGTGAAGGGTGGGTTATGGGCACACGGCTAACTTGTAGAACACTGCGTGTCGAAAACAGAGAAACGTTTGCCAAAATATTCCTCGGGAATATACAAGATTGTTCGTATTTTATGACTTCAAAATATCTTCCTACACAACAACGACAAAGTTTAGTTCAATACAGATCGTTCGATCATCGAGTTCACAAATTGTATCGCGTCAGTTTGGCGTGGACGAGCCAAATGTCAGCAACCTTCTTCACTTCATCAATGATCTCCTTGAGGGGACCTGAGCTTACAGCATCCCAGTGTGCCTGTGGCCGATAAGCAGGTGGCTCGGAGGAACTAATGTCAGAATTACCTGCACAGTCTGCCATCCCAACACGCCGTGAACTACGTTGGGCTTATCAACGACAGGCGCCCAGCTCGAGCCGTAGAACTTTGGTGTTCCCTGAAGCTTGGCCTGAAGTTGTTTGACGAGGGGCTGAAGCGCGGTCATACTGACACCCCTCTTGAGAGTGAAAGTGACGAATTCCGTCACAGGAGCGGAAAAGATTGGGCTAGTGTTGGAAAACCCGGCATATGTGTGGGTAGGTTTACTCGCAAAGACTTGTTGAGAAGCTACTTGTGTAGCCTTGAATGTCTCTGTCTGACGATATGCGTCATGTACAGCCTTGGAAGTCCACTCTGCCAGTAATTCAACGCCATTGGACTTGATATGTTACAAACTTGACCTACCGAAGACCCAGAATGCGTTGCTTGGATCCTCGGTCTCGAACCCAAGGTATGCCCTTTGATCGATCGAAGATGGTAAGCCAGGACGCTTCGAGGATGATTTGTGCTCATTCACTTTGTAAGCCCTTCAATTTTGGTTCCGCTTTTGTTTGCAAGCTCAGTAATCAACCGAGAGGGATCCTGGAGGAAAGACGAAGAGGTCTTGAAGTACATGATCTGTGTGACGGGTGCCATGATGAGAGGTGATTGAGAGGAGGAGGCTGGGTAGAAATCACTGGCACTAAGTTTAAGTACTTATCAGTGGATTAGAAGCGGGCCGGAGCTCGGTCGGCTGATTCACACTACACTTTTTTTGGATTCCGCCAGAGCCAACATAATGGTGAGCAGAAGGAGCAATGTCGGATTCCTTCTTCCAGGTGACTACAGGAGACTTTGGAGATACATCGAATTAGTCGATCGAGGGAGAGGACACGATTCATGAAGAGATGCGATCCTCGGGCCTTGCCGACTAAATAAAGACCTTGACGTCATCACCGCAGTTACCGTTAAGCAGTCAAATCAGCGGTTTGTGCGGTACAAAACGCAGTTGCTGCTCCACTTTAGACGCCATGGCGAGCAAGTCAATGGGAGCCCAGCAGGGCGCTGCTGCAATCCCCCAGTTCACCTCCAAAGATTACTCCTCTTTCTTCCTCGCAGGTATGTATCACAGGGGGTACTCTATATATCCTAATACGTGATTCTGAAAACATCCATGTCAGGAGCACTATGCTGCACGTAGGTCTCCCCAACGTCTTTGCAATAACCATGCATTTACACAGGTGAAGGATCACCCACGGAGCAATGACACGTGAGGCGCCGCGTTGTTTATACTAGCCTAGCTTCTTTAATGCTTATCTTTGGTCCGCCATTCACGCGTGCAGCTGTTGACGTCGTCAAGACCCGAATTCAAATCGACCCCGCGTACAAGAAACTGAACATGTTGTCTGGAACGCGTTATGTTATCGCGACAGAAGGACCCAAAGCCCTCCTCACAGGTTTTGGCCCAACTGCAGTTGGTTATCTTATACAAGGAGGCGCGAAATTTGCTGGCTACGAGTACTGGAAGAAGAGAGCAGTAGAGTCTGTAGGTGGCCCGGAGGCGGCAGTGAAGTACCGAACGGCAATTTACCTCGGATCAGCTAGTATTGCAGAGTATGTCGCGATATGCTGACAACTTTCTAATTGTCCTATATTTTATCCTAGGTTCTTTGCAGATATCCTCCTGACACCTTTAGAAGCCACCCGGATCCGTCTCGTGTCAGACCGAACTTACGCAACTGGACTTGTCTCGGGTTTCACTCGTTTGGCGCGTGAAGGTGGCATGCGCGAGCTTTACGCAGGCTTTGTGCCGATTCTCTGCAAGTGAGCTTATTTTTTGCCGATCACTGATGAGTTTCGCATAAATAATGTCTTGCACAGACAGATACCTTATGCCATAGGGCAATTCACGGTGAACGAGTTCTGTCACGAGATTGCTTTTCGTTCCATGTCCGAAGAGACCCGCCGCACGCTCTCCACTACCAGCAAGTTCACAATACAACTCGGTAGCGGCGTCATTGCAGGTTTCGCAGCGGCTATTTTAAGTCATGCAAGTATCTGCTGCGAAATATTTTCACTCCGATTGTCTATTGTCTGACCCCTGATATGCAGCCAGCGGATACCCTATTGAGTCAGATAAACAAGGGACACGGACCAAAGGGCTCCATGCCGCATCGACTTGCAGTACTCGCTCGCGAGGCCGGTTTCCGTGGCCTTTTCGCTGGTCTTGGACCTAGGATGATCATGACTGCGGGCCTCGTGTCCGGGCAGTTCTTACTGTATGGTGCAATTAAAGAAGGCAAGCATCAAGGAAGGTTCATATTCCGCTTTTTGACCTTTCACAACAGCTTTGGGCGCACCCCCTGGTGTGGAGATACACAAAGAGACTAGTGCTGGCATGTGATAGGCACCAAGATCCCCCGAGACCCCAGTTAGAAGGCCTCGCATATATTTTTATAGAATCTCAGCGGTACATACGCATGGGTAGAATACAGTCATTCACGTGGAGCCCGGCCAAGCGCCTCAACAAGCCCTAGTTTGATGTCCTTTTCATAAGAATCGTTCGTGAGGTCCATGGCCAGAAATTTGTAGGTGGCGATCCCAGCGGCCTTGATGTTTTCTTGCTCCTCCGCGGTCATTTTCTCCTCTAATAGCTGCCCGAGTTCATGGTCGCCCAACAATTTGCTTGACGTATCAGTGAATAATCTCTCCAGGAGGTGCACATGGGAAGAAAAGATACCTGACGTACTGCGCGCGCTGCGCAATACGGGACGGCAATCCAAACATCATAGCACATTGAGCTGCATGAGAATTGCGGGAAAGACCCGGGGAGACGCTGGTTCGTTGATTAGATACGTCGAAGATCGTAGAAACCCAAGAGGTACCGATAAAGATAGGTTATCTTTTCTCCAGGGGCGACAACAGATGTAGGTTCCGGTCGTTCGTGATAGGTTGATTCTGAGTCCCCAGATATCGACATGTCACCAGGATTCAGGAGGTTGCCTTTGCTTGAAGTGAAGAGGACCTGCATGTGGAGGAACGTGATCGGAAACTTGTGGGGATCGAGCATGTCCTTCTGGAAGACTTGATGAAAATGTGTGGCGGCTAAAACCTTGGGACACTGAGATCCTCGATTGAGAAGATGCTTGATGACACCGCAAAACAATCCAGTCCCGTCTATGAACTAAGTAAGAATCTCGTCAGTTATACTTGCACCGTGAAGGGAACGAGCCTGCAGGGATCGTCCCCTTTCCAAATTCGTCAAGGAGAATGAGAGAGTTTGCGGTACAATTCCGGAGGGCTAAGGAGACCTGGTTGAGATCAATCATAAAAGCGGATTGAACCTTGCAGGTAGTTCAGCTTGGTAGGGAATCAGGAGCACTGCGATAATACTTTGGATACTGATTCGCGGGTCTGTATACGAGTAAAGACTGCGAAGAAGAATTAGTCGACGTAAAGTGGAAGAAAAGTCCAGAACGTCACTTTTGTCGACAATTCCCAAGGTGGCAGATGCCGCTGGAACAAAACTTCACAGGGTCACGAAAGCACGGAAGCAGCTACGAATTCCTTACCAGCCGATCTAAGTTGTCATTGATGAGTTACGAGTGGTCCAATAACATAGAGCAGTTACCAACCTGGGCCATGTATTGAATCAGAGCAACCTGCAATCATTTCAATTCATCCTGGCATACGACTGGTCAGATCTTTACCTGTTTCAGGTAGACGCTCTGCAAGAAGGAATTTAGCTGAGACATATTATAACGTGTGACTTGAACCTACCTTTCCGCACGCATTCGCGCCAGTGCACAAAACAACGCTGGTAGCCATCGGGAGACTGTCAATCTCAGTCTGTGGTTCAGCGCTATCACCGAAACCGATACCAGCTACGAGCTGAGCATTATTGGGAACAAAAATGTCGACTACCTGCTCTTGTAAAGGGTGTCTTACGAGAACAGGTTACTAATGTAACGAATAGCATTCCACATCGCTCACCGTCCTTGATCAATGTCAATGATAGGATCCTCTGACATCTGAGGCCGACAATAATTGTATGCCCGAGATGCCTCGGCGAAGGCAAGCAGGCAGTCCAGTTCGGCACAAATGTCACATGTGTGTCTCATTCCTTCACTGAATACAAGGATCCGTTCCAAGAGCTCTTGGACGATCTCTATTTCACGGTCTGTTGCCCGTGAGTCTCTGACTGATATGAAATGATCAAAACTCGCACCGACTATTGACGGGTGGAGATCACCGATGTGTGTGTCCATGTCTTTAACCGGATCGCACGTTTTCTCGGAATTAGGGTCAAGGCAAGCTCACCATGCATCTCTTCCGATTTGAAATACACATGTGCACTGAAAAGAGGCAGGTCAGTTAAAAAATCAACCATGACAATGTTTATCACTCACTCTGAAGAGAACTGAGCGATTCAGTCAGCCCCCTACTTGAGATCGGCACGAACAGCGTCGAGACTCACCTGGAAGCCCCATCCGTCTAGAACCTTGATGCCCTCCTCAGATCTCCATTCCTCCTGCATCGGAATGCAGATCAAAAAACCTGGTAATGGAAACCGTTGAATATGCACTTATACTTGGTTCAAGAATGCATCACCTAGCTGTGGGAAATATACCACGTTCAGAGACTCCGTATAATCCACGGGAATATTTTGGCATATTTGCTCTGCGACCTTGCACTATAACAGAGCAAAATGACAGAGCATCTTTGAGACAGGAATAAGCCCACCAAGACAGCGTCCAATCCAGCATAGACGTGTTTCCTCTGATCTAGTTCCTCGTCGATGTGCGGCCTAACGCATATGCGATTATTGCTGATGGATTCCTCCCAGTCAATCTAACCAGCGAAGGGGGTACATTAGGTATAGAAACAATGATACAAGCGCTCACTGTCTCGTTGACAGCATTTCCAATTTCCTTGAAGCTCGCAATGTCCAGCGATGCAACTAACTGAAAGCTCATCTAGTCTGGCGTCCCCAAGCGAGCCGGCTCGCTAATAACTTACCTTTCGTACAACTCCCACTTGATCACCTCCGTGAAGTTCCGTAAGGGCGTCGCGTAGCATTGCAGAGTGATATGTGAACTTCACTTGACGTCGGATTGGCTTTGAGACGAGAACCGAGTGAATCATACCTTCACTAGGCCTTGCCAGTCACCAACGCCAGCTTTCCCGGACTGCAGGAGCCCGAGAGTCCTCGGAATATTCTTGATTCCTTTTAAGTGAGTTTGCAAAGCACTCGCAGGTGCTAAGTTCTCCGGATGTAGAAAACATTCAATGGCGTCATGGCGGGCTGCTATGGTAGGAATGGACAGAGACGGGCGCATGAGCCAGGTGCGGAGCAATGAACGACCCAAGGATGTCCGAGTATTGTCAAGGATACCTGTAACATATGGATGAACGCGACGGCATTGAAAGTCGTGACAACTCACCAAAAAGCGACAACCCTTCTTTTGTCTTATCGGAGTGGATGGACGCGTGGCTCTCGTTTTCAAAAATCTGAAGGGAACTGTGCTTTACCGGTTAATGTACTCTCGGGCCAATATCCCTGACACCTCGCTTACAAAAGTGCGTCAGCATTGATATGCATGACCTTATCTCTTAGAAAGGAGTTAACACAATGCTAAATAAAGCGTGTGTGATATCAACTTACATGGTCAACACCTCGATACCGGAGATGTTGAGCCCCTCGACCCCTGTATCATCATCCAGGTCGCTCGCTGCTCGCTCCCTCGCAAGGTAGTCCAGCAAAGCACCAAGGCACGAGATCTGTGGTTTCACAAATGAGACAAAACACTGCACCTGAGTATCTAGACGAACACAAAGAGGAGAAGATTCCAGCGACGCATAGTTGGCCAACCTAATTCCCGCATTCCATCTTTTCATAGTTGGGTCGCCTGCTGCCTGTTTGCGTTTCTGCATAAATTCATATGCGTTCCTTGGCTCAGCGCCTGAGCTGCTGTCAACTGATAAATATTGACCAGTATCTTCGGTTGCCAACTCGGAGAGAAATCGGAGCGACAGCAAGCGATCTCTCCCTCTGTGAGAAGAGAATTCTTTATGAGGTCTGATTTGAAAGACCCCTCCAGAGGCCTCAGCTGAGTCATTGGCTTGAGCACCTGTGCATATATGCAGCGGCAGTAGAGAGCATACTATATTTCTGGAGGACCGATATGAACGGATCATCGGCTTTGGAGCTGGTCAATACTACGTCAGAGTTGCATTGTTCGAGAACTGGTACAGGCTTAGAAGAGCGAAATAATGAGAACGATTTGACTCAACGCATGTTCGTGAGATCGAAGTGAGCATCCTCTTGCGTGTCTTCAAGCACATAGACTATGCACCTGACGGAATCATAGTATGCGCCTGCAACGTATCCTCTAGTAGAGCGTACGAGGTTATATGCATTGGTAACACTAATTCGACGACTTACGATTGACAGGAAATTGTCAAGCAGATCTAACTAGATGATCAGCTCCACGAGACACGACAGTCTTTGCGCAACTTCACCTTTGATGTGCTCGCATCGTCCTCTGAGCTACCGTTCTCCGTATCTGCTAACGCTGTCACTAATTCGGAATTGCCCTCCCATCTTACTTTCTTTCGTGGCAGCTGGACGCTCTCCTCAGTGTCGGACTCGGGTGTCTGGTTTTGCTCGTGGTTTCGTGCGCTCTTCTCGACTTGCTTTTTACGGCGGTTAGAGATTTTATTTTGTTTCGTCCTTTTCATGTCGTTACGATGTGTCTGCGGGTAAGTGGTAAGATGATAAGTCATCGACTCGTTACCATTACGTACTGGCAGGTGTTGTTTGGCAAAAGCCTTGAATCCAAACAAACCAGCATTGGACAGTCGACACATCATTGATTGCTATGTCGAGTCTGAATCAAAAATATCATGTTCGATCCCACTGCTAGTACTAGTGTTAAGGCATTGTGGCCTGTCAGTCATTCGTGTAGGTAACCAAGGATCCTGCTCCTGCCTTGTACTTATCTTTTCATTTTCGTGTTCTAATACTGGACTCCGAGTTGTCTACAAGGGACACACGAGCAGCCAGGCAACCCCTTCATCAACAGAATTCAGAGATTGTCACCCAATGCAGCCACGTCAGGTAAACAGGTCATATAGAAACCTGGATACATGGTGAACGCCGCATGACCGAATTGTGCAATTAACATAGCACGACGCACGCTGGAGCGGAAAGCATGATGGGATGACGAACACAAGTGCCACCGAGCCTTCATGCTTTACTTCAGATATACGCGTCCCTGGAGTTTGAAGTTGAATGTGTAAGCTCAAAGTCGACATACGCAACATTTTCATTAGCAGCGACGGTGGCAATAATGATGAGATGTGGCAAGGCAATAAGGTTACTTCTTTACTTTTAGCAAGTCCTTTGTGTCTTCTCCCGTCACTGTGTAGACAGCACCGAGAAACGTGTTAGCAACGATTATCACAAAGAGGAGACAACATACCATTCAACAAAAGGCTCTGGGCATCTAACATCACTTTATTTCCCGAGGTAGCCAGCATGTTGGCGATATCCCTAGCGGCTTCAAGCCGACGAAGCTCCAGAAATCCTTTGTTCGTGCGCATGGCTTCGCCGATCAACTCAGCACTCCGAGCCTCACCTTGGGCTCGCACTATAATAGACTGCACAGGATACATCAGAACCAAGAAAAACAATGATCACTACCAGGGAAACTTGCCTGCTTTTCTTGAATTGCCTGATCAACCAAGAAGGCAGCCCTCAGAGCTGTTTGTTGAGCGACCTTAGGGACGAATGTAAATGTGCGAATAGGAGATGTACCAGATTACTCGCCTGCTTGGCCTCGACAGCATGCGTAAACTCGGGTGAAAACGCCACATGGGTGATAGACACATCGTCCAGTACCACGTCAAAGCGTAATGCACGATTCGTCAGATTCTCGCGAATCAACCGGGATACCTGACACAAAACGCCGTTGTCAATGTACCATAGAGCAACAGCTAGAAATACTCCGCACCATCTCACGTTGTGTAATCAGCTGACTTGCATTGAACTGTGCGACCACACTTTTGAGAACTTCGTTGACGATAGACGGTAGCACACGCTCGTCATAGTCTTTTCCTAGTTCACGATATATTTTGGGTAGTGCAGATACAGCCGGCCGGGACAGAACTCTGCAAGTGATGTTAACCATTTGCAAATCTGCAATTCCAAAGTAAGCAGGTGCATGCATGCCGCGAACTGCAGACGTCACCCTTCGTGCCAGTCAAACTTGCTACACTCCGAGGCTTCGCACGAATGTCGAAAACTATCGGCGTCTCAAACCAGGGAACCTGAGGAGCGTAAACAATCAAAATGCATTGAAAAAAAGTGGTACGGACCATGAGATGTGTCCCTTCATTGTACACCTCATCCTTAACACCCTGGAGACTGAAGCAGGATGAGCCATGAACTTAGAAGGCGCGTGACACGACAGCCTACCGAGTATATTTGATAGCTCTGTGACCACCATCAACTTATTTTGAGTTGTCAGAATCCGCTACAAAAGTTACGACACGAGACACACCGTTGAACAAGCTCGCGTTCAGAAGAAGTCCACCACCCACTAGCGCGACCATAAGGCCTCCGCCTGCGAGGAAGCGACCTGGACCTCCTGGCATGCCACCACCACCTCCAGGCTGACTGGCCCTCTGTAGCTGCTGAGCGAATTTTCTGAATGCGTCTTGACTGTTCATGGTGTCGAGTATCCCTGGAGACTTGGAGAGTTCGAAACCTACTGCAGCCAGTGGAGTACGCACACACCGGCACACATGTCACGTGGTCCTTCATGAAATTTCAAATTAAGACCCAAAATCCCAAAAAAATATTGCCTTCTGAATCCTGCTGATTCCTCTCATCTTATCTATTTGTACTGGGCTACCAAGTGGTACTGCTCGTCACTCATCAATGTTCGTGGAAGGAAACGCAGCTAGCAGTGTCGTGCGTACTCGCATGTTCCAATTGACCCCTGTGCTAATCTCGAATCCTCATGAAGCTTGGATGGATTTCAATAGCATGCTGGTCAGTGAGGCAAAGAATTCATGTCACAAAAATCAGACTCACCTTGTACAACCCTCTGCAGGATTGTCGTGTATTCCCCTCAGATAATTGAGAATTATCAACTACAGAGTGGGGAGGGTTTATCGCTCCTTTTCATCTACGTATGGTTGCTGGGCGACGTATGTAATCTTGTGGGTGCAGCGATGGCTGGATTGCTGCCTACCGTGATTATCCTTGGAGTTTATGTGAGTTTTATGTATTGCCTTGTAATCTGTCCCCCCTGATGCTGACACTTTTCATAACCGGACCGGTTAGTACACCTTATGCGACACTGTATTACTCTGCCAAGTATATTATTACCGATGGAGGCGGCAAACCGACCACGTTGTACCTGCGCACATCCCAGGGGAGGTTTCCGAAGAATCTTGCCTTATTGCTGATAGTCGCTCGGTGGATCCTTCCGAAAGATCAGAGCTCTCGGTCACGCGAATTTTTGTGCGGTACCTGGCCGCTGTCGCATTCGTATCAGCCGCTGGTGTGGCGGCATTTTGTATCAGCAATTGGCTTCCCAGCGATGATACTTCTCCGGTCCATCCAAATACGAAGTTGGACTGGCATATACAGGTAATAGGGTGGACCAGCGCCACTGCTTATCGTGTGTTCTTGTCATATCATGTGTGGATGCCTTCACTTACTATTTTCCTCGACAGTTGGTGCCCGTCTGCCGCAAATAGGTCAGTAATCACACGCATCTACCGCCAGTCCCACTTTTCTGATTTTCGACGTAGTCAAGAACTTCAAGACCAGGTGTGAGGGTCTCGCTCCTGGATTATTTGTCTTCTCTATCCTGGGAAACACGACATACGCATTGTCTATTATTGCTGCATCTCGCGACGCAGATTATCTGATGAGGAATGCAAGCTGGCTAGCAGGTATTTGCTCATGACTTATGTATATTACATGTAATTGACTAATCGCTTGATTTTTTAGGTAGTGGATTGACCGTCTTTCTCGATATACTTGTGCGTCCAATCGCTTCCTACCATATCTCATCACTCAGAACTCTAATTCTCCTATCTTTAGGTGCTCAGCCAGTTCTTTTATTACGGATTTGTTTCAGGGCAGCAAGGCTGGATCGATAGAGCTCCGGCGTAAGTGTCCAACGTTCAGTATTACTATTAGAAGCTTGCTGTATCCATACGTTACTGTTTCCTTGACGTAGAACCTTACGGCTGTCGATGGCTTGTATCTTTACTTTGGCTGGGCTAACGGAGATGACGTGCACGCTCATGAAACTGATTGCATTGCCATTTTGACCAGAAAACATCAAGGAATATGTCTATGGTACAAATGACCCATATCCTTGGAATTTGCAGTTCTTGTTAGCTGTGTGGGAAGGGGATTCGGATCGAACCAGTGACTTTGCACTTTGTTTGAATCTCGTTTTGCCTCGTTGCTCTCCTCGTGCCCGAATTGCTATTTTGCCGCCGCACGTTGCAAGTTTCATCAAGCAATTCCGGACGAAATGTCCTCCTGGAGTAACTCAATACAACATGCACCCTGCCTCGTGCCAATCTCGACGGACACCGCAAGATCCCATTCTTTCGCAGGTACATTCTTATCCGTGCGATCAACTTAAAACCTTCCAGTTCTCGTCGGATTAAGTCCCCATCCTTCTGTCCGGTCAACTCTGTACGTACCAAGATGATCACAAACGCAGGCATGTCCTGTCTTATTCATCGATTAACTGCGATGACACTTATATATGAACACGAACAGGTGGTGTTTGATAACATCCACGACCACGGCTAGTCAAGCCGCGTTTTGCTGAAAGCCCTACAACCACATCGTCGTTATTTAATTCAGCACTTTTACGTGCGGTTGTTCAGCACTCATAAAGAGCTCAGCGACAATCACGACCCATCGATCACCTTTAGCCATCATACTGTGATGCAGTGGCCATCTTTATCTCGCTCAGCTAGAGACGACGCCACTATCATCGCTGATCGTCGTGGTTTCAAGTTACCCGATGTGACTGCTGCCTTTCTTACTCGACCATCTAGCGTATCATCCTCGACGTCCTCATCACCAACGTCTCCGCCTCCACCTTATGAAGCAATCCATTTCCTGTCTCAGCCAGTTCCACAATGCGTTCCAGGTTTTGCTGCAATGCCATCTGCCAACGGCAGACCGGCTCGTCGTCATGAAAGCTCTGCGCTTTCCATGACACGATACAATGTCGACCGCTCAATTTCAGGAGAAAGTTCAGCTCCGGGTGTGTCTATCCCTCATTTGAGAGAGGCATTAGACTCCCTGGATACACAAATGGCATCTTTGTTGAACCAGCGCCAAGAGATAGAGTCGCACTTGGAACAAGTTGTTCGGTCCCAATCTCCTATCCATCGAATTCCAGAAGAGCTTCTTTCGTCAATATTCGTTGCAGGAGTTTGTAATATGGGAGAGGAGGATCCTCTTTTAGTAGCGACCTTAATGTTGGTTTGCCGATATTGGAGGGATGTCGCGATCGACACCCCAGAATTGTGGGCGGATATCTGCGTGAGCCCGCACGACTCCCTCGAGAAAGCGCATCGCAAGCTTGCGCGTTCGAAGTCGGTGCCTCTCGATATCACGATCAACTTCACTCCTCGGGTTGACAATGCGAGCGGTGCCATGGAGAGTATCATTCATGCGATGGATCTCATTCGTCCTGCGCTTTGGCGAGCAAGGTCCTTTCGCCTCAGTGTTCCCAACAAACCACAAGCACATGCTGCCCTTCTGCGCTGTAAAGAAGAAGCTCCCTATTTGGAAAGTCTGTGTATCCGCATATTCCATTCTATGCAGGAAGACCATTACTCCAGCCCCTGCCTTCCGCTCTTCAAGGGGCATACTCCCCGCCTTCGCTCGTGCTCTTTCACGTCCTTTAATTTCAATTGGGACAGGAGAGTCGTATCAAACCTACGTGTGCTCCACTTTGGGGGCTACTGGAACGGGTCTTCTCCATCTGTCGACACCTTGCTAGACATTCTACGAGGCTGTCCAGGTCTCGAAGAGCTTGCATTACGCAATATGTCGGACGTGGACCCCGAGACTTGTGTTTCTCTCGAACATGAGTTTATGTCTACGAAGGTCGTGAAACTGCCGAGGCTTATCAAGGCCTCGTTCTATTATGCAGGCATTATGCGCACTCGCATGCTTCTTAGTCAAATCTCGTTCCCCGCGCTTGAGTCGCTTGACTTCTGCTACCTCGACAATCTCACACCAGTTTTGGAGCACCTTCGACAACAGTCTCTAACTTCCCTTCCACTCAAGTTTCTTCGTATCGAGTCAAGTTTCTTGAACGAACCGAAGTTCATAATTCTACTTCGGCGGCTTCCATCATTGGTTACTCTGGAGCTGGTTGACGTGGAGGATATCACATGTTTCTTGTTGAAGGTGAGCATCCACATAGATGTGTCATTAGCGCATCTTCCAATGACCTATCACCAGAGTCTTTCTTCACCGCCCATGGCCCATCCTTGGGTGTGTCCCAAGCTAGACCGTCTCAACCTTGACGGGTGCACTGCACTCGAATGGGATGCTCTGCGAGGCCTCGTGGAATCTCGTCTCTGTGGTCGCCCACCTCAACTCTCTTCTGCTTCAGCTGCAGCAGCCTCGCGCTCAACATTCGTATCCACCGCGTCTGCGTCTGCCCACATCCATGCCTTGTCCCTCAGTCGCTCTACGACGCCCACAGTGCAGCCTTGTCGCCTGTCGTCCATTGATGTTACACGCTGTCATCAGATCAGCAAAGACATGGTGCAGTGGCTCAAGATGTACGTCCGCGATGTTCGCTGTGAGCCGGCAAAAGGGATATGGGGAGAGTCTATCCTACCCTAGTGTTGAGCAGCTCCCGATTAATATTTCTCATGTCATGAACATACATATCTAGACTGCAAATACTTGAAATTGATGAGTGCTATATGGATTTCCTATACTGCTTGTATATTGTACTTACCCCGCACGATAGTGCGTCTGCACGCAACGACATTATGTATGTAACGAAAGGCTTTCACTTATGAAAACATTGTTCGTGTGTATGTAGTTGGTAGTTTTCACGCAATTCACGTCTATTAAGCTAATGGAGTCCGAGGTGTGTTGCGGGTGGGAGGGAGCTATTCATTAAGATACGCGAGCATGTGTTTCCTTTCGTTCTCTTCGCGCTTTCGTACCTTTGCAAATCCTCGTCGACCTCGACCGACCTCAGCCCTCTTCCTTCGCAGCTCCTCAGCGGCTCTGATGTGCGAAGCCAACGCCGCTTGGTTATGAGTAACCCGCTTCCTCGACTGCTTATACGGGCCCTCCGTTTTCGCCTTCAAACCAATCCCGAGGCGGTCAGATTTGAGTATCGTCGGAATAGGCGTCAATAACGATTTTTGGGAGTGCGGGTCAGATGTGGTACTCGGAAGAAAAGGAGATTGGTGGAACGATTCAAGGTCGTCTTCGTCTTCTGACTCGGATTGGGTGAGATCGATGACGACGTCGGGTAGTAGGATGTCTCGAGATTTCTGGTCGCCAGCTGGCATACTCGTCCCCCGCAAGGATGGTGCATGCGATATTGGCTCAGCGTCATTAAACATGTGTGCTGGTGATCGGGGGCGCCGAGATCGAGCGACATGTGCACCAAGCCCCTCTCCTTCATTCCAGCCACGCTTCTGCAGTAGGTTAAAGCCTTTATTGGATGGCCCTATTGCCAACCAGACTGGAGGAACAAAACGTTCCTCCGAAGGTAATGGTGGTGGATCTCGTGCAAGGAGGTCTGCCAACGATGGCGCGGGAGAACTAGGTTTGCTAGTTGGTTCAGACTGAAGGGCTCTTTTTATGAACCAATTGTTCTTGGTGGTAGCCTCCTTCTTTAGCTTGGGAGCTTCACTAGTAGGTGTGCTTGACGGTCTGGCTGGTGGTTGGTTCCCCGAGCTATCTCTTGTCAAAGCTCTGTACCACTCAGAGGTCCTGCTATCTGGAGCAGGCGCATTCAAAGATTCTGCATGGGTAAGCGAAATAGCAGAACCCCACTCGTCGTATTGGATGCGCGCGGGAACAAAGGATGGAGGTGGGGCGCGGCGAGCAGCAGAGAAAGTTGGCGCTGTGTTCCACTGTTCCTCTTCGTCTATTGGAATCTGACCCGTCTCCTCCTCTAGCCGCTCTCTATCTGCAGGATCATAGTCTGAACGAATGTGATGAGCGACAGTGGCCATGAGTAATGGTCGCACTGAGCTCAGTGCGACGGTCACGCGTGATGCTGTTATTTGACTAAGCACCAATGACACAATTTGGACAATAACCCCTGTCGTCATCCCCTATTATCAAGAAAAAGTGTCCAGAACTAAGTAATATCCAAAATACGCTGATTGAGCAGTGACTACAGAATGTACGTGCGAGGCGACAACAAATACATGATTCCAGTCCGAAGTGCAAGGTAAGATATCCACCAAATGAGAGAATTTGAGATGACCTATCAACCGATAGGCATGTTGGACCCATTATACGAGAATCCTGTAGCAGACAGGGTGAGTCAGATTTCTTTCATCTACAAGGACACCGTAATGACATACCAGCGAACTGAGCTTGGACAGTGGATGAGAGGTGGGAACCATCAACATAACTGTCGACTGGTGCCTCGGCCGTGAAGACAGTGTCAAAGTTAGAAACATCCTAAGCACCAACGCACTCAACAAACGCGTACTCCCGAGGAAATATGCATATGCACTCACCACAGGACTTGACACACTGGGCTTAAACGGCGGTTGGATCTTTTTCTGCAGAAGCTTCTTGAAGTCAATGTGGTTCACAAAGAATGGGTGTTTCTTGATCTCTTCAGCGCCGTTCACTCCAAGTCGTTTCGAGGGATCTCTGTTGAGAAGACTAGTCAGAATGCTTCGAGCTTCTGTGCCAATGTCAGGGCCGAAGGTGAGCGGATCGGTGAGGATCTTCTGGTACATCTTGTCCGTGACCTCTGAGGTGGGTGAATAACGGCAAGAGACGCGAACGCAGCGATAGCACTGACCATCATAGAAGGGTGGGAGACCGGAGAGCATCTCGTACAGAAGCACACCAAGAGTCCACCAATCAATTGACTTGTCTAAAGCAGATGATGATCAGGAAATCATACGACAGGTGATGAAGTTGGAGCTGACTATATCCTTGACCATTCAGAATCTCCGGTGCAAGATATTCCGGTGTGCCACAGAATGTATTCGTCGTGTCCGAGTCCTTCATATTCAACTTACATAACCCGAAGTCGCATAGCGCGATGTGTCCGGTATAATCCAGAAGGATGTTTTCCGGCTTCAAATCGCTGGATTTTTGATGAGCACAGCGTAAAAGGGGGAGACAGTTGACCTACCGGTAGACGACGTCGAGTTCATGCAAATGTTCCAGAGCCAACAATAGCTCAGCACTGTAGAATCGTGATCGCTCCTCGTTAAATCGTTGTTCACGTTGCAAGTGGTGGAAAAGTTCTCCTCCATTGACAAAGCTAAAGGGTGCACTCGTGAATAACCTCGAAAGGCAAACGTTGAAGTGACCTTACGCAAGTACCAAGTACAGCTTCTGCTCGGATTGGAAACTGAACTTGAGAGGCACGATAAAAGGGTTGTTAACACGCGCGAGCACCAGCCGCTCTGCCAATGTGTGCGTGATTTCTTTTCGATCGACTATATGAGCTTTGCGGATAGTCTTGAGGGCATATATCCGCATGGTATCGCGCTTCCTGACTTGCATCACCTGCAAGAAACGTTAAGCAACACGATTGGCACCTCGATATTGCAGCGCACCTTGCCAAAGCTGCCTTTGCCAATGACAGTGATGAGCTCAAATTCGTCGATCGATAGAGATTGGCCCTGTTATTTCCGTTAGTCGTTTATAGCTCGAACTCAATATATGAAATCACGGACAGAGCTAGGCTGGTATGCCACACCAATCTGAATCTTTCCTTTACCACCCGTCACATCGTGCCACTGATCTTGGCCCACAACGCCAATATTGTCAAAGTCCGGCGTGAACTTGATTCCACCCATGAACACATCATTGCCCATATCATCCGCCAACCCATCACTTCCGACTTTGGGCTGTTCGGTTCGCAAGTAGCATTGTATTGAAATTTCCGAGTTGCGCGACACGTCGCTGGCAGCGAATTCAGGACGAGTAGTACGTGATGTAAGATTTGAACAACTCACAACTGCGCCTGGTACATATACAATGGTTTCTCGAGATCACCACCCAATGGGGTAATTAGGACTTGATTGACTTCGAACTCCATTACCAAGTAGGGTAGCCACCAGCATTGTGTACGCTGGATACTGTCTTTGGCGCCATGGCGCTTCGCGAGTCGCCTTTGTGTTACGCTCGAGGGAGATACAGATGCGGCGAGTTTGGCCTGTTGGGTGGACAGCGCTGCTTGGACAGCAGATGGGACCGTGGTGCCTACAGGAAGAGACAGGTCTTCAGCCCATAGAACGCGTATGCTGAGCAGACCAGTGCGTGAAGTGGGTTTTCCTGAAGGATTGCCCGGGGTCGGAGTAGTCGAGCGCGGAGGCTCGTCGGAGCATCCAGCAGACAAGGTTGCCGTTGAAGCTTTTTTGGTCAATTTCCCGAATCCCTTCAACATGGCGTGTAGGTAGTGGTTATTAATGCTCAGATGAACAAAATAGTGTGTAGGTGAGGCGACGCGAGAGGGTCGGAAGAGATCGATGTGGGGAGGGTAGTTGACTTTTATTTAAAACAAGACAAGTTGATTGTCTCTTTGTTACACTGTAACAGTGAAGCGGTTTACAGTTTATAGAAGTCGGCAACAGCACGTGGCAATGATTACCATCAAGCCGAGTCGAGCCTCGAGCAATCAACAACCAGGTCCACCGGACGTAGCAGCCTCAAGCTACGAGCTCGTCGACAGGGTAGTTTTATTACCAACTATTATTACTCCAGTGCAGAGCTTTCGCTAACCTTTTATTAGAACAAAGTTAACCACCAGGTCTTCCTTCTTTTGTAGGACTGGGCTATCACACGCACGCCTGAGCACCAAAAATATAACAACGGCTTGCAATTGCAGAGCCTCGGCGTCAGTCCTTACGAGTACGTGCTTATCAAACACCCTCTGAATCGGAAGCCATTGCAAGGTGTGTAGTACTTACGACTCCCTGCCGAGGCTCGCATGCTTCAAAAAGTTTTAGCTCAATGATCGCTCGCAACCCCCTAAAACGAGCCTCGACATGCGCGCAGCGTAAGACTTCGGGCAATTCCGCATAAGAAGCCAATTGTGAGCCTTTGAGACTCAGAGCTGACGCAAACACACGCGTACTCCCCCGATCGCGGTGATTATCATATCCCATCGCCTCCACCCCGTCGGAGAACCCAGCGCGCCTAAGAATGGATCGAGAACCGATTTATCGACACAAGAAGCTAAAGGCTCTTCTTGAACGGACCACGGTTGCGAAGAACTTTGATAGTGCAAAATGCCGAGCGACCTGCAACCAATTTACGTGGTCAATTGCACAGATGCAAGGAGGCAGAGAAGTATCCGGCGGCAGTTTGCACCGTGTCTCTTCATTTTTGGGGCGTGTTCTTGGAAATGGCCGGGAACAGCCAGCTGGGGGTTTCCCCGTTACACGCTTGGCGGTGGACTATCGCGGTGCCTGGATCAGCGCTATGATAGAGAGAAGCATGTATATGGAGTTTCCACCGGTACTTTTGAGATACTGGGCAACTGCCAGTGTAGGAACCCTTGACAAAGTTAGCACGGTGATTAATGGAGTACGGGCGTGGATATCCAACGTCCATGGACCTTTGCAGTGGCAAGTTATCGTGTCACATGGTTAGTTCAGGTGTGCGATGGGCAAGGAAAACCAGTAGGAACCGAGAAATCATGATTCGTGAGTCCAATGTCGACGGATCTGGAGCTTGTTTGTATGTCCGCAAATTAAATGATAATGAAACGCTTCGGGGCATAGCAGGCACCTTGGTGTGATGGCTATGATGGTACCATGATGAGTCGCAAGCTTCGGACAATGCTTGATCGCCGGAAATATACCGAATTCCTTCTACTTCGTTCTTCTGCGGGACCGTGAACTCTTATCTGTACCAAAGTCAGCATGAGTCAATGCTGTATGGACTTGAACTATATTCTACAGCCGTAGGCTAATATTTCCAAAGCCGTAATGGTGCCGGCTTTTATCAGGCTGATCTTGAGGCTGCGAATATTGCAAACAAGTCGTTCGATGCGGCCACGATGTGTTAAAACCGAGAAGTTAGGATAATGACGCGTGATCCCAACGGAGAAATACCTTTAGCGCCTGCAACGATGGCCTGATAAAAAGCAATTGATCAGCTGACAGGTTCTGATAAGCAACCCTAGGCCTGATGGCATGAAATAGAGTGTAAGCGCGATACGCCATCAGTCCCTTGCAAGCTTGAAAGGTTGAATGCCGAGAATTTCAGTGGTCGTTGCGTTGCAGTCTGGCAGTTGCCGAATGATGACAAACATAAAATATGATTCGTTAGTCAGGAGTACAGACGTCGCTTAAGCATAAAAAAAGCCCTTAGCCTTTGCATCCGAATCAAGTGGTGACCGTCGGTTAACCTCCGACGGAATAAGCACGATCACGTCGGGACATGTGCCATGATGCATGAGTCTTGAAACCTCTTGGTAGAGAAGCCCAAGTAGGTCCAATAGTCTTTGGTAGTACCTGCTCTCGATGACCTATAATTATTTCAGGTCTTGATGGGAAACGGTCCGACGGGATGATGACATAAGATATTTTGTATTGATTTTGAAATTAAGATCTCCCGGGGCCGTTGATACAATGAATCATGGATGGTAGAGTCAGGTTAGAGCGATTGCTAACCTTTGTTGGTCGAACTAGGGCGGTAAACACAGCAGATGCATCATGCTGCGTAGTATGAAGCTGTGATGGGCTGTCGGTGTACGGGAACTTGTAATAAAGCCCGTGGGTGCGATCGAGTTGCGTCGGCAACCTGGGTCCCCTATGAAGCAAGGCGAGTCAGTTGCGATTCGATGACTAACCACCTTGACGTGAACCGGGCCACGGCACGTCCAACTACTGAGTATATATTAGAAATGCGCAATGCATATCCACACCACCTTACAGATCCCCTCCCTAATCTAAAAAGGTCTGTGTAACTGAGACCTTCCGGTGACCCTCCCTCCCTCTTCCCCTTCTCCTCCCCTCAAATCATGTCGAACACTCACTCCTCCGACACCCCTGCCGAGAAGCGGCCTTCTTCTCAGGACACCCATACATCACAAACAAAGTCAAAATCATCAAAGGCCAGGTTTTTCTCAAGGAATAAAGACACATCCGTCGTGGTCGAGAAGGATCCAGATGTTGCTCTCGATGCCAACCCACCCTCGCAATCCATTCCGCCCGTTTCCTTTTTTTCGTTATTCCGGTGTGTCTTTTTTACATTCAGCTTCGGAGACTCTCAACCTGATCATATACGCAGCTTCTCTAATTCGTTCGAGATTACAATCGACATCATTGGCGTAGTTTCAGCGGCGGCAGCTGGTGCGGCTCAGGTGAGTCTTCTCAATTTTGAATCATGTCACCATTTACGTATCTATCCTTATCAGCCTCTCATGAGTCTGCTATTCGGTAATTTAACCCAAGATTTTGTCAACTTCAGTGTTGCAGAGAGCAATTATACTTCATTGTTACAAAGCGGCGATCCCACTGCCATTGCCCAAGCTCAACAGATTCTCGACACCGCTGCTGCGGGATTTCGCAAGAGTTCCGCTCTAGATGCCTCGTACCTGACCTACATTGGTGAATTTGTCGTCTTTTCGTTTATATCGATATTAATCATATAATGTCTAGGTGTCGGCATGTTCGTGTCCACATATGCGTACATGGCCATTTGGGCTTACACCGGCGAGGTCAATGCAAAAAGGATACGAGAACAGTATCTTAAGGCGGTCCTCCGCCAGGATATTGCTTACTTCGACGATGTCGGAGCCGGAGAAGTTGCCACCCGCATCCAAACTGATACTCGTGAGTTAAGCGTCTACAAATCTTTGTTCTTCTTTATTGACGTGCAACACATAGATTTGGTACAGCAAGGCATATCCGAAAAAGTCCCTATCGTCGTTAGTTTCATTTTTGCATTCCTCACGGGTTTCATTCTCGCATATGCTCGATCATGGCGCCTTGCTTTGGCATTGACGTCCATTTTTCCATGCATCGGTATCACTGGAGTTGTCATGAACAGATTCGTCTCCAAGTATATGCAGTAAGTGTTTCGTTTCCGAGGAATACACGTCCATTTATCTGATTCAATACAGACTGTCTCTCAACCACGTTGCCGAGGGAGGAACCCTTGCAGAGGAGGTCATCTCCACTGTTAGAACCGCACAAGCTTTCGGAGCTCAGAAATTCCTGTCATCTTTGTATGACAAGCACATCGATGGTTCTCGCATTGCTGATTCCAGTGGTGCCATTTGGCACGGCGGAGGACTGGCCTCCTTCTTTTTTGTCATTTATGCCGCCTATGCTCTTGCTTTTGACTTTGGCACTACCCTCATTAATGAGGGGCTCGGTAAGTTCCCATATTCTTGGAGTGATAGAATATTTGTTAATATTGTAAACATAGCCAACGCCGGTGCAGTTGTAAACGTCTTCTTGGCTATCTTAATTGGTTCGTTCTCTTTGGCACTTCTTGCACCTGAGATGCAAGGTGAGTTTTATTATCTTGTATATTTTGCGTCTCCTCATTTATATTTCAGCAATCACTCACGGACGTGGTGCTGCCGCTAAGCTATATGCTACAATCGAGCGTATTCCCGCAATCAACTCTGCCGACCCAGGAGGTTTAAAACCTGAAAAGGTCATTGGCGAGATCACGCTCGAGGACGTTAAATTTAGCTACCCCTCCCGCCCCGACGTCCCTATCCTGAAGGGTCTCAGCATTAATTTCCCTGCTGGCAAGACCGCCGCACTCGTGGGGGCATCCGGTTCCGGAAAATCAACCATCGTCTCACTTATCGAGCGTTTTTACGATCCCTCGAGTGGCTCCGTCAAGCTTGACGGTGTCGATTTGCGGGATTTGAACATAAAGTGGTTGCGATCTCAGATCGGTCTTGTTTCCCAGGAACCCACACTCTTTGCGACGACGATCAAAGGCAACGTCTTCCACGGCCTCACCGGCACCCCATACGAGCACGCCTCTGAAGAAGAGAAGTTCAAGCTCGTCAAAGAGGCGTGTATCAAGTCGAATGCCGATGGTTTCATCACCAAGCTGCCGGAAGGGTACGATACCATGGTCGGCGAACGTGGGTTTTTGTTATCAGGTGGGCAGAAGCAGCGTATAGCCATCGCTCGTGCCATCGTCTCCGATCCCCGCATTCTCCTTCTTGACGAGGCGACCAGTGCGCTTGATACGCGATCCGAGGGCATTGTGCAGGATGCATTGGACAAGGCTGCGGCTGGTCGCACGACTATCACCATCGCTCACCGACTCTCGACGATCAAAGATGCGGACAGGATTTTTGTCATGGGAGACGGTCTCGTTTTGGAGCAGGGCTCCCATGGTGAGCTATTGGCCGATGAGAACGGCGCGTACGCGCGCCTTGTCCAGGCACAAAAGCTGCGCGAGTCGCGTGAAGGCCAGGACCTCGAGAGTACGGCCACAGTTAATGGCGAAGAAGATATGGAGAAGGCCGCTCTGGAAGAGATTCCGCTTGGTCGCCAGAACACTAATCGTTCGGTTACCAGCGATATTGTAAACAAACGCAACGAGGAGAAAGTGAAGGCTCAGACTAATGAAGACGAATACGGTCTATTCTACTTGTTCAAACGTGTGGGAGCTCTTAACAAGGAAGGACGGTACCGCTATGCGATCGGTGCTATCTTTGCTATATGTACGTTGCTTCCAGAGTCCCTCGTTATTTTTTCTGACATGTGAGATGATCAGGTACTGGCGCTGTTTATCCGGCATTTGGTATCGTGTATGGTGAGCAACCCCTGATCCTTGCGTATCTCTGGGTGGGATATTGACACATCTCTCGTTAGGCCAAGCAATTACTGGATTCTCTGCGCCCACGAATGCTCAGAGACGTCTAGATGGCGATCGCAATGCCCTATGGTGTGTGCTCATGCGCATGTATACGAGGTGTCCGCTAAATCCCAACATAGGTTCTTCCTTATCGCCATCTTGTCTGCAATAAGCATCGGCTTCCAAAACTATTACTTTGCATCCTCTGCAGCAATTCTGACGGCTAAATTACGGTCACTCTCCTTCAAGGCCATCCTTCGCCAAGACAGTGAGCATTACAAACTTTTTTCTTCGTTCAAATCTCATGCCTCGCAGTTGAATACTTTGACAAGGATGAGAACAGCGTAAGTTCTTTAATGAGATATGTACATCACACATTTAATGACGGGCCCTTGTAGACTGGTGCACTGACGTCGAATCTGAGCGAGAACCCGCAGAAAATAAATGGTCTCGCTGGTGTCACTCTCGGAGCGTACGTCGACGTTTATTGTAGTGTGGTTTAATACTCACAGCCAAGCAGAATCTTGCAGGCAATCGTCACAGTGATCGCCGGGTCGGTGATTGGTTTGTCCTATGCATGGAAGCCAGCTTTGGTCGGAATGGGTGCGTTGTCCCTCCAACACCGTAGATCTCTTGCTTATGTTCCATATGTAGCATGTATCCCAGTGCTTATATCCACAGGTTACATTCGTTTGGTGCGTAACATTACATTTACTTCGGAACTCGCAAGTATTAACTTATCTATAGCGAGTGGTTGTCATGAAGGACCAGCATAACAAGGCAGCGCATGAGTCATCGGCGCAGCTTGCTTGCGAGGCTGCCTCAGCCATCCGCACAGTCGCATCGCTGACGCGCGAGGAAGACTGCCTACAGCTCTACAGCTCCAGTCTAGAAGAGCCCTTGCGCAGATCGAATCGCACGGGATTGTGGAGCGCCATGTTTTTTGCCCTTTCTCAAGCCATTTCCTTCTTCGTCATCTCATTGATTTTCTGGTACGGCTCGATCCTCGTCTCAGAGCTTCAAATTTCTGTCACGAATTTCTTCATTGCGCTCATGGTACGTTGAGAAAAGACCTCGTTTTTATTTTTTTATTAACTTGTGTCGTGTTAGAGCACAACGTTTGGAGCAATGCAAGCAGGCAATGTATTCGCCTTTGTACCGGATGTCTCGTCCGCCAAGGGTGCTGGTGCCGCAATCATCAAACTCATCGATTCAACCCCAGAGATTGATGCCGAGTCGACTGAAGGGAAGAGTATATCCGGAAAAACCGTCAAGGGCCAAATTCGCTTTGAGAACGTTCATTTCCGCTACCCCACTCGCCCTGGTGTCCGTGTCCTCCGCGGCCTGGAGTTCAAAGTTGAGCCAGGTACATATGTCGCTTTGGTCGGTGCCAGTGGATGCGGTAAAAGTACAGTGTAAGCATCCCCATTTTTTTGACCGTTCGGTAATCTCATGTGGTGCTGCAGTATCCAGTTGATCGAGCGATTCTACGATCCGTTGTTTGGTCAGGTTCTGCTCGACGACGAACCTATCAACGAGTTCAACATTCAGGAATACAGAAAGCAGCTTGCCCTTGTGTCCCAAGAACCAGTAAGTAAATAAAATTCTGCGGGCTGTGCATCTAATCGCATTCAACGTTCAGACGCTCTACGCTGGTACCATTCGCTTCAACATTTTGTTGGGTGCCATCAAGCCAGAGTCTGAGGTGACCCAAGAGGAAATCGAAGCTGCATGCCGCAATGCCAATGTTCTGGACTTTATCAAATCACTTCCCAAGTATGTCTCCAGTCGTCAATTTGCACGAATACCGTACTGATTAATTATCAGCGGCTTTGACACTGAGGTCGGCGGGAAAGGGTCGCAGCTTTCCGGTGGTCAGAAGCGTGCGTGACCGATCATTTTTCTTTTCTCTTCAAAGTACTTATACTTATTCCCCAATCAGAGCGCATTGCAATAGCCCGTGCCCTACTCCGCAACCCGAAGGTTCTTCTGCTAGACGAAGCCACTTCGGCGTTAGATTCGACTTCTGAGAAGGTCGTACAGGCGGCTCTTGATCAAGCCGCAAAGGGTCGCACGACGATAGCAATCGCACATCGTCTCTCGACGATCCAGAATGCTGACTGCATGTGAGGAGTGCATCATTAGTGTCCCAGAAACAATCGTACTGATGCTTTTCTTTCGCAGATACTTTATCAAGGAAGGCCGTGTCAGTGAAGCTGGCACTCATGACGAGCTCCTTTCACTAAAGGGCGACTACTACGAATATGTCCAACTGCAAGCATTAAGCAAGAAATAGGACGTTTACTCATAGAATACCCTTACACACATTACGATTTTTCAGTCGTTACGCTATTCTCATCTCTGACGGATATCAACTCTATAATAATGGATACACCGATTGCGAGTAGTTAATAAATTACAGCTGTTTGCAATACATGATGACAGTTGTCGTTTGTTCGTTCACATGTCGAGGCCAAAGTGGCGTTGAAAATGATTATGGTACTCTCTTCACCAGTTGCAAGACCCGCAACACGACCCTTAAGCTTCACGCCCAACTGTGTTGCTGGTAATCAGTTCTATCACAAGTTGAGACGGTTGAACGTTGAGGGGTTCTTAATAACGTTCAGCTGCACAATTGCCAATAAAATGTTTGTACGTGGAAAACAAGTTGAAGGATCTTCGTCTGCTCAAGGAATCCGGGAACAAGCGGCGTTTAGCTCGTGCAATTAATAGCTGGCGAGAGCAACAATATTACAGGAGAAGCATTCGCACCCCCTCGGCATAGCACAAAGCTGACGATGGGGATGATAATGGCATAGGTGAGAATCTGCGTGTAAAAATCGAGTCTATCACAAAGAAATGAATAGATAGGTCGACCTATGCAAAGTACATCAAATTGTTCTTCTTCTTGCTTTGCACTATACGACACCGTTAGAAAGTTATCCAAGATAGTCGTCGCAAGTAATCTACTTACCCTCAGCAATCCCGCTTAGGAAATGTTCATGCCCAAGCTTGGTAGCGCCCTCACGCAGGGCGATCATACCAGCCTCCACACACGTTGCTTTCAACTGAGCGCCATTGAACTCGTCCGTGCTACGCGCCAACTCTTCGAAATTTACGTCTGGGCTAACAGTCATCTTCCGTGAGTGGATTTCGAGGATACGGGCGCGAGCGGTCTCGTTTGGTAATGGAAACTCGATTTTGCGGTCCAAACGGCCTGAACGGAGAAGGGCGGGGTCGAGGATGTCGATACGATTTGTCGCTGCGATGACCTGGACAATAAGAACTGAGCAAAGACATTTCAAGTCGATGGTAAATAACATCACCTTGATTCGCTGGTCGCTCGAGAAACCGTCAAGCTGGTTCAACAATTCTAACATCGTTCGCTGCACTTCACGGTCACCACTCTTTTCTGAGTCGAAACGCTTTGTTCCAATAGCGTCCAATTCATCAATGAAGATGATTGCAGGTGCTTTCTCTTTGGCAAGTTCGAATGCATCGCGAACAAGTTTGGCACCGTCACCAATGAACATCTGAACGAGTGAAGGACCGGCAAGTTTAAGATAGCAAGCCTTCGTTTGCGCGGCACATGCACGGGCAAGGAGAGTTTTCCCAGTACCTATTGAAATATAAGTAATGGCGCGCGTGTAAATGATATGCATACATACCTGGTGGCCCGTACATCAAACAACCTTTCGGTGGTTTTATGCCCAAGGTCTTAAACTTGTCTGCCTGCTCCATCGGTAGAACGATGGCTTCCACCAGCTCTTCAATTTGCTTCTCCAAGCCACCAATGTCGGTGTAGGTTTCTGTTGGACGTTCGTCAACCTCCATTGCCTTGACGCGTGAATCATATTCAGTCGGAAGCTTGTCGAGAATCAGATAAGAGTCTTTGTTAACACCAACAAGGTCGGAAGGTTTCAACTGGTCGGCAGGCACGAGACCAATAAGAGGAAGGAAAACGGTTTGTCGAGTGGATGTCTTCACGACGGCACATTTGCCCTTGCGCATTGAGTCCAGGTCACGATTTGCTCCATCCTCCTCTGATTCAGGATCAACGTCCAAGACCTATGACAGTTGAACAACCGCATATAAGCATCTAACCTGGTAGCGCGTACCTCCACCACATTTCCAACAAGATACGGCAAGACTTTATTTTGCTTTATTTTCTCCCCATTGTCGCGTATCTTCTCCTTCATTACGCTTTGCTCGTGTTGCAATCGCAGCGTGTCCGACTTCATAACCTGTGTCAGCAGGACAAAGTACTCTAAAGTTGAGCTCTGGGGAATTTATTGCAAGATACAAATCACGCACCTTTATATCATTATCAATGAGCCGTATTCTGGTCAAAATCTCGTCTGTTGTCAAAGCCTTTATCTCCTCTGGAATGTCATCCCAAGTCTCTTCTGCGGGTTGATCTGGCGTTGTGTCCATTTCAGCGGCATCCTGAGCTGGCGAAGGAGAAGTTTCTGGCTGCTGTGGTGCTTCCGGCTTCTCCACGGTGTTACCTGCAGGAGGGTCTGATGGAGGCTCAGGAGCTGAAGACATGTGAATTAAAAGGCGGGTGGTAGAGATTGATGACGGTGCTGAACTGAGATGCTCGCCGACGCGTAACTCCTCCCATAAAGGGAAATTGGAGCACACGCAGGCGGCAGTACAAACAACCTTCGTTGGCTAAATCTTTAGGGTTCATTCAATTCAACCCGGTTCGTGCATCCTGACTCCGTGCACTGTGATATCGACGCAGCCCCGATCTTGCAAGTTATTCACATCTTGAAACTTAGTAGCTTGAAGCACTGCTGTATACAACGGCGTATGCAAATGTAACTCGCAAGCACCTTTAACACTCGAGATCACCGTGACTCTTGTCCTCTAGCAGTTCAACTTTCAGTGGTCACCGGCGCCAAAGGGAGGGCAAACGACTCAGGAGCCATTGACGTGGCGATGCAGTGTGATGGCCACGTCGCCCATCGGATGGGACAGCACACGTAGTAGAGGACTAGTGTTTTTGTCAAGCAAGAAGATTCTAAGAAACATATGACATACATTTAATGAAACCTTGTCGACGGTATTCTGAGGTGAACGAATCAGTGTGCCGTGTGAGGCTTTTGTTGAGACCCAAAACACACCTCCTCCTGGGAGGATAAGGTCAGTTTGGTGGGGGTCGACACGCATTCAAACATACATTTTCTAACAGAAGGTCGCCGAGGTCGGCTTCGCTGACGATAGCAGAGACATCCCATATGTACATGTAGCCGTCGTTGCACCCAGTCACCAGCAATTTTCCATCTGCTGAAAAAGTCGCACATGCTGCATAGCCGTCGTGGTGGAGGGGTGGTCCAATAGGTTGATTGTTTGCGAAGTTCCATAATTGCACTGTCTGCTCGAGACCCGATACGCTTGCAAGGATGCGTTCGTTTGGAGATAGTGAAATCACGTTTATACTGTCATCAATGTGACTACTGTAGAGATACGACACTAGGTTCGTCACAGGTCACAGCCATCAACGAATCGAACCTATTTGGTGTGACTGTCACACCAATTTTTTGGGGGCCGAAGCTAATTTGTGACACGTGGTAAAAACATACAGAAAAACATACAAAAAACATACAAAAAAACATATAAAAAACAACAATGCCCAGCTAGATTCTACCTGTTACTTCTCAACTTTACAATAAGACATGAATCAGACAAGAAGCCTTGACAAAATCACGATTTCCGAAGCTATTTTTTATGTGGTCACAGGTGACAGGGTAATTCGAAGCTGTGACACTAAGCGTGACTTTGTCACGTGCTGCACGTGACGAAGCTAGTGTCGTATCTCGATTCTCTACAGTATTCCAGCGTTCAAGTTTGAGAAACTCGATTTGCCAGGTGGCGGTGTCGAACTTCCATCTACCAGTAATGAGTGTCTTTCCGTCCTTGGTCCATGCCAGGCATACCGATAAAACCCCCCGTGTAGTGTTTTGAGCAATTCGCCTGTGTTGGCGTCCCATATTTTCAGCCCGTACTGGGCCCCGTCTGTCGCAATCATCTCGCCATCGGGTGAGTAGCTGCAAACCGGCCACACGTGGTCGGCCCTTTTCTTCGACATTAATGTTGCTAGTATTAATATCGTCTTACCGTTCTCGACATCCCACACTCTGATTGTGCCGTCCAAGGATCCGCTCACCACTCGCTGTCCGTCTGGACTCCAGCACACAGACTGTACCCAATTTGTATGCCCCGTCCATTTTTTGATGACCTTGCCCGTGTCGATGTCCCACAATCTCACTGCACCATCCTCACTCCCACTTGCTATTGTCTTGCCACCTGGAGACAATGATATACTCCTCACAGGCCCACTCCCTTCGTCCGTCCAGGCCTCCCCGACCTGTGCTCCACTCTCCAAGTCCCAGACTCGAAGTGAGGAGTTATAGATTGGACAGGTGATGACCCGCTTTCCACCAGGCAGGCGTAAGATGCCACTGACAACATGGAAGTTTGCTTCCATTCTTTTATCAGGCGGTACCATTGATATTTTCTGCATTGGAGCGGCAGGGGAAGTCATGATTCCTGCTCGAAGACGTCACCTAGGACAATGTCGGCTCCTACCTCCAAAAGCTACGCGAGTAGTGTCACTTACTCACAGTTGCTCCACTTGTGTGTGTATGGTATGAAAGCCGCGACGGAGTGGACATTTTCTTCGGTGCACAAGTGTAGTTGGGATGCAGATCGTTGTTGGAGTTATGGGTGTGTCTTTCATGTTGTATCCTGTTGTTTGCTTCACAGCTTGAATTCGGGCTGTCCGCATTAAGCGCCCAAGTCTGATTTTCTAAAAATATGCGCACTTTCTTCGATCCGATAGAGAACAGCGAAAAGGAAAGAGGCTACACCTTTTAGACATCATATACCGGTTCGCTTCTTGAACTCCCTAGGTGACTGAGACTGAGACTGAGACTGAGTTCAAGTCCGAATCAGACAGCCGGTCGAGACGTCTTGGTTGTACACCACGCAAAGGTCGCATGGCCACACCTTGGCACCTGCAGCGCTCATGCACTCTGGAAAAATTATATGGCGGGAAATCGCCGCGAGATCGGCGTAGTGTGTTAAAACGCAGGAAATGATATTGGGAGGGAGGGTGCGTATGCGCGATGGGGTGAGAGAACGATCCAGTCCAAGGATGTACATACTTGCTATGGGTACCCGAGGATAATTCACGCCCTGCTGCTTCACATACTTGGCACACGTCAGGACCCTACGTTTGGGAAGCGCGGCTATTGCGTTAAAAAATGGGCTAGAATGAGTCGTGGCAATTGCTGAAAGGATGGTGAGTGGAAGATCAAATGTTAACGGCACATATGCGGGCGTAAATATGAATATGGGTGTCAATTCTTCAAATGCAGTACACATATGGAGCAGAGCAGCAGAATGGAAGTTGTAGCGGAGCAGACGGAGGGAATGAAGCCGCGGGCAGCATGATGAAGGGTAAGAATATCTTGCTCCGTGGTCTCTGCTGTCCCGCAAATAAAAGCACGTTAGAAAATATGGCCTTGGCCACATTGACTACGCGAGGTCATACAATCAGACTTTGCGTCACATCTGTTGCTTTCACTCTGAATGGGTCAGGGTATGATAAGCACACAGAGGTTTGTGGCTATGTTCAAGCGAGCTCGCCGACGCCTAAATATGCAGTACTGCGGATGTCCATTGATGAATGGAGGAGCCTGGACTTGTCCTGGGCTATCATTCTCTTCGAGTATAATGTTTCACTCGCAACGGTAAGCAATATCGAATGCGATGCACTGCATTGGTGTCACGACAAGGAAACGAGCTTGATGGAGTACCAAACGATATAGATATAAAGACTGCAACGAAGATAAAATAATTGGCCACATACTGCAGTATTAATGCCCATTAGCATGCGGGGGAGATGCGCAACAGAGGAAAAGTACGAGACGACCCCACCACGGGATAGGTGGTGACTGCGCAGCTGCTGCACCAGGTGTGGTAGTGTGAGTACCTGGAGCAGGAGGTGTCGTGGAGGTCGAGGCTGTGGCAGGCTGAGTTTGTGATGATGACGCCTGGGTTTGGCCGTGCAATTGGCCTTGCTGCCGCGGCCGCGGCCGTGGAGCAACAGCCAATGGCTGCAGATCAATCATTCAACAACGGCGATGGGAAACACACGCGAAAAAGTACGTACCTTTCTGTCTTGTACTGTAGGAACATCGACGATACGAGGCCCACGATGAGAGAAGATGGACCGTCTTGAGCGATGCTGGAGTTCGGTTGCTCCATCGTTCTTGGAGTGAGAGTGACGGAATAGCGATGAAAAGCCGCTGAATAGTGCACGCGGATTCGAAGAAGAGGAATGGTGATGGGAACCTGCTGCGGAGGACTGAGAGCACAAAGATCAGAATGAGAACTGGTCAACAAAAGCAGATGACTCACCTGGGCGCTATCAAAAAATCCTGGCGGTACTCGGCGGGCATGAACAGCTGGACGTCGCGTAGCATCTCTCTAGAATATCTTTAAAATGGTTTAAAAGCTTTGAGAAACTCGTCACATACGGTCCTCAACGATTTTTGAGCTGGGACCTGCAAGTGGGAGATCAGTATAGTTTTACCTAAGAACATGCATGGGATTTACATGAGAAATAGGCAGGAGGAGGTCTTCAAGGCCAGCTTTTTTGAGGATGGCATGAATGTCCCATGTGTACGCATTTCCGTTGTGGCAACCAGTGACTAGCACTTTTCCATCAGCAGAAAGGGCCGCGGAGTGCACATTATCTTCATGCTGGAGGGGTGGTCCGATCTGGAGATTCGTGTCGAGATTCCATAACCGCGCAGTTTCATCCCATGATGCACTTGCAAGGAGGCGGTTGTTTCGAGACAAGGAGATGGCGTAGACATTAATGTGTGTGTGACCCTCAAGAACAGCACTCCGCTCCCAAGTGGCTGTGTCGAAAATCCTAATCAGGTCAAATGAACCGGAGATAAGCTTCTTTCCGTCCGACGTCCATGCCAAGCACCGAACTCCAATATCTATATCATGTTTGAGTGTGGTGATCAACTCGCCCGTCTTGCTATCCCAGATCCCGACTGCATACTCGCCGTCTCCGCCCGTTGCAATGTATTCGTTATCAGGGGAGTACATCACTGCGTTCGCCCACTTGTGTCCGGTTTTGATTTCTAGGACAGATTTGCCGCTCTCGACATCCCAGACTCGTGCCGTCCCATCCCAGGATCCACTCGCTATTCGCTTACCATCTGCACTCCAGCACAATGCACACACGACATGGGCGTGTCCCATCCATTTGGACATTACCTTCCTCGTCTCGACATCCCACAACCTCACTGTCCCGTTATCGCTTCCACTTGCAACTGTCTTGTGGTTTGGAGACAATGCCATGGACCACATTCCTGATTCATCCTCTTTCCAGTCCTCACCTATCTGTGCACCGCGCTCTAGGTCCCATAGACGGAGTGAGCCGTCCACTGAACAGGTGATTATGCGTCGTCCGCTGGGCAGATGGACAACACCGTTTACCCAGTTGGTATGACCTTGCATGGTCTGGCGTGGCGTGGTCGCTGGCGTCTTGCTGGTAGAGGATGACATGGTCGGCGCTGGGGGTTCCATGTACTGCAGATTGGGGACTATCTATGCGAGAGATGTCTGCCGAGATTCTTGATCCAGACCGGCTTATCAGACGGCAATGGTTATTGGTGAGTTCAGGGGCCTACTTCTTGTTAACGTTTGTCAGAAGCACATAAGCTCACGAGACAGCCTACTTACAGGAATCTAGTTCTCACCTAGAAAACGCTTCGGGACCGTATATGCACCACTTGGAGCGCCGTTATTTGAGAACGTGCTACAAATCTTGGCGAGTATCCGAAGTCACTGGTAAGCAAGTGGTCAGCTTTAACCTGTAGAAGAGCCTACAGTATCAATCACGAGAGGTACCGTTCAGACGAGCCCAGTGCTCAATCACCAACGATCAATGGATGTCTAGTTGGGAGAAGAGGAAGTTGGGCGCTCGTTCGGTCAAGCCGTCTTTTCTTAATTAGGTGCGTGCCATGCGTCAACCTCGTGTTCGATTCACAGCTTCATTGCTGTGTGGATGAAGCGCTCTGGAGAACTAATAAGACTCGGCAACAGAGTCAGCACTGAGCGCTTGTGGCGTATTATTAACTCAGAGGCTGAGCCGCTGAGCATGCTGGAACAGTTTCTTTCAAGAGATGTTATGATAACATTTCGTTCGCTCACTCAGACTCAACTGAACACAGTACACTCTAATTCTTCAGTACTGCGTCGTCCGCGACATAATCTTCTTCAGCGGAGAAACAGAACGGCCAGTCACAGCGCAGATAGCAGGTCGAGACGTCTTGGTTGTACACCACGCAAAGGTCACATGGCCACACCCTGGCACTGACATCATACCAGCGCTCATGCACTCAGGGAAGGGAGGGTGCGTGTGTGCAGTGGGGCAGGGGAACGATCTAGTGCAAGGATGTACATACTTGCGATCGGGTACCCAAGGGATAAATGCAAACGGAATGATTGGTGCACGGGATATACAGCACCATGATTTGCAGCCAGGACGTGTTTCTAGCGATAGTTGAAATTAGAATCGAGGCTTCATGCCATAGTGTTACAACCAACCCGAGATTGAGGAGGTTGTGGCATTCAAATACGCAGTCTTAACGCGAACAAAGAGATAACAGTTATTACAGAAGAACCGGACCCACAGATGAAATAGGTGTCCATATGCTGCAGCATCAATGTCCATCTGCATTCGGGGGAGATGCACAACAGAGAAAAAGAACGAAACGAGCCCGCAATGGAAAGGGCCGTGGCTGCGCGGTAGTATGAGTATCAGGAGCAGTAGGTGTCGTGGATGTCGAGGTGGCAGCAGGCCGTGTCTGCGATGATGACGCTTGAGGCTGGACTTGGCCGTGCGATTGGCCGTGTTGCTGCTGTGCTGGTTTCTCAACGTATTGAGAAGATGCACAACAGAGGAAAAGCACGAGATGAGCCAACAATCGAAGAAGTCGCGACTGCACAGGCCTTGTACCTGGTGTGGTAGCACCAGCAGGCTGAGTGTGTGGGCGGTTTGGTAGCGGCCGTGGAGCAACATATAATGCCTGCATGGGTATCATCAGATACCAGAAGTTGACACACTAGAGAACGACATGCCTGCCTGTCCCGCACTGCAGCTACTTCGACAACACGAGGACGCCACGGGCGTTGTGGGAGTGCTATTTCTTCGTTGATGTGGGGTTGAGCGCGGAAGAGTGAGGACAGACGATCGATGAGTGTATTTGAACGTGAACCCGAATGTGTTGTGGGATGAGTTTCGGTTTCTTCTTCGGTGTTGGGTCGAGAGCGGGGACGTAGTGAGGACAGTCGAGCGAGGAGCGCATGTAGATTTAACCGCGAAGGCGTGGATGGTGGCTGAGGGTCGCTTGCTGCATCATTTTCAGGTGGAGAACGGTGAATGACTGAGGACAGGCGAGCGAGGAGCACCTGTAGATGTAACCTCGAATACGTCGGGGGTTGTGGAAGTTCGGTCGCTTCATCATTGTCGTGTCGAAAGCGGTAGAGGAGCGAGGAAAGACGAGCGATGAGTGCACTTGCAGAGGAATGAGGGTGGGCACCACCCGTTTGGGAGGGCTGAGAGGACAACGATCAGGGCAAAAACTAAATAATAAAAATGATGACGCACGTGAACTTCGGCCTCCATGCTGTCAAAAAACCCAGGTGGGAGTTCATCGACATGACCCCCGGACTCGTTGTGACATCGCGTAGCATCAGCCTGCAACGTCAATGCTATAACCACTGAGCAGGTTCACAAACACTCCACCTACTTCCAAAAATGACTTGTCACTTAGCGAAGAGCGGGGGGTTCGCTCTATTCCTGAATTGCCTTGAGATGCCTTCTGTTCGAGTTCGTCTTTTGGTGCCTAGCAGCAGACATTGTCAGCGAGAGAGAGGGTGGTTGAGGCGTTGACATTCACATTATCGGTACCAGTGGACAGTAAGTCTTCAAGGCCAGCTTCTTTGAGGATGGCATGAATGTCCCATGTGTGTGCGCTTCCGTTTTGGCAACCAGTGACTAGCACTTTTCCATCAGCAGAAAGGGCCGTGGAGTGCACATTATCTTCATGCTGAAGGGGTGGTCTGATTGGGAGATTCGTGTCGAGATTCCATAGACGCGCTGTTTTACCACATGACGCATTTACAAGGAGGCGGTTGTTTAAAGACAAGGAGGCGGTGTTGACAAGATGTGTGCGACCTTGAAGAATGGCAATCTGCTCACCAACACGATAACTTCCGAATATCCTCCGCAACACAGCCACCCCTGGCACTTGGTCGAAGCTAATAGTCTTTATTTGCAGCCCAAGTGACGAGTTAAAACGAAATAATCCACCAGATGTATATATTCGGTTCAAAGAAGACAATAAAGGTGATTCTTTTTGCAGAGTCGTATCCTCGTGTATATATATATATAATACGAAGAACACGCAAGTCAAATCATTTTGTTCCCTGTACTGAACATACATGCGACAAACTTCGAGCAGCGCTATGCCTATCTTATGGTGATGAGTGACACAATCATGCTCGTAGCATAAAATATCTAGGAATCGCATCATGAAGGTCTTGGACGAACTTGCTGATTCGCAGACGAAAGTTTACATCACATTGGGCATGATGTAGACTCAGGCCTGGACAACTGTTCACAGCAAAGACTTGCAAGTTACGAAGAAGCCACACTCCATACGGGGAAGAAGCATCTGGCTTCAACGATGAGCCAAGCCACATCCGAGATGCATTCTCGCAATCAGCGCAAAGAACTGTGTTGGGTTCGCATGTCCGCTCGTCGGCACCGGACAATATCGCGAATAGATGATCTTGAAGGTGTTCTTGTCCGACTATGAAGCACCGAAGGTCTGCTGGGGATAACAGGAGGTGGCTTTGGCCACCGTCGGCTAGATGAGTCCAACGCAGTATCGAAAGCGCATAGAACGAGGCAGGAAGAATTTCAGGAACATTACATTCTCTTGCGAGGCATATGGCCTCTAGGGAACGTTTTAGACCGATCTACAGGAGAAAAGGGGAGCTCACCAGCGGCATGAGGAAATGCGGCATAGGTCATTTTGGTGAGGTCTTGGGGCCATCGTAGAAATAACTGACGTGTGCTCCATTGACGGAGGTCTGCGATATCATATTTGTTGGATAGTCGTAGGGCTCCGGCTATGGTATCAAAGATAACAGTTTGGCTATTGAACTTACTAAACACATGTCATCGTATATCATACATCATTTGACAAATGAGATGACAGCTTACTCGCGTTGGTACATCCACATCAGGACGACTAGCCAGTCTTTGACGGAATCTTGCCACAGACTGACCAGAGGGCATCCATGCATTCTCTCGATGTCGGCCGGCTGCGGAAGTTCGAGCATGTCCGCAAAAATCACTGAACACATAAGCTTGCTGCGGTGAATCTTCCATGATTGTCCTTCAACGCTAATCACGATGTCCCCGTCAGCAAACCAGAACTGTGATTGCTCGATTGATGACTCGGATGTTCTGCGGTGGCCCGTGCGTTGTCGTTTCGCTGGTGGAGGTGATGTCCGCATATCTTCATCGGAATTGTGCATCGTTGAAGAAAAATTTCGAAATCGAAGTCGTGTTTTGGTGTCAATGTGTCATTGACTGGTAACAACATCGGTGGCGTGGAAACTGACGCGTCGTAACGCGTCTGGCACCAAAACATTTGTCGTCCCAATCACGGTGGTACACGAATTTATTCTAAGTGCCATCATTCCACATCACCACCAGCATCATCTCCCGCGATTTCAAGTTTCCGTTTACGCCCAGGCAGTTCAGCACCGTCACCATACCCCACGCCCGCCTTCTTCCGTAGTACCTCTATGTCCTGCTCAGCCTCTTCCGCCCACTGAAGTACAAGATGTCTCCCAAGCAAATGCGTGTGTCGTAGTGCAGCGTATGCGTTCTCCGCCTCGTGCCGGGTGAGGAACTCCAAAAACGCAAAACCACGCGAACGCGAGTCGAACTTCTTCGGAAGACGTACAGATTTGAGATGGCCATGCGCACTATATAGGAATGGGTTTGATAGGGTATCAGACACATAGGGGGTAGATTGTACCGACCTGAACAACTCCCTGATGTCCTTCTTCGTAGCTTCGAATGGCACATTCTTCACAATCATCTTCGTCGATGTGCTCTTCGCGACTGTCTTGTCCTTGGGCTCGTCTTCAGTTCCGCGCCCAGCGAACTTGACGTGCAAAGAATGCCCATCAAGTGTAAAACCCTGCATACTCTTCATAGCCTTCTTCGCATCTTCGGCCGTTTTGAACCCCACAAAACCATACCCCATGCTCAGCCGGGGGGCTTCAGCACCAGGAACAGTAGGTCGTTTGGGGTCAGGCTTAGTCTGTACTCGCGCGAACGAGAACCCAGGAAGATTCCGGAAGACTTGCGTCAGACGCTCTGCGGTGGTACTGAAAGCCAGATTCTTGACGAACAAAGTCATCCCAGCCGACAAAGTAGGTTCGTCCTCATCAGCACCGCTACCAGCTTCCTGCTCGGCGATAGTAATCGGCTTGAATGCAGTTGTTAGCGTACGGCTGGAGTTTCCTGCTGTATCCGAAGTTTCTTGGAACATGCCCATTGGACCCTTCTCCAAGTAGACGACACTACTTCCGAGACGTCGGTAAGCTACAGCTCGAAAAGCCTTGGCAGCTTCATCTGCCTGTCCGAATTCCACCACCGCCATGGTACCTGCTGGTGGTACGATGACGCGGCTGAGTTCCCCGTGTGACTCAAACATCTCACGTATCTGCTCCGCGGTGGTGCCATAGGGAATGTTCTTCACGAGTATGGTAGTGTCAGATCGCGCTCGGGAAGAAAACGACGATATGATAACCCCCTGAGACTCGAGGTAGGACTTCGTCTCTTGGATAACATGCGTCTCCGCAAGCGCAAGCTTCACTGCCGCATTATCTGACTCAGGGTTGAGGATATCTGCCTTAGCAATTCCCATTCGATCGGCGATAGACGATGCCACTGCATCGCTCTGCACATGCATTGCATGAGATCTCCGTATATAATGTGTGACATGACAACGGCTTGACGAACATTCATGTACAACATACTCCAATTAAACTCCCGCCCAGCTGCGGCCTTACGCTGAGAACCCCTCACATCTTTTAATGATTGCTTTTTCCCCTCACCCTCTACCACCTCAAACTTGCCTTTACGGTCAACAGCAGGAAGGATGTGGAGAAGACGACCTTGGAAAGATGTCTTATCCAGTGCCTCATACGCGGAGAGGGCAGATGTCGGCTGCTCGAATGTCACGTAGGCTAAACCCTTAGGCTGCTTGGACAAGGAGTCAATGGATATATGAACCTAGCGGAAGAGGAGCAAGTCAGTGAAGTGCTCAACGACAAAGAGAGGTTGTAAAATAGGAATGAAAGTCAGATAATTTTTCTACTATTTGGTTCCCGGGGATCAGCATATCCATGAAGGATCAGATGTCCCTAAGTGTTTTATCATCAAGAAAAGTGGAACATATATATATACAAAAAAAGAGGCGACGAGATGCTCACCTGATCAACTTTGCCGAATGGCTGAAATCGCTCCATTATCTCGGCTTCCGTACATGAGAAGGCAAGATTTCGAAGAAATAACCGAGACGTCTGCATAATCGTGGTCTTCGCTGCTGAGTCTTCCTTGGGAGGAGTGCTGTGCTTAACGTCGTGCTCGTCGTCCGATTGCTCGAAGACTTGATCGGGTGGTGGATCCGACACCAGATTCATCCGACGTCGCATCCACTCGAGGTCCGAGACAGCCTCTTCAGATTTCGTGTTGGTCTCGGGAGGGTCGGTGGCTGGTGTCGAAAGGGCTGGTGTGCTTGTCTTACCATTCTTGTCCGGCCGCGACGAAGGTCCTGGGTCTGCAGCAGTATCTTCTAGGCGTCTTCTCTTATTTGGTCGAGGGGCTGGAGCATCTTTCGCGCCCTATTCGTAGATGAGACCAAAAAATGTCGACTATGAAAAACTTACTTCGACAACCATAACATTGATTCGTGTCGAGTCAATAAACGTGCGATCGAACCAGTCCCTTACAGCGGTTGCTTCTTGATCTGTCTTGAAGCCAACAAAACCAAATCGTCGCGAAGTGCCATCTTGCTTCATTGAAATTTTGACATCTGTAATGGTTCCAGAGGGTGCACCTTGTTGTTCAAAGTGCTTTCTGAGGCGATCCGGTGTTAGATATGCTGGAAGATTTTTCACAATCAAGCGCGACATCGTCGAAAAATCTGTGAGTATGAGAGGGAAAATCTTCAGATATATACACCAATTCCAACTCCGACCGGAGTTGTCCGTCCCTCTTGATCGTCATTGCGACCTGGAAGTGGGAGTTCAAACGTTCAAGACTGCAGTCTCCACGACCATGTCTGCCAAGTCCATATTTCAAGAAGAGAAAAATCCACGGGGGATCCCAAAAGCTCCATTCATCGTGTGTATCAACAAAAGTATATAAATGCGCTTCCGCTCATGCTCAATAATGCAGGCAAATGTCGAAGAATATCTGGGCGGCCCAGATGGCGCGGTCGAGGCTCCCCTGAAGAATTTCCAGGATGCTATCGCGTATGTTTGAGCTGAAATATACTCTGTGATGATCTTGAACCTAAGGAAGTCCAGGAAGTACCGATATATGGATGCCAACCTAACACAACGACGAAAAGGTCTGGAAGACAAGATCCCTGACATCAGAAAGACATTACATATGGTGGAGTTCTTGCAAGAAAGAAGAGTGAGTCGATCATTGCAAACACGTTGTGCATCAACATTATCTGATGATTGTCTAGGAAGGCAAGAACAAGAGTGACGATCTGGAGGATGATCTCAGTGACGAGGAAAACTCCGGCGATCCCAAAAAGCCGCTTACCACAACGTTCGAACTAAATGACACGCTTTTCGCAGAAGCAGAGCTCGAGGACACTGATACTGTTTATCTATGGCTAGGGGTGAGCTCAGTTGTCCTCCGTGAGTTTCCCGATGATATCTGATGTTTTGGGATCAGGCGAACGTTATGCTATCGTACAAGTTGGCAGAGGCTGCATCACTCCTACGATCCAAACTGGATCTTGCAGAGGCCAGCTTAAAAGCTACGATCGAAGACTTGGAGTTTCTACGAGAGCAGTTGACGGTGATGGAAGTCAACACTGCTAGAGTCTATAATTGGGATGTTAAGCGGAGAAGAGAGCGTCGACTAGCCGGAGAAGCTGATGGAAAGAAGGGCAGCTAGGATTTGTTATCGCCTACACTTGTTAATTTTTCGATTACCCTTTAGCGCTCTGACATCAACTTTACTTTATATACTCATACGAGCTAAGCGGCGCTCGTTCACTCTGATCTCGAGCTTTTGATGACCTGTTCAACTTCTAGCTGTGGGGTATTGACATTCCCGCTACCTGGCATTATTGTGCAAGATCAACTGTTGTGTCTGCATCATCGCCCTCTGTCCGACGTTGTCTTATTTCTGAAGATCTCATACTACAGATAATTTCACCTTGGATATCTCGCATTGACTACTCATCTTGAAGCCAGGGTTGCATAAGCAAGGGATACGACGTGAGGCGTGGGATTCCGTCACTTTCAATTTTGCTAACACACAGGACTCACCTGACACTTGGTACTAGTACTAGTGCGGGTCCTTCTATCTGAATGGTTGAACAGGGGTATTTGTATGGACCTACGGATCCGCGGATGTTGGATCCGCAGCCCGGTCAAATAGACACGTCACGAGGACTCGTTCCACAAAGTTCACACTGGCAGGTACGTTGCCATGTTGTATCATGATTTGAAATTTCTTACTGAGTTACAAGCGCGTGCAGAGACTCTATTTAAATAGCAGGGTTTGGGGTAGACCAAGATATTATTCGCCACTCCCACACTAGTACTAGTAGCACCGTTTACTGCAACCCTCGTTCACTGACTTCCTTCACCATGTCTGCCAGCTCGATAGCTGCCGAACCGCGCTCCAAATCCGCAGATTCTGTTTCTTCCCCATTGCCCGACGTATTTCCAGATATCAGCTCAATTACAGGCCCTGCAATAGATCTTTACGAAGATGGCTACAATGATCCAGTCTATCAGGCGAAAGCTCGCATCTTAAATCATGCAATACAAGATATCGGCATGGGTAGATATCAGGTTAGTAGCAATCTGTGATGAACTCTACAACACAATTGTGAACTCAATGATAGTGGTATCTCTTCGTGGTCACCGGCTTTGGCTGGTTTGCGTGAGTTGTATCGTGATCACTTCCTGTATTATCTCTGATGCAAACGTGTGTCTCATGCAAAAGTGATTCGGTTTGGCCCGTAGGTTTATTTATTTCAGGCATGCTTTCAAGACGACTGAGTGGTTGGTTGTAGCTTTTGAGCGGACTCATCCTCACACCTGTCGTCAATGAATTCCACTTCAACGGGCCTTTCCTATCGTTAGCTTCGAACCTAGGTCTTCTTGTCGGTGCCGTATTTTGGGGTCTTGGATGTGACATCTGGGGAAGGAGGTACGTACGAATAAATCTGGAACTGTTCAAACTCCATGCGATACTTAGGTGGTCTTTCAACGTTACACTGTTTATCGCTGGAATATTCGGATTAGCATCAGGCGGAGCTCCTAGTTTTGTTGCCCTAGCCTCTTTGATTGCTATGGTTGGTGTCGGCGTGGGAGGTATGACGTTTCATTTCTCTCGATAATGCACGCTTTATAACAATATTACAGGCAACATGCCAGTGGACTCTGCTGTTTTTCTTGGTGATAAGCAGTTTACATATGGACGTACTCGATAACTCATCACGATCCTGCCAGACTTTGTCCCAGGTTCCCACCAATACTTGCTCACCATCCTGTCCATCTGGTGGTGTCTCGGACAATTGTTGTCCAGTCTCGTGCGTATCACTCGTCTCCTCGCCCGCGCGTTTGCTAATAAGACTGCAAGGTTGCTTGGCCCCTGATTGCTAATTATTCTTGTGCCAATGCCTCAGACTGCACCAAATCCAACAATATGGGATGGCGTTATCTCTTGCTCATCCTCGGCGGAATAACTCTTTTCTTGTGGGCCATTCGGTTCTTCATCTTCACGTTGTTGGAGAGTCCGCGTTTCCTCTCTGGCATCGGTCGTGACGCTGATGCCGTTGAGATCATCCACAAATTGGCAAAATTCAACGGAAAGACGTCTACACTCACTGTAGAAGAGCTTGAGGCTCCCGGCAGAACAATGACAGGCAGTCGTGCATCCTCCGGGGTAAGGTATAAGATATTGAGCAAGAGTTCCACGTATGGCACTGGACATATCAAAGCTCTCTTTGCGACTCCCAAAATGGCTTGGTCGACTAGTCTCTTGATCGCTATCTGGGGTGTGGATGTGGTCATCATTGTGCGTGCAATGACTAACGGAACACAGGTGTTATCGGACTTGCCTCCACGCTGTATAACAATTTCCTGCCATATTTGTGAGTCTTCAAACAAGATGTGTGGCGTTTGTTTGTCTCATGCCTCGCAGACTTTCCAGCCGTGGCGCTGTCTTCGGGGACGGATCCCTGTACATTACCTATCGCAACGTACGTGCAATAGTTCGTTCCACGTTCTATAGCTGAAGCCGATGTGCAGCAAGTCATCTTAAGCGTCATGGGTGTCCCCGCTGCCTTGCTTGCTGGGTGGGCAGTGGAGCTCCCATACATAGGGCGCAAGGGTACTCTTGCCATTGCCTCAGGCAAGTAATAATACTATCAAGCGCTTCCATTACTCAACGACTTCCCGCGAAATAAAGGGCTCACTGGCGCGTTTTTGTTCGCGACCACCACCGCCCAGACATCTAACCAACTCTTGGGATGGAATTGCGGATATGTGTTTTTCAGCAACGTAAGTGAATCATGTTGTATGTCTGGAGACTAGGTTAATTGTGAATAGATCATGTATGGCGTCATGTATGCTATTTCTCCCGAGATTTTTCCTGCGAAAGATCGCGGAACGGGGAATGGTCTGACGTCCACAGCGTCGAGGGTGTTTGGTGTTCTGGTGAGTTCACTTTCCATCTCGCGCTGCTTGTTCTTATCGTGTTCTGAATCATAGGCCCCCGTCATTGCGCTGTATGCTAACCTTGCGACGGCGGTACCTGTGTATATCGCTGGGGCTTTGGCGATTTTTGCTGGTAGCCTGGCTCTCTTGTTGCCCTATGAGCCCAGAGGTAAGGTTTCGATCTAGAGTTTTTTTACTTGAAATACCACGTTTCGATTGCTCGTGGAACTTGAATTGTAGGTGATCATGATGTATTAGAATACAATAAAATATCCAAAGGATTGCTCTGGTGCTTGCTCAACTGTTGCTTGCTCACCGTCGGATAATAAGATCTGGCAGATTGTAAGACAAGTCAGTGCTCTGGGAATTGGGAACGGAAGAAAGCAGAAGGGATTGTTGGGTACCAAGTCTAGTCTCAGCTTACTGTTTCCTCTTGGGAGATCCGCCAATTATATTCAAGTTGTTACTGGAGTTAGAGAGGCAAGCTGGACTTCGGCATTTTTGTTCCGTGCGTAGACATTGACTCGATTGACGCCGCGTGATTCAAGCGCTCCGAGTCAGCGGCTCACACTCAAGCTGTACAGTAATTACATAACACGTGGCTTGGGGACATTGACGCAGCCCCGATCTTGCACATCAGTGAACCGGTGAGTTCTTGCTGGCCATTATGCTGATTGCGGTGCTTTTATATGGTCTTATATTGCTTTATATTCCAATGTGACGAAATCCTTTCCTATATCTTACGATATATTACGATATATGACAATATCTTCTGTTCACCAGTTCTCTGATGGCCCAAGTTATTCACATCTTGAAACTTTGTAGCTTGAAGCACTGATGTATACAACGGCGTATGCAAATGTAACTCGCAAGCACCTTTAACACTCGAGATCACCGTGACTCTTGTCCTCTAGCACTTCAACTTTCAGTGCTGACGCGTTCTTTGCCATATGTTTAAACGACGCGACCCTTTGGTTCAATCATCCGGGCTCCTTCCTCACTCACCGTGTTCCAGATGTAGTGGTCCTCGCCTGATACAAATATGAAGTACATGCCGGCCTCCATTTCACGGAGCTCGATCTCGCCTACTTTCATACCAGTGCAATGACTGAGCATATTTTCACATGCGTCAAGACAGGAGACTTTGTCAGTCAACCCTGATTATAGGATGAACGATGAACAATTTGATAAGGGCCTCGATAAACGGGGCTTAAAGCGAGTCGAGAACAGCGAAAAGGAAAGAGGCTACACCTTTTCGACGTCATATAGTTCTACCAACCGGCTAACTACCGGTTCGCTTCTTGAACTCACTAGGTGACTGAGACTGAGACTGAGTCCAAGTCCGAATCAGACAACCGGTCGAGACGTCTTGGTTGTACACCACGCAAAGGTCGCATGGCCACACCTTGGCACCTGCAGCGCTTTGGGAAAATTATATGGCGGGAAATCGCCGCGAGATCGGCATAGCGTGTTAAAACTACATAGACTGCAGGAAACGATATTGGGAGGGAGGGTGCGTATGCGCGATGGGGTGAGAGAACGATCCAGTCCAAGGATGTACATACTTGCTATGGGTACCCGAGGATTGAATATCGTAATTCACGCCCTGCTGCTTCACATACTTGGCACACGTCAGCGCGGCTATTGCGTTAAAAAAATGGGCTAGAATGAGTCGTGGCAATTGCTGAAGAAGATGTGTTCGATGGTGGGTGGAAGATCAAATATTAACGGCACATATGCGGGCGTAAATATGGGTGTCAGTTCTTCAAACGCAGTACCTATATGGAGCAGAGCAGCAGAATGGAAGTTGTAGCGGAGCAGGCGGAGGGAATGAAGCCGCGGGCAGCATGATGAAGGGTAAGAATATCTTGCTCCGTGGTCTCTGCTGTCCCGCAAGTAAAAGCACGTTAGAAAATATGGCCTTAGCCACATTGACTACGCGAGGTCATACAATCAGACTGTGCGTCACATCTGTTGCTTTCACTCTGAATGGGTCGGGGTATGACAAGCACACAGAGGTTTGCGGCTATGTTTAAGCGAGCTCGCCGACGCCTAAATATGCAGTACTGCGGATGTCCATAGATGAACGGAGGAGCCTGGACTTGTCCCGGGCTTTCATTCTCCTCGAGTATAATGTTTCACTCGCAATGGTAAGCAATATCGAGTGCGATGCATTGCATTGGTGTTACGACAAGGAAACGAGCTTGATGGAGTACCAAACGATATAGATATAAAGACTGCAACAAAGATAAAATAATTGGCCACATACTGCAGTATTAATGCCCATTAGCATGTGGGGGAGATGCGCAACAGAGGAAAAGTACGAGACGACCCCACCACGGGATAGGTGGTGACTGCGCAGCTGCTGCACCAGGTGTGGTAGTATGAGTACCTGGAGCAGGAGGTGCCGTGGAGGTCGAGGCTGTGGCAGGCTGAGTTTGTGATGATGACGCCTGGGTTTGGCCGTGCAATTGGCCTTGCTGCCGCGGCCGCGGCCGTGGAGCAACAGCCAATGGCTGCAGATCAATCATTCAACAACGGCGATGGGAAACACACGCGAAAAAAAATACGTACCTTTCTGTCTTGTACTGTAGGAACATCGACGATACGAGGGCCACGATGAGAGAAGATGGACCGTCTTGAGCGATGCTGGAGTTCGGTTGCTCCATCGGTCTTGGAGTGAGAGTGACGGAAAAGCGATGAAAAGCCGCTGAATAGCGCACGCGGATTCGACGAAGAGGAATGGTGATGGGAACCGTGTGCTGCGGAGGACTGAGAGCACAAAGATCAGAATGAGAACTGGTCAACAAAAGCAGATGACTCACCTGGGCGCTATCGAAAAATCCTGGCGGTATTCGTCGGGCATGAACAGCTGGACGTCGCGTAGCATCTCTCTAGAATATCTTTAAAATGGTTTAAAAGCTTTGAGAAACTCGTCACATACGGTCCTTAACGATTTTTGAGCTGGGACCTGCAAGTGGGAGATCAGTATAGTTTTACCTAAGAACCATGTGATTTACATGAGAAATAGGCAGGAGGTCTTCAAGGCCAGCTTTTTTGAGGATGGCATGAATGTCCCATGTGTACGCATTTCCGTCTTGGCAACCAGTGACTAGCACTTTTCCATCAGCAGAAAGGGCTGCGGAGCACAAAATATCTTCATGCTGGAGGGGTGGTCCGATCTGGAGATTCGTGTCGAGATTCCATAGACGCACTGTTTTATCCCATTGTGCACTTGCAAGGAGGCGGTTGTTGGGAGACAAGGAGATGACGTCGGCAATGTATGTGTGACCCTGAAGAATGGCAATCTGCTCCCAAGTGGCTGTGTCGAATATCCTTATCGGGCGATATGACGCGGAGATAAGCCTCTTTCCGTCCGACGTCCAGGTGACGCTCCAAACTGCGTAATCGTGTTTGAGTGTGGTGATCAACTCGCCCGTCTTCGCATCCCAGATTTTGACTGCATCCTCCTTATCTCCGCCCGTTGCAATGTATTCGTTATCAGGGGAGTACATCACTGTGTTCGCCCACTTGTGTCCGGTTTTGATTTCCAGGACAGTTTTGCCGCTCTTGACATCCCAGACTCGTGCCGTCCCATCCCGTGATCCACTCGCTATTCGCTTACCATCTGCACTCCAGCGCAATGCACACACGGCACGGGCGTGTCCCGTCCATTTGGAGATTACCTTCCTCGTCTCGACATCCCACAACCTCACTGTCCCGTTATCGCTTCCACTTGCAACTGTCTTGTGGTTTGGAGACAATGCCATGGACCGCATTCCTAATCCATCCTCTTTCCAGTCCTCACCTATCTGTGCGCCGTTCTCTAGGTCCCATAGTCGGATTGAGCCGTCCGTTGAACAGGTGATTATGCGTCGTCCGCTGGGCAGATGGACAACACTGTTTACCCAGCTGGTATGACCTTGCATGGTCTGGCGTGGCGTGGTCGCTGGCGTCTTGCTGGTAGAGGATGACATGGTCGGCGCTGGGGGTTCCATGTACTGCAGATTGGGGACTATCTATGCGAGAGATGTCTGCCGAGATTCTTGAACCAGACCGGGTTATCAGTCGGCAATGGTTATCAATATGGTGAGTTCAGGGGCCTACTTCTCGTTAATACTTGTTAGAAGCACACAAGCCATTGCTAACGAGACAGCCTACTTACAGTAATCCGGTCCTCACCTAGAAAACGCTTCGGGACTGTTTATGCAGGACTTACGGCGCCGTTATTTGAGAACGTGCCACAGATCTTGGTGGGTATCCGAAGCTGCTGGGAAGCATATCATCAGCTTTAACCTGCAGAAGATTCTACAGTATCACTCACGAAGGGACACGTTCAGACGAGCCCAGTGCTCAATCGCCAGCGATCGGTGGGTGTTTGGTTGGGAGAACAGGAAGTTGGGCGTCCCTTCATTCAAATAGTCTTTTAAGGTGCGTCCCACGCGTCATCCTCCTTTTGGCTTCACAGCTTCATTGCTGTGTGGACGAAGCGCTCAGGTCTGCGACCGGCACTGTGTGTATCTTATATGTAAGGAACTTCATGAGGGTGACAAAGTTCGATGGGAGCCGTATTTCCTCTCTCCTTTGATGTTTCTTCCAGCCTACTTTCTAACTCGATCTCGTCAAATCCTTCAGCATGTTTTGCAGGCTGTGCAGCATGCCGTCACCCGATGCCGTACCCGCCAGAACTTGCAGTGCTCATCTTCTGCGTCTTCAAGAACCTTAAAATGACCTCCCGTTAAGATAGTATTTAGTGTGGGCTTCCGGTTCAAATTTCATTTGTTCCTGACTAAAAATCGGTCGAGAATGAACAGGGTCAAATCGCTGATACGTTCCTCTGAAATCATAATATCAGTCTCCAGAGTCGACGCGCATGAATTGAAACAGAACATGTAACAATAGTTGATGAGGTAGTCACAAAGTTATCTATGTGGTGCGAGGAGTCCCGTCAGTACCAGGGCTGTCATCAGTACCAAGAGAGACGCAGCAGATAAACAAGACTACACGAACCCACGGTTTGGGATTCTTGATGCGTTTCGCATTCTCACTAGCTTTTTTCGGTCGGCGAGCAACATACAATGCCTGCACAGAAACCATTTGACTCCACGAATCAACAAACTAAAGACAGACATACCTTCTTGTCTCGTTGTGCAGCGACTTCGACAACATGAGGACTGCAATGAGAGGAGGTGATTTGCCTTGGCCATTACTGGAGTTCGACTACTTCATCAACGTTGGGTGGAGAGCGGAAGAGTGAGGACAAGCCACCAATGAGTGCACCTGGACATGACCCCGAGGATCATGACATCCGGAACAAGCCTTACAAAGTGATAAATTCATTCATTGCAGCGCTTTCATACAAGCTAAAGAAGGATCATCGATCATCATCATGTCGGGGTTGTTGCGAAGATAAGTTTCGTGGCCCACATATATATGTTGTGCATCAATTGGAGGAAGATTAGCTTACCAGCAACTTGCCGCTCTACTAAGGAGAATCTCGTATTCATCCCATTGCCTGTCATGCTGAAAGTGATCGTTGGCAGACGGCAAAAACACAACGTTACCATTCACACATTCACTGTCCGAATTACTGCCCCAGTCTGACAAAATGTCCTTGATGGTGTCGGGGTTAGGCTGGTTGATGTATTCCGAAAGGATTTGTTTGATCGCAGGACCATATATCAGCCACCTCTTGGGACCTTGACTGCCTCTGACTGCACTCAGCAAGTCGGTTATTCACAACCTCTGCAAAGTCATACCTCGGGGGCAGAATCACCCTATCGATACGAGATAGGTCAATACCGAAATATCGACATGCAATAGGTCACATACCTCCCGGGCAGTGCGTTGAGCTCACGGAATCATTCAGTTGTTAAGTGGTCTATCGATGGAGGGGAGGTCATGATCAGTTCTTGCAATATGTTGCACATGCTGTCATGGGCGAAGCTAATTGGATTTGATTTCTGATATTAGTGTTTTCTAAGAGAGGGGTTATCGATCTATCCCCTTGTTAATATTTGTCCCTGTTGAATTCCAAAGCCTTTGCCTAATGAGGATTCTGCTATAGAATCCGTGATGACAAACAAGGAAAAGGAATGCAGTCGATGTCGAACTTCATCCAACAATACAAACACAAGGAGCTTATATATCAAGGAGAATGTGCTGTAGGACCATATATCCGTCACATGGTAGTGAAGAATGTATGGTTGGAGCTAGTTGTGTTATCAATCTATTTGAAACAGTGAGGATGCAAAAATGGAATGCGAGAATTCAGTCGCACCGAATCGCGCAAGAGGCCAAGAACCAAGGCTATATCTTCGAGATTCCGTCCCAGAGTGTATTGGGGAGAAGATAGGACTAGCCCAGTACCATCGGTGTGCCTCTCATACACGAAGAATATCCATTGTTCTCCGCTGGTGACAACACCTCTGACATCACGAAATCGGGGAGGACGTGCTTTTAATAGATGAAATTTGCAAAGTCTGACCAAAATTTTATGGCATTTTGTGATAATATACCCTATGATAATGTATTATATAAACACCAGCAAAATGACAGCAAGTGATACGATATCGCAAGCATGCTACAAGTCTGATAAAAATATGCAACACCGCACAATTAATATCATTCTATGACAAAGTAATACGCAGGGAAGAGAAAAATGGCACCAAAGGACAAGAAATTATAAATAACCCACAGTTCTGATGGATTTTTGCAATACCTCACATGTATGATTATTTTACGACAAAGTAATATACAAGCAAGAGAAAAATGGCGCAAAAGGACAAGAAATTACAAGTAACCTGGAATTTCGCTGAGAGCGCTCAATACCACGATGCTGCTGGTAGAGATCACACCGCACTCGATGAAAGTGTATATGGCAGCTTTGCATTCTATTTGGTCTCACTTAGCCTCGCGGTCCGAAGCGCAGGCTGCGAGGATTAGCCAGCAAAAGGATTTTCCCGGACGTAAGCCCGGAAAAATCCGATGAATAGAAAAACTAGCTAAGGACAAGTGGAGACCATAGATAGAGACTAATTGTCCTTGCTTAGTCTCGTGGGACGCAGACGACAAGGATTTAGCCAGCAAAAAGGACCCCTCCGCGAGAACGGGGAAGGAGATGCAGCAGCTGCGGGTTATGCCTGTATAAGATTTAGTGTGCGGCGTGATTCAGGAAGACGCGGAGCAGCACGCACGATGACGACCCACCACGCAGCTGCAACGAATGCAGTTGCTGCTGCGATGAGAATCACGAACTGGTAACTTTCTGCTTCATCCGCAATGTCTCTGCCTATTTGGCCCGCTTTCTGCGCAAACAGTAGACTGGACAGACCCTCCATGGCCACATAGGAAGGACCGCAAAGCGTGAGGAGATTTCCCCACCAATAGACCGCGGTGGGAGGGATAACGAAGAAGGGCGTGAAGAGCGAGGAGGGTTGGGGCGAGAGG